TTTGAGAAAGATTGCTGAAGGTAGTGAATCATCTTTGGGTGATGTTCTACTTTGGCTGATCCATCTGTTGTTGACGATTTGATTGCTACTCGTGTTGTTAAATAAATTTTACAAGCACCAATCATTCTAATTGAAATGATGATTAAGCAAATTCAAAAGGAGTTAAATCTTTTATTAACATTGTTCGAAACAGCTTTCATCCATAAGCAAGTCAGCATTAGAAGCAAAGATTGTATCAAGCTCTTCATTAGTTAAGAATGGATCCAACAGATCAGCAATAGTTTCATTATTTTCCAAGGTAAAAGTGAGATCTTGTTGATTTCCATCATCTTCAAAGAGTGAAGCTTCTTCTTGATCCTCTTCCAATAGTAAAGGTTCACCTCCTTCTACAATGAAGGATGGTGGAGATGTTACTGTCTTTATACTGGTAGGAAGTGTACTTTGATGTAGCAGTGTTGGTTGTTGAGTGGTAATTGAAGAAGTTTGAGGTATCATTGAAGTAAATGATTGTTGTTGTATTGGAGGTGTAATAAATTGATTAGTATTACTGCTATTCATTTGATTATTCATCATTGAGGTAAGAGTTTGTTGAGGTTGTTGAACTCGATTAATAATATTATTATAAATAGATTGAATTGGTTCTTGTTGTGGTTGTGTTACACCAATATTATTAGGTTGACTATTCATTTGACTATTCATTATTTGATTCATTAATTGTTGTTGTTGATATTGTTGATTATTTAATTGATTCATATTCATATTATTATTATTAATTAATTGATTATTTAAATAGCTAGTTGTAATATTATTATTGGATTGATTTGAAATATTAGAATTAGTAGTGAAAGAATTTTGAATTATTGGTTGTTGTTGTTGATTCATTAAAATACCATTATTCAAATTATTCATATTATTATTATTCATATTCATGTTATTATTCATATTACTATTCATATTCATATTATTCATATTATTCATATTATTCATATTATTCATATTATCAGAATGTTGTTGTAGTTGTTGTTGATGATCTGATTGATTTCCTCCTCTTAAAGTATTTTTAAACATCATTGATTGAGGTAATTTACTAATAACTTCAATGTTATTTAATTTTCCTTCATAAATTTCACTTGCTGGAGCTTGATAAACATTTTTATCATCAAAAAATGTTATTGAAGTTTCATGAATTTTTAAAATATTACTTGTTGAATGTTTTAAAGTATTAGAATTATTTAAAGTATTATTATATTGATTTAAATAAAGTAAATCTTCAATTTCCTTAATAAAATTACCATAAATTAAAGTAACTCTTTTATAACGTGATTCTAATAATTTCAAAGCTCTTAAATCTCTTTTTAAAATATCAAAATAATCTATATTTGTATAATTACCATTTATATCCAATCCAATTTGATTATTTAAACGTTGTGAATTTAAAATTTGTTTTACAATTTGTAAATGAATTCTAGTAGCAACAATAATATAAGTTATCATATTAGGTGGAAATAATGAAAATGCATCAACTTGTGTACAATATGTTATTTTTAATGCACTTTCTTCAATCATTTGTTTACCACAATTAACTTTAGATAATATTCCAATTCTTAATCCATTTACAATTATTGTAAATGATGTATCACATAAATTATATCCACGTGTTTGAATAAATTCTTTAGGTACTGTTTCACGAAGTGATTTATGAGCTGTACCTGAAATTGCTTCAGCTGCACGTAATTGTTTTGTAAAATTTTGACTTGTAATGTCTATTTTATATTAAATATTATTGTAATGTTATAATAGTAGTATTGTAATGTTATAATAATAATAATATTAAATATATTAAATGTAAAAAATAAATAACAAACCTTCTCCAAATATTAAAAAATTCCATTCATTTGGTAAAATTTTACCAGTTGCCATATAAAACATGTGTGGTAATTCCTTTAACATACTTGAAATATCAAAATCAGTTGAATGTTGTGCAGCATATTCATTATTACATAAAAAACTGACAAAAATTCTAATTTTTGCCAAAGTAATTTCATCTTGATTTAAATTAGCATCACCTCCCTTTTCAGAAAAGTAAAAATTAGAATTATGTAAATAATATCTTGCATTTCTATATCTTCCATTTGAAGATTCAAATAATGCTAAATAAACATATGTACATGCAACATAAAAATTTGTATGAAAATCAAATATTTTTGATAATAAATTTCTTGATTTGTTTGCACTCTTTTCAGATAATTCTGTAAATCCACATCTTTGTTCACATAATGCTTGAATTGAATAAAATAAACATGTAATTTCCTTTTCATTTTCTAAATTTCCATTAATAGAATTATTATTAGTAGTAGCATTTAAAATAACATCTTCTAATAATTGACGTTTAATAATTGGATTTCCATAACAAATGACAAGAAAATATAAATCAATAACATTTCTTTTAGATAAATGATTATTATTAATTTGATTATTATTTAAACTATTTAAAAGTGGATTATTAAGTAAATTTGTATTAATATTTTGATTAATTAATTGAATATTATTTATATTACTAATATTATTATTTAATTCCATATTCTTTTTCTTATTAACTGGTTCTGAATATTTACATTCAATTCCTTTTAATTGACATTGTGAACATGATGGTAATTGTTTTGAACACTTTTATATTGTTATTGATATTAATATGTTGATGATAATATATTAATATGTTGGAATACAGATGATATACATTTTGATGTTGGACATGTTGATGATGATGAAAATATTTAAATGATGAATGTTCATTTATGAAATGATGAGAGGAGTTAAAATGCATTAATTATTATTATTAAATACCAACCTTTTTATGAAGCCTTTTACAATTTAAACAACTAATTGGATGATATTGAATTGTTTCTTCTTCCTCTTCATTACTATGACTTATATTTCCATTACTACTACTATTATTACTACTACCACCACTTGATGATGATGAGGATGAAGGAGTTGATAATGGTCCACTATCTTGATGATGAATATTATTATTATTAAATAAATCATCTTCATTAGATGGTGATGGTGATGATGAATTAATGACTACTTGATCATTTTGTTGTTGTTGTCTTTGCAGTGTTGATGTGTTGGTGGTAATTTTAGGCATTTTTTAGTGTTGTTGTTTGTTTTTAAATTAGTGTTGGAGAGTTGATGGAAAGTTGTTGGTGTGGTGTTTGTTGATTGAGAGACTTGGATATTGTTGAAAATTGAAAGTTGTGACAAATAAGCAAAATTATTGTAGTTGAAGGCATTGTAAAGGGTTCAAATTTTAGTTAGTGCTTCCTCATTTCTTATCATCGCTGTCCATTTACAAAAATAATTCTGTCACAATATCCAATTAGTCAAGATTGAACAGTTATTGTGTTGGCTAATGCAAATGATAAAGGTCTAGAAAGACAAACTGTTCGTTGGTCATGTTCAAATCAATTCAGTTAGACGGTTTTTTGATTTATCTCCCGCTCAAACTGAACGTTTTACAGTTATTTCAAAGTTGAAAAAAAATGTTTGGAATCACATCAATGGGAGCTCCCAATTACTTTCATCAATGTAAGGGAATTTACGATGAGTTGGAAGTGGATGAAAGCCTTCAAGAAGAAGAAGAAGAAGAAATTGTTGAATATGAAGTATTTAAATTAAGTAACCTCAATCAACATTAAGTGCAGAATTACGTTCCATCAATCATAATAATACAACATCTTATAATAATAATAATAGTATCAATAATAATAATAATAATATTAATATGAATACAACAACTAGTACGGGACATACAAGACAACCACAAAGTACAATCGCCAACAAGTACATTTCACCATTATATCTCTCAGCAATATCTAAAAAACCAAACAAGGCTCCACCTGTAAAGGAAATACCCAAACATAAAGTTGATTCATTCTTACAATCAACTATTGAAGTTAAATCAATAACACATTTAAAAGATCAACAATCTAAACATGTTCGATATAATTTAGATCCTAGAGAGAAGTATAAATATCCAGTTACAAGTAATCAAGAATTTGGTTGGCTCACTTCAACTCCATCAACTACATTAAATAAGGAGAATGAAAAATTTGAACAAACTTTTAATAACATGTCGCATTCTACTAGAGAAGCAAAATATAATCAATCTAATGTGAGAGAAAATAGAAAGTTTAATTTTCCATGCAGTCATACTGATATTGTAAAATATAGAAATAACATGATTTTAAATAATCATTTTTAAATATAAGTTGAATTAGTAAAATGTAAATAAATTGTTTTTAAACAAGTAAAAGAACATGATTCCAAACGTGAATATATAACAAATTAGTATTATAAATTAAGTAAAACATGGAAGAGAACTTTCAGGACCTGATTTCACAATCCTTGGAATATGAAATTGTTGGAATTGATTAGTTCCATATCTAGCATTTATTATAGGAATAAGTTTATTTACTACGGCTGGTTGTATTTGATTTGACATTGCCACAATCTCTTGACATTGCTCGTCGATTTTCAATCCAGATGGATTTGGTTTTGATCCTTACAGTTAATTTGTTTCTTGGGAGAGAATTCTAGAAAGAAACGAGAAAGTTTGTTTTGTTGCATTTCAAAAAAAAATGACAACATTTATTATTGCATTAATTTTATTTATTCTACTTTCTACTTGTTTAGTTTTATATTTGTGGTTTAGACCAGATGAAGATGATGATCATTATATTCCTAATACCAGAAGAACTACTAGAACCACAACTAAAACAAAATCATCAACAGGATCATTAAAGTCTTCATCACCAATTAACTCCGATTCAATCATTAAACAAGAAGAAGAAAAACAACAATTAATTAATGATAACAATGATGATGATATTATGATTGATGATTTTGTTTATATTAAAAATTCATTCAACAATGGAAAATATAATATTAATAATAGTAATAGTAATAATAATAATACAACAACAATAACAATATTTAATAATAGTATTAATAATATTGTAAATTTTAAAAATAGTAAAATGGAAGATTCAAATTTAATATTAAAAAAATTACATTTACGTAATTTAAATAATATTGAAAATATTAAATTTGAAACTGATAATATTCCATTAATAGAAACTTTTAAAAATATTGAAAAGTCAACTGGTGATGAAATTAAAAATAACAAATTATTAATATTTGAAACTATTATTAGAGGTTATTTAATTAGAAATAGATTTAAAAATATTAATTTATTACATTCCAAAATTAGAAATTATTTATGTAAAAAATATTTTAATTATAATTTAAATTTAATTAAAAATGTTCAAAGTAAATGTTTTACTAAACATGTTAAAAATAATTTTATAAATCAATTGGAAAATATTAAAAATATTCAAAGTGCTTTAAATGGAAATTTAGAAAGAATTAAATTTAATGAAAAAATTGAAAAATCTAAAAATTTAATTTGCAAATTAAAATCAATTAATTTTAAAAATAATTTAAAAATTGATTTAAATAGAATTATCAACTTGCAATCTATAATTAAAACTTATTTACAAAATAAGAAAAAGAATAATTTAATTAAATCTATTGAAATGATTCAAAATTATATTAATTGTAACAAAATTAGAAATAATTCTAAAATGGAAATTATAAATATTGAAAATAATTTACCATTTATTATTTCTATATTTGAATCAAATCAAATTAGAAAAGATTTTAATAATCAAAAATATAAAATTAAAATAATTCAAAATTTATTAAAATCTTTCAAAAATAGAAATGAATTTAAATTTAAAATTGAAAATATAAAAATAATTCAAGGATTAATTGAATCTGTCAAAAATAGAAATGAATTTAAACATGAAATTGAAAATACTTTAATTATTCAATCAATTATTAGAACATTTTTAGCAAATTCACAAAAATTAGAATTAAATAATAATTTTAATAATTTGATTAAAAATATTAAAATAATTAAAGAATCAAATGAAATTAGAAATAATTTTAAAAATAATTTAATTAATGTTAAATTGATACAATATTTTTTAAAATCTAAAATTGAAAGAAACAATTTTAATCAAGATTTATTAAAAATTATAAATTTACAATCTTTAATTCGTAAACATTCCCAAATTAGGGAATATAACAAATCAATTCAAAAAATATTAACATTACAATCTAAAATTAGAAACTTTGAATTTAAAAGAGATCATTTTGAAGAAATTGAAACATTTAAAATTCCAAATATGGAATTTGAATTAAATTTTTATTCCAATTATCCTAATATGGAAATTTACATATTTGCACTATCTAAAATTAAAAAACATTTCGATTGTGAAATTTCCTTAGAAAAAGGTCATAAATTAAAAGGATTTTCAGAAATTAAATTTAATGGAATTGAAAATGGATTAAAAATTAATTTAAATGAATTTAAATGTGATGAAATTTTTATTTGTACAAAATTTTATTGTAATTTAATGAAAATGAAAATTGAAAATCAAGATTTTAAATATATTCCATTTAAGGAACTTTTAAAATTACATTCAAATCATGTTTATATTTATAAAAATGATGAAAATGAATGGAATATGAAAATATTAAATTATAATACTAGTAAGAGATTTAATTTAACATCTATTCAATATTATAAACAATTTAAATTATTACAAAATAGTAATAATAATTTAATAGTTAATAATAGTACTAATACTACTAATACTACCAATGAAACAACATCAGAAGAAGCAACACCAGTAATTGAAAGTGATACTACTACCATCAATCAAGAAGAAAATACAAATGATGAATAAAAAGCATTGCTACCAAATAATATTAAGATCATCATGCTGTTGATAAAGGTCAAGGCTTGTTGAAAAATTATTGTGTGTATTGGGTTGATGCTTGATCTTAAGAAGTTGACGAGTTTGAAAGACAAGTCATCACCTGTTTGACGAAGGCTTTGAAAAATCAAACTTCTTTCACAATTTTTTTAATTTTTTTTAAAAAAAACCTTCAAATCTTCATCATTGTACCATAAAACATGTCCCAACAACAATTGGAAACACTTGTATCTCGTTTGGAAAGTGCCGTCTCCAAATTGGAACACTTAAAGTTCAGTGGTGCTTCTTCATCATCTGATGATTCTGCTACTGGTGAAGCTCCATCTGTTGGTGCTTTCAAGGAATACTTGAATACCAATGTTAAGCCTCTCGTTGATACTTGTACTACAATCGGTGCTGAATGTGCTAAGGGTGTAAGTAGTTTGTTATTATTATCAACAGATGTTCTAAATAGTAATTTATTATTAATTTGTTAATACATATCATTATTTGAAAATTGATGATAAAATTGATCTTTATTTGATCACTATTTATTATTACAATATGCATCATCATCATCATCTCAACTAATATTAAATCTTGATGATCAATAACATGTTAAAAACAATAATAACATCTTATAATAATAGGGTGAATTTATTAACAATGCTTTCAATGAAATGTTAAAAATCGTCACATTGGCTAGTAATAATAAGAAGCCATCTGATGAAGAATTTGGTAAGATTTTGAGTGGTTTGGCCAAGATTTTGAAAGATTCTGGAGATTATCGTTTCAAGAATAACAAATCTGAATTCTACAATCACTTGTATTCTATTGAAGAAGGTTTGAAGTGTTTGGTTTGGCCAACAGTTCCTGCTCCTGTTTCTTATGTTAAGGAAACTGTCAATTCTGCTCAATTCTACAATAATAAGATTTTGATGGGTTATAAGAATACTGATAAGGTTGAATTGCACAGAGGTTTTGTTAGTCAATTCAAGACTGCTATTGAAGAATTATCTGTCTATGTTAAGGAATATCACATGACTGGTTTATCTTGGAATGCTAAGGCAACCACTGTTGCTACTGCTGCTGCTTTGAATGGTCAAGTAGCAACTCCAACTGCTACTCCATCTGTTCCTTCAACTCCATCAGTTGGTGGTGGTGTTCCTCCTCCTCCATCAAAGATTATTCCAGTTAGTGAAGATTTGATTAAGAGTACTTCTAGTGCTAAGCAAGATTCATCAAGTGGTAGTGCTGGTGCTTTGTTCGCTGAAATTGCTGCTAGAAAGGATAATGCTAGTGTTGGTTTGAAGCACGTCACTAAGGACATGAAGACTAAGAATCAAACTGATAAGCCACCTGCAATCGTTCCAGGTTCTACTACTGCTACTCCAAAGTCTGGTGTTGTTGGTGGATCAACTGCTCAAAAGAAGGGTACTCCAAAGTTTGAAAAGGATGGTTCTGGTAAGAAATGGCAAGTTGAATGGCAATCAGGTGCTCATGATTTGAAGATTACTGATACTGCTTTGAATCAATCTGTTTACATGTACCAATGTAACGATACTATGCTTGAAGTTTCTGGTAAGGTCAATAACATTGTTCTTGACAAATGTACAAAGACTTGTCTCATTCTTGACAATGTTGTCAGTGGTATTGAATTGGTCAACTGTAAGAGTTGTCAAGTTCAAATTAGAGGTGCTGCTCCAATCCTCTCCATTGATAAGACTGATGGTATCATTGTTTACTTGTCTAAGGAAGCTATCAACTGTAGAGTTGTTTCTGCCAAGTCCTCTGAAATGAACATTTGTGTTCCTGATTTGGATACTGAAGATGATGTAATTGAAATTCCACTCCCAGAACAATTCGTTCACACTTTCGATCCAAAGACCAAGAAGTTCAATACTGATATGATGAAGCACGAATAAATTTATTCCATGTCAATTGATTCTCTCAAATAGTCATATAATTTCTTTGCATTCTCTTTCGATTGCATAATATCACTCAAATCTGAAACACTCATATCTGCCAACTCGTATAAATTCGTAACAGAATTAATAATTCTTGGCATATTTTCAACTGTTACACCTGGCAGACGAGCAAGAAATTCAATAGCTTGATTAGAGCTTTCATTTTCCTCCACATGCTCACTCGTACCAATAGCCTGAGCTAAAGAAACATCAGGTTCATAATCTTCCTCATTCTCTTCCATATCATAGTCATTATATTGTAAAACTTGATGTTTCATCATGTAGAAGAATTTACCAGTTGCTGCTGGTGTTCTTGAATAAGCAATTTTCAATTTTGGAAAATGGAGTGCTGTTAAGACAAGTTTTGTCATTATTGATTTTTCTTCAATTTTACCATCCTCATATGAATAAAATCCAGAGTAAGGATCAGGTAACACAAATGCTTCATCTTGTTCAAATTGAATTAAAAGAACAGCATGTTTGTAATATTTGATCATTTTCTCTGATTGTTGAAATAATCGTCCCGAATTTAAACTTTGCCACAAATCTGTTGTGCTCTTTCTTTCTACACAACAATGTTTTGATACAATATAATCTCCCACCGATATTTGAATTGGAATTACTTTATATCCACTAGAGTTCAATAAAGATGGTAAAGTAGATCTAAATTCTCTTGCATCAATAACAATCTTGGATTTGTTTGAGTCATTACTTGGTGCAGATGGATTCAATGCAAAATTAAATTCACTAAAATTAACTTGTTGTGAATTACTAATTGCCATATTACCACCTGCTCTTCTTGTATCTGAAAATGCTTTTGGTACTAATTTTGAACTTTCCGATTGAATGACTCTTTCTCTTAAATAAATATCTGAAATTAAGGTTTCAATTGTTGGTACTGTTAAACGTCCATAAGAAACAATTAATTTCTTAAATGCTTCCTTTTCTCTTTCAACTGTTGCTTGATATTGTTTATATTCTACACTATTTCTATCATATGATAATAAATAGACATGAAGTGGTATGTATGGATATTTACATTGATAATGTTCAATTCTTCTAATAAATGATAAATCATTTTCATATAAAATTACAAAAGATGGCATTAAATCATCTAATATTGTACTTGTATCATATAGTGAATGAATTAAAAGTTGCATTTCTTTTGGTTCATTCAATTTTTTAACAACCTTATCTGGAATTATTTCAAAATATTCATCAATTGGATGTTTTTTTAGATTCATAATCACATCATTATCAAGATCATGATTGGAATTATCATCATTGCTATCTACTGATGGAGGTGGTTTAAAATCTTCAAATTTTTCATCCTCATCTTCGTTTTGAACTTTTTCATCATCACTATCAATTTCATAAACAAGAATTGATTCTTCCAATTTACTCTTTTCAATTTCCTCTTGATTTTCTTCAAAATTTGAAACATGTTGACTTAATAAATCCAATTCACTATTTTGTAATGATTTTCTTTTAACTCCCTTCTTTTTCTTTGATTCTCCAAGTTTTTCTTCTTTCTGTTTATCAATTTTTCGTTGTTGTTTCCTAATTTGTGGACCAATTAATTTATGAATTAATCTATTTAATAGAGTTTTACCACCTAATTCTAAGTAAGTTCTTATTTGTGAACAAGTTTTTTCATTAGAAGCTAAAATTAAAACTCTTCCATTAATATTTGGATTGTTATTATTTTGAATAGTTTCATATATACTTTCAATAGTATTTTCTAATTGTTTCCATTTTGGATTTTCTTCTAAATGAAATTGAATGGAATCAACTGATACATATGGATCTATTGTTCTATTACTTTCCATTTGAGTTAGAGTTTTTTGTTTTTTTAGAGGTGATTTAACCTTATTTGATGAAACTGTATATATTCTATCTTTGGCATATTGATAAATATCAGATGCAGTATCAGTTGTTAACCATGTTGAAGATGGTATTCCACTTTTACCATCTGATAATCTTAATGTTTCTAAATAATCATAAAATGTAACACAATCATAATTTAACAAGTAAAATAGTAAACTTCTCATTACTTTTAAATCTTCAATATGTTTCTTTGATTGGTGTCCAATTCTATTCCAAATTGGTTTTAATTGATGTGTTATAATTTTATGAAAACTCTTAAAATAACAATCTTCTATTTTAATTTCACTCAAATCCAACTGAATATATGATTCAATGGTTAATATTTTCAATTATTTCATATTAATAACATACAGATGGATTATTCTTTTTTAAAGAATTAATTGCAGTTGTAATAATATCAATAATAGCATTTTCAATTAATCTCATTTTTTGTGACATGGGTACAATAATTTCCTTTACAATTGGTTGATATTTCATTAGAGATTGTGAAACTTCCAAATCAAAACGTGGTTTAAATTCAACTCTATCAATAAATAATAATCTCATTAATTGTTCCATTCTTGAAAAACCTTTTGTTAATTCTTCAGCATTTTCAGTAAAAGCTTTAACAAAAGCATCCATTGAATTTGATAATCTAAAAACACGTAATATAAATGATTCAGTTGATTTATCAGTAATTTCATGTGCATTTAACACTACAATTCCACTAACATGTTTAATTGGTACTTTATCATTCAATAAATCAACAATTAAAATTCTACTCGTAATAAATAAACATCCACCTTGATTATATAATTCAACTCTTTCATTAATTGTAAAAGTTGATGTAATTGATTTTGGTAAATTTTCAATTTTAATTAAACCACTCTCTAATAATAATTGTTTAATTAATTCTTCTTCATAGGGTTTAGAATTAATAATTAAAACTAATTGTGATGGATCACAAAATTTCCTAAGAAAATGTGTTATCATAATTTCAATTCCTAATCCTTTAGCCATTAATAAAAGTAAATTCTTATTCTCCTCTGAAAATAATTTTAATAATAAATTACTTTGATAATTATTTAATATATTTATAGAATTAATAGAATTAGTAAATCGTTTTTGATTATTGCTTGTTGTATCATTGTTGGGTGTTATTTGTTCAATAATTAAATTATTCCGATCCATTGATGGTGATGAAATGGAACGGTTGTTTGATTGTTGCATTTTTTTTTGAGTTCGATCAAGTGCTGGAATTGAAGATGGTGAAGTACATTGCTTCCAACTGAGTAGAGTGAATAATTATTTGTTGTTTATTGTTTCTTCTTATTGAGTCTTCTTCGCACTAGGAATCCTCTAACTTCTTTTTGGATAACAACTGCTGCATGATTTTTACAAGTATTAACAGCTATTGTGAGTGCATCTTGTGAGGCTAATCTTTTAGAAGGAATTGGATCAAGCCCTCGGGAAAGAAGATCTATCAGAGGTTCAACAAAGTGGTGATTACACTTCTTTTTACCATGTTTGGCAATACGAGAAAAGTGATGGTTTTCTTTAAGGTTTTCTTCCCATAATTTTTCAAATTCTTCTTTCGATGTTATCTTGGCTTGAAGATTGATTTTCTTTTTGCTTAAAACTTCGAATAATGAATAACAAATACTGTAAACATCAATAGTATTTGAAGCTGGTTGGCCTTCATTGTGTTCTGGAGGAAGATATCTCATAGTACCCCCAATCACAGGATCATTAACCTTTACAGAGAACCCAAAATCAGCCAATCTAATTCCATCTTGTGATATTAAAATGTTTTGTGGTTTTACATCTGAATGAACGTATCCAGTTGAATGAACAAGATGCATTGCATTCAGTAAATCAACTACTAATTTCAAATATTTGAGTGGTTTCATATATTTGACCTTCTTTCCTTTTGTACCAACAAAACTAATTTGTTGAGTAAAAAGATCTCCATATTTACAATATTCCATTACTAGTACATTACAAAGAGATTTCTTGTTTGAATCATCTACTTCCTCATAAGAAAAATAGTCCAACATTTGAATAATATTCTTATGTTTGAACAGTTTTAGACATTCCACTTCTCTATCAAAATCTCTTTGGGCTCCATCTTTGTATTTTTTAAGCACGCAAATCTCATTAGTTTCCTTTTTAGTGGCAAGAAAAACAATAGCTGAAGCGCCATCACTCAGTCTCGTTGTTACTTGATAGGAATCCTTCTTTTTCAAACCCTCCTCAAGATCCTTACTATTCTTCTTTGTAAACAGTGCTGTAAATGGTTTGATGAGAGCCTTCCAAGACCTTGATTTCTTCTCACTGGTGGATGTTGAACTACTTGACGAAGTTGTTGAGCTTGACGTACTGGTTTCTCTTTTACCAATAGAAAAAGCTCTTGTTGTTTTGGTTTTCTTTTGTGCTTGTCTTGGCATCAAATCTTCCTCGTCACTTTCTATTAATCCTAACCTTTCTCGGCATTTATCTAAAACTGAAATAATTTCTTCAATATTTGGTCTCTTTTCTGGTTCAACTGAAATACATTGCAGAGCAAGATTCAACAGTTTTTGAATAGTTACTTCAATAGTAATATCAATTGATGATAAATCAGTTAGAGCTCTTTGAGCCTTGTCTTTCACAAATTGTAATTCGTTTTTCCAATTTTGAGGGTCCAACATTTTGGCATCTATTTCTTCATTACACAAAATACTCAAAATCATAGTACCAAGCATATGAACATCGTTCGATGGTTCAAAATCATTATCACTTTCATATGCTTCCCTTGAGTAATAAGTGACATGTTCATCATTCAAAGTCTCCTTAATGGTTTCAATTCCAAAACTTGGAATTTGAAGTAAAACCTCTCCATCATACATTCCTTCAATACTCTTAGCAAGAATTAAAATGTTCTTTGGAAGAATGCTGTTGTGGCTAATGTTTGCATCGTGCAATTCTTGTACTGACATACACAAGTCAAAGAAAGTTCTTGTGACGAATTGGGCTTTGGATTTTTTAGTTTTAAGATATTGGTTATTGTACATAATACTTTCCAAGCTGATGATTGGTCCATCCCAAGTTTGTAAAGTTGAAGTTTTGATGTTACATTTAGCATCTTTTGCTGAAGTAAAGTACAAATTTCTCGTCAATCCTCCGTTTGTAATTTTTTCGAAAACACCATCAATTTGGATGTTGTATTGCGATCTTAAACTTGCTTGAATATACCTTAAGAGTTTTTCCTCTAGTTTGGCACTCTTTTCAATCCTGGAATCCAATATAGATTGAGAAAAAACAAAAACATTTTTCGAAATCTTATCATCACTAAAAACCGGAACATGAACATTGGTTGGATAGGAATCTTGATAGATAAGATCTAAACCAATTTTATCATCGCCCATCAACAATTTCTGAATCATTACTTCATAGGATTGTATAGTCCCATTATTTGATTCCATCTTGTTTAAAGCAGTAGTGAAATAAAGAAACTTGGCAGATAGGTAACTGACTATATAAAACCAACAACAATAAAAACAACGCCCCTTATAATGATGAGGTTATTTTTTAAGGATGAAAAAATTGTTCTCTTCAGTTTGACTTGGCACTAACCATCTGCCCTACCATCAAAGCCTTTTATTTTTCCCGCTCTCTTAGAGCCCTTGGAGAGATGAACACGAACTATGAAGTGGAGCTGAATAAAATTCTTTCTTCGCAATTAAGGTCTCATGACCATTGAACCTCTTTTTAAGGTTTCATCTATGTTGGAATATTGCATAATGATCTGGGAACTCTCAACGAAATTCAACGTTTTTCAACTTTAATTCTAAATTCATTGATTTTAATATTTGAATGTTAATACTTGATTTACAAAATATTTCATCATTAATATCATTATTATTAATAAATTTAATAATATTATAAAATTTATTAAGCATGATTCTTTGTATGTAAACCCTCTTTTAAAATTGTCATTTTCACATCATCAAAAACATGTCTAACATTATCAGTATCAGTGGCACATGTAACATGAGTATAAAGTCTATTGGGTTCACCTTCTCGTACTAATTTTTTAAATTTTCCAGTAATAAATTCAACTGATTCATCAAAATTATTTCCATCTCCTTTAAAATCGGGAAAATAGGTTGAAATTGGATTCTTTTGAATTTTCTTCTCAAATAAATCTCTCTTATTGAAAAATAACAGTATTGATGTATGTTTAAAGTATTGATTATTGGCAATTTCTTCAAAAATAGCAAGTGATTCTTGCATTCTATTGGTTTTATCATCTTCATAACATGTTTGATCATATTCTGATAGAGCTACAACAAAAAGTAGACATGTTACACTCTCAAAACAATGTATCCATTTTTTACGTTCTATATTTGGTAATTATTATTATAATATAATGATGATGATGATGATGATGATGAAATTATTATGATGATCAATTGTGATCAATTATGCACATGTGAATGTTTATAATTATTGATAATATTATGATCAAATATTAAATATTAAATATTATTGAATAATATATGATTAAATATTCAATTTTTTTCAATAATATAATTAACATACCATTTCTTTGACCTCCAACATCTAATAATCTGAAATATAAATTATCAATTTCAAATTTACATTCCACAATACCCGTCGTTTTAACTCTACATTTTACAATATCTTCATAGGTTGGTATATATTCACGAGCACTTATACGTTCAATATTTTCAAAGAAATATTCAGCAGAATCAAATATTTGAAATTCATTTCTTCTATCATAGGCCTATATATATAAAAAAATGTGTGTAAATAGTTAATAGTTTGTGTAATATATTGTAAAGTATTTAAAGTATTGTAAATAGTATTGTAAACTTACAGTCCTTATACCAGAATCATTCCATAATTTTTTAATTGCATCTCCAATATGAGGATTAGTATCAAATTCTCTAGCAGCAATTGCTAAATTTGGATCAAGTGATTTAATTTTCTCAGCAATTTTCATATTTTCTTCATTATCAAATTTAATTTGAAATCGTGAAGTTCCATCAATTAATCTTAAACAATTTAAAATGACATTTCCTCTGACAAGTGGCACATATGATTCAACTTCCTCACTTGTAAACCCATTCAAATGAATAATTTTAATTTGTTCTAGATAATAAATTAAATTAATTTTAGATGTAATATTAATTACATACTAAATAATGTTGACTTTCCCGATTCTCCACTTCCGAGAAGAAGTAATTTAATTTCCTTGTTTTGTAAGAGAGCTTGGTTTCGAATATCTTCAGCAATTTTCTTGTTTTTAGCTCTTGCTAGACTTGGATCTTCATTCTTTCCACCACAAACCATTTCAATTTATGTTTTATTGTTGTTGTTGTTGTATGATGATGACACAAAATGATGATGATGATGAAATTCTTATTGTTGTTGTATCCAAACTGAAGATGATGGATAAAAGAGAAATGACAATTTTTTTTAAACAGGTGACATGATGTGCTCGAGAGGGAGATTTTGCTGTTGATCTTTGAAGGGTTTCTCTTCAATATGTTTCCTTTCATCGCGTTTTAATCATAGATGACAAGAGAGTAGTCGCATTTCAATGCAATTGATAATTATGGTAAGGATTTAAAAACAGTGATGGTTCAAACCTTGTTATTATTATGAAATGTTGATTTGTTTATTTTCAATGAACCATACGATTGGTTTTTATGGATATCACTTCTATTATCATGTTGGTTCAGTTTGATTTGTGGGCTCTAATTTGTTATTGAGAATTATTCGGTTTGCCTAAAGCATTAACAAGAACATCCAAAAACCATTTTGGATGTTCAAATAGTGTGGTATGGCTTTTAAGGGATAGATGCATGTTGTTAAGAGGTTTGTAAAATTACTTCAATTCATCATCATTGGATGAAATATTATCAGCATTGGAAACAGCAACTATTGGAACATAATCAAGAATTGAAATTGCCTTCTTGTTCAATTCTGCAAACAAGTTTGCAACAGAAACGAGTGAAGAGTTTGATGAAAATAATTGTAACAAATCTTCACAAATATCCATTACAACTTTGTAGTCATTACAAAGAATTGAAAGGAATTTGTGGAAATTTTGTAAATTCTTTGGATTGAGAGGTTTTTCAAGTTTAACACGTTTAGCGACCTCTCTAAATAAGTTTGTACTTGTTGGAAGATATTGTCTGAGTGAGTTAAAATATTCCAAATCTCCTTTCTTTACACAGTTATTGTAAATTGGTTCAATCCAATCAGACATGGTGTTAATATCATAAGCATTGGCTATTATCAATGATTCCTCAAAGTCTGCATGATTTTGAATAAAGGTTCTTGCTTCCTTCAATCCAAGTTCAACAATTATTGGCAAATTTTGGAGCTTCTTCTTATTTGGGAGCTCATTGTAAAACTTCAGTTGAAGTTTGACGAGAGCAGCCAAGTTAGTTGACTTGACAGCAGTTTGACAACAATCTTCTTTGGCTAATGATGATGCTGCAGATTCAAAATTTTCACAAACAATCTTCATAACATGTTCTAGTGGTACATGTTCATCTAAATGTGTAATTGATTGATTACTAGAGACACTTGTTGAAGAATCGTCCTTGTCTGTTAATCTCTTATGAATTACCTTGATTCCTTTACATCCTCTATTATACAAATAGGTTCCATATTCTTTTAACATGTTAAATCTCAAGTAAACCATTGCTAACTTTTCATTTTGTTCAGGGAATTTAGTTTGCACGTACGATGATAAGGCCATTTTCAATTGGTTGTTATTATCATGGTCTGTGTTCTTGTTCTTTTTGAGAATAAGCTCAAACTGTTCATTTTCTATTAAGATATCAAAAAGGAACGTAAGTTCTGAAAAGTCAGGAATGGAAACAAGCAACCTGACAATAAGTGAAAAGTCGTGATCATCTAAAATTTCTTGAATAATTGGTCCTTTGATTCTCTTTAAAATTGACTCTATCCCTTCAAAACTTGAAGACATATGATAACAATGATAAGCTCTAATAATAATTTCAACTTTGCATTTCAAGTTCAAAATACCTCTGGATTTCTTCTTGTGTGGGCTATCGTCATTTGTTTCATCATCAGAGTCTATTAATTTGATTAATTGACGAGCAATAGATGATGGATCTTTTGCAATATTGGCAAATTCTGCAAATTCATCCATGGTGCATTTGACTAGATCGAATTGTTTTTGTGACTCTTTGAGAGTTTTGATTGGCTTACTCTTAAGTTGTTGGTTAAATTGTTTAAAGAATGTTGAAGTTTGCACACTTGCTGTATAGGAGCTAGAAAAATCAAAGCTTGAAAATGAGCTACCAGAACTTGTTGATAATCTATCATCAAAATCTTCGGTACTTGAGGTACTGTCATTTGCTCCACTGTTATTATTATTGGCAGATGAGGATTGGAAATAATCTTCAATTAGAATTTCACCTCCTCCCTCTTCTTGATTTTTGAATATGGAAACATCCTCGTTTCTATAATACTCAACATAGGTAGAATAGAGATAATTAGCACAAACTTTAGAAGCTCTATCGCTATCAAGATTACGAAGTTGAATGAAGGAAGAACAAACTTTAAGCTTTTCCTTTCCAAACATCATTAGCAAGAGTTTTAAAACTTCAAAATCATCCTTTGTAATAACACTATCATAACTTAATTGGAGAATTCTTCCAATTTTGTGATTGAGGGCAATAACTTTGAGGAAGTGTTTGGAACCTTTCATCTTATAACCAAAAGATAAAAGAGACATCTTATCTAATATTTGTTGAATATCGTCAAATTCATCAATATTGAGGACCATATCTTTAAGAGCAGAATAAATATTTGATGGAAGCGTTTTGGCAGCAAAGCTATTATTTCTCTGATCAGAATCTTGATACATTGTCTTGATTTGTAATTCATAACCTTTTGCCAATGTAAGAGCAACTTCAATAATTTGTAAAATATTACTATTATATGAATAGTAATTAGCAAGCTTCTTTGCTTCTTTGTACTGTTCTTTTAGTAATAAATTATCAATGACCTTATCTAATAATTCATCCATATTGTTGATATTGGTTGGTATATTTGGTTGGTTTGATCGTTTTGAGGAATTTTGAGTATTTTCAATAAATCTGGCCTCTAATGGAGCTAAAACTATTGAGGCGCCACTTGTAAAAAAGTTATCTGCAGAGTTGGAAAGTAAAACAATACTCTGTACAAGATAGTCAATATCTTTTTGATTTCTACATGGAGTTGGATTTGTTTTTGTCATTTCAATACTACCTCTCTTTTTGGTTATATTATAGGTTCCTTCATACCAAGACAGTGCAAGATTCAACAAATGTAAAACGCTGGTAGAAGAATATTCTGATTGGTAGAGTATTGCTTGTTCTAAGAAGAATTTAGCACCACTCTCTTGCGGATATCTGTGCTTGATGAAAAGATCATTCACTTTTGAATAGGCAGTAATGATATCTGTGGTATTAGTAACATAGAGTGAACGAACTTTTTGAATCTTGTAAAGAGCTTGAGAGTATGTAACCTTATCATTTGAATAGGTAATCTTCTTTCTATACATGACAATAACTTGTCTTGCCTCTTTGAAACAGTTATTTTCTATCAGAGATTCAATAAAATGATTTGGATTTCCTGTAAAGACATTGAGGTGATCGATTTCTTGTACTTCTCCAGACTTGAAAACTCTTTCAAATAATGAATTTACACTGTACATATTTTCAAACTCATTGGTAACATCAACAATTAACGAGAATTGTGTCTGATGAAGTAACTGGAGATAATTGGTACGTTTGTATTGCGTGTTCAAAGACCTGGATAGTTGTTGTGCTAGAGCTGTTGAAGTGGAGACAACCCATGTTAAATCGCCAAAGTTAAAGTTTGGAGCAACCCCACTATTCAAATCCTTTACAACTTTAACAAATGTCTTCATTTCATCTGTTGCCTTTCCAATATTTTCATGAACATATGATTCATAGAATTGTAAGAATGAAATAATTGGATTATTAACATCAAACAATTCAAATGATTGTGTAATATAGTGAACACCGCTTTGTTTTTCATCTTTCAGGAAATTATTTGAACAAAAATCTTGAATATATCTATCAATACTTTCTGTCAACTTTCTCATATTTTGTTTCTTAATAGATATGGTTTCATTCTTTTTCATTTCGGTATTTGTTAACTTTTGCTTTAAAGATTGCAAATAACATTTCATACAAGTGAAAAGTTCAGACATTGTATAATCTTTAGGGAGATAACAAGTGGCAACTATTGCAAGTAAAGGTTCACTAAGAGCAAGTGATCTATTTAACAAATACTCAACAACTTCATCATTTTTCAAGTTGAATTCTTCAGCTCTCATAATTTCTAGGAATGCCTTGAATATAATATCATTTTCTTGATTTAAATCCGTAAGAATATCGTTATTATTATTCTCTATTGATAACTTAGTTTGAATATGGTCACGTTTTGATTTCATATCTCTCAGAACAATAATTAAAAATTGTTTGATGACATCAGGCATGAATTCTTCTACAATACTCATAACTGTCTCAATAGGAGCATTAATATCTTGAGCATGATAAAGGAATGAAATCCATTGTCCTTTCTTGGCAGTAGATTTTAATTGATTTACAAATGGTGGTAGACCATGTAATTCAGAAAACACAGATAAGAGCTTCCAAGGAGAAACATAAATCTTGTGTCCACTATTTCTCATACCATCTAAAATTTGAACTTGTGATGGATCAGTGGAATTCTTAGAGTTATACTCCTTCTCTAAAAATTCTTTGACTGAAATGTCAACAATTAGCATGCTTTCAGTTGCTTCTTCCAACATTTTAAGAATTTTGAATTGAGGATGGGATAAATAATGTTCGTAAACGGAACTTGTAGATTTTGATACGGAAATTTGTAAAAATTCTTCGACGAGCTTCTTAGAAGGACTATCAACATGTTGTGGTTGATCAACTTGAGCAACAAAAGATGGATGAAAATCAAAAATTCTTCTAGCTACTTTTGTTTCAACAAGGATGACCTTGGCATACTTATCAGAATACTCTTCAAAATTGCAAAGGTCTATGAACATTTTACATGAGGAAGTGATAGCTTGATTAGAAAAATTATTCAATGCAATTTCTCTGACTCTATCACAAAGATTCAATTGGGATTCCTTGTCCATATAATTTGAAAGGGGAAGTTGTTCGTTCTTTCCTCCATACAGATAAGGTGAGTAAGCATCATCTATTAAATCTTTCAATTCATTATCCTTGGTAGAATTGACTTCACTGAGTAACTCCTTGTAAGCTTCCAAAGGTCTTTGATTCATCAAATAGTAGGAAATATCAAGAACCTCCTTGATACTTGATTCATATGTCGAAAAGTTGAATAAGTCATCTCTATTGTTAATCTTAAATTGAGTAGGGGTTAATAAATTAAACTCTCCTTGATTAATTTCGTTACCTTCGTCCATCATTAAAATTTCATCAATAGACATATCAATATGTGTATGTTTAAGCATATCAAATAGAGAAATATCTTTTTGGCATGAAACAATGTTACCTCTTGCAATTTCGTTATTGCAAAGGTTGATAGTTTCATTTTCAGATTGACTCTCCTTTGATAGGGTTGGGTTTTCAGAATGCTTTGTACTTTTTTCATTAAAAAGTGCAGAATGGAAGGTTGGATATGGCTGAAGCGCTTTGGATAAGTAAGAACTGTTCAAGTAATGCTCACTTGTAATTGGTTCTTCCAAAGATTCATGAAGAGTTTTTGGAGAATACATTTGTGTGGAGAGAGCCATGATTGGATTTTCATTAAGAATGCTATTCAAATTAATCTTTTGATTATCATTATTTCTAAGTTTAGATTGGGCGTTAATGAATGATAAATTAAACATATCCTTCTTATTGGAGAGTAAGAACATATTTAACCATGATGGTCTCTTATCTTCAGTGAAGGATTTATCTAATGCATCCCAAATATTAAACTTGTCAATATACCTAAAGCAAATACTAGGAATATTTTTCTCAATACAGAAAGAAATAAAGTCTTTGTGGAATTTGCTCATTTCTCCCACTGGATGTAAATAAGTTGTGTTGATTGGGTTGGAAACAATATCCTTATCAGAATCGAACATATTGGTAGGATCACATTCAATAGACAAAGTTTCTATTAAATTAGATGGAATATCATTTGAAAAAAGTTGATAGGTTGCACAAAATCTTTGCAACAAGGAAATAAAATCCTTTGTATCTTCTCTAATGAATATTCCTCTGAATGCAAGACTATTCAACAATAGCTCTTTCATCATTGGACTACAAAATTGTAATTGTTCTCTGACAATGTTGATAACTTCTTGACAACTTTCAACAACCTGTTGCATCTTGGAAGAGTAACCTTCAGGAACATAGAGAATATCTCCATCTTCTGTTTGATAACATTTCACACTTTCATTCTTCTTTTTCAAGTTTCCGTAGTATTTAATTGCACTCTTTGACCATCTCACCAGTCCAACAAAATCATGATGAGCAATACAAAAGGCAAGCTTTGATTTGTTGGACTCATTATCGTGATAATCTTTTTCAAGTAGAATTCTCTCTCTTGTATGTTTATCCCATCTCAATAACCAACTCAATTTAGATACAAAGTAAGAGGACTTTGACTTTGATAGTGCTAAAATTTTCTTGTTAGTGCTAGATATTGAAGCACTTCTCATTCTTGATTGAATAGACACTTTACGTTTAAAAACTAGGCTATCTGAACTATCTGAAGATACTGGTGATTCAACAACAACACTACTTGTAATGTGGTGGAGTGGCGTAAGTTGTGCATCATCAGAAATATCTCCAATAACAATGTTTTTTTCCACTTGATCAAAATCTTCATCTGTGAAAGGATTATACTGTCCGTATGGAAGCACCTTTTCAAGTACTTTTTGAATGGATGTATCAGGATAAAGTTCTTCCAAAAGTTGAAGAAATTCTATTACATCTTGTTCCTCTTCTGAAAGCTTCTTCATTCTCTTCAATTCCTTAATTAAATGGTTTCTAATATTCTTGTCGATCGTATTAAAAGCCAATTCTCTTAAATGTTCTGTAACATCTTCTCCCAAGTTTTCTAGCATTTTAATAGCAAGATTATATTCACCAGAAACTAAATGTTCATATATTACAATAAAGGAAAGTTGTTGAAAGCTTTCAAAATCTTCAATTTCGAAAAAGTTGTTAGTATTGTCTTCATCCTCACTATCACATTCAGCTGCAGACTTGTGCTTTACGGTTCTATTTTTCAAGAATGAGTAACCAAGCGAAACAAGACCCTTAGTCAAACAATCAACAATTATGGACTTATTTTCCATATTCTTCCACTTGTGATAAAGTTCTTCATTGCCTCTCATTAAAATTTTGTCAAACATTTCCATTTCATTCTTTTCGTCTGCATCAGAAATTTCATTCTCCTCGGCATCATAATTATACATATCTTCTTCATTGTTAATCGATACACCTGTCTTCATTTCGGAACCGAAGAAGGATAAATCATTAAAATTATCACCTCCAGAAAAAGACTTTGTTAAAATTAAGTTAAATCCTGTTGTATAAATTATCTAACTTACCAAATCCAGGTCTATTCTCTTCTCTGAACGAAGAGTTTCACTTCTCTTGCTTTGAGAATTGAATGAACTAAGTAAATCTGCTGCTATTGGTTCATTTACTTCTTCTTCCTCTTGATTATTATATATCAAATATGATCTCAATAGAGAAATGATACTAGATAAAAGCAAAACTTCTTCTGGTTTTGACAAAACTTGCTTGGAACTCATGATATCCTCAATGATTGAAATAGTGTTAGAAGATGGATTATTAATAATGTCATTTGAAGCACTTGTAATTTCATCAATTTCAGAAATGGTTTGACTTTCCATAAACTTGTCTAACTTTTTGGCATTCTTAATCTCCAACTTTTTAATCACAGAATCAGTACTTTCAATCTTAATAGGTACTCTCTTATCTTTGAATATAAATATAGAATCAAAAGTATTTGGCTCTTCTTCACCCAAATTATATTCATTCTTTGAACCCAGCTCTAAAATTCGTTTTTCAATCAATGAGAGAATGTAAGATATGGCTGTAGTGATAGTATGAATTTTAAATTCACTATCTTTTGAAAATTTAGTGTCTTGAATAAACTTGGCAATTATATAGCAAACATTTAACTCTTGCTCCGGATCAAGATGTTGCAAAGTATCTTGTACAACAGCAAGTTCTCTATTTCTCAAACCAAGCTCTATAGCATGAACTGCTAATGATTTTCTGTCCCAGCCATTAAGATCACATAACCTCTCAGCTAATCTTTGTCTTTCGTACTTGATAAGATTATTCAAAAGAATGCTCTTGTTGGTGTTTACATTAATAAAGAAAACTCCATGTTTGTGGGCATCCTCTGTTATGTAAAAGCAATGTACATCTGAGCAGTAAATTTGGGAAATGAAATTACCCTTTTCCAAACATATTGCTGTGGTTTTTCCTGAAAGCATGTCATAAACTTGAAGGAGTCTTATATCAGCCTCCAACAAGTCAAAAATGATGTAGCACTTGTTATTTGTTATGATATAGTCATGAATTTTAGAATTCTTTTCAACTGCATGAATAACAGTAATGCCTTCATCAATGTGGCTGATATTTTCATCTTTCCTAGGAGAAAGCATAAAGTTGTGACTTGATGTTCTCGAAATTAAAGAGTCTTTTCTCGAAAATGACTCTAAATTACTATCTAAACTACCAATTGATCCTCTTTTGATTAACAGTGAATCCCTCATTATGGTTTCCTTTCGTTGTTTGTTTGCAACTACAAATGGATAATTGCTCTTTGTATCTTTCTCAGTACCAAAATCATCACCTGAATCGATGAGAACACTAGTAGATCTCTTTTGAGGTTCTGTATTATCAAACCAGTGAGATTGATAAAAATTCTCTGAGGTGTAACAGAAAGGTAAAAGTGATTCTATTGGCTCAATAGTATCCGTTTTCTTTTCACTTTGATTGAGCAGTTCATTGAAGGAAAGTTCTTCGTCCTCCTCATCACCTTCAATATCTTCCTCTTCTTCTTCATCGCCTTCAGTATCATCTTCTTCATCAAAATCTTCTTCTGTTCGTTGAACATGCTCTTCTTCTTTAACATTTTCCGTTTTTAAATCCAAATCTATAATATATACATCATTGTCACATGTTGCTGTTAAAAGTAATCCGTTATTCGATAATTTAAAGTTACATAAATTTACAATATCACAATTTACAAATCCAACTTTCTTCTTTTTAGAGATATCCCAAATATCAACTTTGTTTAGCATTTCAGAAGGGCTGGAAGAAAGTGAGCAAAAAAGAAACTGTTGATATGCCAATAATTCTCTATATGTATGATCCTTTGGAGCTTGTATTGTAAAATTACTACAAATTTGCAATAAAAAGTTCTGTAGAGAAACTTCACAAACATGATTGTTATCGAATAATATTAAAAAGTGACGATCTTCAAGAATTGGAAGTATTGCTTTCATGGAGACCTCTTCTCCAAAATTAGCATTCTTGATGGAGTTTGTAATTTTTGAGAATGATATTGTGAATTTTTTGACAATCCATGTTACTCTTTCATTCTTGAATTTAAATATTGTTTCCGAATCGTCTGTTAAGAAATTAATTAAAATTTTCTCATTCCTTTCTGATGGACTAAACGTCTCATCTTGGTCACTTTTAGAAAAGAATATAATTTCCAAAGTATCATCCCTAGCAACAAGACAATAACACGAGAATTTAGACTGAATGCCTCCTGTTGTGTGTGACCTCATCCAATTAATCCTAATTTGAAATTAAAATACTATATTATCATTCAATACATACGATTTAATATTTCCACAATTATTGATGGTAATAAATTCTCGCAAAAATTCAAATGTTGCATTATCGTACTGTGTACTTTCCTCCAAAAAAAAGAATTGTAACTTGTCATTAGTTCTATCCAATAAATAAATAATTTCATTATTCGGAGAATAATATGATTCAATATTGTTCGAGCATTGATGAATTGGCAAACCGGAAGATATTTTCACAGCCAAAACTGATGCCAAAGAAATTGAACTTGGTGGCATCATAAAAAAAGGTTGATGATATTCCTCCTTACTAATTTTAAAATCATCATCATCCTGATCAAAGTTTGTTGGAGTCATCGGAGATGATAACTCTGAGATGACGAGGTGATTTGGCATTTTTTCAAAAGATTCTTTTTATTCAAAGGCTTTAAAGATTTTTAATTACTATTTAATATTTAATAATATTATTAAAATTTATTATTTTCTTGATAGAAAACATTACTATCGTGTATTATTGATAATTATCGTAATAATTTGAAAATGATGGTTTAATATTGTACATTATTTACAGTCATTATTGTTCTTTAACCAAATCGATGGCCAAATAAAACTTCTTCTCGTTCATAAAGGCAATACCAATTGCTTCTCTTTCACAATCGGCGCAAGTCAGATATTTAATTTCCTGTGCAGTACCACTCTTGTTTTTCGTAAATCCAATATTTTCAAAATCAAACATGTCTTTTAATTGATACCATCTGTTGTATGATTTGGTATCGGTAATATCCTTCACAGGTAATTCAAAGGTTGTATCCTCCACGAGCAATCCCATATTTTCCCTGAGAATTTTAGAATTGCAATGTGGGCAATTGATGACTGTTGGATTTCTAATTATTGATGTAACAATTTCCGAGGATGATGAAGCTGCTGATTCCATTTTTTAATTTGATTTTAATTTTAAGAAGTTCCTTAAGCTAATATTGGAACATTAAAATCGTCTTCGGTCAGTAGATCAAAATAATATAGACGAGAATAACTAATTGTGTAAGCATGATATATTGTGTAGACTATCAAGTTAGATTTTATTCATTTCCCAAAATATGGGTTTTAAATTTCCATGAAAGATTTGGTTTAGTTTGATTGTGTGCAAACATTGGATAAATAGTGGATGTAATAATTTCCATTAATTGTTTGAATTGAATAGTATCAAGTGCATTCATGTAAAATGTGAATATTCTTTTTGGATTATGATTATCTTTTGCTTTAAATTTAGATTCAATAAAAGAAAGAGTTTTCAAAACTTTCTGTGAAATTTGTACTTCCTTGTCGAGAAGATACCTTTGTGGATTATTGTTAGGGTTAAGTTGACTCGAAGTATTGGTGAAAAAGTTATTTTGATCAGGAACTGGGTATTGATTAAAATCTGGAAACAAGTCAAAAAGTGATTTGTCATCGCTAATGGTTTCACTCAAAATATCAATCTTTGTGAAAATGAGGAAAATTGGTGAATATTTGAGTGGTCCATTACATTGTTCTTCAAATAAGTTAATACTTTCTATCATCCTATTTGAAAAATCATCTTCATAACAAGTCTTTCTAAAGTCAATCAGTGAAGTGGTATATAAAACGCCTGTCAATCCAGCATAAATATTATTATACTTCTTTCTTTCTGTTCTGGCACCACCAACATCATAAACTCTAAATGGCATACCTAGATAATCATAATCTAGACATGTAATACCTGTTGTTTTACAACGACAACCAATAATGTCTTCAACTGATGGCTCATATTCGCTCAGTTTCTTAAACATTCGTTTCACAGCGCTCGTATCACCATGATCCCTTAAATAATAATCCATGCCATCTGTCATTGAGTCTGTTAACGCATAACGATTTAAAACCTTTCTAACATCTGTATCCTCCCACATGGAAACAACAAATTCCTTCTGTGGTAATTTAGAAATATCAAAAAGTGTATATCTAGATTGTAATGAAGTAACTCTAGAATCAAACTCTTTAAACTTTTCGTATAAAGTTTCATCTAACATGAAACGATTTTCTCTCGTAACCTTAGTTGTACCATTCTTAATAGCATCAACTTCATTCAAATAAAGTGAAACTCCTAATGAAAAACTTTGTAGTAAATTGGTAATAATATACATTCTCATTCTCTCAATTTCAGACCTATTGAAACCTTCTTGAAAAACAAGTCTGAATTGTCTGAAAAGTGTAGTTTTACCAGAACCTAAAGTGCCTGAAAGCATTAGAGTATAAACAGAGGGTGATTCGTATTTGGATTTCTGAACTTTTTTAGTTTTGGCAACATGTTGTGCGTTGGACGACGTTGCCTTATTCATTTCCTTTCTATGGGATGGAGCATTGGAACTAAAATGGCCATTGGTTGTAACATTCATATTCTTGGATATATGATTCGAGAGATGATAAAGTTGATTGTTGGTATTGGCAGGAGATACGTCATGGATATCTATTGTTGTTGTTGTTGAACTAGAGGATTGTTGGTGATGATTCACTGCTGTTGACAATGTTGAAGGAGTTGTGGTGGGGGTGGTGGTGGATAAATTACTCATCATCATTGGAGTGGTTGTTGTGGTTGACAAATTACTTGTTACTGATGGAGATGGACTTGTGAGAGATGATGATGCAGTTGTTGTCTCATTGCTGTTAACAACTTCATCTCCACTCATGTACAAGGGTATTGGTTTATCGAATGGAACTGTAGAAAGTGGAATGATTTGATTTTGTCCAATGGTTGACTTTAACTTTTTGTACAATTGTTGTGTAGCTGTTGTTTCAGAATCAGATTCATGTCCATTGTTTTCCTGTGTGGTTACAGTAGCTGTGGCTTGATTGGCCATTGGAATCATCATGTTTGGTTCTAATTTGTGTTGCTGCTGTTGACCAGGTGGAACATCTCCAAAGGCTTTCTTCTTTTTTAAATATCTATTCATCATTTCCTTCTTCATTCGTTCATGTTCATTACTTTCCCTGATAACACTTGTTATGGATGGAAAGAAGAATGAAAGTAGACTTTCCATTTGTTGCTATTTAAACTGTTTTTTGTATATATATTGTATGTGTTGTGTTGTTTTTGTAATCCTACTATTAATAATAATAATATATCAAGTGTTTAATCCACTCAACCCTAGAGTTGGGCGATAATTCTCTACAACTATTAACTGTTGTTGCTGATTTGATGATATTAAATTCTTCTTCTTCTTGGTTGAAATATTCTTGTTGTTGTTGATGTTGAAGGAGAATAATCATTGAAACAATTTCAGAGTTAATAATATCTATATATTATATCAATCAGTGTCTTTTCAAAGAGTAGTGAAACTAACTATTGTTCCTAAACTCTGATGAAATTATGGCGCAAAAAGTTATTATTGTTGTGCACACAAATAATTTCTTAGTGTTTTGAAAAATGATGAGAAGAAGGCTGGAGGAGCGATAGAGAGAAAACTCTCACAGAAGCAAAACTCAAGTTGTTGTTTTTTGTTCTCTGATGATGCACAGCAATGTTATCACGTCTTGATGCCTACTTTACTTTTTTTTGGAGAGGCAATCAAAATAAGGAATAGACAATTGACACGTTCAGATGAAAATATTTTGAGTCAAATTCACCTCTTCAAAGCATTTTGGTTGCAAAAGAGGAAAGGTACTTGAAACCAATGTTTTGGCCAAAGGACATGTCTCATAAAACATGTTTGGCTATGGTTTCGAATAATTAATAACGAAAGCAAGTGAATAAATAAAAGTATTTTGTGAAACTGCTGTAAGCCTCAAAAAAGCAATCATCAACTTGTCCTTTTTTGTATTGTTATTTACATAAAGAAAACAATAAAAAGTTTACAAAATTTTTCTTGACTTTTGAAGATGAAGTGTTAAATCGTCCAAATACAAAACTTCATCAATGATAAATGAACTACTGTACTTTGTTAAAAAATCAAAAACAAAATTGTAAAAGAATAATTACAATGTAACGCTTTTTTAATTCAAAGACAAAAGAAGATTTTAAAGAATTGAATTTTTAAGCTAAATGTAAGGAATCCTATTTGGTTGTGAAATTAGGCCTTTACCCTTGAAGAGCAATATACTTTTATGCTACTTTTCAACAATTTTTGGATAAACCTACGGGAACTTTGAATCTAAAGTGGGAGAAGAAACATAAATTTCAAGATGCAATAAAGAGCAGAGTAAATATTGTAAAATAAACAATTCCTCAACTACTGATAATGTAAGGACTACAGTTGCTAGTTTATTTTAGAGAAGCGAAATGTTTTAACAGGACACTGGTAGTAAAGGCATCATAAACTGGCTGTGCAAGAATAATATCGATAGGTGTGAGTCCAAGATTAATCTTTTGTGTTCTCCATGCAGTACATTTAACAGCCAGCTTAAGCATGGACATGATGTAGAGATCGGTGTGACTCATGTCATAAAATATCATGTGTAATAAGTTATCTCCCTTCTCATTCACTTTAAAGTATTCTTCAATATTTTCAATTCGTAATAGAAAATCAAACATTAAATTTTTTGGTAATGGGACTTGTATAATCGCAATGCAAAGGGGAAGGAAACAATTAGTAATCAGAGGAGTATAATCTATTCAAACTGATATTGGAAAAGTCGATAACAGAGAACATATTTTCAGATGCCATGAAATAAAATTCAAATAGTTGCTGTCTAAAATCCATAAACCACAACTCGCTCAATATTAGAACTTTGAAAAATAGTGACGTTTTTGATAGAGCTAATTCTACCTCCTTGATAGGTATTACATAAGTAAATTAAATATTGAAACCAATTATCTGGCGAAATATTGTCAAAAATTTCCATTGGAAATGCATGCTTTTTGAAGAAAAAATTTAGCATTTCTTTTACATAAGGGGCAGACATTTCATTCAATTTGAATAAACTGTCACACAAGGGTTGGCTTGGTAAGATGGAGTGTGGTTTTAGAACATGTTTAAATAAATATTCAAGTATTGAAGGACCAAAAATAGAGAGCTCAGTATTGAACAATTCTAAAAATTTGTAAAGGGGTTTGCTGTTTGGTCTGATATTTGGGTCCTGGAAATTCAGCATAATTTGTAATATTGGGATTGTAAGTATTGGTATCATTCATGTCATTAATAAGAATGACTTTCTTTGAATATTGAGAAGGAATGTCAAATCCACAACTTTGACAAAATATAACAAGTTTTTCCAATCCTTTCAAACATGATGTTAGGGAATTGTAACAATTTGAATTTGATAAATTATTCAAAATTATTACAATTTTTTTGGCTGTGTGGTTATCACCAATGTATTCCTCAATATTTACATAGTTGATTGATTCTTCTTTTGTTTCAAAATTGTATTTACCTTTAAGAATATCATATTCATCAACAAGATCTGTATCAAGTGTTGAATAGTAATAATTGGTTGATCAGGTCTTAACTCATTAACTCTATTAGTGACTTTTGGCATTCCGTGCCGTTCGTAATGTGCATCAACCTCTCTGATAGATTTCCATTTTGCATAGGTTGGAATAAATTCAATAATTTCATACTTGATCATTGTATCTAAATGAGGAAGAAATGATAAATCCATTGGTGTTTCGGCATCGGTTGTTGTAGTTTTAGAATTTTCTTTTTGATCCTCGTTGATCCATTCTTTAACTATTGGACACATCATGTGATAAGGATCTTTTTCTAATATTTCCAAAAATTCGCATTGTTTTCTCGTTGGTTTTATAAATTGTTAGTGCCAAGCTTGGCAGCAACAATATTATTACAATAGTAGGAATAACATCAGAGTGGGTTGATCAATTATCGACTTTTTTTTAAAGAAGAGCCTTTACATGTTAAACTTTGATAATTTTGGTGAAGATTTCCAGTCCCTTAGATGGCTTAATTTGTCTGCAATTGAACTTCTTTCTTATGGAATGTAAATTACCTTTGAAATCTCCAATTGTATTAAACATTTCCAAACTTTTCTTGCGATCTGAGCATCATCTAGATGTTTGAAAGTTTACAAATCCTCATCCTCTTCAGGTATGTACAACAAGAAAGCGTCAAATTCCTTCTCCCAAACACCTATTGTCGAGAATAGTTGTGTTGTTTCTTGCGCATCAAATTGTTGTAATTTCACAACAGGTTCAATTTTCATATTCAAATCATAAATCTTTCTAATTAAATATTCTACAGATTTCAATACATTGTAATTTACAATTGAGCTCAAGTCAAAATAACCAATATTTTTCTTTCTGTGGAATGTAATTTGTTTTGGTTTGACTTTTCTATCCTTTTCATCTACTTTTGTACCACAAAGCACCATTCTATTTGATGATGTTAGATTTCTCTTATCCAATGCATAATTTCCCATCCTAAACCACAACGGAGTATTCTTATAAGTCATTCTAGAAAGAGAGTTAAACATGATCATGAAACAATCTGCATCTTTGAGGAATATACAATCATCACTTAATAATAAATCATTCACAAGTGATGGATTAATTTCAGTGTGTGGATCATTTGAACACAACTCCCAAATTTCCAAGTAAAAGAGTGGAATTAGGAATTTAACTGATGTAATAGTTGCATAATAATAATCATTCAACTGTAAATTCCTCACCATTTTAGATTGAAATCTACTTGTAAAAGTTGATTTACCAACATTACTATCACCTAATAAAACTAATTTAATTCTTCTCGGAGGTGAATTAATTTTATATTTCAAGCCTGGTAATGTTGATTCATTCATTCCGATAAAAGAATCATCAAGAATAATTTTGGTTAATTCTTCTTCTTCTTGTATATTATTTGGAGTAGAATTTGTAACCTCATGTTTGCATCGTTTATTGTCGATTGTGGTGACAATATGTTGTTGATCTCTTTTCATTTTTTTTACTATTCAATAAATTTTATTTAATTTTTAATTGTTGTAACGGTAATATTATCCCAATATTCGCATCAAGAATTTTCAAAATAACAATTGTTTCATAGTATGTATTATTATTACAATTTAAATTCAATTTTAATTTCAAAAAAATGGCATCAAAGGAAATAAGAGGCTCCTATCATGTTGATGAAGAATTAGAACAACAGGGCAAAGGACTTGATGATTTGATAGGTAAAGGAATTATTAATAGAAATAACAGAAATTATTTGGAATCTAGGTTAAAAACAAATATTAGACCATTGACAGAAAGTGATGATTATGAAGTTTATTTTAGTGGTAAATCAATAAATGGTTCATTATTGACTGGATCATTGGAGGCTAAGAAATTGGATGGATTTGAAAAGTTTACAAAATATGGAGGTGGTGATGCAAAGAAAATATTAATTCCGAAAGGTCAAGCTTTGAAATTTATTGATATTGGATTACAATTTACAGTGATAATGACAAATTTAAATGAAGCTTTTTTATATGGAGATTTTGTATATGGATCAAGTTCGGCTGATATTAATCCTCTTGGAAGACAATTATCAATTCTAATGACACCAGAAGTTAAAATCAATAATTTCCCATATGAACCTGTTGCCATGTTGTGTGGAGAACAATTTGTTGCAGTATTGGATAGCTGTAATAGATTGTGGTATTGTGGTATTGAAACTCACATTGGAACTGCTAGTAATAATTGTACTTATGATTTTGTGGAAATTGGATTGAAAAAGTATTTGGAGACTGAATTTAATGATGAAACTACACATATCACTCACTTTAGAGTTGGAGGAAGACACTTGTGTTTATGTATTAATAATAGGACTATTATTTCAACAGGTAAGTGCCAATTCTTTCTATTTCATTCGAATACACATATATGTAAATTCATTAAGGTGCAAACTATTTTGGACAGGTAGGTCATTAGCTTTAAATTAAATGCTCAATCCAAAAGTTGGGAATTATAAACACACCAGATTTGGTACCATCAGTTCTCCCAAGCACTGTTGTCGATGCACTGTACAGCTATACATTCGTTAAAAGTTGGAATGAAGATGGAAAATATAGAGTAAGAGACGTTGCTTGCTCTGGAAATATGACAGCTATTCTCACAGGTAAGCTCAAACCAAAACACCAGATTTAACATTAATTATTAGAATGTGGAAAATTATTTAAAACCTGTAATGCATCTGAACCAATTCAAGCAGTTGTTCTGGATGGGTTTTCACTAACTACCATCGGTGGTAATTGGACTCACATTCTGGCACATACAAGCAAAAACCAAATGATGGGCATTACAGATAATCATGTTACAGAATTCTTTAGCGAATCTCCCATTAAGAATTGTGATAATTTGCAAATCTCAACAGGAACCAATTCTAACTATACCTATTTTATTTACTCAAATAATGAATTATATGAACCACGCAATCCAAATCCTGTTCTCAAATCTTCTCTGCCAATAGTTGTTTGTAAAATGACATCTAAAGCAACCATGGTTTTATGTATGAATTGTAAGAACAACAAGTCAATTGTTGCAATGAAACGAAACATGCTCCAATGTACAGTATCACAAGGGTTATCAGATATTCTAATCAATGTCCACCAATAAATTTACGCTCTTTTGGAAATTGGAGGTAACTTTATTGACACGTAAGTTACCATATTTCACTTTGATTTTCACTTTCGAAACAAATAGTTCCAACATTTATGCTATTGGAAAGAGTGAAGAATTAATAGGTAATCTCATTTAGAAACACAGTATTGATCGTGATCAATTAATCATTGCCACTAAATACTCAGCTCCTTTCGCTCAACATGCCAATGGTGGTGGCAATCATAAGAAGAATTTAATTCAATCAATCAATGCCTCACTCAAGAGATTACAATTAGAGTTTGTTGATATATTACACGTTCACTTTTGGGATTTCACTGTTGATGCCAATGGATCTTGGTATTGGTCCTTGGGGAGTACCCGGTGCTGGTAAATTGAGGTAAGAAATTGAGAAATCAAGAAAGTTTGTTGAAATGACTCAAGATGACTATGTTGTACTTGAAATTGCAACAGAATTGAATAGAACTCCCTCACAAGTTGCTATCAATTGGATGATTTCGCAAGGAGTGTCAAGTGTCTTGATTGGTCCAAGGAACTTTTGAACAATTTGCAGATAACATTAAGAGTTTGGAATTTAGATTAAATCAAGATCAATTGAACAGATTGAAGATACACAATCTGTTAGCATGTTATACTTGAATGGAAACAAGTTCTCTATTAATAAAAAAATAAGTTGGATTCAATTTTACAACAAAGCCATAAAATACATATCCAATTAGAATAAAGTAATTTCACCTTCCTCTTGTAGATATGAAGACTTTGATTGTTGTAAAGTTTTGGGTTTTGTTTTTCGATTTTTTGCATTTTCAAAAATGTGGATGACGCAGATGCATTGTTGTTGTTTAACATGTTATTGAATACAAATCAACAATATTGTTGATTTGTAATGATTTGTTATCTGAATCTTGTTTTTTGGAAAGTTATCTGATGAACATTTTGGGACGAAACATTATCTCTTCACAACTTGGAGAGTTTCCAACAACAAGTTTAAGAGAAAACAATTCCCATTCGGTTCGATACTATCTACTCTTGGGTAATGAGTTTGTTTTTCATTGTTATTTTCATTATCTCTTGCGGTATTTTACGTTTTGAATAAATAGTGGAAAGCAAAGAGTGAATGTTTGAATCAATAACAAAAAAAACAAAATGAATAACAATTCAAACAAATCATTTGCTACTAGAAGAAACTCTTCTAATACTGTTCTCAGTTGTATTGTCTGTTTGGTATTATTCACCTTCATGATGACAATGGTTACTCCAATTGAACTTTCCAAAGGAAACAATAAGAAACCAATGCCACCAAAGCACAATAACACTCATCCTGTTCATCCAACTCATCCAATTGCTAATCACACTCATGCCAACACTCCTGTCAATGACAAGTCTTTGATTGATAGAATTAATTCCAATCATACTCATGGATGGAAGGCAACTGAATACTCTAGATTTGATAACATGACCATTTCACAACTTAGAGATAATTTATTTGGTCTTTCATTGATGAGCTCTGATGAAGACACTCCAAGAATGGCAAGTATTGAAACAAGAGTTGATATACCAATGAATTTCGATGCAAGAACTCAATGGAAAGGATGCGTTCCAGCAATTAGAGATCAACAAACATGTGGTGCTTGTTGGGCTTTGTAAGTTTTACAATTTGATTTATTTCAACTTACAATTTTCATTTTTGTATTATTTATAATAGCTCTGCAAATTATGTATTGGCTCATAGATTGTGCATTGCCACCAATGGTAAAACAAATGTTGTCCTCTCACCAGAATATCAAGTTCAATGCGATACAATGAATAAGGCCTGTCAAGGAGGTTATTTGAAATATTCTTGGACATTTTTGGAAAATACTGGAACACCACTCGATACTTGTATTCCATATGCTAGTGGAAGAGGAACCTTCTCCTCTGGTACTTGTCCAACTCAATGCAAGATTGCATCCATGTCCATGAGCAAGTATAAGGCCAAAAATACTGTTTATATTTCAGGTATCAATAATATCAAGACTGCAATCATGACATATGGCAGCGTACAAGCTGGTTTCACAGTCTACAGAGATCTTACAGGGTAAGTTGAATTTGTTTCATATATTCTAATTTGTTTTTCTAGATACAAGTCAGGTGTCTATAAACACGTTGTAAGCACAGTTCTTGGTGGACATGCCGTTGCCTTAATTGGATTTGGAGTTGAGGGAGGTTCTAATTATTGGTTAGCTGCCAATTCATGGGGTCCAAATTGGGGAATGTCTGGATATTTCAAAATTGCTCAAGGAGAAGGTGGAATTGAGAATCAAGTTTATGCTGGAGAAGCTGTCTATTAAAGAACAGTTCAAAACTCCAAACATTTGACGGATCTATCGATCTTTCAGAAACAGTTTATTCTAACAAAATTATGTTGGAATTGTACATAACAAAATAAATATTTCCATTTTGTATTCCAAATGAGCAAAATGTCTAGCAAATCTAGGTTTCGATCCTAGGACCTATGGGTTATGAGCCCATCGCGCTTCCGCTGCGCCAATTTGCTTTACATTATTTATTAAAAAATATCTAGTAAAAATATTTAATCTAAAATTATGTGTAGTCTCACACCAACTACTATTTTTAAAGTGTTATTGATTCTTGAACAAAATGTTTTAACTAAAAAGCAGTCAGTTAGTACCCGAAATGTTAATAATCAATGGTCGTGAGACCGTCATAGTTTAGCATATCTTATGCTTGTCATCACACTACATCTCTTGCCAAATGCGATATAACTGTTCCTTCTCTCTCCTATCTTGTTCGCATTTTTTAATTGTGGGAGAATAAAATATTTTTATTAAATAATAATTTATTGCAAGATGAGATGAACTGTAATTTCCTCTTGTTCTGAAGAAATATTAAGGATTCTCATCTTTTCATTCGATTTTAATAGAGAGGCTAGAGGAGTAGTCAAGTATGATTGCTCGTTATGTTCTGAGAATATTGATGGAGCAAATAAAGAACCAGTTTCTCCCTTGGAATTTGTAATGAAAATTGTGTCCATCTCCTGATTGAGTGTTCTAGCTTCCTTCACCAATTCCTCAATGGTATCTGTAAATTTCATATGAATTTCTTTAATATTATCAGAAATGTTCTCATAATGAATGTCTAAATCATCCAAACAGATATTATACTTGATATAGGAAAGTTTCTTTGAATATTGATTCAACTGTTGAAGATATTGAAGTAAATGAAAACATTGAATTGATGCTGCCACGGATGTGGTAGTAATCAGAGCTGGATGAATTGCTCCAGCTATTTTCTTTGCTTTGAAAAACTCAATTGGCTTACAAAGTTTCCTCCCAAAAAGGAAAAAGTTTTCTGCCCTAATATTGGAAGTGTCTTGAACGAACTGAACCATCAAATCATCATCTTTTTCATATACTAAAGGTTTGAATGGTGAATTGACCTTCATATTTGAGTGAGTCATCTCTTCACTTTTTTCAGGAATAGTTATTTGGTGGTGAAACTTATTTTCATATTGTTGCAATTCTTCCCTTGTCAATGGCATGAATGGAAATTCAACACTTGATACAGATCTTGTTGATGGAATCAAATCATTATTATCAAGATGTCTGTACAGTAAATAAATAGTAGTATTCATAAATGAGAAGTGACTCTCCTTTTCATAATTCAATTTAGCAGGACGTGGAGTAAACTCTACCGATTCATTAAGGAAATATTGAATCTTGTTATCTTCATTCAATTCATCCAAATTGCAAAGTGTATTTTCTTGGAATGGACTGACAAATAACTGATTAAACACCTCACGTGCAAGCACATAGAGGTGATTATTGACATTTCCAAGTTCAACCCTTTCTAATAATCTTGGGACCATTCTTGTGAAATAATCTTCGTATTTCATTTTACTCCACATGATTAAATCTTCATGTTTTTCAGGATTGCTTTTCAGTGTGCAGGATGTTCTGATCTCTTCTCTTTCTTCCTCCTCTGTTTTTTGATTCTCATTGTGGAAGGGCTTTGTTGAGGCGTAGAGATGGAATGAATTTTGTGAGTAAAATCCTTGAGTTCCAGAGTTGATGAATGGAATTTTGTAAAGATTACACTTGTGAGAGAGGAATTGTCTTGCATGGTCATTATCTACTGCACCAAAAACAACGTCAATGGAAGACCAGAATGAATCTTGATTAAGATATGATTCACTGTCACTGGTCAACTTTTCTTCAAACGATTCAATATTGACCTTTGAATTAAAGTAGTTGACCATCTTTTTCAATATTTGAGATTTCTTTGATCCAATATCACTTTGAGAGAAGAAAAATTGACGATTAAGATTTGTCAACTCAATACTATCCATATCTGTCACGTACATTGAACCTCTAGTAGTACATGCATTCATGACCATCAAGTTCTTTACCAATTCACAACCTATTGCTCCAGCACCAACAATTAAAATATTCAAATCCTCAAGACCTAGCTCTTGAATTTTGAGTTGGCTTGGAGCCAAAGATAATTGATCAAAAAAGAAATAATATGGGTGCTTTTCTTTTGACAGCTCCAAAATCTGACACAGAATCTCATTTGCTGTAATTGCAGCAAAAAAACTTGTCTGTTTGTTCATGAGTAATAAAATACTTTGTAAAAGCTTACCATTGCATAATTGGAAGTTTCTCTAACTTTCTCGTGTTGAATGAATTTTTCATGATAGAAATTTAACAATTGATCTTTAACTTCATTCTCGTCATATGAGTCAATTGGATTTTCCATTTCTTCCATCTTTTCTGTAAATAAATCAAACAAGGTGTTGACATCCATATTGTCAATAAAATTAGAAACAAGAGTTGAGAATTCTTCTAATGAAGTGTTCTCAAATATTGCATTGAGAATAGGACCATCTAAACAGCTTCTGTGAAAATGAGGAATTTGCTCCGTTTCACTTTTTGGAATAGTCAATATTCTTCCAATAAGCCCACTCACTTGAACACTAACTATTGTATTAGAAAGATCATTAAAATTTGATTTTTCAATTCCACATTTAACAATACACTTTTAACCATTAGAGATAAAACCTAAACTTTCACTTACTGAGAACTGTTTCAAATTATTAGAAACTTCATCTGCTGAAACTTGCTTCACATTTGAGTCAGGGTTTAATCGGTGAATTTCTTCTTGGAAATTTTCTCCTTTCACATAACTCTGATCAAAATTGTAAGCTATTAGAATAGAAGAAGAATACTTACATCAAAATGGATTGTTGACAAATCTCCTTCTTCAATAGCAACAAGAGCCATGGCTTTGAATCCTAAAAGGATTAAATTTTTGGTCAACTCGACCAACATTGAACAACTTTGAGTATTCCTTTGGTTGTACTCAATCATCAAGTTACTATTATGAATTTTACTTGTAGAATCCTGCCCTAAAGCATACTCTTGCCTGTCCCATAAGTTTGACATTTTTTTGATCGAATGTTAACGTGATTTCCCAAGTCACTTCACTTTTCAAACTAAACTAATTGAAAAAAATTGTATTACAATGTCTTCATCACGTTTGAGAAGGATCAAAAACGATCTTACAGAGGTACAACAAAATGCTTCTCTTCCTCCTTTATTAACATTTACACAGACTGAAAATTCTAGTATCATTCTCTTTAGTTTTAACTTGGACGAAACATCAAGTCTTTATGCAGGTGCCAATTTTCAGATTGAAGTTTCATTCCCAGAAAATTATCCCCACAAACCTCCTTCTTTCACATTCAAACACACCGTTCCATATCATTTCCTTGTTGATCAAATTAATGGAAAGGTAATTGGCCTCTCAAAACTTTCGACATGGTCAATGCTATTCACTTTACAATCAATATTTTCTGATCTCTACTCAAAATTTGTAAATGAACCAAGTCAAGAAGATGCTGAACAATGTGGTGTTAATGAGGATATGATTACAGAATATAGAAACACTCCACAAATCTACAGAGAAAAAGCAAGAAACTCTGTCAGAAAGTTGCAATTAACTGTAATTGAAAATCCTCTTGATTCAAATGAAATGAAGGATGAAGAATCTACTGAATCGAATGAAACGATTCATGAAGTAGTAGTTGATGAAAATAACTTGCAGCCAAGTAATCCAATTTTGGAACAACCACTTGATTCAAGATTTGTTAATTCCAGTAATCACCACAAAATTGTTTCTCATGAAGATGAATGGAATTATGAATACGGCTTGTATCATTTAAATATGAGATATGGAAATTACAATCAATAAATATTTTATTCAGAATATATTGTACATTTGTTTTTGTAACAGATTATTGCTTATTGAAATAACAATCTATTTTCAATTTCGTGCAAATCCTCTTTGGTTTGTGTTGGAGCTACAGGCAATGAACACTTGACATATGCACCATGAGTTGTTCCAGTTGCTTCTGTACCACTACACTTGAACGGCCATTTACCAGTATTTGTATTGTAAAGAGACAAACAAGCATGACAAAAAACAGCATTACATCTTGGACAGTGAGTATGCTTGCACCTGTCTAACTTTCCATCAGATGATGCTTGTCTTTCACAATAATTTCCACAATTAACACATAATCTTGCCAAAGGAACAACTATTTCTTGATTGGATAGATTAATCTTGGCAGTTACAGAGGATCTAGTTGTCAAGGCAGTGATCAAGGGATCTTCATTAGAACATCCATTTCCACAAATTCCTTCACCATTCTTCCATTGATTGCCACAAATGAAACAAAAGTCAAATTTGCAAACATCACAACTCAATCTAACATCGCTGGTGTTTCTTCTAATGAAGTGATTCTTACACTTATTACAAGTAGTTGCTCTCTTGATCTTGTAATGAATATCATTCAATGCTGAATCAAACTCTTCAATTTTATCATAATCGATATTGGCTTGATTGACCCAATTCATTGAAATGGTTTCGCCACAATTAGTTTCATCACTTCCAGTTACATTCTTATTGGAACCATAACAAACCATTGCTGTTCCTTTCGACAAGTTTTGTAAATTTTCAACAAGACAGTCTTGACAAATATAATGTTGACATTTAAGTTTCAATAATTGTTGAGTGCCAAGACAATAGAAGCATTTAGACATTTTTTTGACTTGAGAGTTCCCAAATGTCACTAGTCAAGCTGCACTTCAAACAGCTTTTTCGAAACGTGATGAAACTTATACACTCAAACGTGATACACCCCAAAACGCAACACAAGAATTCAATAAATAGATTTTAAATCACAGAATATTAATATCTCAATTCATAAAAAAATGTCCACTCCATTAAACGTTTCCATTCAACAAGGTGTCCATACTAAAGTACTCTCAATCAGTCAAACTGCAACAGTGAAAGACCTTGCAACCATGTACAAATCCCAAACTGAACTTAAAGAATTCTACTTTTTGCATAGAACCACCAGACTTGAAGAAACTACTATTGTTTCTCATATTATTAAACATCCAAACCAAAAGTTAGTAGTTGTTGGAATTGCTAAAGGTGGTTCTGAAGAAGGAAGAGCATCAATCTTGTCTCTTATTTAAACCTAGTTGAGTTTCGTCAAGATATTGAAATAAACTCTCTTTTTTCAATTAAATCGAAATATTAATCATTTCTGCTGCTTATGAAATCAAGCCGTGTGATCAAACGAGAATCTAATTTTGGTGCCACTGGTGCAAATGATTAAGTTAGGAAGTCTGAAACGTGAAAAAAACAATTAAAAAATGTCAAAACAAAGAAGAATTCTGAATGAAGTTGCTGAAGCCAACAAGAACAATCATCCAAAGATCAAATTTGAAATTTCCCAAGAGAATTTACATGGTTGGAATTGTTCATTTAAAGGTCCAGATAACACTCCCTATCAAGATTTGCAATTTGAAGGAACTCTCTGTCTTCCGTAAGTTTAGTTTGGATTAGTTTTGCTAATATTTTGCTTGGTTAGAAATGATTTTCCTTCATCAAGACCAACCTTTGTATTCTCTTCCAAAACAATTCCATACCACATCAATGTAGACGATAGTGGTGTAGCTTCTGTCTCTTTGCAATGGACTCCCACACTCACAGGAATAGTTTTTGTCGAAAGTGTAATTAACATGTTAGAAACTCCACAACCAACTTGTTCTGTTAGTGATGAAAGATTCAAATTATATCAAAGTAACAAAGATCAATATCAAAAACAAGCCAGCAAATTCCTCCAAGAATAAACGTGATCATTGTAAACTTGAAACGTGAGACGAATCTTAAAAAAAATGTTAGAAAGAGGTTTTGAAAATGTTGGCAATACCTGTTATTTGAATTCTTCTTTGGTAACACTCCTCTGCATTGATCAGTTCAAGAGTCTTATCAACACCAGTAAATCACCAATTTGTAAACTAACAAGTCAACTGTTGGAAAAAAAAATGTCCATGAAGGAGTTTGTCAATATTTTGCAGAAAATGTTTGATTACTTTCTAAAAGATAAGGTTTGTTTATAATACTGATAATTTTGATTGAATTTGTGCAGAATTTCATGTTGAGATCTCAAAATGATTCATCTGTAAGTTTCTAATGCTTTACAAATCGAAATTAATGACAGGAAAAAGGAATTCATTACAAAGTTGTTACAAATCATAAAGCTCGAAAAGAACCATGATTTATCATTCATGGATGGAGAATTAGAAACAAGAATTAGTTGTACAAATTGTGGAGATATAGATCAGTACGTTTCTCCATTTATTGGGCAAAAAGTTTGCGTTCCCTATTCACAACCATTGAATTCTTTACTTGAAAGCTTTTTCTTGGTTAGTGAGCCTTGTAGTCAATGCTCTGGAACATTTAGTACCTCTCAATTCTTTAAGGGGACAATTCCACACTGGTTATTATTTCAATTCTACTATACAGAAGCATCGACAAGAGTTGAACTTGATGAGAATGAATTAGTTTGCTCTCTTTCAGTCAAAGAGGGTGAATGTGCAGAGTATGATATTAAGGCAATGACTCTTCGTTGTGGAGGAGATCTTAAATATGGACATTATGTCAGTGCTGTTTTTTTCAACAAGGGTGTTAGAGTTTACAATGACAGTTTTATTAGAGATTATCCAAACTTTAAAAGTTTTTGGATGGAATATTCGGGTTGGCAAATCAAAGACATTCTTCTTGAATCAATTGTATATGAAGATGTTGTTGCAGAGGAAACAGAACAACAAACAAAAAAAGGATTCCTACGACGTGTACGAGGTTTTGTTCAAAAAATCAAAAAGCAAACCAAGTTTAAGAAAAAAGAAACGATTGGACTCAAAAAAGCACTCATTCAATACCGGAAGCAATTCATTGAAGAAATTGAAAAAAGAAATAGCCATTTTGAAACGGACACATGCTTTTTACTATTGTTATACCAAATTTGGGAACTTATAATTAGATATCTGGAATTATTGTTTAAGCTTGCTGCTGGTGTTGAAGTTAGACTCTGGCAATCAACATCTATTTTCTCACCAAAATATTTCACAGATTCACAAATCTATTTTGCAGATATTGAATTTCATTTTCAAGACAACCAACCCCAAAACATTCGAAAGCCAGTTGAAGAAGAAATCAAATCACTTGAATTTGTATATCACCTCTAATATATTTCTTTATTTACATGTACAAATTGTATTTACTCATCTCGCTGTTTCAAATAGTAAGAAGAAAGCTTATCCTCTGAGAATGAAATATCATTCTTATAAGCCTTCTTAATACTTCTATATTTCTTACACATACAAATGGAAAAGACAACAGCTGCAACAAGTGAGAGCAACAAGACACCTACTAAGCAGAATAAAGCAATAACTGCTGAATGGGCCCAATCTGATTCACTCTCCAGTTCATAAAGATATTGATATTTACAGTAAATTGGTTTGAGAGGTGGAATAGTTTTGAAATTTCTCTTAACCTGAGTGTGACATCTATGGTTGACTAATCTAGTCATGGCATCATCGAGGCTCTTAACAGTTGAAGGACTCCAAGCTCTTTCAGCAAATGCTGAAATTCTTGGGAATATAGTTGAAATAATAACCTCATTATGAACATTTTCTCCCCACATGGCTGCTTCCAATCCAATAATTTTAGAACTGTCATATGTTTCACTTGAATTAAATTGATCGTTTGGATCAACAAGATACAAAGACTTCCAAGTATCCACAAATGTGTATGGACTATTTTTGTGTTAATAATTAAAAAATAATAATAACCTATAAACATACGGTGGAGTTGGGGTTGGTGAATTACCAACAACATTTTGAACCATATCCAAATAATATCCAGCAGAAAGAATGGTTCTGTAACCTCTATTAACACATTCAGGAAGATTTTTGGCATCTCTCCAAATTTGGCAAATACTCTTAGTTTTATCTGGAGTAAATAAAGATGATTTCATTCTTAAAAACAAATCTTCCCAAAAGATGAGATTTGAAATTTTTTGATAATTTTCACCAGAAGCAAGTCTTGCTTGGAAATATGCCCAAATATCATTGGCTGACTCAATTTTACCATAATCAGTTTGGTTACCAGTTGCTGTTATAAATAATATGTAATTATTATTGTAAACAAGTTAATAAATTAAATTTGATAAATAACATACCTGCAAAGAAGTCTGTAATGACTGGATTTTCAGTCCAACAAGATTTAACAATTTCATCTGATCCAAGATGCATTGTGGTTAATTGAACAGATGATGCGAGAGTTGGAGCTTTTTGAGTGATACCACTTGTGGATTGCCATTGTGCAATAATTGCTTCAATTAATTCATAGGTCAATGGTTCAACAACATTGAAAGGGAAGTTATTGATATTAGCAGACAATCTTGTTGGGCATGAGGATACAACTTCACTATAAGCATAGGCAAATGATTTGGCATGACCAGGCATATCAAATTCAGGAATAACTTGAATACCTCTGTAATAAGCAAATTCAATAATTGTTGCAATGTCATTGCTGGTAAATACTAAATCTTTAGAAAAGCTAGACTTTTCACTCAACTTGGAGAATTTACCATACATTTGATATGGGAATGATTGAGCATCTGACAAGTGAATGTGTAATACGTTCAATTTATCGAATGACATTAATTCAATAATATCCAAAATTGTACTTGTGTAAATATAATTTCTAGAAACATCAATCATCAATCCTCTATATTTGTATCTTGGACTATCTTTGATTACAATAGGACTATTTGGAATAAAGAAGAAATTTGAATTTGGATTTCTTCTAATCATTTGTGCAAAAGTCTCCAAAGCTCTCAAAAATCCGAATTGAGTATTTGATTTAATGACCATACCTCTTGATTTGATTGAAATTTCATAAGACTCATCAATATCAAACACATTCAACAATGGCAATTTTGTTGCTTCTCTTATTTGAATTACTACATTATCTGTGTAAAAATCAAATTCATTATCTTCATCATTATTATTACTATTATCATTATCAGAACCACTATTAGTAAATAATTTAAACATCCACTTGGTATATCTATCAAGTGCCTTCCCTACAATTGGAAAATCACTAACAGAAGCACTGTTTCCATTCACTTCCAAAGCAAAATTCAATTTATAAAAACTAATCATTCGTGTTTGTGATGAATCCCATGATACTTCCTTCGGTCTAGGAACAAGATATTTAATAATTTCAGTATTAGGATTATAGCCTAAAGTATAATGATTGCAACACAACAAGAGAACAAGTAGTGAAAATACAATCATCATCATTCGATGACTTGTTAATGTCCTCATGATCATGGAATTGTTACTCCTCGATAATGATGAAGATGATGATGGTGGTGATGATGATGAATAAATTAGAGAATATTCTCGGTGGTGATGATGGTAATGCCCCACTACTTCGGAGAGTTGAAGTGATGACATTTTTTGGTTACAATCATGTGAAGATATTTCGGGGTGTTACATTACAGTGCAATAAAGTAATAAGTTAACAGGCAATATTTACAACAGACCATTCATGAGGTTGTTATTAGTTGAGTGATGATAATATTTTCAATCATGTTTTCTTTTATTGTTAAAGTTTGGCTCAAATAATTGCATTTGTTCGATTTTTTCTAAGATTGAACTAGCACTTAATCTTTGCTTTGGATTACAACAAATCATTTTCAAAAGTAAATATTGACAACTGGTGGCAAGATTAGTTCTATTTCCAATTATTGAATTGAAGAAAGCATTTTCATCCATTTGGTGTTTGATAAGCGTGTCCGATATCTGTTCCTTTCAATTTGAATAAAGAAGTATTGAAATCATTTGTTAATAATTGATAGAATATACATCCTAAACTCCAAATATCACTCTGAGGATAAAACAATCCATCCAAAATACTTTCTGGAGATGAATATTGAATCGTCCCTTCGAATGCAGTCATTCCAACTCTTCCTTCATATCTTGAAGATCCCCAATCACCAACAACAATTGAAATAGTTTCAGATACGTTTCTGGTTTTCTTTACAAATATATTTCCCAGCTTCAAATCTCTATGGACCATTCCTTTTGAATGGAGAAACACTAATGCACTTGATATCTGTTTAGTTATTTGAAGGGCTGTTTCTAAGGTTAATTTCTTTGAATTTTTATACAACCAACTTCTCAAATCTGATTCGTATAATGGCATTACTATACATATATTTTCCATCCTCAACAATTAACAATTGTATAAGCCAAAATTGGAACAATATGTGGATTTTCATATACATTCAACTCGCTCATAACAACAATTTCCTTTAGTTCAGTGCCATTATTATTTTCAAGCTCAATAATTTTGACAGCCACTGATTCCCTAGATTGAGATTCTGTATACCTGTAAACATTTCCATTTGATCCACTTCCCAACTTATTTTCTCTGATATATTCTTTATCCTTAATTTTGAATTGAGATAAAGAGTCTTTTATCACCATTCTTAGTGGAATTAAATCATCAGTATCATCATAATTGATGTTCAATCGGGTGGTAAGATCTTGCTTATATGTTTTTTCTTCTTTCTCCAATATCTCAAAGTCAAAAAACTAACTACACAACCTATTATAATGACTGAAATTAGAACAATGATGGAAACAATCACAATTGGAGTAACAATATCATTCCTTTGTACACAATCATCTCCTGAATATCCATCACTACAAGAACAAGTATTATTTGAAACACATTCTCCATTTTGGTTACAATTTGAAAGACTTTCACAACTAGGAGTCATACAATCTATTCCTTTCCAACCATCAAAACACTGACAGGTTGATAGAACACATGTACCGTGACCATTGCAAACATTTTCATTTGTGGAGACTATTCCTAGACATACAGTTTCTGAAATACTACACATTGGCCCCGTCCATCCATGTTGAACACTTACATTGGTCAAAATCAATACATGAACCATGCTCTGAGCACACTTTCAATCCATCTCCTGCAATGCCAAAACAGTAAGGTATGTAACAGGTGTTGCCAGACCACCCCTCTTTGCATTGATATTGATTTGGTCCAATACATTTTTGTGCACGAGATGAAGGAATATCACAGGATAATGCTGAACAATCCGTACTACCTTTCCATCCACTATGGCATTGACAATTTCCAATATTTATACAATCACCACTGCAAACACTACTATCATTCGCTAAATACCCATAACAACGAGGAATGCTACAAACTTCACCAAACCATTCATCCATGCATTGATATTGATTTGGACCTGAACATGTAGAATGATTAGGAATTGGACTATCACAAGAATATTTGGAGCAATCAATACTACCTTTCCAACCACTACTACATTGACATGAATCTATTGTGCTACATTTTCCATGTCCGTCACAAACATCAGAATTTGTTGAGGGTATTCCATGGCAGGTTGAAAGAGTTCCAACCCAACCTCCCAAACATTGAAATTGATTAGGACCAATACAGATGGATTCATGAGAAGAGGGAGTGTCACATGAAAATTGTGAACAGTCCTTATTACCTTTCCATCCTGAATTGCATTGGCATGTGTCCACATCAACACATTGACCATGTCCTCCACATACTGAAACATTTGTTGGCAATTTCGAAAAACAGGTTGCAATTTCACACAAGTTTCCACCCTGTTTGACATTCATATTGGTTTGGTCCAATACATTTAGATGCATGGTTGGATGGTGAATCGCATGAAAATTGAGAACAATCCTTATTTCCCTTCCAACCTGAATTACATTGGCATGTGTCTACATCAATACATTTACCATGACCTCCACAAACAGTATTATCTAAGGAAGATAACCCAAAGCAAGTTGTTGTTCCAACTATTGTTGACATTCTAAATGTGTTGGAGATTCTTCTAATAACATTATTATCTGAAATATCTGGATAACTAACAATCTTGTTTGGATGAACAGCGCAACCCTTTGGATGATCGAATTGAGCTGAACCAGCATCACCATTCACTTTAAGAATAAGAATAATACATTTAACATGTTGACATAAATGAAAACTTATTCCCATCATAAAAACCTTCATAACCATTTCCTGCCCTAGTTATTACAGTGCTGTAGTCTCCTCTCATTTCTCTAATTTTGTTATTGTTTGTGTCAACAATTATCAAGGCTTTTACCGAGTCAACACAAATTGCAGAAGGTTCATAAAAAGAGGCAGATAAAGCAGGACCTTCGTCATTTCCCATCTTTGGAACTTCCAGCCAAGGTTGTTAACATACCATTTGATAGATCTAATTTTAATATTCTTTCTCTAGTTGGAAAAATAATAGAATTTCCAAAATTTGTGATTTGGGATGGTCTATTAAGGAATACTGAGAGTGCGTCAATAGGTGTCGAAAAAGGATAATATGTGCCATAGTTTCCATAGACCACCTTTACCTGTAGTGTTTTCACATTTACAGAGAGTATTGATGAAGAACTTGACAAATATAGTTGACGATCTAATATTGAAATAGAGTTAACATAATTTTGATCATTGTAAAAAGTAAAAATTTGATCATTTGCAACTACTTTGACCACATTATTTCCTTTATCCAAAATATACAATCTGGAATTGGAATAGAAAGCTTGGGTTGGATTAAAAAGCTTTGCTTTCGTTGGAATAATTAATTCTCCCCCACTACCACAAACACCTTTGAAAATAATTATTATATTAAATTCTAATTGTTTAAATTAATAAAACATACTTCCTGCTAAAATCTTCAATGTTCCATCATTTTGCAATAATTTGATTTGACAATTTCCAGTGTCAGAAATTACTAGATTTCCTTCTGGTGATAATGAGACCCCATTTGGAGATGATAATCCACTTGAAACAACAATTATTGCTTTTCCATTTGATATCTTAATAATATTTGAATTTCCACTGTCAGCAATATAAATATCTAAAGTATTGGGATCGGCAAACATCCCTTTTGCACTGTTGATCCTTGCTCCTGAAACTCTCAAACTATTAATTAATCCATTGGACATGTCCACCACTCTTATCCTACTAGATGTTTCTTGCTTCCACAATAGCCATTTCCTGCAACAACCTTAATATCATTACTATCCATTCTCTTCACAGTACAAAACTCTGTATCCGTAGTATAATATTACAAAATCACCATCAGGGACAGCATGTATTGCATTAGAAAATATAGGGAAATCTAGGTAGCGAGTATTACCTATACTTCCAGCCACTGGAGTATGTAAGGATAGTACAGATGTTGTCTCAATACATTTGGACAGATGAGCCAAACTCAATAGAAATATCAACACACTGATCACAGTAATGATATTCATCTTATTCCTTCTCAATGCCATTGATAACACCTCTGTTTGTTTTTTTAAAGGATGTCAAGTTGTTAAGCACACGATTAATTGATAACACACAGTAGTGATCAGAAAATTCATCGTTCTTTTACCTATTGCGATAGATTATTTCACAGTAGATCCTGTCTACTCCTGAAAAATTCTCCTTAATAGAATTGGATCAGAAATATACTTTCTATTGCATTGATTTGCAAGTAATTTCCCTCCAACTTTCTATTAAATTTAACAGCAGACAAAGTATGATACTATCTGTAAACAATTCAATTTAAACTGTTACATCATAGAAGCAATTTTGTTATCAATAACAACATATGGTGCTGTGTAATAATCTTTCCGTAATAATATTATTTTCATCAAACCTTGAATACCAACAAATTACATTCAAATATTTTCATTAAAATTATACTCTTCTATTATTCATAATTTTGTTTTTAATATTATTGACACATGTTGTTGCTTCATTGAAGTTTTTGTTAATGTGGTGAGGAAGGAACTTTTTTGTATTGTTTTTCTTCTTGCTACATCATCGCAAGCCTTTGCCATGAAGCCACAACAGCAAGAAAAACAAACAAAAAAATTGTTTTACGATTGCCCGTTCCTTTCGTTCTCTCCAGACCTTCTCTGATCGCAATAAATTTTTGAACGAAAACAACAATGGCTTTCTCATCATCAATATATAATCGAACACTGTTGGCAGTTGTTTTAGTAATCCTTTGTTCAGCCTCCGTATTTGCTTTAACAATTCAAAACGGATTAACTCAACAAGATAAGACAAATATTCAAAGCGTTTTAGAAAAGGATTTTAAAGGAATTAGTAACAAGAAGGACTTGTTCTACTCTGCATCAACTCTTTTAAAGATTTCTAATGGAGACATCATTCAATCTGCTCAAAACCAATGTGTGAAAACAATTTCTAATGTTGAAGGACCAGAAGCTTTGTACAACTTGATTGCATCAAATGCTGCTTTGAAGTGTTCTCCACTTGAATCATACACTGCTGTCCAAAGTGCTTTGGCCAAATACATTGATGAAAGCAGCGACAAGACTTCTGCTGAAAATATTTATTCGATCGCTAGAAGTATTTTGTTGACAAAGAGCAAGATTAACGTTGCTGATTTGAAGGTAAGTTATCAAGATTAATAAGTTATATATATTAATATTATTTCATCATTTGTTTAATATTAATTTTAATATTATCATCTTTAGATTTCTAAACTCTACGAACTTGTTGTTAAACAACTCACATCATCAATTAAACAAGATTGTAACGATGCTTGTTTGAAGAGTGTTGGTTTCTTGATGGAAGCTGCTCAAATTTTGCAAAGTATTCAAAAGTCTGATGTTGCTTCTCTCAATAAGGCTATTTCTGCTCTCACTTCCGTTACCAAGAAGGCTATTTCATCAAACAATGTTGAAACTGTTGCTATCTTTGCTAGAGGATTGAACAAACTTGCTACTATTGTTGATGTTAAGAGCAAGGTATCAAAGGAAGATTTTGTTGCTCTCATTAATTCCTTGGTCTCCAAGAAGGATTCATCAAAGACCTTGAGTGAAATTTATCATCTCATTGAAGGTGTTCAATCGTTCACCAAGCCAATTTATGAACCAATTGTTGTTGTTTCCGAATTGAAGGATGAAAAGGGAGCCATCTCTCTTCAAATTTCCAACATTTTGGGTGCTCCATTGAGTGAAAAGGTTACCTTGCAAAGTGTTTACAAGGGAAGTAATTCCGATGATTCCATTTTGCCAAAGGGTCCAGTTAAGCTTGATGCCAATGGAGTTGAATATCAAATCAAGGGTGTTAAACTTGATTCTGGTATTTTCAATTTTGATATCACTGTCGGAAAGGAAGCTGTTACTCGTTCATTGAAGACTGCTGCTGCTGATTTGAAGATTAGAGATTTCCAACTTGATGTCGGAAAGTTCTCTCGTTCAAATGTTGCTTATCCAAAGACATTGGAAGAAAAGTTGACTATTGATGTTGATTCAAACAATAGAATTCGTGTCAATTTCGCTTTGGCCGGTGTTGCTCCACATCAAGTTTTCCTTAGAATTGGTAATTGTAAGAATGAAGCTATTTTCAACATTAAGCAACAACATCAACCAAATTATAATTTGGATCTTGGATTGGATAGAGTTGTTGGTCCAGCTTTGAAGTATGAATCTGGAGAATATAAGGTTCAAATTTTCATTGGTGATGCCACTTTGAGCACTCCAATTCACTGGACTGTTGCTACCGTTGTTATTAACTTCTCCAAGCAAATTGAAAAGACTGAAGAAGAATTGTTGTATCAACCAAGAGAATTGATCACACACATTTTCAGAGCTCCTGAAAAGAGAGCTGGTTCTGAAATTGCCTCATTGTTCTCTCTTGTTGTTTTTGCTCCATTGGCTATCTTCTTGATTGGTCTTATCACTGTTAGATTTAACTTTGGAGGATGCCCATCTGGTTTGGCTGGTTTGTTGGCTCCAGTTTTTGTTGGACTTTTGGGTGTTTTGGTTGGAATTTTGGCAATGTACTTTATCTCGTGGGATATCTTTGTTACTATGAAATATTTAGGTTTGGCTGGTATTGCCATTACTTTGGTTGGTGCTAAGGTTTTGAGTGGTGTTGCTGAAAAGAGAGCTCAAAACTAAATAGTACACAGTATTAGTATTTTAATAATATTATGAAAAATCAATAATTTTATAAAATTAAAAAATGTCAATAAGTGTGTGGATCAGTTTACTTGTACTCTTATTGTCTGGTGGTATCTTGTTCTATAATGAACATTTTAACAAGAATCACTCTGATAAGATCAATATACTCTCCTATTTGAATCAGCCAAATTCCGAATGGCAATTGTTAAAATCATCAAACATTTCAACACCTTCATCAATTATTTATCATCTCCAACATAAAAAAACAAAATTGGAATGGTTCCACATGGATAATCAGAATGATCAAAATAATTTCTTTAGTATTTCTTTTAAAACACCTCCTAAAGATGATACAGGTTTAACTCACATTTTAGAACATTTAGTATTGTGTGGATCAAAGAAGTTTCCAGTGAGAGATGCCTTCTTTTCAATGTTAAAGAGATCAATGTCAACTTATATGAATGCTTGGACAGCTGCTGACATTACATCCTATCCATTCGGAACTTTAAACGAAAAGGATTATTATAATTTAATGCAAATTTATTTGGATGCTGTTTTTAATCCATTATTGAGAGAATTGGATTTTTCACAGGAAGGGCACAGATATGAATTTGAAGAGGAAAATATTCAGTCCAATTTAACATTTAAAGGAGTTGTTTACAATGAAATGCAAGGAGTTGTTGGAGATGCCAATAATTTCTTTTCATTTGAGATGAATAGACTCTTATTTGAGAAATTCAAGGCATTGAATAATAGTTTTGAATTTCTCCATGGCTATTCTGTAAATTATGGAGGAGAGCCAAGAAATATCATTGATTTAAAATATGAAGAATTGGTGGCTTATCACAAGAAATATTATGCGCCAAATAATGCTCTAGTTTTCACATATGGAAATCTTCCTCTCACTAATCACTTGGACTTCTTCAAGAATGAAAAGATTTTGGATCAATTTGGAGAGATGGAATATGTAAAGAGTGTTCAGGAAGAGCTTAAACAAGTCAAGGATTTCCAAGTGCAGCCATACACTACTGAAATTATTTATACTGAAGGTCCAGAGGAAAGTATAGTTCACAACCCAGAAAAACAATTGAAGTATTCAATGACATTTTTTATGAATAGACCAATTGATGGATATTTTGAAACATTTTGTTTGCAAATTATTGATCTTTTACTGTTAGATAATCCAAGAGGTCCACTTTATCAAACCATCATTGAATCCAAGTTGGCTCCTAGATTTATTTCCATCACTGGTTATGAAAAGACTGATCTTTTAAGGAAACAAACAGCATTCATAATTGGAGTAACAGATGTAGGAGAATCTGATATTCCACTCATTGAAAATGCAATTAATCAAACTCTTGAAAAGGTAATGACTGAGGGCTTCAGTGAAGATTACTTGAATTCTATTTTGAATGTTATGGAACTGAATAATAGAAGAGTTTCTGTTAGTTATGCAACTGAATTGATGATGTTCATTCCGCCAATTTGGTGCAATGGTGATAGTTACAAGATGGAAGAGGCCCTCAATGTTGAACAGGTTAGTATTTTGTTGAATTGAGATGATTTAATAGTTTTGTTTAGAATATTAAATTATTGAGAACTCAAGTTAGAGAAAATCCAAACTTTTTCCAAAATTTGATGAGAAAATACTTTAGAAAAGATAACTCATTTAGTGTTGTTATGAGACCTAATAAGATGCATTTGGATAAATTTAAAGAATTTGAGAGAGAAAAACTCAAATCAATTGAACGATCCATGAGTGAACAGGAAAGGACTAACACACTCTCACAAGCTATCACACTCAAAAATCATCAAAGTGCTGAAAAGCTGAAGGATGTTGATTCCATTTTGCCTTCACTAAATATTAATGACATTAGACCAAAGATTCTCTACTCAATTGATCCACATGTTAAAGAATTCACTATTCATGGTAGAAAAGTATCCCTTTTCATTCAACATACAAATGGCCTTGTCCACTTCAGTTTGGATTTTGATTTGTGGGATGGAGAACATATCAGTATCAGTGATGATAGCTCAATTGACCTTTTACCATTTTTCACATATAGTATAACCAAGATGGGTACAAAATATTTGGATAAGAAGGAATTGTCTGAAAAGATTGGATTATATACTGGCGGAATTTCATCAAGCGTTTACATGACACCAAGATATAATACAGCTAATCATGTCAATAACTTAGGAAGATTTGGATTGGAATTTGACTCTGAGAGTACTTTGGAAAATTTCCCAACTCTTTTGAACTTGATAGATGATATTATCAATAGTCCAAGATTTGTTGATGTTGAATATTTGGAAAGATTATTTGAAGAATACTCAACTTCAATTAGTGAATCTTTGACTCAAAATGGAAATGAATTCTCTCAATCCTACTCTTCTTCATTCTTGAGTGATTACTCTAAATTGAGTGAAAGAATAAGTGGTATTTCTCATTTCCTATTTATCAAAGATTACAAAGAAAAGCATGCCAATAATTTGCCTGAAGTTTTACTTGAAGATATGAAAAAGATTTTACGTCACGTATTCAAGAATGTCTCCGTTGCCATTACAACAGAACCTGAAAATATTGAGAGTGTCAAAACAAATCTCATTCCATTCCTTCAACAGTTTGAATTTACAGATATTGGAAAGAAGCATTCATTCAAAACGACGACACAAGAAAAGGAGGAAAAGAGCAAGACATTTATTGGATTGAATTTCCCTGTCAATTATGCATCTATTAGCATGTTTGTTAACACCACATATTATGAAAAGGATGCAGCATCTCTCTCAGTTTTTTCCACATTTTTATTCCCAATACTCCATAAAGAAATCAGAGAAAAGGGAGGAGCTTATGGACAAAACTCTAGAGTGAGTGTAGGAGATCAGACATTTTCATTCTTTACGTACAGAGATCCACAAACCTATAATTCAATTCAAGTATTTAGAAAGGTCATTTCCAACATTTGTGAAGGCAATGAAACAGAAATTACCGAAAAGGAATTATTTGAATCTAAATTGTCCATGTTCAAGAGATTAGATAAGCCAATTGAACCTCACTCTTTATTTACAACAAGATATTTATATGATATTTCAGATGAAATGAGACAGAATTATAGAACAAATCTTATTAATGTTTCTGTGCATGATTTGTACTCTGTATGCAAAAAGTACTTGTTGAATCCAGACTTGTATCATGTTACCATTGTTGGAAATGAGCAAAAAATTGATACTGACTTGACGGATAGAAATGAGTGGGAAATTATCAAGATTAGTTCAAAATAAACATTACCAAGTGAAAACACAATATTTTGATAATACCTCACATGTATTGACACAAGAGATCAGATTCAAGCCAAAGAAAATGAAGTTCTCATTCTCGAAGTTGAGTTTGTATCTTTACAAATTTTACACTGTAGATTTCTGTATGAATGAGATAAGAGATTAACAACAGTAATACTCCTTCAGATTAACTAGTTCTGATCTTAGAATTAAGGAGTCTGCTGATGATATTTTGTTCATTCTAATATCAAGTCGAATTAAGTTTCTCATATTTTCATAAATTAATTTGGTTCCTTTTCCATTTAGTTTGTTTGCAGCCAAATTCAAACGTAATAGAGTTGCTGAATTAAAGAGATGTTGTGAGTTAGTATCTATTGAGGATTTTTGAGAATTTTGCACTAAATATTCTAAACCCTTCTCAGTAATTCGATTACTTCCCAAGTTGAGTAATGTTAAATTTGAAAAATTGTAACTTTCCGAGATAGATTTCAAGCAAGAATCGTCTACTTGATTTCCTGATACATTCAGTTTCATTAATTTTTTAATTATTTCCCCTTCACTCAAGTAACGAACCCCCTCAAGTCCAATACCATTTTTGTAAACCTCCAAATGTGTTAAATTTGCTAAATGTTCACATTCTGTAATATATTTCATTCCTTCGTTTCCTATTTTGTTATCTCCCAAATTCAATGTTGTTAAATTCTTTAAAAACACATAATTAGACTCAATTAATTCCTTCAATCCACTCAAATAAATTCTTTTCACATTAAAATACATAGAGACAGGAACCTGACATGCTTTCTCATACCAATCCTTGCTCACCAGAGTACAAGTTTGTATCAAGAAGCTCGACTCTATAAATTGCATCATGTAAAATACTGTACCACTTGAAAAGAGTGAATAATCAACAATACAATTCCGATGTTGTTCAATCTCTTCACAATTTATCTTTCTCTTTTTTCCATCCATTAAATATTCATCATTATCATAATCAGGTATTTCAGCTGTTGTTGGTTGGCTTCGTTTTCCATTATTGAACATTTTTTAATAATTGGATTTTAAATTAATTTATAAAAAGCAACCTAACCAAGAACCCTTATAGAAACCTTTCAATCCCTCTTGTTGATACATTTTCTTTACACAATCTGGGTAGCTGGAATAGGTTCTTCCTTGATCACCAATGTACCTGCTTAATGAGAGAGTGAATGGTGAAGTTGTGGCATCGAAAATGACACTCGTCGAAAGTTCCTCAATTGTTTCTAAAGAATCAACTGTTTCATCATCCAAGAAATAATAATCATTTCCAATAACTGATTCAATTACGGAACGAATAGCAACAGATAAACCAAATTTGTAAACTTGTGTACCAGCTTGTTGCAACATTGCCCAACCATAGCCACGATAGAGACCTTTAACTCCATTTTCAGAGTAAATTTGAACAGCAGTTTCAACAAATCCTCTTTGTTTCTTCATATCATCAAATCTCTTATGTCTGGCGAGAGAGGCAACTATTATAGGATGAGTCACAGCACTTGACAGCATATTATCAACAATTGATGAACCAAGCCTAATAGCCAAACTATTGCTAGAAGTCAAGGGCTGGAAAATGTGTTCTCTAACAGTTAATCCATAGATAAAACTTGCTCCAATTTGAAATACTGAAGGTAACCATTCCTTCTTTCCCAATAATCCAAGAATTCCTTCTTCGGAATAAACTTTAGATAATAAATCAAAAATTCCTCCATTATAAAAAGGCTTTCCAGTACCATTATTTGAATATTCTTCATGAACATAATCCATAACCATTCTCTTCTCCGAAATTAAAAACAACATGGCGTAATAGGAGAAAGCAGAACCATTAAGAGCAAGCTTTGTATAATTGGAAGTCAAGAATGGAATGGATTGTAAACTTTCCATTGAATGATCGCGTTCCAAGCCTCCATCAAGGGTAATTTCATCAGGGTCAACAAGAGCAAGACTTTTGTTCATTTTTTTTAAAATTAACAATCAAAATTTTCGAAATTGATGAGATTTAGGAAATTTTCGTTGCAAAATTTGAAACTTTTAACTCAAATCAATTTGATACGAAAATGGTCAACCTCATTCATTCTACTACAACAATGAATAAATATTTAAACTCAAGTTCACATGAGAACTTTGGACCATCACAATCTTTGTAAACAAACATTTTCACTTAAACCCTGGAAAAAAATGCCTCCAAAGACCTCCTCAAAAACAACCTCTTCTGATGATGTTGATGAAAGCAGTGATGTAACCACAAAAAAGACGGTAACAAAATCGACCACCACCAAAACAACAAGTACTTTTGTTAATAAGCCTTTCAAGGTACCTCTAAAATCACCACCAAAGACTGCAACTTCATCTTCAGCAACAACAATATCTGCTGCTTCATCTTCTTCATCTTCTACAAAGAGTGCTGCTAAAAGTAGTGTTACTGCAAAGGCTAAACCACTCTTTGAACAGTCCCAAATTTTAGCTCCGAGCGATCCATCTTTGGATGATTCTTTTACTTTTGATTCTCCATTGAAAAACAAGAAGAAGAATGTGGAAAAGGAAGATGATGAGGATAGTGATAATGATGTAAATGAAAAAAAGAGAAAATTGGAAAGCATTTCAAAAGCAAAGAAGGAAAGTGAAAAAGTAAAACCCACTAAAAAATTGAAAGAATCATTGAGTACAGTTTCCGATGAAAAGAAACCCTTCTCTCACAAGGAAATTAAACCAAAATCATCAAACAAGACTTTTATTATTGGTGTAAGTGGTGGAGACTTTGCTCAAAAATCAGAAGTTGTGAATATCATTGAAAAGGTAGGTTTGAGAATATATAACTCGTATAACGATCCTTTTCCTTCATTGAATTAGTTATCAAAAAATACAGAATACGAATATGTGGAAATTGGTAGTTCAAACTTTGAAAGTTATACTCATCTGGTTTGTCTTGATCCTAACCCAAAGAAAACCATCAAGTTAATTTATTCTATTGCTTTGAATGTTCCAATAATCAAATCATCTTGGTTATATGAGAGTGAAAAATGTAATTATTTTGTAAAGGAAAGTGATTTTTATTTCGCTCAATATATCAGATCAAGAAGTGAGGGAATTTTGAAAGGAAAAAGATGTTATATTTTAAGAGGAGAAGTGACATTTCCATCACCAGAAATATGTGAAAGATTTATTGAACTAAGTGGAGGAGCTTGTGTGGAAGATATTACTCGAGCAAATATTATACTTTCAACAACAGGAGCAAAAGATTTTGATAATATCATTCCAAGACACACTTCCAGTATGCCCCTATTCCCAGTGGTAACTGTTCGTTGGTTAGTTGACTGTGTTGATAAACAACAATATCAAGATCCAAATGAGTATAAGGTATGTGTTTTTAATAATATTTACATTGTGGATTTACAATTCGAAAGGATGATTACTTTTACAGTGAAGCTTGTGTTTTGAAAGAAAGAGTGCTTGCTGAAAAATCAGCTCGAAAGCATATTGGATGTTTGAGATTATTGACTGATATTACTTGTTCAGCTAATATTATCCCATTATATGCAGACAAAAAAAGTATTGTACTGGGAAGAGCAGCTACAGATGTGGATTTCACTGTAGATACTGAAAACTCAAAGAAGAATCCTGTTATTTCTAGAATGCACGCTAAAATTGTACAGTTCCAGCAAGAAAGTAACAGCCAAAGTAAGGAAACCATACTCAAGTGGAAGCTCATTGATTCTTCCTCGAATGGTACCTTTGTAAATAATGTTAAGGTTAAGGAAGCCGTTTTAGCTAATGGAGATATTATTTGTTTCGGTCATTCCAAGGCCTCAGTTAAAGTAGGAGAACAAATTCCATTCGCAAATACCAAATGTAAATATGTGTTTGAGACTGAGGATATTGTTTCAAATGAAGAAGCCGAGAAGGAAAAGGAGAGATTAAGAAAAGAGAATGAACTAATGAGATTGGAAATTAATGGTCTAAGAGATTACAAACAAAAATCAAGTATGGTAAACCATCAAAAAGAGAAGGAAATTATACGTCTGCAAGAATTACTTTCCAAAAATCAGAGAAAAGAAATTGTCGAATTTCCACTCTGTCACAAGCTTTATGTATTGGATACAAACGTTCTCGTTGAAAATATTTCAATCCTTGAGAATCTGTTAAAATCAGCCAATATTACATGCCTTATCCCATATACAGTTATGGTTGAGTTGGATAAATTAAAGACGAGAACAGGTTCAGTTGCCATTAAGGCAAGAGAAGCAACCAGATTCTTGGAGGAATGTTTCGAAAACAAGACTTATCCAAATTTGATGGGTCAACTTCCAAACCAACAACTGAAAGGTATTGAAGATGGAGGTGTTTTTGTTTCATCTGCTGATGATAACATTATCAATTGTTGCCTCTATTTCAAAGATCACGTACTCAAACGAAAGGAAAAGAATCATGAATTAATTCTTTTAACATTTGATAAGAATATGAGAGTTAAAGCAGGTCTCTTAAAGATTGTTTCTCCTTCAATTCTTCCATTCAACAATAATTGAAGCTTGTTCATGTATAATGGAATTGATTCTCCTCCAACATTTCGATAGAGAAGATTAAATAAAATCATAATTGATTGCAATATTACAAAAAAAATGAGTGACAATGCTAGTAGTAATACTTCCACATCATCATCAGGTGCAGGAACAACAAATAATTCTTCAGTAGAAGAAGAAGAAGGTGGATCATCCCTCATCAAGAAACTTTTAGGTTTTATTTTTCTCTTTTATTTATCCTTCGGAATTATTAATCCTGTCAATATTGAACTCTTTGAAAAGATTAATTCTGTTGGAAGTGTTGATGGAAAACATTCCAAGCATACAGCTTCATTATTTGGTGCATTGTTTGCACTTCCTGGATTAATATTCTTCTTTGTGAGTCCGGTGATTGGAAATTTATCTGATCGATTGGGAAGAAAATTGTTCCTTACCTTGTTTACTTTTTGTTATACTTTAACATTTGGAATTTACTATTTATTGTGTCATGTTGTGACAAGTCCAGACGAAGAATTGAATGAAATTTTCATCTATGTCAAGTATAATGGATTGAAATTTTACATTGTTGCTAAAATTATTCAAGGATGCAGTTTGGATATTATTCCATTATGTAATTCCTATATTGCTGATAATTCTAAAAAGGAGGATTTTGCAACATACTTTTCATATATCTTGGCAGCTATGGGTTTGGCCACAGCCATTGGACCAATGGTGAGTGGATTTGTGGTGAAGAATTTTGGAATGACACAAGTATTTCAATTGATTTTTATCACTTCTAGTATTACAACATTGTTTGCTGCAAAGTTTGTTAAGGAGAATGCAAAGAATGACGCTATTCAACACCAAGAATCTTCACTCATCGAGAAGGTTACTACGCCATTCAAGTCTCTGTACAATATTCTTACTCAAGGAGATTCTGTTTTGATTTCATTGATAATTTCTAAATTGTTAAGCTCGTTTATTTCAGTTGGATTCTTTTGTATTGTTACACAATTTACAAGAATCAAATATTCATTTGGACCTACTGAAAATGGCTACGTCTTGACACTTATTGGAATAACTGCCATTCTTTCAAATTCCGTTCTATCCAAATTGATAATGTACCTCTCAAAAGGAAAGGAAACTAATGGATTGATTATATCAGGTGTAGCCAATGCCTTATTCTTCCTTTCTTTTGTGGTGTGTGGAAATGGCGCCTACGTATACTATGGAACTGTTTTCTTCCTGTTCGGTGCTAAAGAGGATCCACTCAGGTCTGCTCTCATTTCCAAGGTATTCAATGATCCAAATCAACAAGGAGTATTGAATGGATGTTTAGGATCTATTTCCACAGTTGGAAGAGTAATATCCCCAATCATCTTTTCATCATTGTTAGATATTTTCACAACGAGTGAAACCATGCCTCGTATTGTGGATGCTCCATTCATTGCCTTGACAATTACACAAGTTATTTGTGTATTGTTTGTAGTGAGAGCAAAACACTTGATTGAAAAGAATAAGGGAGAATAATTTTTCCCTTCTTTGCCTCTTCGTTACAGCAACAACCTTTGGTTTTTGTCGTATATTCTTTACCTTAACTGTTGGAAATTACCATAAAAAACCCTGAAATGCTGTTTCTTCTCTTCTTTCAGTGTTTACTTGATCAATCAATGAACATGTATTGTAAGTTTCCAGAAGGTTGATTATCGTGGTTGATTGTGTGAAAAACTAAAGCTTCCATCCCCTTAATATAGATGCCCTCAGGTGCGACTGGATCCATATTGAGGTAAACCCAATATACGCACACGTAAACAACCAATAGAAGAGCCTACATTATAATATTGAATAAACCGGGTGCGCACCTTAAAGAACAATGACACGGAGCTGATCCGTGTTAGGGAGTTGCTACAGAAACAGAGAAAACAACAAGTGTTGAGTTATATTGTTAATTCCTTAAAGAAAAAATGGGTATTGTTGGATCAAGGTGCGGAAAGCATTACAAGATTCAGGCGAAAATATCGAGTGAAGTTGTGGAGAATGGTCAAACGGTTCTATTCAATGTTTGCAATCGCACTGAACAACAACAACAAGAGGAAACACCAAATGGTGATGATCAATCTGTTACTCGCCATGCCAGCTCACAAGAATTTTCAGCAAATAGTAACAGCCAAAAACAACTGCTAAGAGGTTCATCATCAAGTTTATCATCAACCTCATCATCAGAATTATTAACATCGAACGGAACTGCAGAGAGCAGTGGAAATTTAAAATCAATTCTAGGTTCTAATAAGAGCTCACCCACTGCAAGACCATTACGTTCAGTTACCTTAATATTAGATACAAAGGAAAAGGAAGAAATATTTGCATCATCAACAATAAGCAAACGTAAAAAAGGAAGAAGAAAAACTGATAAAGACAATGATCCAATAGAGGAAGACTGCATAGATATTAGGGTTCTCTCAAGAAGAGCTTCTCTGCCCTCAATGGTGAGTTTTGAAGGTTCTCTCTCCACCACACCAGATAGAAAAGTAACAGGAAACTTCTTCTACAGTGTATTGGAGGCACCTTACTCACCAGCAGATAGTACCAAAACAGCTCCAACCCTATCAACTGTTTGTTTAGAATCTCCATCTATTAGAATCATTCCTCCATATGAAGATTTATTGGAATGTGATGTTTACCCATTGCCAAAGAAACATGCACTCAAAGATGAAAAAGCTAGAAAGTTGCAAGAAAAGAGATTAAATCCAGTCAAAACTTGGTCAAAGGATGAATTGAGAAAGTTAGCAAAGAAGACAAAGCGTGCTACTAATCCAATTGCAGAAGATTTAATGATTTACAAGTAGAAGATCATGATCTCTTTCTTTGTTTGTTTGGAGGAGAAGGTGTACCTGCCACTTCTTCATCACTTGCATTTGAAAGAACATGTCGTTGGGCAATCATTCCTTCACTGTCATCTTGAACACCATATTCATTGCTTCCACCATTACTTGAATTTGAACTGAAAGATTGGACAACACCCAATTGAATATATCTTTCATTTTCACCATTAATACCAAATGAAGCACATGGCATATCTTCATTAAGGAATTGATTATGAAGAGATTTTCCTGATGGATTAGATATAATCTCTGGTGTGACAAATCTATCTTGATTATCTATATATATGGATGATTCATCAAGGTGACTTCTCTTTCTCTTATTAATAGGGGTAGAGAATTGATCACCAGAAGAGAAATTATCATCAACCATTTGATTGTCATTAACTTGTTGCTGTTGTTGACTAGCTCTTCTGGATGAAACTTGTTGGTTTGTAGTAATAGTTGAAGTTTCTGCAGTAGCCATTGTTTCATCATCTGAATCAATAGTTGCCATTAAAAATACAATTTCTACATCCTTTGCTTGTGATTCTGATCTTATTACAATTGGATCTCCTCTATTTCTTGTCATTGAAAAATGAATATTATATTCAGATAATTCACAAAATCCTATTAATGCCTTTAAATCTTTAAAACTAAAGGTCATTTCACTTTCTGCTTGAATTGTTTGTTCTGAACCTGGTACTGTTCCTGCAGGTGGGGTTGGTCTATTACTTGCATCATTTTGAACAAATGCCTGTTGAGCTACATTGAATGATTCCAAATTTACAGTATCAATAGCAAGTGATGTTTGATTTCCATTTTGTTTTTCTCCCTTTTCAGCATATGATTTCATTTGAATATAGTATTGTGTAAATCTTCCATCAGTTTGTGATAAATTTGGTTGATTTTGTTGTGATGTAGTAATAACAACTCTCTTTCCCAAAAGAAAGGTAATATCACCAGCCAATTTACCAAATGGTGATAATAAATTAGATAAATATGAAGAATTGACTTCAAATTCAAAATCTCTAGAGAGATCATGTTCTGGATTGACCACATCACATGGTGAACAATTAATTTGATAAATCTTTTGTACTTGAGAAAGTCCAAACGAATCAAATATAACTTGACTATTATTCCTATCTAGTGTAATTTTCAATTGATCTAAATTAGCAGCATTCTTAAATACGTGAACAACATTCTTCAGAGTTAGCCTAACAATTTTCGGAGCAGTTTGTAAAAAGGAATATCTATCAAAAAACGAATGTAAAAATGTGAACCTAGCAAATGTTGATTTTGAAGCATTGACAGTAACAAAAGAAACCCTATCAGGTTTCATATCAAATATTACTTCCTCTCCGACTTTGGCCAAACAATTTATCATGTTGGCAAATGTTTTAATATGTTGTCTATTCTTTAATCCAGCATCCATTTTTATGTACAGCCTATACAATGATGATGTTCTATTGAAAGATCAACTTTAAAGTTGGTTATTGATTGTTGTATTTTTTTCAATTTTGTTTTTTATTAATAAACAGCAAGTTTTTGCATTCCACTCAATACAGGAAATTACAACTTTCCACTAAAAACACGAAGAACAACTATCATGAGCGGGAAAAACTTAAAGGATGCATTCCTTATTCAAAACTTTAAGGAATTTGCTCACACCTCAACAAGTCACAACAATTTGAAGTGTCAAAACTCGAGCCGTTCAAGTAATCACTTTGAAAAGAACGTTTATAGAGATGAAAACACTTGAAAAAATCGTGCAGAAAAAATGGCAGGAGCAGCAGCAGTTGGAGCCTCGTATTCGAAAAAGATTGCGTTTGTTTATATTTTCAATTTGATTGTAGGAGTGGGCGCTTTGGCTCTTCCGTATGCATTTCACAAGGCTGGTAGGTTTTTTAGAGGTGATTGAAAATTGGAATTTTATTGTGTTGTTTGATGATGGAAATGATGATAGGAATTATTTCGGGAGTGATGGTGCTTGCTTTGAATGCATTTATGGCTTTTATTTGTGTTACTTTTGTGATAGAGGTAATGTCCTCATCGAATTACATGTTGAAGAGAAATGAAGAAGGAAAACGATTGATTGATAATTCGACGTCTGTAAATCTTCCATTGGAGGAGCAGCAACCAACAAAGAAGAAGAAGAAAAAAGCAGAACAAATTTCACCTGAATTGCAAACCTATCTCTCGAATCCTTTCTCTATCCTAGAAAGGTATGTAATTTTTATTGGATGAATTGTTAGTTAACTAACAACAATGTTATTTATATCGGAAAAGAACTGAGATTGGTAAAATGACAGAACAGTTTTTGGGAGTTATTGGAAAATCAATTTTCTATGTTGTTATTATTGTGTATTTATTTGGAGATTTGGCAATTTATGCTGTTTCAGTACCAACATCTTTACTGAAGGTTACAGGACCTATGTTTGGATTGGATCCAAAATCAACTTATTATATTTATTTGGGAATCTTCTCGTGTATTGTGGTTCCTTTCAGTTTCTTCAATTTCCAAAAGACTAAATATTTGCAGTACATGACACTTGCAACAAGAAATATTGCATTCTTCTTGATGATTTTGCTCAGTTTAATTTTCATTATTGAAGGAAATGGATCAACTAAGAATCTTCAATTCTTTAATTTTTCTATGGAAAGTTTTTCAAAGCTCTTTTCAATTTCAATTTATGCATTTATGTGTCACCACTCTCTTCCATCCATTATTTCTCCAATTCACGATAAGAGAAGATTAACAATCATGTTTGTGGTTGACTTTGTAATGATTTTCTTTGCTTATGGTATGTAGATTTCATGAGTTGCATTTGAGATAACATTTTGATTAGTTTGCATGTGTTATGTAGCAGTTTTTGCTTTTGGAGAACAACCTTTTGAAACATGTTCAAACAGAATTCATGATGGACCACCATGTGAAATTCAAGCATTATTTACTTTGAATTTCACCACTTATCGTTACACCTTAATTGCTGCCTTCTTGGCTCTCTTCCCAGTTTTCACACTCACCAGTAACTATCCTCTTATTGCCATTACCTTGAGAAATAATACTCAAATTTTGTTCGAAAAAGTCAAAATCATTCACGAGTGGAAATATAACTCATATCTCTTCTCTGCTCTTGCCTCAATTCCTCCAATCATCCTTGCTTTTGCCTATCAAAATATTTCAACACTAGTCAGTTTTACTGGTGGTTTTGCTGGATTATTCATTCAGGTAAGTTAATCTTGAGAATATCTTAATAATTTTATTTACACACAATTAATAGTGCATTTTCCCAACTCTCCTTGCAGTATTTGCAAGAGTAAAAGTTATGAAAATGGAAGAGGAATTAGAAAATGAATCATCCTACTCAATCAATGCTGAAGAACCACCAGTTCAAACCAAATCAGAGGCCCTGAAGAAACTTGGTAAGAAGATTTTTGTTTTCCTTTTCACAACACCAAGAAGAATCCTCAAAAATCCTCACACCAGTCCATTCTCTCAAGGTTATTGGGTTATTGGCATTTTGTTATTCTCTCTCTTTGCTCTCGTTGTTAACAGTTACTCTTTAATTAAGTGTGACATTTTACAAGAATGTAAATAAAAATCAATTAAATATACCCAACTAACAGCAACAAGAACAGCCAATAAATTACATGGTAATTGCAGCTTAGACATTATTACTGAGTAAATGAGGAAGGTTGTTGAATAATCTCTTTTCTATCAGCTTTCTAAATGAATTGAGGCGCGAATCACGTTCTTTTTTTAGCCTTCAAAAAATATGCAAGAACCTCCATCATCGTCATCAGAAGGAAGTGATAATTCATCTACATCAGCAAAACCGAAAGTCATTGAATTGGCTAATATTAAAATACAACATCAACGCCAACCTCATGTTGAAGTAGTGGAAAATTCACCTTTAAAAACACCAACAGTCAAATATAACGTCGACGATGAGGATAGTGATGATGAAGAAGTTGTACAACAATCAAGAGGCAGAGTTGCCGAACATCAAAGTCTATTAAATGGGGAAACGGAACGTGAACATCTCGGAGTCACAAATCTAGATGCCTTCTTTCAACAAGTTTATGTATACTTCTATGAAAAAGGCTTTTGGTGCATGTTGGTAGATAGATGTCTACGATTATGGTTTGTTTCGAATATTATTACATTGTTTATTTACAATATTATTACAGTACTGTATTTTTCATGATGATATTCTCAACTTTCCTATTTGTATTTCTAAATTGGTATGATATGTGGCATTGTCAGGATGTTGCTTGTAAAACAGTTCCAGTTTTTCGTAAAAATGTTTGGACAATGAATGCCTTCCATATTGTTGTCCTCTTATTTGAATTCGTTGTTTGTTTTTATTGGATGTATTTACTTGTAAAATATCTGAGGGATTTATTGGGAATGTTATCAATCAAACACTTTTTCAATACTGAACTTAATATAACTGAGAAGGATATTCAAACTATTCAATGGGTTGAAGTTGTAGAAAAGATTATTGAATTCCAAAATAAGAAAAAGATTAATATTATCAAAAACGTAGACGAATTCGGTATGTATGATTGATTTTAAACAGTTTTACTGATTGTTATTTAATTAGATATTTTAAACCGTATTATGAGAAAAGAAAATTACTTGATATCATTCATCAATAAGGATGTTATGAATCTAACACTTCCATTCTCTCAGAAAACTTATCTCTCTGAAATTATTGTTTATAACTTGAGAATTGTTGTAGATAACATGTTCGATAGCGAATTCAAAATTAATGAGGCCTTTGTAAAAAACCCAAATGCTCTCAGAGCTTTCTTTGTAAAATTGGGTCTCATTAATTTATTACTCGCACCATTTTTACTTATATATATTATTTTGTACACTTCATTTAAATACTTAGCCGTAAGTTTTCAGATTGTTTAGTTTAAATTATTTATCATTCAAAAGGAGCTCAAAAACGATCCAAAGAAAGCACTTGGAAGAAGGTGGTCATTATATTCCACATTCAAATTCAGAGAGTATCATGAACTTGCTCATGAATATGAGAGAAGACTAAAGGAAGGCTATGGCCCATCTATTGATTATTTAAATCAATTCCCTAATGTCTTACTTTCTATTGTTGCTAATAGAGCAATGTTTTTTATATCAGCAATAGCCGGAGTAATAATTGTACTTTCATACTTGAATAACTCACTTACTCTTTATTTGACAGTATTTAATCAAAACTTATTGACTTGGTTGACAACTTTATTATTGGGTTGGGCATTTGCTAAGGGATTTGTAATTGACGAACATGCCGTTTTCAATCCAAAACAAAAGCTAGATGATGTTTGTGAAATTTTACACCACCACGATCTTAAATGGAAGGGTAAAGGTCACCATCACGATGTGAGAGATGACTTTGTTGCCCATTTCATTCCTAGCTATTCCTACTTCTTGAATGAAATTGTCAGTGTATTTGTAACACCTATTATCCTCATTATTTCATTACCAAGAAGTGCAGAGAGAATATCCTCCTTTGTTGATCAAATCACTGTTGATTATCATGGATTAGGACATATTTGTGGTCATGCTGCATTCAAATTTAATGAATTTGGTAATGATATGTACGGTAGTCAAACTCTTGGAGGTACCAAGCATGCTGCTTCTGAGCATGGTAAAATGGAGTTATCATATCTCAGCTTTGTGAATAGATATCCAAACTACAAACCAAAGGATGACAATGGAGAAAAGGCATTTATCAATAACCTTAATCAATCTATTCTTGCAAAGAAGGAAACCATTAAGGAACAACAACAGCAAGTAGAGCAACCTCCTGTTCAACAACAAGCTGCCAAATTCTCTCCAGTTGTCATAGTGCAACCACCAAGAGAAAATACTCTTCGTCCTCCTGTACAAAATGATCTCTCTGAGTCTAGACTTCTTTTCAATATGTTGGAAAGTCAATATCAAATTAGAATGGACCAATCTATGAATCAGTCAACCTGGAGAAGAAAATAAACAAATGATTTATTCCATTAAGAAAATTCTGTTTGCAATATCATCAACAATCCAGTCAATACCCTCCGAAATACCTTCACCAGTTATGGCACTACACCTTTCAACATGAATGTGTCTTGTTGTCTTTGAAGACTTTTGTTCATAGAGGATAGATTCACCAGAGGTAACTACTGTTGTCTCTGTTGTTTGAGATAATTGTTCCAATCCAAGGAATTTAGCAATATCACTAACACTAAGGGCATTATCTAAATCGGATTTGTTAGCAAGGATCAATAAACTTGCACCTGCCAATTTTTCCTCTCCTAACAAGAGATTTAATTCTCTCTTACAATCTTCCAATCTGTCAGTATCGGCACTATCAATTACCCAAATCAATCCATCTGTATTTTCAAAATAATTTCTCCAATAACTTCTGATTGATTTTTGACCTCCAATATCCCAGAAATTAACCTTAAATGTATTATTAGTTGGTGTTTGAGCTACATCTTTTGATGCATCCTTTTCATAATAAATTGTGTCAATATTAAATCCTAGTGTTGGAGAAATTTCATCAAGAGGTTGATTTTTCAGCTTTTTAACGATCGTTGTTTTTCCTGCGTTATCCAACCCGAGAATAAGTACTCTCATTTGTCTTTCCTGTTCACGGAGCTTTTTCAAAATACTCATAAGACCCATTGTATTGTATTCGGAAGTGTATTAAAATGTGTACAAAATTGTGAGGAGCAAAGAAGGTGATATTCTTTCTTTTTTTTGATTTTGAAAATTGAAAAAGGCGCCAACACTACCTACAACAACTTTTCGAAGAAAATACAAAATACTGTGGAAGTGAGAACTACAATCGGTAGTAAGGAATATAATTTTGTAAACTTTAATAAGATATTAATATATTAATATTATAAATTTAATGGAACAATATCTAATATAATTTTTTTAAATTGTTATCCTTAAAATATCCACCTTCTCAATATTAAATATTTTGTAATCCTTCCAATAATTATCATCATCACATTAAATATTTAATTCTAAATATCCGATAATCTATTTTATGAAATTCAATCAAAAAAAAATGTCCAAACAACTAGTCCGAAATGTTCTCCTCCAAACAAGCAAGAGAAGTTTTCATACCAGTGCTCAATTAAAGAAGGATTACATCTTGGGAGTTTATAAAGATGGAAGTTTTTCTCCATCAGCCTATAATTTATTATCGGAACAATTCTTGTCATCACCATTCTTTACAAAGAAGGATTGGAAGGAAGGAAAGATTTCTCTGATTGATTGTGGAATGTTTTTTGATGGAAATAAGTGTAGTATTGCAAAGAATGAAATTACTACTGATGATAGAATAGTTTTTGTTGGTTTGGGAGAAAAGGATGTTTCTACAAAGAAAATTTCATACAAGAAGAAGTTGTTTAAGGAACAATTTGGTCAACATGAAATTGTTGATATTAATCAACCAAGTGTTAGAGATTTGGCCCAAAAAGCTGTTCAAGCCTTGTTGTCTGATGTTAAAAAACCAAAGGAAGAAAAATCTGAAAAGTCTGAAGAAGAGGAAAATGATTCTACTCTTGAAGTTTTCATTGATGATTTGACTAATGGTCAAGAAGCAGTTGAAGGATTAAAACTTGGAAGTTGGAAGTTTATTAAATTGTCAAAGAAAACTGCCAGTAAGACACTCAATCAATTATCTGAAGGAAAGGTTAATGTTTCTTCTAATATTGAAAAGGAAGTTATTGATAGAGCTATTATTTATTCTGATGCTCAAAACTTTTCAGCATACTTGTCTGAATTACCTGCCAACTATCTCACTCCAAAGTTGTTCTGTAAAACAGTAACTGAAAAATTCCAAACTGAATTGGGTGATTTACTCTCAAAGGAAAATTCACCATTAACCATCAAGGAACACGACAAGAAATGGTGTGAAGAAATGAAGATGGGATCTTTCTTGGGTGTTTCTCAAGGATCTGCTGAGGAGCCAAGAGTGTTAGAAATTACATTCATGAATAATCCAAAAGATAACACCAACTTTGATATTATCTATGTCGGTAAGGGTATCACTTTTGATTCTGGTGGTATTTCAATTAAACCAGCTGCAGGAATGAAAGATATGAAGGGAGACATGTCAGGTGCTGGATCTGTTATGGCAACCATGTTGGCTGTTTGTAAATTGAATCTTCCTGTCAATATCAAGTGTATTGCCATGTTGTGTGAAGTAAGTACATTACAATATTTCATTCATAATTAACATTTGAAAGAATATGCCATCCTCCACTGCCTATAAACCAGGTGATGTCATTACAGCAAGAAATGGTAAAACCATTGAAGTTGATAACACTGACGCTGAAGGTAGATTGGCTCTTGCTGATGGTTTGTGTTATGCTTCAGAATTCAAACCAAATCATTTGATTGATGTTGCCACTCTTACAGGTGCTTGTGTTGTTGCTTTGGGAACCAAATTGACTGGTTGTTATACCTCAACTAATGACATGTGGAAGAGATTTGAAAAGTCAGGTATTAACACAAAGGATTATGTAAGTATTTCACAATCTCATCAAATTTCTGACAATTATTCCAATCTAATAGATGTGGAGAATGCCATTCATGCCAACTGAATATGAAAAGCAAAATGAAAGCAATGTTGCCCATGTCAAGAACTCTGGAGGTAGAAATGCTGGCAGTATCACTGCTTGTTGTTTCTTATCCGAATTTGTTGATTTTGAAAAGGTTCCAAATTATGCCCATCTCGATATTGCTGGAACCAATTCAGATGCTAAGGGAATTCACAATGGTCGACCAACAAGAGCTCTTATTGAATATGTAAGACTCTTACAAGAAGAATAAACCCTTATTATTATTAATACCTTGATGCAATAATATTTTCTCTAGAGATTGTCACAGTTTCGGCAACAATTTCGTTCCACTCTTATACAATGTTGCTTAAGAGCTTGATAGTAAACTAAATGAGCACGAAAATGAATGAAATATAAAAATCTCTCTAACAGGATAACTAACTTTTGGGAAGATTTAGGATTACTTGCCATCTTTCGTCAGGTTTATTTAAAAAGAAAGCCCTCAAAGGCCATAAGCATCAATGTTAACTGTGCCTTGTGCCACAACAGAATTCGAAACAATTACCGGTGCCACAGACATTTCGGGCAAAGTAAAAGAAACACAAAAAACAATAGAAACAACGAGAAGATCTTCCATTGCAGATATTTCAGAGAGTTACCCAAGTGAATTTTCATTTCATTCAAATTCGTATCTACCACCTGCTAACTATTCGAATCCTTCCGAAACCGTTGATGATCACCAACAAGAACCAACAACACTCATTGATCAACTCATACAAACTTTTGACGAATTAATAATTGATAAATTAGTGATGGGATTACTTACACCAAGAAAAAGAGAACGATTCTCTCTAAATCATCAACATTCGAATAATAATTTAACACCTCTCAGTCCAATAACAAACAGAAAATCAACACAATCCATGCCAACAACTCCTGTTGGTGAAGATGATTTTGTGAGGATCATGTTGGTGAGTGGAGAAAATTGGGGAGTTGGACAATCATCAATTGCAAAGAGATTTGTTTTAAACCAATTTGTAGAGGAAAAGGATTCGGATTTTGTTTCGAAACATGTTTCTAAAAGTTATTCGAAAGAGATTATTCTTCGAACAGCAACACAAGAAAAGAATAATTTAACACTCCTTGAAGAAAATAACAATAGAATGAAGGAAAATGTTACTGGAAGTGTCGAATCAATTTATTACACAACACCACAAATGGCAAATAATAATTTACTAACAATAGGACAGCAGCAGCAACATTCGAATAGTGTTGGGCTTAGTAGTGAAAGGATGAGTTATTTGTATGATCAGCAGACAAATGCTTCACCTTCAACTCATTCTCTACTTTCTAATGCTTCATCATCAGTTTCTAATAGTTCAGAATCTTTACTTTTTCATCCAAGAAGCAATGTAATACTCCAAATTGAAGATTATGTTCCATCCTATATTACTGATTTGGAAACAACCGATGATAGATTATCAAATTGTGAAAATTATTATGATGAACAGTTTTATTTGGAATTTAAGAGAAATCAACAAGATTATTATTATGAAAAAGATGTTTTCCTGATTTGTTTTGATGGAAAGAATGAGGATTTTTTGAATTATGTGTACAATGAGATTGAAACTATTCGAAATGCATGTGATGAATTCACTGAATATAAAATAATTGCCTTAGTTTTGACTAAACAAGATCTCAACAAGGAACAAAATCAAGCAAATGAGGAAATTCATGCCACCACCAGTACTACTATTCTATCTGAGGAGAAACGAGAACAAATGATTGAAAAATTATTGGAAGAAACTAAATTGGAATTGTTTAGAGTGAGTGCCAAGGATAATGTCAATATTCAGGAATTATTCCAACAAATGGCAGAGAAGGCAATTGCTGTAAAGGAAAAGAAATCAAGACTCAAAGCAAAACTGAAAAAGAAAATGGACACTCATCAACATAATAGACAATATGAACAACAAAAACATAAATGTTTATTACAATAATTTGATAATTAGATTTGGAGCATTTCATTGTAATCTACTCGTTCGAATACAAAAGCAAGCTGCAGTTGATGAAGACCTCCAAACAGCTACTACTTCCTCACAATTTCCAGAAACAATTCGTTAGCTCCTACTGAATATAAAATTTCAAAAATTAACAATTGTGATTGCAAAAGTTTTGGTTTTGCTATCAGTGAAAGAATTGAATAGCATTTCCATTAAGAATCATTTCCAGTAGTCCTAATTGTTGATCCACACAAATTGCTTTAACTATTCCATCAATTTCTTTGGTTTGTTTGTTAATCAAATTAAAATTCATGTCAATGTGAAATATTTTCAACCAAGTTTTAGGTTCCAAATTCAAAGAATAATAAATATAAATATTATTGGAATTTCTGTCATAATTCATTAAATATTCTGCTGAAAAATTAATTTCATATCTGCTTGATGAAACCCACTCATGATCACTCACTTTCCTATATATTTGAATATCCTTAACATTACAATAAATAATCTCAGTATCTGAAATTGCATCAATCGCATAACAGCAATAAAAGGAAGGAAGATTATTCTTGATTGGCATTCCATCAGAACATTTATAACACTTGGTATCTATGGATGAGTATTCAGCAGTGATTAGTATCCTTTCATTATCTAAATTTAGTGTTGTCATGCTAAAAGTTTCGTTTAATCCAAAGCTCCATAATTCGTCTCCAATTCCACTCAACCATTTGCTAAGTAAATATTTACAACACTTGTAATTGTTTGAGGAATCTTTGGTAATTATATAAATCTCATCGAATTCTTCATTAATTGTTGAACAAATGTAATCATTTCGGAAATTTATAATATTCGAAACTTTTCTATTATTTCTATTCAGTATAATAATTTCGTTTGGATAGAAAATAAGAATACAATCAAATCGATAGGCAATTTTCAAATCACAATATGCTATCTCTTTGGAATTAATTTCTATTGGAATGTCATGAACTAGATCAAAATTCATGGAAAATATTCGCTTGGCAGGTGACATTAATTTTGATTTCAACCAAACTTCAAGAATCTCATAATCATCTTCTAGTCTTGTTGAAGTTTTACGAAAATCAATCAAAGAAACAACAAAAAACATTTTTTTACATGTCAAATATCATTTTACCAGTGTTATGATTGGAAGCAAAATGTTCATAATTTTACAATCAAAGAAATTTGGTCTTCCCTGAATCTAAAAACACCTGACTTCTCAACGTGCAAAATTAGCTTTGCCTGGCTTTAAATCTGAAATGAGAATTGCTGAATCCTGTCCGAACAACAAAAAAAAAACACCAAAATCCTACCCAGCTTTCAATGTCAGCATCTCCCATAATTTTCGACCTTGGAATTTTCGAACAAGAGTTTCCATTGTTTATCGGACCGAATCAAGAAGAAGCATATGATTTTAAAGCAGCTGCATCAAGTGATGAAAATGATGATTTTGAGGTTGATAAGGAGTGTCATGATAAAGTAACTTCAATCTTTAGAGATGATGATCAACAACCAATCGTTGATAATCAACAACAAGAAGGTGCCACAGTCAGCCATGATAACCATACTGCTCAAATTTCTTCATCAAGTGTTGGTGATGATGATGATGATATCTTTCTGAAAGAAGATGACATATTCAGCCATGATAGCAGTACTGCTCAAATTTCCTCATCAAATACTAATAGTGGTATTGGTAATGAGTGTAACACTGAAACTGGTTATGAAAGTTTGGCTTTCCAGGTTTCTAACCTTCCTGATTGTACAACAGGTTCCAGTCAGAACACATTGCAATGTGCAACCATTTCAATGGAAGACAATAGAAAATCTTCCAGTCGATTTGACACCTCTGCACAAGTGAAGAAGGGCAGAAGAAAGCACTCCCCCAAAAAATTAGCTGAACAGAAAGAAGAGGAAAAGCAGGTCAAGAAGGTTGTGGAAACACAAGAAAATCCAACACTTAAATGGGAACACACAAAGATATGTTCTAAGAATACATATTTGGAGATTGATATTGGAGAGAGAGAATTCTCTTTAAGTATTGAAGTATTCCAAACTGGCACTGGAAGCCATGGACCACTCGAAGAACTTAAGGAACACATACAAAAAGTTAGTGATCTTTCGATAACAATTCAAAACTTGAACACCACAGAGAAAAATTATATTTCCCTACAAGATCATCTCCCGAAAGCCACATGCAAAGAACGTAAAAAAACAACTTGGATCAAACTTGGTGGTGGAGACTATTTGTTTTTGTGTTGTGATGGACACAAATTCGAAAATGCGCATAATTTTATTTCAATCAATAACCAGGGCATTAGAACTCGAAACCAAAATCTCAATCAATACTCCAAAAAGTGCAAAAAAGATGCAACTCGTTTAATAATTAGTTCAGACCTATCTGAGTTAAACACTCTTAAGAAGCAATGAACAATGAACAATACGACACATTATTATTTCAAGATGTTACCAGAACTGCCACACCCAGTGTATGACAGTTCTTGTACAGTATTTGAAATAATAATATGGAACATTGTTTAATAAAAATACCTTACTTGAATTTTAATGATTGTAAATACTAATTTCTGAAGAATAGGTTCTAAGCGTCGATAATTTAGTGGTCCATAGAATACATGGATTTGTGAAATGTAAGTCAACTGATTAATTTTATTTCTTCTCTTCTTCAATCTTAATTTCGTCTGATTTATCTTTGGCATTATCACTGGTTGTACTTTTATCATCATCTTCCTTCTCTTCCTCAAGCTTTTTCTTTTCAAATTCCTTTCTCAAATTATCAACTTCAACCAAATACTCTTCAACATGATTAAGACAATCTTCCTTTTCATAGATATATCTCATCAAGTAGGTTTGAACTTCAGCAGTGGTCAACTTGTGTTCAGGAATCAATTCAGAAATCTTGGCTCCCAATTCTTCATCCTTAAAGAATCTGGCAGCCATTTGTCTGATTTGATCCTTAGTAGAGTTTTCAAACTTGATTTTGAAATCAATTCTTCCAGGTCTAACAAGAGCAGGATCCAATCTATCAATGTGATTTGTAGTCATAAAGATAATTCTAGGGAATTGAGAGAATGAAGCAACACCATCGAGAGCATTCAATAATCCTGAAAAACTAACTCCTTGAACATCTGCAGAGGCCTTTCTATTTTCATTGAATGCTGCATCAATATCTTCCAATAGAACGATACCTCTTTTTGGGAGCTTTGTTAACATCTTTTGCAATTTGGAATCGTCCAAGCTCTTATCATTCAAACTAACTGAAAATAAACAACACTTCAATTTGGCAGCCATAGCCAAAACTAAACTTGATTTACCAGAACCAGGAGGACCATAACAAAGATACCCTCTCTGATAATTGAGACTATTTTCCCTGTAGAAGATTTCATTACTCATAAATCTATCCATGTCCTTAATCAAATTTTGCTTAATGTCTTCTTCCAAATAGACAGTATCAAATGAACGATAAGGTCTATCACACAACTTTTCCCAATCTCTATAATAATCAGTGGAGAGAGTATAGACTGAAGTGACACCCTTCTCACTTTGGAAATAACATTCAATGGCTTCTTGAAGAATATTCTTCAAAATTTCCTTTCCATTCCATGCAGAAACAGTAAGAACAAGTTTTGTAGTATCTTCCTTGTCACCATTCTTATCCTTTTCAAAACTTGGGTCGATACGTTGAATGGTAATCTTGTGACCTTTGAAATAAAAGCCATGTGAACCAGGACCTGGAACAAGTTGTAAAACTAGATCATTTTCATTGTCTTCCTCATTGTGACGATGATTATTTGAGAGATCATTCTTGGCATGAACTGTCAGATGCTTGGCATTTTGAAAATGTTCAACAGTACCCAACCAATGCATCAAACAAACATAAATAGTATTGAACTTGTAATTTTCCTTTTCCTTCACTTCAACAGAATAATTGAAAATATCTCTAATGTAATAATAGATTTCTTCAAGTTTGTTCACAACATAGGTCCAAACTTTACCAAACACAACCAATGCAATACCGGCAGTGAAAATATTATTACTCGTCATGAAAGAAAACATGAAGGAAATGAAAAATTGAAACAAGGCAGATTGGACCACAAAACTTGGAAAACAAACCAAAACCAAAGATTCCAATCCCTTGTGAATATATTGATCAGTCATGGTAGAATTCCATATCATTGAACCATTATTTCCGGTGCCACCAAAAGGAGAGGAAGCATTAAAAGAAGAACCAAAAAACATTGATCCCGTAAAGAATTGACTCAAGAATGAATTTGATTCAAAGAAACCACCACCCTGCGTTAAAGTAGTCAAGGGATTATGCTCAGAGGAGAGCAATGTACTGAGAGGAGAATCAGTGGCCATTTTTTTTTGAAGAATGTTGGTGAATTTTCTAATTTCGAGCTTTTTGAATCTTTTTACAGCGGCAGATTTGTGAAGTTGAGTTATTTTTAAACTTTATGAAGATGTTTCATTGAAGTGGAAGGTTCGCTTACTACAGTATTGAAATCCTTAGAGCGGATCAAATGAATTTTTTGTGGGTTACTTTGTTTTTGGGGTTACTTTGTTTTTTTGATGACAATTAATTGATGATTAATTGTAAAAGTTGAATTCCTTCATTTTCGAGATTGAAAAAACATGAAAAAAAATGTCTTTTTGCTACCTTGATGTGTTACCTCCAGAAATCATTACACTAATTCTCCAGCACTTGTCCTTCTCGGAATTGGCTGCACTTTTGAAACGTGAACCGCAATTTTACCAATTAATTTCTGCTAGTGATTTGATGTATGCATTTACATGTACATTCACTCATATTTATTCGAATCAAAAAGAAATGGAAAATGCGCCAAGTTGGATTGCATCAAGAGTGTGGAAAAAAAGAATACCCCTACCAAAAGAACATATTCACCAATTGACCAAATTTCAAAAATTATTAGCAACAACTAGAAATGATTCCTCCAAATACGAAAAGCATTTGAAACAATTTCACTATCATCGAATTAAATTATTAATGAGTGCTTGGAAGTACAATCTGAAAACAGATATCAGGTTTTTTAGGCAGAGTGGAATTGAAAATTATTTACAATATTTTGAAAATCATCTCACTTGGTTTATGGATTACGATATTCAAGCAAATACACGAGAGCTGAGTTATCTGTTGGTTGAATTACCGATTGAGCTTTGTGGGTCGATTTTTTGGACATTGAAACATCCTAATTATTATACTATTTTGGAACCTTCAAATTTGGAAAGATTTTGTAAAGTATTGCCCAAGTATTTTTACATATTACTCAAATTGGGTCATCCAAGATTTTGTCATAGATTTCCCTCATGGAAACATTCATCACGGCTATCCATATTGATCGAACAAAATTCTGATGTGATAGTGAGAGTTCCAAATGGAGTTTGTTTACTTTACTTTATTTCCATGTTTGAGAGAGTTAACCCAAGACAAATTCTATCAAAATTGAGTAGTTCACCATCGGTTATTAAGAACGGTGCTCTTTTACAGGAAATGTTGGAAGAATTTGAATTTCCCCTCAAGTACTGGTGGGATTAGTCTATTCATTAATAGAACTATTCCATCAGAAAATGTCATATTAAGGAGTTCTCTTCGATAGTGCTTTATTTAGGTGGAAAGCTATCCGTGGCAACCCTAATAAAGATTCAAGCATGGAACCATATGGTGTTTGCATTATTTACAAATTTATTATTAACAACATTGTCCATCAGTTTCTTCTGGAAGTGCCTGTTGCTGAGCTGCACATGGAAGATTCTCAAAGAAATTAAGAACCGTAGTATTTGGTAGATTGAAGTCTGTTTCCTTATTGGTATAGTAATCCGATTCTCTTACAACGGAGAGTAACTCAGTAATGTACTTGATTTTTGAAATTGATTCTTGTTCATCAACCTCTTCGTGTCCTTCATGGTTATCAGTGAAATAAACTACATAATCTCTTGTACAACTGCGTGGAGCATCTATCCAATCTTGTTCTTCTTCATTGTAAGGTTGGACATGGAACTGTGGTTGTGTGGCAAAGTACTCTTCCAAATAAGTACTTGGTGAGTAGTAGTTAAGACTACTGCTGTATTCTTCCTTATTATTGGTATAGTTCAATTGCTCCAACTCATCTACATACAGAACGAGTTTGGTTCTTTTGGCAGATTCGTTGCATTCATCTTCGAATGGTACTTGTCTGCTTCTCTTGTGCAAGTTATTCATCATTTTCTTCTTTGTAATCACTTTGATTCTTCTTTTGAAATCACTTTTAGGCTTTTTTTTTGAGTAAGTTAATTGAGGGATGTCTGCTGAGCTCTGAGGATACCTTGTAAGAAATCTGACCTAATACCACCATTTGCCTTGCCCTGGATCGAATAGCCTCAGGCATCAGAAACCTCCTTACAATAGAGGTCTGTTTGAATATTTGGTTCTAAGGGTTTACAATGTGCTTTACCTTAATCGACAAGAATCGAACACGCCACTGGTACCTCTTCCCCCATACCTTGACCTCCGCCGTGTAAGTGTTGAAAGCTGGTAAGATATTGCTCTTAATATGAGATTTAAACTAAGCACTTCTTCCAGTAGCATTCATTTGGCAGATGTTTGTAAAAGAAAATTATAATCAATAAAAAATGTCATCATTGCAACTTCCGAGAGAAATATTTCATGAAATCTTATTGTTTCTTCCTCCGATCAGTATGAAAGAGCTAATAATGGTTTCTAATAGAGATTTTCATAATTTGATAAATGATGTAACATTTCACAAATTATATTTAATTAATTTATTCAAAATTCCTAACAACAAGCTTTCTTTATCAAATATATTAGAAAATTTAGATATTCCATTTGATTTAAACTATTCTAAAGTATTTAAATTATTGTTAGAATGCACTTTCCAATACAAGGATCATATCTTTGATTCTTCCGAATTAATTTTTACAAATTTCAACAAAATCCCAAAAGAAAATATTGAATTTACAAAAAGAGTTCAACTTCCATACATGAAAGAAAATCTAATTCTTTGTTATGGAATGAGAATTCCCTTCAAATGTTGTGGAATTAATAATTCGAAACTAATCTTTATCAAATCATTGAAAGAATCCAAATTTGAGAAATTTGGATTAGAAACTTTCATATGCGAAATGGAGATGATTCTCTTTTTGGAAAATGGATTCCCACTCGAATTATCAATCTATTGCCAAGATCATCGATATCATGGCAGGTGGATTGTTAAAATTTATGGCCAGGATTTTATTGACCTGAAACGGTCTGAAGGTTTTTGGGATTTTGAAATAGTTCAGGAAGAAATGATGAAGCTCATGGAGAGCATTTTGTTTAGAGATTTGAAATTCGAATTGCAAGAGTGCGAGAAAGAGTTGGTTGTTGGATGGAAACGGACAAATATGCAAAAATTGAAATTGACGATAATGGTTAATTGGTTTTATATTGCTACCTTTTCATTCTTGGACATGGATGAACCATCAGACAAATTTTACATTATCCATGCACAGCCTGGCCAGGAATAGGAAATCAGTGAGATAAACCTCATTAGGTTCACAGATTAAGAAAAGTATTTAAGGCCCAATATTAAGGAGTGATTATCAATGTGCAGCTGGCGTAGCTCAGTCGGTAGAGCGTTGGTCTAATAAGCCATTGGTCGCCGGTTCGATCCCGTCCGTCAGCAACTGTTTTATAACAGACAACCGTTTCAATTTCTTTTTGTTTTCAAAGATAAGGTGATTTGGAGCGAAAGAAATATTGGATTTGAAAGTTGGGACTCTTTTCTAATAAACCTTTCATCTTTCAACTCGAATGATCTTGGTACAAATATCAAACACCCCATATTGAACTAAGTTCAAAAAGAGCTCTATTCCTTGAATATTGTTTCAACTCATACACCATCAACAAATCTCTTCATTTTCATCTCTGGTATCTTTCCAAGTCAGGTGTCAAATTACTAATAATTGAAATCAATCAGCTTCACAACTTTTCAAACTTGTTAATTGTCTTTTTTCAGGTTTTTTAAAAACCAAATAGAGACGTTGAACAGTTTTATTGGTGGTGAAAAGTTGATGAATCACAACACAAATGTCTTGTTTTTAATATTTTCCTTTTTTGTAACTGACACATTTTGAGAAGGAGTCTTGATGGCTAACCAATCGTTTCGTTGATGTTGTGGTTAATTGAACAAGATAAACAACATAAAAAAAAGGATGAACCATCCTGACAGCTGTCAAAAGTTCTCGTTTGAGTGGGTAATGGAAAATAATGAATGTTTGCAAGTGTTTTTGCAATATTTACAAGCCCATCAAAATGCTGAACAATTAGAATGTTTAATCGAAATGAAAGAACTTAAACAGGATATGGATTTGATATTAAATAGTGTTTCGAATAACAATTCGGAAGAGTTGTGTGTTTCGAATAGTAATACAGTAAGACAAGAATTGCAACGAATGTTGGGCGACTTTCCCTTGACTGATAAGAAAAAGAAGAGAAGAAGTTTATTCTCTGACTCATCGTCGAATATCAACACAACAGAAAACAGTGTGAAAACAATTTTTAGAAAATTGCTGGAATTTTCCACAAGTTTCTTACATGTAAATTCGAAACGAGAACTAAACTTGCCACAAACCTTGAGAAACAAACTGTCGTTACAAATCCAAACTTTTTGGAACCTATATTCTAAAAAGTTTGGATTTGATGAACATTTACCTTGTGTAAACAATAATTCGAATAGAAATTCAAGTAATAGTTTCCAACCACCTGTTTCTGCTACTTCTAATCCTCCTTCTAACTCTTCTAATACCATCTCTAGCCCATCCAATAACAACAATAGACGTTCTGTCAATAGCAATACATTCAATGCTTCAAATGTCATTGATATTGAAGTGACAGATTTTTATGATTTCATTACAGACAAGTCACTTTTAAATTCACCAAAACAATTTACTGAACCCCCAGGTGGTTTATCTCCTGTTAGTTCTCTTTCTGATACTTCATTTTCATTTGATGGAAACTCAATACTCGAAGATTTTCTCATGTGCATTTCAAGAGTTGAAGAAGTTTTGAAGGAATTGGACACTTTCATTCGATTACAAGTTAAAACAGAGAGTTTTAGAGATTTCTGTAAATCTGAGCAGTTATATACATTCATTCAAAAGTTGAATCCTTCGACAGAGTTTATGAGAGAATTGAAAAGAAATTACAGACAATCGATGAGGGTTAGGTCAATTGCTAATCTGAAAGATATTGGAGATTCGAATGAGCAAAATTTGTCAATCATGTTGCTGAATGATAAGCTTCTCAAATGGAGTATGAATGATGTGTTAAATTGGATAGGAGAACATGGATTGGAGGAAATGGAATATTTCATTACACAGAACAAAATTGATGGTTCAAAACTTTCACATCTGGAACAATATATCAATGATAGCGTGTATCCCTCTTTTGAAGTTAGGAAAAAATTCGAATATGAAGTTGATGAGCTGTTGACCTCGTTTGGATTTGAACCTCTTCCAAATACTGATTTTCCAGATATTAATTCAAGAAAGGGTAAATCACCACCAATCTCTAAGAATGTAGTTGATATTTCTAATGAGACATTTGTTTTAAATTGTCAAATTTCTCAATCGAGTGAAATCAAAAAGATTAAACTGAAATCCAAACAGCTAGTCAATTACTATTCACTTAAGAAAATACTCAAAGATACATTTGGAATTACCAGTGATTTGGAAATTGTACTAGTCAACCAATCCAAAACTTGTCCAATTTCTCCATCCAATATTCTAACATCATTCAAGAAAGATATCATGAATCAAATCAAACATCCAAATCATAATTCACACATTACTGAAATTTTCGAAAAAAAGCTGATAATAAACATTTAACTATCATCTTCATCATTTAAATTATTAAACTGTTATGTATCACTCCCACATTCGAATAAAAATTATTTTCTATTAATTTCTACTATTTTCAATTGAATCGGAACAACAATTATGCAAACTAATATACATTTTAAACTTACTAATTTATTCCTTTAACAATTTTTGAATATCATCTTCCAAATCCTTTGGATTAGTTGTTGGAGAATATCTCTTCAAAACTTTACCACTCTTTGAAACGAGGAATTTAGTAAAATTCCATTTAACAGCATCAACAAGGAAACCAGAACCTTCCTTCTTCAAATAAGCATAGAGTGGAATGGTACCTGATCCATTAACTTCAACCTTATCGAAAATCTTGAAAGTTGTCTTGAATTTAGATCTGGCAAATGTACAAATTTCTTCATTGGTTCCTGGTTCTTGACTTCCGAATTGATTGCAAGGGAAAGCCAAAACTTCAAATCCTTGCTCCTTATACTTGTTGTACACTTCTTGTAAATCATCATATTGTTTAGTAAATCCACACTTGGAAGCAACATTAACAATTAGTAAAACCTTTCCTTTATATTCGGAGAGGGAAACTTCATTCAAATCAGCATCTTTAACAGAGAATGAATAAATATCAGTGGTAGTCATTTCTTTATATTATATTGTTTTATTAAAATAAACAATGTATTGGTTGTGTTGGTTAGTTTTTTTTGTTGATTGAAAACAACTTGTGTGCTCGGACAGTTTTTATTTGATGAAAGAATCGCATTGTTAGGGCAAGCTTGAACACCGAAGAACGTCCATAGTCCTTCCACCCCAGAGATTTTCAAAGCACGAACGATGGCTTTGGAATGTTTCCAGTGGGTCCTCACACTCTATTGTCCATCAATGTTATTAATATCGAAGTGGAATATTAGAGGAGGAAATTTGGTAACGGAAGAAACAGATTTGTTTAATAAATAAATTAGTTTAATGGAAATGTTGTTGTTTTGATGTGTGTTTAGTTAAGAATGCTTAAATGCTTAACAAACAGTCATGTTTAGACAACTCTTAGATGGTGTTGTTAGAATGTTTTCGTCTTGTTGTTGTTGTTGTTGTTGCTCAACAGCAGTCTTTCTCTTCTTTGACAATTGAGAAAGTGAACTAGTTCTTTGCATGGCTAATTTGGTTTCAGCCATTCTCTTTTGTTCAATGTCCTTCTTGGCCTTCTTGTATTGGGTGGTAAAATCCTTAATGTATGCAAAGAATTCATCTTCTTCCTCCTTAGATGATTTTGAACATGCAAAGTGGAAATATTCACAACATTCCTTATAGGAATTCTTGAGAGATTCATAGGCTTCAACTACACTTGGAAGTGTTGGTGCACATCTAGAGTAGAAGGTATTCAATCTGGTTTCGTATAATTCTCTTTCATTCTTAGCTCCAACTTGGTGAAGATATTCAATACGATCTTGAATTTGTTTAAATTCCTTGAACAAGATATCAATACTATCAACGGTAATAGAAACACCGAATGTACAAACACCTGCACTTTCCAATTCCTTTTCAAAGCACAAAGTGTCAATACTATCCTTTTCCAATACTCCAACAAGGTAATGCATAAGAGTCATTTCCTTATTGGTTGATTTGGTATCACCAAGTTTTGGCAAGATTGAAATGTGGAAACCATTGGCTGCTTCAAGTTGCTTCTTACCTCTGTTCATATAGTTACCAACAGTCAAGACATATTTGAGAACTTTGGCAAATGATTCAGAGGTACGAACAATACGAATAGCTTCTTGCTTTCTCTTAATCTTGAGAGTGAGATTATCAAGAGTGCTTTCAAAGGTGTGCATGTAACCAATAACATTGACCTTTGCTTCAATGTTCTTAACGGAGAGGAGTGAAAGTAAGAATTCTTCAGTTCTCAACAACTTTTCCTTTGCCTCGAGCTCCTTCTTCTTACTTGCCAATTCATTAGCAATATTAACCAAACGCTTCAAATTGTCAACATGTTGAATAGAGAGGACACTGGTATCCAAAATGTTGATAAATTCAGTAATTTGATCATTGCTAAATGTCTTGAAGAGACTATTAAGAATAATCTCAACATTTCTATTGGTTCCCATATCGAGAATACCTTGATTGGTTGGAGTGGCAGGAACTGAAGACTTTGGTTTCATTGGAGTCTTGGCAGTAGCATCTTCTCTTGAGAACATCTTTTGGAATTCTCCCAAGTCAAGAATATTTTCATCAATGCTTGAATTATTCCAAACACTATTATTACTCACAACCTTAATTGGTTGCCAGTGAAGCTTTTTGATATTGTTATCTTCAACCTTCTTGATAATGAGTGGTTTCTTGAGAGTTGGAATACCTCCCATCATCATTGGTGGAGGTGGTGGAACATTAAGATTGACTGGTTGCAATGGTGGTGGTGGAGGAACAACACTCAAAGTTGGAGGTGGAGGAACGCTTCCCATCATTGGTGGAGGTGGAATGGTAGAAGGCTTATATGGCTTAATTGGAGAGAGGCAAGAGGTAAGGACTGGATCATTCATATCAAGAAGAACACATTCGTTTTCCTTGTTTGGATTGTGTTTAGCAGAAGGAGGAGTAAAGTGAAGCAAGTTTTGTTCTCTCATTGGAGTGAGATTATTCTTCTTCGAACTGCTTCTACGAGCTGAACGTGGAGAGGACATGAGTCTCAACTTGGAACTACTGTCAGGAGTTAACAATCCTTGATATCTCTTATTGAGTTTAGCAGGTGTTCTACCAACATGCAATTCACTAAAGATGTTTGTTAATTGATCAATTTGTTCCATTTCAGAGAATATTCTCTTGTTTGGTGATTTTGATTCAATCTTCTTTAACATGGTATCCTTATTTTGAGTGAATACTTCCATTTCTGAAATCAAGTTCTTCATATTTCTTCTGTGGGATTGATTTGTAATGTGAGCCAACCTAATGGCCACCTTATTACCCTTCAAGTAATATGGACAACTCTTAACAGTGGAATCCAATTCTGTTCTATATGTGTTAACCTTAAGTTCTGCAGAACTGTCAATTTCCTTCTTTACAAATGAAAATTTGAGTTGAATCTTGATATTGTCAACAATTTCATTATTGGTGTGAGCCCAATCCAATCTATTCTTTTCAATACATAAAATATTGCCATTGTCTTGAGTTTGTAAAAAGACAGTATTGTATGTATATCTGAAAAGTTGTTGAATAGTACCCAATTCATCCATTTGATAACCAAAGAGAATAAAATCACCAATGAGTTTACATGCTTGCTTTGGAATTGGGAAATGATTATTACCAACAGGTTCAACCTTCCTATCACCAACTCCAGCAAGTGAAGTGATTGATTCAGGTTGGGTACCATAAGTTGAATAGACAATTTGATTATTCTGTTTGACAACAAAGTAAATACCAGATGCTGTATCATTAAAATTCAAAAGATCTTCCTGTTGTGGACGTTGCTTTCTATTAGCATCCTTCTTGAAAACATCCAAAGTTGAAAGAACAATAGAATCGAGGGACATTAATTGAATTTCAGGAAGTGGCACTCTTGTCAAATAGTTAAAGTATTTGCAATAACGAACAACACTAGGTTCAAAAGTAGCAATCAAATCAATTTGTTGCTTGGTATAAAGTGATCCCAACACCTTTCCAATTGGTTTCTCTGTAATATACTTTTTCAATTCATAGTAAGCTTCAAGAGTGGTTCGATAATTTCTCTTGGATCTAAATTCGTTATCTTCAATATAGGAGAGGAAGGAAGCAATTAACAACAAGGCAAAACAAGTGTATTGTGCATTGGCAACAATTACAATAACACCCTGATTAGTAGTCTTGTTGGTAATGAAATTATACATGGTCTTACACATTTCAAAGAGGTGAGTAATTCTCTCAAAGTGAGAGATGGAGGCTAGTGTTGTAATTTCAGTGATGGAAGTGTTCAAATCGGATGATGATGAAGTATTCAAACTTGTATTGATTCCACTCTGATTGGAAACAAATTGTCTGGTAAAGTTTATCACCATCACATCACCATACTTGTCTTTCAGCAATTGTTCCATATTATCTGAATTTTCATCGTCTTCCTTGTGGATGACTATTAAAACATCATCATCATGATAAAGATTAATTATTGTTGGTGTTATTAAAATTGTTGATGATGAATGTTAGGAATATTAGCATTAGAATTAAACATACACTTGAGGAAAGAACAAATGGAACACTCGTATAGATTAAACTTGTATTTGGTGGTAAAGCCTTCCACCATGTTCATAATCGAGCTTCCGCTGATTTTAACATTAGGCTTGAGCCACGTTTTAAAATTCATCATTTTTTTTAAATGATTTTGAAACGTTAGATTGTGGCGCCATTTGTATTGAACGTAACGGTTGTTATTAAACTAAATAACGATATTTCGGACTAAATATCAACTTCTAACTCTTAAAAATCTTGGAAACGTTGCGTCTACAGTAACTATTAATTCAAGGTAGTCTTGACATATCAAATCGTCAATCAACTTCTCAATTGATTTGAAAACTATCATAAACTAGTGCAGGCAAAAAAGTAACTGTTTGGGCTGCAAAAAAAATGTAGGATGCAAAAGATGGGGTCTGTGAGGATCGAACTCACGACCTTAGGATTATGAGACCTACGCGCTACCGACTGCGCCAAGACCCCGACACATTAACTTCTTAAATCGGAATATATTGAAACCCTCGTAGCTAGTTTAGATATATTTCTTTTGCTCACATGATAATTTCCTATCCAATTCTTTTTCTTTTTTTCAAATAATCATCTCTCAGCCATTTTACTTTGTTGCTGTTGTGCATTTTCAAAATTGCCTTATTAAAAAAAATGAAACAAAAGCAAAATGCTGGATCTTCCACAACAACGAACGGAGGTGATTTTCCAAGCCTTCTCTCTCACACTGGACTAATGTTCAACAAGGGAAGTATTTGGATGGGATTTCGGGTGAATGGAAAAACATTCTATGTTGCACCATTGATGGAGGATCACCATACGGAAGGTGTTAATTTTCAAAAGATGGATATTTCCGCACCATCATCACGATTTTTATTACTTGATGATATTTCATCATACGGAGTGGAAAATACAGAAGAACAGAGGACTATTCTCTACAAGAAATTGAACAACTTTCTCTTGAATAATGAACAAGAAATTAAACAAAAACTTGTTAAATTTTGGGATGAGAATGTTTCACCTGCAAGGTTATTTTCATTGGATGAATTGATTGCTTGTTTGGATTTGGAGCATGAGAAGATTTGTTCCGAGATTGGAAAAGTCATTTTGCAATTCTCTACATTCTACATTCTTACAGACATGCCACACTTTGAAAAATCCAAGCATGAAATGACATTTAAATCAATTTCTAGAGAACAACTAAGAGAAAGTACATTAAAGCTAAAATTCACTCACCAAATTGATAATATAACCAAGGGAGATGTAAATATAATTTTGGACCAAGAGGAGCTTATGATTTTGAAATACAGACTTTTGGAGTGTTTGATGGTTCAATCAGAAAGCAAATATTGGCATGAATTTTGTAAATATATTATTCCTAAAAACAAGACTATGGAAGGAAAGGTCAAATTTTGGTTGCACCACTTGGGAGTAGAGATTAGTTTACCTGAAGCATTAATTCTCAAATCAAATGTCTTCCCAGCAGAGTTGAATGACCTTGTAATTAAGTGTATTCTCAAAGTTGCTGACCCAAAGGAGTTGCATCACAAAATGAAGGATATTGTTCACTATACTGGCTACAAGGAAAAGATTCCAGAATTCACAAAGGATTGGAGATATTACGATAATGTAATAACAATTGATTCGGAAGGAACTATGGACATTGACGATGCCATTAGTATTTTGGAGAGTAATTCAGATAGCCTTAAGGTAGCTGTGCACATAACCAATGTCGGTCACTTCCTCTATGAATATCTTGGAGAGAGTGATATTAACAAATTATTCCAGCATCATCTCTTTAGAGAAGCATCTAGAAAAGTTACCTCTCACTACATCTGCCTCCCAAAGGATTCTCCTCTCTTTAGAACTACTGATAATCACGAGAGACCACTGACAGTATTCCCGATGTTGCCACCTTCATTATCTGAGGATTTGCTCTCTTTGAAAACTGGAGAAAAAGTTGCAATTACTTATGAGTTTGATATGAAAGTTGGAGAACCTCCAATCCTTATCAATATTCATCCTTCCAGAGTGAACATTATTGAAAATACTACCTATGAAAAAGTTGAAACTCTATTCGACAGTGATGAGAATTGGGAAAAACTCTATCAATACTGTGCCCAGCTCCAAACAAGTCGTCTCACAAATCAGCAAGTGGACAGACCTTACATTGTTCCTCATCCATCTAGTAATACTACAAGTGATTTGATTATTTCATCACGTAGAAGTCTAAAAGGAAGTATTGTTATTGGAGAATGTGCAATTTTAGTAGGATCACTTGTAGGAGAATATTTCTCAAAGAATAACATTCCTGCTATTGCCAAAGTTTTTGAAGATGGCTTAACTAGAATTAAAATAAGCAACGGCTATTTATCCTCTCCTTACATTCAACAAACCAGTCCAGTCAGAAGATTTATTGATACAATCAATCAAATTCAATTATATTTACACTTGACAAGACAGGCAATTCTATCTGAAAATCAATTAGAACTATTCAAGGAGAAAATTGATTCAGAGACTCATAAATCACAAGATGTGGAAGATGATACAATCATGTATTGGGTACTTTGTAATTTGTGGGAAAATTACAAATATGATGAAAATCAAGCATCTCAACCAAAACATCTAACAGGAATAGTTGGAAAACCAAAAGAAGGTAATCATGTTAAAATCAAATTAGATAAGGAAAGATTTTGTTCATTCAAAATACTCTGCTCTAACATTGATCCCAGTCTTTTAGATACAACCATACATTTCTTAATCGATTCAATAGATTGGGAAGAGTTAACTGTTAAAATAAAGCAGTTTGATTAGTAATTGGACACAATTGGAGAATTTCAGTTTTTACAAGAGTTTACTTTTACATGAGTTTACAATAAACATTATAAGAGATCAACGGATCAACCGATTTGAGAATGGTAAAGTTATCAATTTACTTTTTCATTTCCAATGGCACCTTTCTTTATTTACACATTTCCCATTTATTACTCCAAACCTTTCTTCTACAAACCAAAAAAATGATTGGAAATCCAAATCCCAATCACTCTGATTCTCCTCCAACAACAACTACCAATTACTATTCAACAATAAATTCAAACTCTGACAAGGAATCTTCATCATGCTCCAATAACAATTCGAATAGAAACTATTTGGAATCTATTCAAGCATCCAATGATATGTATCTTGTCCTATTTAAACAAGGACTCTACTCCAACTCAACCATTACAATCAATAATGTGCAATATAAGGTTCATCGAGAGATTTTAATGGCCACGAGTGGATTATTCAGTGGTTACTTTTCTGGAGAGTTTGATGTTGATACTCAGTGGAATATTGAGGTTAAAGATTTGTTTGATGAGATTGCTTCTGTGGAAATGATTGATTTGGTCTTCAAGATTATGTATAATAGTTATTGTAACTTTTGTAATGTTGTGGGAAAGAATGATTTTAGTGTTTCGTCTGATATTACAAGAGAAAATCTATTGGAAAGATTGAATTTACATTACATTCTCAAATTCTTTTGTTATAATTGTATTGATGAGTATGATCCACATTTGGACAGATTAAAAGATGATTTCCAAAAACTATTCGAAAGATTGCACATTACCTACTCTATCATTCATAACAAGACAAAAATGAATTGGAAAGAAACCTTCCCAACAAGAAACATTGAAGAATCGGTTTATCTACTCAATCGTTACTTGGAAATCTTTCGAGATAAATCAGTCGAAAGAATGATCAAGTTCGATTCCAAGATTATCATCTATAATGGATTGAGATATAGCCATGGAGATAACGACTTTTGGATTGCCTACTTGTATCTCAATGTAATGGCTCCAATATTTGGTCAATCAATGAGCAGTAATCCAATTCTTAGAAAAGTTAAGAGAATTCCACATTTAGATTTAATTTGCTTTAGAAATTTATTATCCATGGACGAAAGTTATTTATTCCTTGCTCCATTAATTGATTTTGATAGTGAAATATTGAGAAATATTGTAAATAAGAATGAATTCAATCGTTACAATGAAGATGAAATGAAACAAGCAGAAATTCAAATGGTCACTGATTGTCACATCAACTTTCCACATTCAATTTCACATTATTTACTTTCTCTCTTCTTTTCCTCAAGCTTGGTTTTGAAAAATATGCAAAAATCACCTTCTAAAACATCTCTTCCATAAGAATCTAATATTTATTATTACTTGAGATATTTGTTAATCTTGGTACAGAGTTTTGTGGCAACTGACATTATACTCAATTCGACGCTACCTCCATAACACTTGTTATATTGACAGCTATTTCCATAATAAAAGGAGTTACATGAACAAGTATTCAGATTAATGCAAGATCCAACTCCATTACAAACATTACTAGCATTGGATGCAATTCCAAAACATTGATAATTTTCACACATTGAACCACTATATCCAGTATTGCATTGGCAATTATTCATTGATTTACAAATACCCCTTCCTCCACAAACAGTTGTCTGATTGGAAAATGTTCCATTACATGTGAAAACTTCACAATTGTCACCATAATATCCAGTAATGCAGGTACATGTTCCAGATTGCTGGCATACGCCATTTCCTGAGCAAACACTTGCATTGGTTGAGGCAATTCCTCCACAATACCAATCAGATTTGGCCAAAGCAGATGCAAATGATCTTCCAGGAGCAATCATGTAGGGCACGAGTCCTTCAAAGTGAGATTTCGTATAGAGTAATGATGGTGAGCTAACATAGGAAGTTCCTTCCAATAAAGAAGTTTGATAGTACTCATTTTCTCCCATAGCATAAACATTACCTGACTTGGTAATGAAATAATAAGCAGTATGGCTTGCAAATATGTCAACTACAATTTCTGGAATATTAAGAATCAGTCCACCATTTTTAAACATGGTCACTGAGCCATCAGTTCTCAAAGCAATCACATGTGAACCAACTGCAAGCTTCCTAACGGGATATGAATAATCCAAGTTGATCAATGTTAATGTTGATAAGAAGTTAGCTGTTCCTGTTGTTATTTCATTCTTTTGATTGATTCCACATCCATATACAGTTCCATTTTGAGTTAAAATGAATGTCAACTTGTGTCCAGCATAAATTTCTTGAATAGTATGTCCATCATTAGTGAGTGAGGTCAAATCAACGCTTGTGATTGAGGTGGCTGAAGTGGAATATCCTGGAATTTGCCCTTCATAACTTGCACCAACTAAGTTACAAAATTATGTGAAATTTAAAATTTCAAATTCTTAACACAACTTACCAGCAAAAAGCATACCATTACGAAGAAGGAACAATGAATGATCATAACCTGCAGCTACAGACTTGATTGGATATGGAAGATCTCCATAAAGATTCAAATTAATAAGACTTGTCGAAGTAGAAGTACCACCATCTCCCAATTGATAATTATATCCAGCTCCATAAGAGTACCCTTGTCCACTAATTCTGTCCATAATCAATACATGAGAATCTGTAAGGGCAAAATCAGTGAAATTTTGATTCAAGAAAACAGATGAATCTATTGATGTCACATCAAATACAGGAATAAACAATGCTTTTTGTGACAGATCCATACCATTGGTACAATTACCCCATAATTTGTTGTTAAATGTTGGATATTGAGTGTCCAATAGAAGTGTACATCCATAACCTGCCTTAATTTGAGGATTATTTCCTAAAATTGCTGCAGCTGTTATCTTTGTTGGTTTTTGAACTATCTTAGGATCTCCAATACATGATTGGCCAAGATTGTTAGCTCCAAAATAGTACCATCCATCACTTGCAATAATGTATCCATTATTGGTTAACAAAGAAGCTTTCAAAACAGTAAACCCTCCTGAAATAGTTTGAAATCCACTATTTTCTGTTCCCTTTTCCTCTGAATATCCCCATGAATAGACATTATTCTGATCATCTATACACATAGAGGCATATCTAGAACATGAACAATCCACTATTGGATTAGTAAATAAATAGGTCAAATTAAGTGGAGCAGTAACTGTATAAACTGAAGTTGGATCCACTTGCCCATAACCATTTCCTCCAAATCCATAAACTCTATGTTGATCTGTCAGTACCAAAACATGCTGATTTCCATAACATGTCTTGATCACTTTTCCATCAATGGCTGGTATTGGAACTTGAACTGGAGTTGAATATGGAGCATCATCAATTCCTGATCCAAATCCATTAGAATTCATGCCCATCATGTACATTTTACCATCAGTATCTACAAATGTCACTGATGTTTTACTGGCAAGATAGGTCAACATGACATAATCTGCCAAACCATTAATATATGTAACATTCTTAATGGATGCAATAATTTGAGGAGTCCATGTGATGAGTGAATCATCTCCATAACCTCTAGTTCCATAATTGTAATATCCCCACGAATGAACAAATCCACCTGTGGTGAGAACAAACATTGTCTCTCCTTTTTTGAGATCTCCAGCCACTGCAACCATCTTACATTTGTAATCACTTGGATCGAGCTCATTTGATGGAAGAGTTACCAAACTCCACTCCTTACTAGTTCCATTCTTCCAATAAACACTACCATCACTCAAACAAGCCAAACAAGAGATGGCACACTGAATGTGTGAAATGTTTTTTGAGGTCATTGGATTGTAAACTCTCTGATCAGTTCTGTAAACATAAATTGATTGTAATTCCGAGCTCATAAAAGGTGGAGCTTGCTCATGAATTCCAGAAACTCCATTCTGATTATTTCCACATGTGAAAATGTGTTGTCCAAGAAAAGAATTCGTTACGTTATTGTAAAAATTAACAACATAATAATTGTAAAAGTATCCATTGATAATGTGAGGAAGATCAAGAGTTACTCCACTCGTTGATCCGAAGGCTTTCTGATAGGATTCCTCTGGATTCGTTTGAAACATCCTGGTTAAATAGGAATTATAAAGAGGATACAATGTTGATTCTTTCAGTGCAGTTGCTCTTTGACCAGCTTCTCCAAAGTTATTCTTTCCCCATGAAAATACTTGTGATGATGCAACAAGTTTCGTTAGCAATAACAAACACAGACAGATGGCAACGTATTTCAATAGTTGTTTGAGTGACATTTTTTTAACCGTGTCTGTTGGTTAGATTATACTCCTAAAACGGAATGGTTTACTTTGTTCCCAAGTTCTTCTTAAATTGAGCTACTTGTTTATATTTTACAATTGATATTTAGAATTTAGGTTTAACTCCATGTTGTTGTTTTAAATCCAATAAATCTTCTCTCAATTCTTTGATCACTTGTGGATTTGAGTTGGCTATCATATATACATATTGTTTCATTACTCCAGTTTCTGGATCGATTGTGGTAACGGCATCTCTTTTCATTCTTTCACTTGCAGTTCTCAAAAGTCCAAAATCTTGATATTTAACTCTTGCCTTAACTTCATTTGAATTATAATTCAAAAACTTTAAAGTGAAACGATCAGCCATGTCAGTTCTATTCAATAAGAAACTCTTCCAGAAAAATCCAGCCAAAGGCATGTGAACCTTGAATCCCAATTCATTATCGAGAATTAAATTTCTAAAATCTGTAATTGTATCAACAACATTTCCAGAATCATCAAATAAATAAAGAACCTTATTCTTACTATCATATTCCAATTTGGTAAGGACACAAATTTTGTGATTAATATTATTAACATGTGATGAATAACTCAGGTAGGAACTTCCCATTAACCACAAACAACAAATGAACCAATTTACATTAATATCCAATTCATAGATTGTATAAAGCATTCCTGTGGTTGCCAAGGCATTCAAAATGTGAGTCTTATTAATTTGATAGGGTTGGATTATGAATCTGTGTACCAGATTATTATATTTTGAATTGTAGAGAATGATTGATTGATTTTCTGTAGTGCTACTATTGGCTTCATCTGTACTGTTCTCTGATGAGGTTGCTTCTGATGTTGTTGTTCTTTTAAAAAGGCTTGAAACGAAATTTCCTCTCTGATTAGTATTTAACATCATGCTTCCTCCAGAGATTAGCATTGATTTATAATTACTTCCCAAGAGATTTATCTTCCGAAGTGTTGTTGATGCCGATGACGATGATCGCAACGATGAATAAACCAAAGATGAAATTCTTCTCATTTTGTTCACTTGATTTTTTTTAAGCTTGGAAAATTAATTTTGATTGTTTTTTCTTTTTTAAAATGATTTTGACCATCTTTTTGATAGGTTTGATAGGTAGGACAAGGAATGGTTGATTAGTGGAAGAGTTACAAGTGTGAAAAGGTTAGTTTTAGTATTATCTAATACCTCGGATGGTGTGCAAGAAATTCACATGATTTTTTCCAGTTGGTTGTATTGAAAATTATTAGCTAGTGTCATTATCTTTGCTGACATTCCCTAAAAGGAAATATGGCTCGTGTTATTGAATATTCTTTTCTTTGATAACGGACGAAGTGTAACACAAGAATTTTGAACGCCCTGAAGTCCAGATGAACCATCCATAATGTTCTCTGTTCTTCCTCTTCCTTGCCTCACCCATCTGCCAACCATCAAATTGACATTAAAACAAAAACCAACCCACTCACTCCATCATACGAGATAAGATCTAATACTCCATACCAATTAGACTTTCCAGTGAGACAATTCTGTCAAAACAACTCTTCTTCACAGTCATCGATTGTCATCAAATCACAAAGAAAAAAAAAATTTCAAGTGTCGTTGCTGTCATCGACAACGAAAAACTTTCACTCTCTCTCTTTTTATTGAAATAATATAACTTTTCTCACTCCCTCTCGATCGACAAATTCTAACGACGAACAACATCACCCACAGTATAATACTTAAATACCAAGTTGACTTTTTTAATACTCCTTTTACAATATGAGTAAAACCTACGATAAGGAAAAGAGAAAAAAAATCTTTGATGAAATTATTGATACTGAAGAGAAGTATTTACTTTCATTGGAGACGCTGAATAAGGTTTGTTTTTTCCGCATCAAATTCTTTTAATGATGTTGATGGTGATGATAATTTTTATTATTGTTGTTGTATTTAATATTTAATTATTGTTGTATTAATGATGATGATGATGTTTTTTATTGTTGTTGTTGTTGTTGCTATATTATAATGATGATAATGATGGAAACTAACTCTCCGTAAAATTGTTGAAACTTTACAATATTAAATACTATTATATATAATATAATAACAATTATTACAACGACGTGATATAGAATTATATTGTACCATTAAAAAAGAACAAGTACTTGAAATTTGGTAGAGAACTCAACTCTATTGTATCCAATCTGACAGTTATTGTCAATTTTAATAATCACTTGCTTTCTAAACTAAAACAAACGAATGAAGACGATATTGGTAAAACTTTCCAAATGATAATTCCCTTCCTAAAGACCTACACCCAGTACTTTAGTAATTATGAAGCAGCATTGAATAGTATTAGGGAGGCAGATAAAAATCCAAAAAACAAACGATTTTCTGAATGGTTGAAAAAGACTGATGATCGTGCTAAGGAACAGGGTCAACAAACTTTTAAACAATTATTGATTCAACCTGTTCAACGTATTCCAGTATGTTTTTTATTATATTCATTTCAGTTTTTAATAACTAACTCATACTCATTTAAATATATATTTAATTGTAAATCATATTCATTTAAATATTTGCATACATGTAAATGATTTGATTTGCCACATTGTAACTTGTTAATAATTCTATCAAATGCAACTCTGTGAAATGTTGATATATCTATTCGAATGTATTAAATACAGCGTTACAATTTACTTTTATCGGAAGTTTTGAAGAATACACCAAAAACTCATGTCGATTATGAAAATTTGAGAAGTGCATCAGATAAGATGAAAGAAGTTGCAGATCACTTGAATAGACAAATTACAGAAATTGAAAATAGAAACAAACTAATCAAATTGAAAGAAATTTTCGTTTTGAATAACACAGGCAAAGGTGTCATGACTAATATCGTTGAACCTCATCGTAAATATGTATTTGAAGGAGAGTTACATGTTTTGAGTGAAACTTCATCTATTAACAAGCAGAAGCATTACTTTTTCTTATTTAGTGATATTATGGTTTGTTGTAAGGAAGTTCCAGAAGAATTAAAGAGGAAATTAATTGAAGAAAAAAAGGCAGCTCAACAAAGTCAAGCTAATTCGAAAAAACTTGGAGGTCTCAAAATATTTTCACGTAAATCGGATGCTGGTAACTCAGATACTGACCATAATCAATTTGGTGCATTTGATGATGATGAAAACGAAATTCCAGATCATTTCTATACTATAACATTTACAATCAAATTTACTGATAAAATTGGAACGGGTAATACACCTGTCAGTTCACCAATGATGGCTGCCTCCACTCCAACAAGTCCTTCAATGGAAAGCTCAACCAACGTTGAAGAAATATGGGTCCGTGACTTTTCATTCATGGAAGGACGAAATTTCCAATTCCCAAATATTTTCCAATTGATAACAGGAACTGAAACTTATACATTTGAATCAACTGATGCCAAGTCACGTGAGAAATGGGTTAACCATTTGAATAATACTTTGGATGAATTGAAAAAGAAGAAGAAAGACACAACCAAAGATCGTGCAAAGGCAAAAGGTTTTCCAGTTGTTATGGTCAACTCGGCAGCTCTTGTTATTCAAGCTCTTGCTCGTGGTAAATTAACAAGAGGCAAGAAGGGAGACGTTGAAAATAGATTCAAACCTAGAAAGAAGACCACTAAGTTGAACACTAATCCATTAGGTGCTACTTCTCCATCTTCACCTACAGCTGATTCTATACCTACTGGACCTGTCACAATTGACCATACTGATGTTAATGTGACTGCTCCACCAGAAAAATCACCTAGACCAGTTGAAGAACCAATTGCAAAAGTTGAAGAACCAGTCACCAAACCAATTACACCACGTGTCATTGATGAAAATCCATCTCAAGAACCAACTAGTGTTATTGATGCTGCCACTATTCCACCACAAACAAATGTCGTAGAAGAACCACAAGAAACATCAAAACCAGTAGAAGAACCAAAGCAAGTTGAAGTTGAAAAGCCAGTGGAAGAACCAATTGTGGAGAAACCAACAGAACCAGTTACAGAGCCATACGAGGACAATACTTCTACCACAACAACAGAAGAGGAACCAAAACCTGTTGAACCTGAAGTTGTGGATTCAGCAACAGTCGAAGAACCAAAGGTCAAGCAACCTGAAATTGAGGAACCAAAGCAACAAGTTGATCCAGGTATTACAACAACAATTGAAGAACCTGAAGATGAAGAACCTGCCACACAGACAACTCCTGAATCAACCAATAATGATGCCATTAAGAAATCTCCTCGTGAATCCATCTCTGACGGTCTGAGATCACCTCTCTCCAGTCCAAGACTTTACAGAAAGGACAGTAATGAGGAATTCAAATCACCAACCAAAGAAGAAGATGAAGAAGTATACTTTGATGAGGAAGGAAATGTCTTACCACCTTGGAAGGTTGAACTCATGAAGAAATTCAAAAAGTCAGGCAAATTCAATGCCATTCTTGCTCAACAAAATGATAACAAGAAGGTTGAAAAGAAGATTGACATGCCAAATAAGAAGTTGCAATTAAATGCAATTCGTTCCATGTTTGAGGAGAAGGATAAACTTGCCAAAGAAGAAATGCACACTTTACGAAAGGCAAAGGAAAGTCCACAAAATACTTCATCTTCCTCTTTGAAATAAATGTTTATTACAATTTTAAAATAATTCAATGTAATATATTCTAATATTAGTCTTTGATGATTCAAGAACCAATACTATTTGTAATAGTGTTCATTGAATTTACAATTATTGTCTCTTGTATTTGATGATATATTCAGGATAGCACTGATATCTATCATAGACAATCAATTCTCTATATGAATTACTTGTAGTATTTGATTGGCCAATCACACTATCAAAGACTCTTCTATTCTTTCCAACAATTTCTGGAGGTCTTCTTTGATTGGTCATTCCTTGGGGTGTGAAATAGACTTGTCTTCCCAAAACAACTCTACACAGGAATATAGTATATTCCTTATTAAGGTCTGGAGTGCAATATTGGTCACTCTTTGAACAATACTCAGCAAAATAAACTCCAGCTCCAAATAAACCACCCAAACTTGCAACTCTTTCATCAAATCCATGTTCTGAAATGGTTGAAACAAATTCAGGTTTTGTTCCGTGCCATAAGTACTTTTCATTCATTCCACTATTCAATCCAACTGTTTTCATCCATTCGTAGGATTTGCTTGTTTTTGGCAATAGTTCTGTTTGAACTTGGATTGTCTTGATAGGATCTTGATAAGATGTCAAATGATTCATTCTTGATTTGTATGAAGTGAAAAGTGTTGCATTTTCAATTCTTGAAACACTTGAAACAATTAATTTGGAATAATTCATTTTCACTTGTTGATCTCTACCAGTTCCAAGTGTTGCAGAATTACATGAAACATTGACAATATCTTGAATGGTATTTTTCAAATATTTTGTAACATCCACAATGTAAAATCTTTTAGAATAGGATGTGAATGTATTTCTCTTCCAATAACTTGGCAAGACAATATTCAATTGTCTAGATTTGGATTCTTCCAATTCCTTTTCCATGTCTTGTAATTTCTTTTCCTTACTTTTCAATCTGCTAATTTGATTTGTAATTTCTTCTCTTTCCTTAACACTTTGATTGGTGAATTCCTTTGTTTTCTGTTCAAGTTTCTTGATTTCTTGTGTGAGATTGGATTTATCTTGTTTGAGATTGAATTTAACTTGATTCAATTGTTTTTCATATTCCTTCAATTGTTTTGATTGATTTGAAATGGATTTGACTTGTTCTTGAACTTTGATTTCATCCAAGAGAGTATCCTTCAAAAAGAATTCACAAACAAGAGCATCTGATGCAAATGGTCTGTCATTTGGATCATTAGTCATACATTGTTGAACTAGAGTATTCAATGATGAGTAAGTATTCAATTCTTGAGCAGTCATACAATTCTTGATGGTTTTTCCAAATGCAAACATATCTGATTTGAATGTTGCTGATTGACCATTCATTAATTCAGGTGATAGATAGTCATATGTTCCAGAAACAGAAGTTCTAGTGTACAAATTCATTGTTCTACTTTGAACATCCAAACTAACATCAAAATCTCCCAAAATAATTGGATATAGACCATTGTTACATTCTCCAACAAATATATTCTCAGGTTTGATATCACAATGAATGACACCTCTGGAATGAATATGTTGAATGGCAATTAATACTTGTCTCCATGTTCTTTCCCAAAAAAGTACTTCTAATTTGGTGGATTTTCTTTGTTTTTCAAGAAATTCCTTCAAATTACCATTCGAATAATATGGCATTACAATATAAACATTGTTGGTGGAATGGCTATTATCATTAGACATGTAAAATCCTTCAATTTCAATAATATTGTTATGTTTCAACTTTTTTGTAATCTTGAGTTCTTTTTGTAAACTTTCCAATTTTTTGTTATCCTTGATTGAATATTGTTTAATGATATGTTTCTTATCGTTAATATCAGTTCCAATAAACAAGTGATGATTTCCATTCCAATCTTGAATTGGCTTAATTTCTTTGAATAAATCGGCTGACATTTCTTCAATATTCATTGTGGATGCAATACTTGATGACAGGATTGACTCAACATTGAATCCAATAGTTTTCAATTGGAGGAACTTCAACTTGATTTCATTTGTCTGTTCAATACATTCCTTGAGTACTTTCTTTTTTTCTTGTAAGGTTGTTTCCTTTTCTTTAATTTCATCCTCAATTTGCATGGATTCAGTCTTGTTTGTAACATGTACTAATTCATCTCTCAATCCATCAATGTCAAGTTTAATAATGGTCAATTCTCTTGTTACTCTTGCTTTCTTTCTTTGTAAAGCAGAATATTGTTCTGTCAATTGCTTGTAATCATTCATAATGTTTACAATATTTTGCAATTGTTCATGTTGTTCAATAATGAATGGAATGGTTTCTTGAATGAGCTTGTTTCCATTATTAAATTGATTTTGATAATCACAATAAATTTGATAAATTCCAATTTGAACTAGTTCAGGAAGCAAATTTTTAGTATTAGAAATTGCTTTTTGTAATTCCAATTCCTCCTTTGAAAGCATTTCCATTGCAATCTCTAAATTATTTGCAATTCCATTCAAATTAACACTTGTGGCATTATTAATGGATGATGCAATATTTTGTAATTGAGTTGAAATATTTTGTAAAACATTTTTGGATTTTCCTTCATAATTTGAATCTGTAGTTGAACCATTTAAACTTTTAAGTGTTTTTTGAATTTTTTCAATTGTTAATTCCTTATTTAGGTTATCATTAGCATTGTAATATTGTAATTGATCTTGATTCAAGTAATTTTGAACAAATTCATCAAATATTTGTAATTTTTCATCTAATGCTTGAATATAGCTATTCAATTGAATTAAATAATTTTCTGAATTAATTCTTTCTACTATATTTGTAATATTTAACATGTCATTATTAATTAAAGCCACATGTTCAACATTTTCAATATCACACTTATTATTCATCAATCTATCATTAATAGTTGAACAACATTCGGATAAAACTCCATTAATTTTCGAATAAACTTGTTGTAGCTCAGTATCAAATGATAATTGATCTGAAAGTGGAATTACCGAATTCAATTGAGAAGTTACTTGTTTTCTATATTGAGAAACTTTCTCATTCAATGAACACAACTCTGTGAAAACTTGAAATACTGAAAGGAAAGTTTGTTTCTTTTCCTTTTCAATTCTTTCCTGTTCAAGTCTTTCGTTTTCAATTCTTTCTTGTTCGAATCTTATTTGATCAGCACGTTCCTTTTCAAGTCTCTTCTTTTCCAACATTTCTTTTGTAATTCTTTCCTTTTCAATTCTTTCCTTTTCGAGTTTGTCGACTTCTTGTTTAATTATGGAAATTGATTTTCCATTAATTTTTAAATTGTTATCAACAACGATATTTGGGGAAGCAAGTAGCAATTTGACAATTTCTAAATTTCCTTTTTGGCAAGCAATAAACAAAGGAGTGAACTATATATGGTAATATAACTAAATTAATAAATTAAATTTACTTACATTCTAATAAAAATTAGTAAAAAATTTAAATAATAATTGATTGCTTACATTCTATAATGATACATTGAGTATTGAAATATTTCAAATAAATTTTTACTTACATACTAAAATTAATTAATTAAAAAAAATTAATAAAAAATTTTTACTTACTCGCTATTTAAATTTTAAATAAAATTAAAAAATAATTAAATACTCACATCCTAATAAACAATATTAAAAAATCAATTAAATTTTACTTACAAACTAAATAATATTAACATGTAAATAATAAAATATTATTACTTACAAACTATTATTTTAAAAATTATAAATTTTAAAAATTAAAGCACTTACTCTCTAATAATTATTTAATACATTTAAAATTAAGTATATTAAGTAATACCTACTTCCTATATAAATATTAAATAAAAAATCGACCATGTAAAATACTTACATACTAAAAATGGAATTAAATAAAAAAATAAAATTTTTAACTTACAGTCTATTAAAAATTAAATAAACATTTAAATATAAAACACTCACACCCTACCATCATTAATATATCCAATACATTCACTTCATAACTACTTACACACTAAAAATGTCAACTGTCAACACAATAAATCAAATACTCACACCCTTGTTCACATTAATTTCTGCATAATTCAACAATAATTTAACAATTTCCACGCGTCCATTTTCACAAGCATTATACAACATTGTCTTTCCTATTTTTCCATTAGAATATTCATTGATATCTGCTTTTTTAAACCATTGTTTAAATTCCTTGACATTTCCTGTGGAGGCAGCATCAAGTGCGTTCTCAAAGTTTTTGGACATTTTTTTGATCTTGTTGAGCACTCATTCGAGTAGTAAAGATTATACACAAGATAACACTTCGTTTACTACTGTCAGATCACGTTTCGAGTTGATGGTTGATGGAATGGTTTCTAGAAAAGGAAGATCATGCCATAATACTTGGAAAAATCTAAATTGTTTTTTACAATGTAAATATTCTTCAAAATAATGTTCGAGTGGAATAGCTGATAAAGAGAATTCAATAAATAATTATTTATTCAATGTCCAAAATATTCAATATCCAGCAAGAAGAGAGAAGACATTATAAGTGTTCTCTCAAAGGGAGTGGTTTCCATTAGGAAATTCACCTTAATATAATCAGGAGTGTAACCTTTCAATTCATAATCTGAATTGAATTTATGAGTGATTGTTGCTACATTCTCTCCCTCAATATTTCTCACTTGAAATTGATCTAAAACATGCTTTTCACTTGGTTCTTCCTTTTTTCCATTTGATTTATGTTTTGTAATGATAAATAAGGTTGCATATTTGTACTTGTCATGACTGGATAAATTACCATTCGCTTGCTTTTTCACACCTTCAACAGTTTGAATCAAATATTGAGTTCTGAGAGAGTAGCTCTTTTTCATAACTCTTCCCAAATCTCTTCCACTCTTTGGTTCAATAATTTCCAATTCTGTGGAGAATAAATGATAGGGATGAATCAAATCAATGACACGATAGCTTTGTACTGAGGGTTTGTGAAGTCCATGCAATTGATCGAGGAAGGAAAGTTTATCCTCTCTCAAAAGTGGACTTGGATCCATCATGGATTGATTCTCTAGTCTGTCCATTTCATTTTGAGTATAATACATGGACGCTTTAAATTGACGCTTGTGTCCATAGGTTTCAAATTCTTGAGCTGTAGAAGTTTCGAACGCTTCACATTTGAGCCCATTATTCAATTTAACAATATACTCATTTCCAAACTCTTCTTTTGGACTTGTCATTGTTTGAGTATGCATCATGGTTGTGTTGGCTGTTGTCATTGAACGATTGTTATGTGTTGGATTTCTTCTCTTCTTTCTGTATAATCTAATTTTTGTAACATTATTGAGAATGGCATAGAAAATATCCCTTCTCTCCCTCAAGATTGAATCCAATAGAATGATATTCTCTCTTGTAGTGCCTCTCTTCTTCTTACTTGTCATATTTTCAATGAGTCCTGATTCTATGGTATGTGATTGTTGATTCAATTTGTTTATAGCTGATGATCCAATTGAAAGATTGGTGCTGCTTGTACTAATTGTTGATGGAGAGGAGCTGACTGAAGAACAAGCTGAAGTTGCATTTGATGCTGCAGCAGAATGGGAGGAAACTTTCATGATTGAGAAGTGGTTATTCTCTACCGGTGGTATCTGAACATTAAGATTCTTCTTTTTGTTTTCAATGTTTGTTATTGAAGCGCTCTTTGGAGGTATTTGAAGAGGTGGTCTATTGTTTTGAGGATCTTGTACATTAGTTGAGTTTCCAATATTTGGAATTGTTGTATTTGGAGCAATTAAGAGTTGTTGAGAATCTTCAGTTGGTGGAGTCTTAACAAAACTCAAATGTTTGGAAAGTTTTCTTGTATGGAGGAGTGGATTGGGATTTCCTTCTCTTGTTGCATTGTTTATAATTGTTACGTCTCCTCTATTGTCCAACAATGAATTCCCAAATATAGTGCTCGGTTGAGTTGTAGTCAATTGACCACATCCAAGCATAAGTGAATGTGGTGTTTGATTTAAATTAGGTTGTCTGTAGATTTGGAGTGGTTCCATTTTGTTTAACTGGTAAATAGTCGTTTAAATGAATTGTTCATTCTTGTATTAATCAAAATGATTCTCTGTGATCTAGACTTTATTCAAGCTAAACCGTGTTCTACAATAATTTTCCTCTAAATTGAAGTAGTATAAATAAGTACAAAATCCAAAAATGTTTTAAAATTTTAACAATGTTAAAAGAGACCAAATCTTGTCAATTTTTTGGCCTTCTTTACACTATCAATACCTTTGTCAATATGGTTGTTGGCTGTTTCTACATTTTCTAGCATTGAATCCAATGTTTCTTGGTTCTCAATAATTATACTGTGCATGTCTTGATACATTCCGTGGAGTTCTGTGTAATCTGTTTCGAGTCTCTTTAAATCTTCGTGGGTTTCTTTGGCTATGGCTGTTTCTACATCTATAGTGTTCTTGTCCCATTGACTGAGGACAAACTTTTCCTTTTGTTGTTGTACTTGAACTTGTTGTTGTTGACCTCCATCAACTTCAAAGTTGTCATTCAAATCTGAGCTTGTTGATGGTTTCTTCTTTTCATAAATATCTTTAGTATTCTCGCTAATAATCTTCTTATATGAGGCATTATTCAAAATTTTGGTAAATTTAGGTTTCTCTTCATTGTATTGTCTCAAAATTTTATCTGTTATAGAATTCTTGGTAACTGTCTTGAAATAGGAATCCAACATTTTTTGGAGATCTTTCAGACGCTTGGTATGTTTGAGAATATCGTTTGTCATACGTTGTTGTGAACTTGCTTTCTTTCCAAAATTATCCAATAATTTTTGTGTATTCATTGTGACTTTGATAAATTCCTCAATGGCAACTACAGCATCCTCATAAGAGTTGACAGAGTCTAATTCTTTGTTATCGTCATCATCCTCTTCATCAACATTTGGTGATTCATTGGAAACATATTCCAAATCATTATCTAATGAAGATTCATTAACAGCCAATCCATTAATTGTCAACTTCTTTTTTGTTTTAGCAGTCTTTGAACCAATCGATTTCAATCCTTGTTTAAATGTTTTCTTTTGAGTAATAGAGTTGAGAATATCCTCAAGTTCTACTTGAGACATTCCTGTTTCCTTCTTTGCAATCACCATAACCATTGGTAATAAATAACTTTCTAATTTAGTCCAATCGGAGAGAATTTCTGACCAATCATCAGACTCTGCAACTATAATTTTCTTCCCACTAAATGTTGACCTTTGGTCTAGGAAGGCTTCAGTCTTTATCAATATAACTCTATAATTCAATCCACTTGGTTTTGAAAACAATCCTCTCTTAGCCTGTTGCAGAATCATAAAATCATTTTCATAACGAACCGTTTTTCCAAGAGCTGAAACAGCCTCTACCGTTGAAAAACTACTATTTGTTGAAATTTGTGGTGGGCAATATATGACCATTTTCTTTTCTGTACAAAATTGTTATATTATAATACTATATTAAATATTATTATTATTAATTATTAGTTATATTTGATGATGAACGTTTGTTCTAACAACTCTCCGGGTTCAAAGTCTTGGAAAAAAATCTAGGAAAAAATTTGTGATGACGGAGTTGAGAGTTTTTTTTATGTGATGTGTAATCTTTCGATCCAGATGAGAATTCGTTAGTAACAAACGACTAGTCTTGATTTATTTGGAATTATGATTTAAGGAGTTCTATTTGGGTTGAATTTTGTTGAATTATGTGAATTTTTTTGTAAGCTATTTAGTTTTAATAACAAATAAGATCTGAAAATGATTTAACCCAACTCAAATATGAAAGAGTTTTGATTTTTTGAATCATTAAGATTTTACGAGAGACGTTTGATTTTCAAGTTGTTATCACAAAGACGATTTAAATCGTCCAGTATCGTTTCTTTTTTTATAAGGAAGTTTAACATTAGTTTTTGTGTTAGGCTTAAAACGTTAAAATATCTTAAGCTTGTCAACCTCAAGAAGTATTCAAGTATCAATCATTAGTTACATAATCTTCAACTATTTAATCTTCTGCCATATAATCAAAGTAGATACATTTTCGTATTCCCAGGTACCACTTCATTGCTCAAGCATATTCCACTCTTTTAGAAATGAAACCAAGAATCCAGATCTTTCAATCCAAATCTTCAGTAATTGAAACTATTAGTATTTAAACCTCTACAGTAAATTTAGCATTATTTCAAACCATCTAAACACAATTTTAAATCATTTTTAGAACAGGGCTTTAAGAGAATTTTGTCGAAAATTTCTCTACTTTGTTCTTCCTCTGCCGTCAGAACATTTCCTGTGATTAAAATTAGTTTGAAACTATTTCCGTATAATCTCCTTAATTCTTTTCCTGCTTCCAATCCGTTCATATTGGGCATATTCTATTTACGCATAGTATTATATATTAATATCAATTAAATATTGGTAATGAAACAAACCATATCTGTAAATACAATTTTGTGATTTTTGTAATTGTCTAAAAGCTCGCGTCCATCTGAAACTGAATCTGCAGCATATCCCAAGGTACTGAGCATTTTTAAAAGGATTTTTCTATTAACTGGATTATCTTCTGCGAGTATGATTTCATTTTCTGATTGTTTGGAACTGGAAGCAGCTGATGAAAGTCTTAAATGTTCCTCATGAATTGTCAATTGTGACTCTACAATCCGTTCCACTGTTACTGATTCATTATCAACAAAGTCAGCAAGTTCAAATGGTATTGTAACAGCAAAGTCACTTCCAACTCCAACTGTTGAGTCAACATTAATGGTTCCTTTCATATGATTTAATAATATGGAAACAGTTGTTAATCCTAATCCCGAACTTGGTACCTTTGATTCATTATTATTATCCAGTTGGACAAATGGCTCAAATATTTTGGAAATCAATTCTTTAGGAATTCCCTTTCCCTTGTCTGATATTTTAAATTCAATTTTGGCTGATTTTTCATTCTTTTCCAAGATAGTAGCAGTTAGAGTTACATTTGATTTAGGCTTGGATGCCTTGATAGAGTTAGTTAATAAATTAGAGAGTATTTGATAAATGTAAGATCTGTTGCTTTTCACTATCGTATGTGAGAGTGAATCACAAATAAAATTTAGGTTGATTTCGAATTGCTTTGCATATCCTGAAATAATATTTTGAAGATCAAAGAGACATTTTTCCAGTTCAAAACTTTCCTTCTTAATTTCATGATCAATTTTTTCTTGGTTAGTTTCATTCTCAATTCTAATTATTTGCAAAATATCCTCAATTAATAGAAGTAAAACATTGTTCGAGGAAAGGGCCATATCCACTAATTCTGTTTGTGATGAATTTAATTTAGTTTCCTTCAGTAATTCTAAGCATCCTCTGCTTGACATTATAGGACATCTAAATTCATGTGAGACATGACTCAGAAATGTATTCCTGACCGTTAAAGCTTCCTCCAATTTGGCCCTAGTTTGCTCCAACTTTTCAACCTTCATTGATAGGTATCCAGTTACGTTGACCAAACTATAAGTTAAAATCCAAAACGAGGCAGCCAATCCAAATGATTCACACAATGAAGTAATCATGTCTACCGTTAATCCGTTAGCAATATAGTCCACTATCCCAGTATAAATTCCACATGAAACAAACAGTGTAGTAAAATATAGAGTTGGTATCAGTCCCAGAACTGTTGATTGTAAATACCACTTATTCTCAAATAGTAACCATATTATCACAGCAGGAATGAACAAAATCTTATTCGATTTGAACAAGAAATACCGTATAGTTGCCGAAACAACCCTTCCCAGCAGAATATGCCAATCCATTGTCTTGGTTGTATCCTCATTATTTAAAATATTGGCAAGACTCGATCTATTAGAAACAAACAAAAACAAGGCTATTGAAATATTCAACAAATTCCCTATCCAATCCAAAGAAACCAATCCATATACTATTGCCAATACATTACAAATCATTAAACTCAAAACAACTCCTTTAGGTGATGAAATCATCCTTAACAATTTCAATTCCCATTCACTTCCTTTCCTAGCTGCCACAAAATCATATACTTTAAATTCTTTCCTATTCATCCACGATGGTTTTTCCCTCCGTCTTGTATTATTAATATGTATGCAATGATTATCATCAATAATATTTCTTTACATATTTCCGATCTAAATAATTAAAAAACATACTCCAAATTTACAACAGGTCGATAATTATCTTGCTGCAGCTGCTCTGATGATGTACCGTTTGCGTTTGTTGAAGAATTTTCACCACTGCTAACATGATTAGTAGAAGTTGGACTTTGGTGCGTGGGCATTTTTTTGTTATTATTATTCAATTTAAACAAGTTTGGAATTTTTACAGCGCACAATGCAAAAATGAACTACAAACAAGAATGGTACAAAAATCTCCATAGATGAATAGATTCCACAAATGCGGAGATGCTCCTAAGTAGGAGAACTAGCATAGTTACGCAGACTTCCTTAGTTTTCCTAAAGTTAAAAACTTGGCGGAGACATGCTGTGATGGATACAAATATTACACAATTTTTATTATTGACAATTTTAATCAAGGAAACCTTGAACTTTCTTTGAAGTGTAGGCACTTTGTAAGTATTCAACTTCTTCCTTGGTCAACTCAATTTCACAAGCAGCAACACTCAATTCTACATTTGCTTCCTTAGTTGCTCCAATGATTGGACTTGCAACTCCTGGCTTTGCTAATAACCAAGCGATGGCAATTTGAGCGGGAGTGTAGTTTCTCTTTTTAGCAATTTCTGAAACTCTTCTCATTGTTTCTTTGTCGCCTTCTGTCAATTGCTCAATCATTTGTTTTTGGAAGAAATCAGAGGTTGATCTTTTGGATTCTCCTTCAATTCGTTCAGTTTCGACAAAGTCATGAGCTCTAGCTAACATTCCATTAGAGAGAGGACCCCAAGGAGTGAGAGAAACCTTTTGATCGACACAGAGTGGTACCATTTCTCTTTCCTCTTCTCTGTAGAGTAAATTATACAGATTTTGCATGGAAATAAACTTGGTTAAACCTTTAGTTTCAGCATAATGTTGAGCTTTAGCAAATTGCCAAGCAAACATTGTAGAAGCGCCAATGTATCTGACCTTTCCTGACTTAACAAGTTCATGAAGAGTTTGCATGGTTTCTTCAATTGGAGTATCCTTATCCCAACGATGAATAATATACAAATCAATATCTGAAACCATTAGTTTAGAATAAAACAAAGCAGAATAACTTACAATCAGTTCCCAATCTTTCCAAAGAGTCCTCAACAGCTTGCAAAATATGCTTTCTTGAAAGACCATGAGAATTAGGTTTCTTTTCCTTGCTAAGCAAAAGTATTTTTTGTTCACCTGATTTGTCAACTGGACCAAAAACTTTGGTAGCAATCACAACTTGTTCTCTTGGAATGTTGTTTTCCTTAATAAATTTACCCAAGATTCTTTCACTATCTCCATTGCTATAGATATTGGCAGTATCAAAGAAGTTGATTCCCAAGTCCCAAGCTTTCTTAAGAATTGGCATTGAGGCACTTTCGTCCAATACCCAATCTGCAAATTTTGGAGAACCGAAACTCATACAACCCAAGCTGAGTTGAGAAACCTTCAAACCAGAATTACCCAAGTTAACGTATTTCATATTGATTATTTTATCAGATTGATCGCTTGATATTTTTACAAGTTTAGATAAACAAAACGAATGTATTAATTATTTTGTTTTTTTGTGTTTTGAAATTGATTTTTGGTTTTGAATCGTTTGGAATTAAAGGTGAAAATTTGTGCTATGAATTTGTACGCGCATGATTAAGGATTTGCAACTTGTTGTTTCATATGGTTGCGAACAATGTTAGTGCGTACAAATTTAATGGACCTCGTAATAAATATATCGAAATGTTTTACATTCTCCACATGCTCTGTATTCATAATGTTCCTGATCTGAATTTAAAATTAACAAAGAAATGCCAGTTAATATTGTAAAGTATTTAAGTTTGAAATTTACACACAAAACCTTGTCAATGTTCAATTGGCAATCAGAATAAAATGTCTCTATCATACTCTCCTTCTGCCGCTGGTCTAAACCACAAACGCTTCACTCCCGATAATCCACTCATCATTGTTAGGAGGGTCAGAGCACCAACTGATGATCGGCCCAATATCAATGCTCAATTGGCTCCAATATTTGGACCTCTAGGAGTTTCTCCAAGAAGGGTAGGAGATCAATTGGCAAAATTTGTAAAATCTTTGAATTGGACAGCCAAGCACATCCGTGTTCGATTCATAATTAAAACATTTTCACAATTAGATTTGGAATTGGCAGAACATTCACCACTGACGATTATTTCGAATTTAGCAGAGCCTCAACAAGTAGCTTTGGGAACTTATGCAATTCATGATGGAAATTTAACGTTTGATCAAGTGATTCAAATTGCACAGAGTAAAAAACCAAGTAAGACTGCAAGAAATTTGACAGCAAAAGTGAAGGAAGTTTTGGGAACTTGTGTGAGTATTGGATGTACAGTGAATGGAGAGGAGCCACGAATGGTCTTGATGCAAATCAATAATGGAAGTACTGCCTATCAAATTCCAGAAAGTAATAGCTCAGATAAATGAGAAAATCAAAATACTACAACTTTAATTGAGCTTTCGAATTTTTAAACATAAGAATTGATAATTCCTAAATTATTTACTAACTAACGCCAGTACCCAGAAATATCTCAGTAGTTACTATTAGAATTCTTAGTGTTCTTTATTTTTGAAAAATTTTTATCAAGATGAACTTGGGAAAACAAGTTCAAAAATACTAAGAGAAAAAAATGGCGCAACATCATTTGGTGGTTCTTATTCATGGATTGCAAGGTAATACAGGCCATATGAAGTTTATGGAGGATCGGTTCAAAAAATTGAATCAAGAGGAAGAGTATCGGGAGGAAAATTATATAGTTTTTAATATGAAAGCAAATGACGATAAGGATACTTGGTCAAATAATTGGAGTAAAACAGGTGATGGTATTCAGAATGGAGGGGATCGATTGATTTCCGAATTAAAGGAAAGAATTGAGGGAAAGGTGGATGAGTTTGATGAAAAAGTTGAACACAAGATTTCATTTGTTGGTTCTTCTTTGGGAGGATTGTACTGTAGATATGTAATGGGTTCATTGTTTGATAATGAAAAAGAAAAGATTGTTGTTCAGCTAAAGGAGAAGTGTTTTATTTTCCAATTGGAAAATTATGTAGCCATGGCATCTCCTCTCATTTCTGTCAGATGCCTTGTGAGCACATTCTTTCACTATGGAATGAAAGCATTTTTTTATAAGGGAACGGGAAATGAAATGCTGTTGGATGATTCTAATCAATCAGAGGAAGCAATGATTTGTAAATTAGCCTCCCCAAAACTCAATTATTATCAGGCATTGAAATCATGTAAGAGGAGAATTGCTCTCTGCAGTTGTAAAAAGGATGAAACGAAAGTGGCCTATCAGTCTTCTGCCATAGCCCCATACAGAGATATTTCAGATAATCAGACAGATAAGAGTAAGCCTCTACCTCATTTAAAATCCAAACTAGTTAAAAGTGTATGTTATGATGAAGAAGGAGCTTTCATTGAGGATTTAAAAAACGTAGACAAGTCACGATTCTATTTCAATGGCGATTCAAAGGCAACATGGATTGCGAAACTGATTTCAAACTTAAGACAAATGAGCTGGATGAGAGCAGATGTAGATTTGTATCATGCACAAGCAGCTATCGTGAATGAAAACAGATCAGAAATAGCAGATCTTGTCCTTAAATTATGGACTTTATAGCATCACTGAATACAGCCTGAGAACATATTCCAAAATCTCAATTTCATTGCTTTTAAATTTGACATGATTGTCCTCTTATTCCTTCTATTTTCGTGCAGAAAAGGGCAAAAGTTGGGGTCTGTGAGGATCGAACTCACGACCTTAGGATTATGAGACCTACGCGCTACCGACTGCGCCAAGACCCCGACACATTATATACCTATTACAGTTTCTTCATTAACCTTAACTGAGTTCCTAGGTTTACCTAATAGGAACAGTTTTATGAATATTGACAATTAATGTATGAATTGGGTTGATATTTCAATAATGTGATATGATTTATAATAAACTTTTGTTAAACAATTAATCCACACATGGCAACAATTGCAATTACAATCAAAGACAATGAAAATGAACCAGTTGTTGAATTTTGTCTTCCAGTGGATGTAGAACCAGCTCCAATACTAACACTTCCACCACCAATGACTTCAGTATCCAAGTATTTACCTTTTACAAAAATATATACTGAACTCTTGCTTGTTTGAGAGTTGAGTGATAATCCAGAGAATGTAACCTTTCCATCAGTCAATTGTCTAGTACTAACTCCATTCAATGTAACACTAGAATCATCTAAACTCAAAGTGACTGGCATTGAATAATTCACATTCGAAAAGGTAACATCAAGTGAGAACACTTCTCCAGAATTAAACGAAACCTTTGGCAATTTGGCAGTCAAATAGTGATCTGGTGAGCAACTCTGAGTAATTGCATATCTTGCCATACAACCTCCATCAGTTCCACAAGAGATCACCAAAAACAACTTATTATATGGAGAAATACTTGCAGACTTGGCATCTAATCCTGAACAAGCCACTGGAAACATGGTTGAGTAAACAGAAGAAGCACTCTTACCAGAGACATACTTGTTATATTCAACTTCAGAGTAGGTATCATAGTAGAATGAGCTGTTTTGTTGTGGAGAATCGATGTATAAATTTAATCTTTCAAAGTGACTTCCTGCACTACATGTCAAATTTCTGACATGAGCTTGATATTGTTTTAATGGAACTGGACATTGAGAGTTGCCAGAGCAAAGACATTTATCACAGCTGCAGGCGTTAGAGTTGTGGATAGTAAAAAGGAGAGCAATGAGAGCAAGTAAAAGAATGACAGCTTTCATATTTTTTTTGAATGAATTAAATGTCAAAATGCCTGAGAGTCACATTTCAATATGATGCAATTATTCTTGAAAAGGTAAACGCTCTTTTTTGAGTATTTGCAAAGAATTTTGTGAATGAATCTCATTTGTAAACTTTGTATCTACAGTTTCGAATAAAAATAATATGACCTGGTTCCTATTAGAACATTAACTTGCTTTCGTTTTGAACTTTCTTCATCAATTCAAAGCTTCTTGATGTTTACATCTTCTATCGAATAAAAATAAAAACTCTTCTGAAATTCAACACAATATTTTTCTTTACAATTAGAAATAATTGATAAGAATCGGGAAGGAATGTTATTATTTTGAAATTGATTGCATTGGAAACAATTAAATCACCGCACTGAATAATGAAATATTTAAACGGACTATTTTTAAAATAAATTTTTAAAATTAAAAAAAATAGATAACACCCAACACTTTTGATAACTGACACATTTTTACATCATCATGATGAAATTACACCGAAGACATAATTCTTCCACCATCAACCTAGAACAACTAAGTCAAACTTACGAATTTCCATTTGAAGCTATTTTTGATGTTCCGGAAGCTAAAGAGGAATTTAGATTATATCTCAAAAAAGAACACAATGAAGAACCATTTATGTTTTTTGAAGATGTTGAAGAATTTAAAAGATTGAAATTTGAAGAAAACAAAACTAAAAAGGCAATCACAATTTTAAAAACCTACATTTTACCAAATAGTCAACACGAAATTAATATTTCAAGTCAACAAAGACAATCAATTATTGAAGAATTTGAGAAGGTTTCACAATTGTTGAATGATAAGCATTTATTGGTTAATGAAGGTATTTATGATGAGGTTCAAACAAGTGTATTCTATAGTTTGAAGAATGACAATTATCCAAGATTTACCTCATCGACACATTTCAAGAATTTCATCAAGCACAAGGATGCTGCATTTATTTCATCAATTGCAGTTAAAAAATCAACCAAATATATGGAATATATTCCTAAATTTGATGGATTAGTTACAGATAGAGATATTACATTCTTTTCATTTATGAGTTTCAATTTTGATATGGATGTTTGGGATGAAGTTAATATTGGTATGTTTTATGAACGAATTATTATGATTGAAATTATTAAAATGTGATAATTAGCAAAGGGTGGTAAGAGAGCTTGTTACATGTCTAAAAAGGAATTCCATTTCAATGATAAATCAATTGAATCATTGACTGAACATAATCATTTCCAAAAAGAGAATGGAAAGTTGTTAAAGCAAGTATTTATTTTGCCATGTACTAAGGAAGAAGCCTTTACAGTGTTTTCACATACCCATCTAAGAAAGGAAATTATGGGACTTGAAGGCATTAATCAAATAGATTTTATACCAATTTCACCTCAAAACAAGTATGCCCATTCGATTACTCATTTACAAATTAATATGAAAGGATTTTCATGGATTTTAAAACCTAGAGATGCTGTCGTTGCCTTGACATCTGTTGTTGATACAAAGAGAGGTTGCTATTCCCTCATGTTGAAATCAACGGAATCAACCCAAATGCCTGAAAAGAAAACTCATGTAAGAGCTCAAATGTTGACCAGTGGATTTTTTACAGATTGTTCTCCAACGGATGAAATCATCTCATACAAGGAACAAAAGAAGAGATTAAGGTCTCCTCAAGCTGAATCATCCCAGAAAAATAATGCTAGCTCTTCATCACTTTCTAGACATAGCTCTTCATCACTCTCTAGACATAGCTCAACATCAGAAGAAGACGAAACCGAAAGTGAAGAATCATTTGGAAATGTTGAACATGCATGCAAATTGATTTTGGTTTCTTATATTGATCTCAAAACTTTACAATCAGATTTTATTAGAAAGAAAGTTATTAGTGCTAAAAACAAACATTGCTATACCAATTTCCTCTCAGCAATTCAAGAACAACGCCAATATGGGTTTAAGAGACCTAAATTCTCTGAGGGTCTACTAGAAACTCTTGATGCATTTAAATCGACTTACTTGATAGATACACATGCTGAAATAACTTGGAATATGGAAGAAGAAGATGCTGAATCTTCTATGCACGAATTGATACACTGAGATGGCTCTTGTTAAAAATAAATAGTAAAAGAATACATTCCTTTATTAAGTTTACAGTAGAGGTTCATGATTGAAATATCACAAGTACACCGTTGTTGTTTCAAGGTTAATTTCGATATTAAGGTTAATGGAGAAACTGGAAAAGGTATATAATGTGTCGGGGTCTTGGCGCAGTCGGTAGCGCGTAGGTCTCATAATCCTAAGGTCGTGAGTTCGATCCTCACAGACCCCATCTTTTTTGCATCCTTTAATTTCCAACAATGAGTGGACAATAAGTCCATAATTACACAACTTTCAGGATAATCCTTAAAACATCAACTTCAATCAGTGAAATATGTTAATAACCCTTAGGTCAACCTTGATGTATTTCTAAAACTGTCACTTCACTTTAGCATAGTACTTTTTAATGTATTTTGCGTTAAAATGAGGCGCAAGTGCAGATAGGAACACTATCTCAATCCCTCTTTCAACTCTTCTGCAAAATGAAATCTTGGGTTTAGTGATTTTCCAAAAACAAATAGACGGATATGTCAGAAATTTGTTATTAATAATGTTAGGGACCATGGTCTAGTGGTATGATTTTTGCTTTGGGTGCGAGAGGCCGTGGGTTCGATTCCCACTGGTCCCCTTATCTTTTGTTTTAAAAGAAATCATTAAGGTACAGTTTTGCAAACCTCAGTAATATTTTTAGAACATTTCAATTCCAAAATTGTAAAATGTCTAGCAAATCTAGGTTTCGATCCTAGGACCTATGGGTTATGAGCCCATCGCGCTTCCGCTGCGCCAATTTGCTTTGCATTTCTTTTCTTAAAGTTTTTATTCTAATTGATATTGGCCAAGTGATGAAAGTGAATTGAGGCAACATTAGCTTTTCACTTTGCAAAGATAAAATTTATTCAAGATTGGAAGAGAAATTTGTGGAATTATTCTATGAAGGAATTACAGTATTATTTATTGTTGTCCTGAAACAGCTTTCCATGAAGGTCTTGATGAAATCTTTTCCCACCAAGCTTTAACAAGTGGACGATCCAACAATAAATTACCCAATCCAATAGCGAACAACAAGTTTCCATATGGTAAGTGATACAAATCGGCTAAGGTGAATTGATTTCCACCAATGAATTCTTGTTTAGCCAACACTTTTTCATAGGCATCCAAATTGAGTGCTAACTTTTCACTCAATTGTTTGACACGAGCTTCATCAGCAGCTCCATATCCCATCATTCCCTTAAATAACTTTTCGAAAACTAAACCAGAAGCATTTGAATCAAAGTAAGCAGTTTCAATGGAAGCACCTTGTTCGAATAGACCCAAAGCTTTGAGCTCAGTTGGAATGAGTTCAGTTCCTTGGCTCTTATGTTTGGCTTCCAAGTAACGACAGATAGCACGAGATTCATAAATCAAGAACCCATCATCTTCCAAGACTGGAATGACACCAAATGGATGCTTTTCCAAGTAGGATGGTGACTTGTGTTCTCCCTTCATTAAATCAACAGGAACAAGTTCATATTCTAAACCTTTCTCCTTGATTGTGGTCAAAACACGTTGAACGCAAGTTGATTGAGCAGCACCATAAATTTTGTAGACCATTTTGTTATTTGTTATTTGTAATAATACAGTAAAGTTGTTTTTTTGTGATTGAAAATGCATAATCATTAGTGTGAATGCCATTTATGGTGGATTCTGTATCCGAAACCAAAGCGCTGTCGTGAGCACTAATTATTGATCTGTGGAATTTGCGCAAGAAATGAGTGCCATTTCATCCTCTTGGATACTTCAAAATCATGTGAGAGAATGATATTTGTACAATTTTAAATATTAAGAATACGAATCAACGGATTGAGTAATAGCATACACCCATTTCCTTAAATTCTAAAACATGTACTGGAATAAATGATTTATCTTACTTATTTCAAAGCAGTTGATGGCTACGGCCATATCACGATGAATGCACCTCATCCCGTCCGATTTGAGAAGTTAAGCATCGTCGAGCCACATCAGTACTGAGGTTGGAGACAACTTGGGAACCTGTGGTGCTGTAGTCTTTTGTCACTTATTTGTTTTATTCATTAGTTTAAAGTTGCCACCTTAATTGAAAGTCTAGTTTGCTTCTCACATTCTTTCCAATATTCCAAACACCTTCTTTGGATTCAATCATTGACTGAACTGCTCCATCATAAAAATGATTTATTAAGATTCGCTACATGTTCAATATCAATAGTTGAACAAGGCATTAAAATTTATTAAAATACCACAAACATTTTGTCATTCTTCACTCCACAACCAACAGAATAAATACTGTGTGCCTTATGCAATTCTCAAAACCATCTTTCTCGGCCAATTGGCTTTGATCGAGTGTAGTATCTGTTCTTTTCAGTTTAATAGCTGAAAGCAGCTCACGGGTTGCATCTACTATTAACTCAATTTTTTGTAGGGATCAGGGTTTGAGCTTAATTGCTCACTTTGATTTGGTTTCAATCAGACATTGCACAAACCGTCAGATTAGGAGCCACCTAACTCTTTTAATTAATTGAAAATCATTGTTCAAATACAATCTCAATGAGTTTTTCCGAGCATGTATGATGATAAATTAAACATGATGAGAGAGACTCACAACAGTCCATCAACCACTTAAGCAAGATGAAGTTTAGGAAGTCCAACACAAGAAATTGATGTTTTGGGTTTGTGTGAAAATAAACTACTATATATTATAGTTGTAAATTGCCAAGCCGTTTCAGCAATTTTTTAAAAAGGTAACACGTGGTTCTCATCATCATTTTTAATATTCTTGATGAATACTCAATATTATTGGACAATCTTTTCAGAATAGATAATAGACATGTTGGAGAGGATAATGATATAAAATAAGTAACATGGCATAAAAAGTTGAGTGATAAAGAAGCAAAAGTTGCAGAAGGTGGGATTTGAACCCACGAAGCTTGCGCAGTAGAACTTGAGTCTACCCCCTTTGACCACTCGGGAACCCCTGCTTCATGTCATTGAACTAAATGTTGGTAATATATAATACTACCATCATTACTGAGCTCGTTCGTATTGTTTTGGAGTTAGATTTCTCTAGACCTTGTTATGACTTTTTCAGCCCTCTAATGACCTAATAATACACTAAATCCAGAACGGAATCTATTCGGATAATGAATCTTTCTTTTGATTCAATCGCAAATACAGACAATTTCACATCTAATGCAATAATTTTGCTCCTTTATCATGAATGAATAGTGCAAGAATTCTTCATCTGTTCTAACAATAACTCCACTCAAAATAAAATTCTCAAAATTTAAACACATTACGACGGATCATTTACATTAAATTCTTGTTGATTAATACTACTTGAATTGTGGTTACTACTACTTGGAAGTACAAACAATTTCATTGACTTTCAAATTGGATTTGTTTTGCATTTTTTTGAACCAGAAAATTATCAACAAAATATTAACAACGATATCTCCTTGTTAATGAAAGATTTTTAACATCTTTCCAAATAATAAGAATAATAATTTAATAATTTTTTTGAATTTATTGTGGTGCACCCATACCGTATGGTAGAGTGAAACATTTATCTGTATGACTTTTGGAAACGAGCTCTAGCCTTACGACCACCGAACTTCTTTGGTTCTCTTCTTCTTGGATCAGCAACGAGGAGGGATCTATCGAATTCCAACAAAGCTTGCTTGATTTCTCTCTTTTGAGCTTCATCAACATACTTTTGATAGTAAGAGACGAGACCCTTGCAGATAGCTTGTCTGATAGCATAGACTTGAGAAACCTTACCACCACCTCTGGTTCTGATTCTGATGTCAACACCCTTGAATTTATCCTTACCCAACAAGAGAACAGGTTCGAAAAGCTTGAATCTCAAGATTTCTGGTTGGATGTGTTCGAGTGGAGTACCGTTAACTTTGATGAGACCTTGACCCTTTCTACATTGGGCAACGGCAATAGCAGTCTTCTTCTTACCGAAGGTTTGAACGAGTTCAGCAGACATGGCGTTTAGTTATTTTTTTTCAACAAAATTTCCAAATTTTTGCGGTTTACCACTCACTGGTTGGTATTACAATAAAAATTTTGTACCTGCAAAAGCACCTTGTCCAGCTGCGACGAACAATAATAAAAAGGCAACACGCTTGCCCTTTACCATCATAATTATTTAAAATTTAATGAATATGTTATCTTACTAACAACATTGTTATGCTCTGAAGGCTTATTCTTAATAGCTTCCAATATCCTTCTCATCAGTCGATATAGTGTCATCTAAATGTTTTTAATTAATTTAATTCTTTAATAATTAAAATCAAAGGGAGGAACATCATCAAGATGATGACGAGGATTATCAGTCGAACAACAAATAATAGGAAGGAGAGCTTCAAATAGGCTTTCATCTTCATGCATCCAAGCTGGTAATAACATTGAATCATCAACCTTCCTATCTTCCTCTTCTTCATCAAATAGGGAAATATTATGGTGTTTCAAGTAATCTTCAAACACCTGACAATCATCCAAATGTTCATAAGGTTCCCAAGTCTCATCTGGATAACCCAACCATTGAATATGATACAAGTAGGATTTTCTAGATTGATCACTTCCCTTGAATACTTTTTCATGGTCAACAATAACCTTGATGGTATATTCCTCTGTGGTTGGTTTGGGTTCATACTGTTGATATTCCTCTTCATCACTTTCCTCTTGTTTATCATCACCACATTCATTGAAGAGGGCATAATTTCTCTTGATAGGTTTTCTCTTCTCTGTGAGGATTAAACTCTGGTCAAGGCAATCATCACCAAGCTTCTTCTTCATTCTCTGGCTTTGATAGTAGGGATGGTCAGCTTTGAAAGCATTGAGTGCTTGCCTTTGTCCCATTCCACAATAGACCTTGCTGTGTTTGAAATGTGAACGATGAGCAAAAAAGATGAAGGAAAATCTCTTCTGTTCATAATCATTGGAAGGCTCTTTGGATGATTGAACTGGGTTGTCTCCATCAGTGGGTTCTTGCTTTGGACAAGTATTGATAAGAGTTGGAGTATTATCATCAGCTTGAGGATTATTCAATGTTGGAGAAGAATTTTCACAAATTTTCACATCATCAACTTCAGTTTGGGAAGAATTGGCAAGTGGAAAACTTTGAGGACGAGTTGGAGAAACAGCATGACGATACTTGTTAGCTCTCAGCAAGACAACATCACCTGCTTGAATGTGGACAAGTGTTTTTGGAGTATGTTCATTCACTCGAATCAATTGAAGGGATCCACCTCCAAATTTTCCCATATAGAACATGGCAGAGATTCCCATATCATTTCTGTCACGATGATTTGTCTTTGGACGATTGACTTTATCTGTAGACTTATATGAGCCTTGGAATTTCTCCTTGACTGATTCATTTCTTGTTGGAATCATGTTGAAACATACAACTGGAGTTTGACCTCTTTCTGTCAATTTGGATAATTTAGCAAATAGTTTGGGATTTGCCAATTCCAAAATATGTTGAAAGGTATCATGTAAGAGAGCTTGTATCTGTTTCACTTTGGTATCAACTAGCTCAAATCGAAAGCTATCAGCACATTTGTATCCCATTGGCATATTCATTGTCCACCATCCAGAAAAGAAACTTCCCTTATCAATATCCTTTTCAGTAGCTAACCATTCACTCATCTCCCTACAAAGTTGAGTGCATTCTTCCAATAGACTTGGAGGCAATACTGATTTCAACAAGGCCATTTCAACCATTCCTTCTTTTGTGACGATAATAGTATTTGAGGAGATTTCTTTTGGAATGGTATCATTTACACCATATACTGATAGAATGGGTTCATTGGATTGAATATTATTTCCTTTAAGGAATTCCCATTCTTTTATCATTTTGTAAACTCTAGTTTTACCAGATTCATCTATGCTTTTCTCATTTTCCCAACACACTCTTGTTAAGGCTTGAGCTTTCAAAAATTGTTTCTTTCGTCTTCTGTGTTTGGGTTTCTTCTTGTCGTGCTGAGATACATGCAGTGGACCCATTTTTTGTGAGAAATTATTAAAACAACCATAAATCGTTTGAATTTATTACAATCTAATGTGAAAATCTGAGGATTCTCTTTGATTCTGAAATGAAAGAGTTGATGACGGTGAGCCGCGACTTGCAGTTGTCCTCAAATTTTTTGAATTGTTTATTTAAATAAATTAATTTTATGGAATAGTTAAGAAATTAAATATTTAATTGTTTATAATAAAATTATTGAACAGGAGTGGCAATATTTGTTGGATCCAATAAAGGAGCAGCACCAGGTATGGAGAAGAGTGGCTTGGCATAACTAAATGTAAGGAAGAAGAATAATGGGATTTGGAGAATTGCCACAATGAAAATGAAATAATTTCTTTTGGCTGTATTAGTATCCAACCTTAATCTCATACTATTGTCTGAGGAGTGAACACTAGATCTTCTCAAAGATTTAATCATGAAAGTAACCATCATAATTCCAAGGATTAATAAAGAAGGATAATAGGCATAATTTCCAAATAATAATGACAATACTAGAGTGATGATAATGCCAATATACTTGTAGCCAGAGAATGCAGCAACATCAAGTACACCCAAGCTGCTTTGAACACCCAAGGCATAAAATCCAAATTTCACAATGGCAATTTCCAAAAGTGATGTTATAAATCCTTTCATTCCGATACTGTACAACAATTCAGGTTTAAATTCCTTGTGTGCTCCCATAATAAAACAAACCAATAATACATAGGTAATATATCCCATCAATGGAATATACAAATCAGGGTCACTTAAATGACGTTCTTGAGTTTGATTTTGGTTATTATTATTGTATTCATAGCTTGTATCAAACTTTTTAAATGGGAATAAAACAAGGAGTAATTTTCTGCTCACATAACTATTAGTAACATTAAAATAACATTTAAGTCCATCAAACCATTGCCAATATCTACTAGTCACTTCATTAGTCTTTTCTCCTACACTTCCATATAATTGATTCACTCCCATGTTGATCATAAAATCAGCTGTTGGATTTTGAAAAAGATTAGCACCAGCTGATGTATTATTACCGAAAAATCCTCCAAATAAACCACCAAAACCTGGAGCATTCATTCCTTGATTATTCATCGAACCATCCATTGCTCCCGAAGAATTATCCATCATTTGTGGGGATGAAGCTCCTCCTATACTTCTCGAACTAAATCCAGAGTCAAAGAAATCAAGAGATTGTTGTGGTGTTGGTGAGGTTGGATCGAAAGAGCTTGGAAAGCTTCCAACATCATCGAAAAGGGCACTTCTACGATCGTTCATTTTTTTTAATTATTTAATTCTTATTGACACGTATTTGCTGTATCATCTCATTAACAAATAGAAAAAGAGTAAATAATGACAACGCTTTTGGTGCATTCTAACGAAAGCGATTTTGGAAAACGATGATTATAGATAATATAAAATGATTGAATATTGTTTATTCATTAATAAAATAAACACAAGCAGCGATAGATCAGTTGGTTAGATCGTAAGCCTAACACGCTTAAGGTCGCGGGTTCAAGCCCCGCTCGCTGTATCCTTTTACTATTAAATGACATCATTGATCTTTTTAGAGTGAGAAAAAGACTTAGATGCTATAGATGTGAAATAAGATCCATGCCATCTTTTAAGAATTGAACCTTTTGAGGTACAAGGATATAATTTATTGGTATGAAAGTAAACCAAATCTTTCGTTGTTGGTACTTGCATTTGAGCTTGCAAACATTTTGATAACCAAAGGAGGGATCAATAAAACTAGTGGAATAGACAGAGTACGGAAAAGATAACCATTCAAGAATCCATTATTTACAGTCATATCCTTCAAACTATCACTACATTCTTCATGGAGAGTGGTTGCAACACAATCCTTAACACTTGAATATTTCTTTACAAATCCTGGTTGACCATTAACTTGTAATTTTCTAGAGACTGTATCAAATGGATACAGTAAGAAATAGATTAAACTCTTAAAGAGATAACTTCTGGCAATAAACATGAGTTTACCCTTCAAGAATTCCTTTGGTTTACCAAGAGTTTCTGTCAATTGAGAGTAGAAATTCTTCATGCCTTGTTTTGTGACATCCTTCCAAGAACCAAAGAGTTTGCCCTTTTCTTGGACAACATTTTCCACATAGGCATTCAATAAATGAGTTGGTGTTGATACAAATACAGTTCTAAATAAGAAACCTCTATAGAAAGCATGTGAAATAATTGAAAAGAAACTTGCTTGTTCACCAGAGTTTTCCAATTCTTCCTTACTATCACTATACATTTGACGAATACAATCCAATAACCCTTTGAATTGGAATGTTTGTCCACCAATAAATTTACCATCCTCTGATCTATCAGCCATATAAACAATTTCAATTAAATCCAAAGGATACATGACAATATCTGTCAAGATTGAACTGATAGCAATCTTTAAATTATCATTTGAAACTCTTGTCAAGACATGTTTTTGCAAAATGTGTTGAACGGCAAGAGATGGAATATTCTTCACCAATGTATAAACCAAAGTCTTCCACAATGAAAACAATCCATCATCGGCAGCAATCAATGTTGGTGCACTAAACTTTTCATGGAAATAATTCAATTTATCGTGTTCGGGAATTTTAGAACATGATTGAGTTTGCAGAATAATTTGTGTTCGATAAAGTGGATGGATCATGAGTTGTGTTGCTGCTTTAGCACTCCATGATGGAAGCAGAGCATTCCTGGCAAAGAATAAAACTCGATCACCGTATGATGATGATGGCGGAGATGGAATGATTGAATTTCCGCTTAGAATATCAGCCAGTGCCATTTTTTTTGATTGTTTTTTAATTTTAGAAAGCAATTTGAAATTGGTTTTTAAATGCAATGATTCAATTTTGATTGGGTTTTAGTGAGCTGTTGAGAGGAGTGATTGATACATTTTCAAATTAATCAATTTATGGATGGATTATTGAAGATAGGGTTTGATTATTTCATTGGTGATGGAAATGAATTCGTTTTGGAGTTGTTTGTTGAATGTGAGTGAGCTTGGTTGTGCAATATGACAATCGTGGAAGTATTGGCCAGATATTCCATTCACACTCGAGGAGCAGGCAAGGTGGAGAGTGTTTTGAGATCCTTGTTCTACATTTTTGAAGAATAACAATTCAATGAGAGAAAATACAATCTTGAAGACAAGTGGCATTTGATTTGATGACATCAAGCCAGTTCTTATCGCACCTGGATGGCAACAATTGATTGTAATATTGGCATGTTTTGATTTGCTAATTCTTTCTTCATGAAAATGGAAAGTTTGATAAATATTGCACAGCTTAGAGAGACCGTACTGCTTGTTAACCTCAAATGAAGAAAGAAGTTTTGGAAGGAAGTTAATTCTTGGTTTTCCGTTTACATATTGCTTCATTGAATGGGTTTTTGTGGAGGATTGATAAAAATCATTCTCACTCACAAATTGATGAGCGTTGGAGGCAACAACGACAATTCTAGATCCATTTGGATTGTTTTCCATATTGCTCCACAACAGTTCAATTAACAAATGGTGAGCAATAGCATTCGAGAATACCATCTCCTCACATTCATATTTTGAATTGTATTTAATGTCACCAGAGAGGGATCCAGCATTATTAATTAAAACATCAACATGATCAACTTTTTTCAAAATTTCCACAGAGCAATCCTTAACACTTTCCAAATCATCCAAATTCAACTTGACAAACTCAAGAGTTCCACAATTTTTAACATTTTTGCATTCGTTGAGAATGTCTCTAATCATTTGTTTGGTCTTTTCCTCGTTTCTACAGGCCAAAATTACGCGAGCTTGTTTTTTAAATAATTCTATTGCTGTAAATCGTCCAATACCATTAGAGGCACCTGTTATTACAATATTCTTGTTTTTCAAATTTTGAGGAAGAAATTCCGAAGGTGTTCTTGGTCCATTCACTACATAAATTCGGAGTAAAATATAACCAACAATAATGATGGCACCAACAAGGAGCAGTGTAAGCATTTTTTTAGATTAATTGTAAAGTTGTCAACCAAGATGTTAATGTGAAAATTATTGTTGATGACTTCCGAAGAGAGATTGTGCTCTGGTGAGTGTCTTGCTCCAAAATAAATTTCTTAATAAACTTCCTTGATTGTCTGATGAAGTGGAAGATGAATCACTTGTCTTGACTGTTGAATTTTTGTCTACATTATGATTAGATGCAGTATCAGAAGGAGTTGCAGTAGATTCAGAAGGAGTGACATATTCTTGGCTACTTTCATATTTTGAAAGAATTTTCAATAATTGTTGAGTTGATTTTGGAGAAATCTTATTTGGAAATTGAATATTGAAATAAATGACCAAATCCCCAAATGTTTCATCCTCTGTTGGCATTCCTTCTCCTTTAACACTTTTCAAATGAATTAGAATATTCCTTCATATGAAATCTCTTAAACTTACACATGAAAATAATCTGGAGTAATTAAATTTTGACTATTATCAATTCTAACATCCAACTTTTTCACACCAAATAAATCAATTTGAAAAGAAACCAATTCACTTGTCAATGCTTCTTTCAGAGTAAGAGTATGAACATATTTCAAATGCTCCTGATCAGGTCCAACTCTCTCCAATTTTAAATCCTTTTCCTTCACTGGTTCCACAATTACAACCAAATCACCAGTTGATGAATTTCTATCCTTTACCTGATCATCAAATTCACCTTCTCCTTCAAAAACAATTCTTTTCCGATATTTAAATCCTCTGGGAATTTGTATTTCCCTCTCCACCAACATGGACATGGATTGTCCTTGAATTCTAACCTTCCGAATGAAGGTAATTAATTTGTTACAACCAAAATATAATTCCCTGAGAGTACATGGGAGAGAAACATAGATATCCAACACAGAATTGGTTCGGAATATTGGTGATTCTTCTATTTTAAAATTCATAATATTGAATCTTTCTAAAAACAAGTATTTAATGTTTTGGCAATTTTTTTCAATTTTAATAATTAATTTTAATAATTTAATCAATTATAATATCAATTAAGAAGTTCTTGAAGGGTTTATCGCGGATATCTAAAAACTCTATTACTGAATCTAATCTCAATCATTTTCCATCAACCACTTTAACAAGGTTTCCAAAACCTGAACGTATATCAGAAACTTACCTTAAATGGGTCAATCCAGCTTTCCTTTCTAGAAATAGTACAATAAAACAATTTCATTGACCTTTCCAATTCTGGGTTGTTAAAACGATCTCCCAAGTTCTCCTCAATTTCCAATACTTTCTCTAAATTTCCAACTTGTCCATCCTTTAATTTATCGCAATGAGTTCCTAAGATAACTATTGGAACATTTTTCACTTGCTCAATTTCCATAATTTCTTTTAAGGTTTCCTTTGCTTCCTCAAACCTATTTGTGTCTGCACAATCAACACAATAAACAATTCCACTCAAAACATTTGAATGCAAATCAGTAAGGTTATTTTTCCATTCTTTTTTTCCACAGGTATATCCACCATAATCATAAAGATGCTTAATTCGGACATGTTCAGTTTCGATCTGTGCTTGTTCTGCATTAATCATTTTCAATAAATTTGTTTTATCATATTCGGAATCAATTAACAATTAATTATAGAAAATTTAAGAAACTCTACCATAAACAATAGTTGGAGGATGGACAGAAATTCTGTTATTGAGCAGATAGCCAAAGATTGTTGATTTTCCTGAATTCGTTGGTCCGAGGAGGATAACATGATCGAGAAAGGAATGAGAGAGACCCATTTTTTTTAATGTTGTAAATAAGGTCCAACTGTTTACAATATATGATGTATTGAGATAGAGCTTATTCTCTAAAAGTATTCTTAGTGGTTTTTTGAATCGCCTGTTTGAACCAGATTTGTTTCTTCGTACAGGTAAGTATGAAGGACAAGTTGAAGGAGTGGCTATGAGGAAGGGCCTCAACCAGTTGTATTGTCCTAACAGTTAGAGATATTCATTTCAAATTAATGAATAAAATCAAGAATAATGTCATCTAATCGTCTCATTTGTAAAGCTCCATGTAAATTATGTTTAAAATCATTATTTGGAATTACAAAAAGAGGTAAATCAAACCTGTGAGTAATAAAACACTTTCTAGGTGAATTAGCTCCTATGGCTAAACAATTCAGTAATTCCTTCATATCAGAATCATGGGATGTATTCACAATATGATATTCATATGTTCTATTTGGATAGCTGTTGTCTTGGTTATTTATCATTACTTTCAATGTCTCTGTAATGAGAGAATTGATGATTAGTGCACAGTCTTTCTTTAATCTATTCAATTCTTTACGAATATTTGGATCTGTATTTCCTTGATATTTAACACCCAATTTTATCCTTTCCTGGAAAACATCCGGGTGAGTAAATATCAAAATTATTCTATAGCAAGTAAATTTAGAAAGTCTTTTACATTCATTGAAATAGGTATTCAAATATTGAAGATTATCATAATCAGATAACGAAAATGAGACTGCAACCACATCAGCCCAAGTGTCACAAGAAAAACAATTTGCAAAAAGCTCAAAACTCAATTGATTGGTTTTGTAAGGATAATTGCTAGTTTTTGTGGAATAAGCACATGTAAGATATCTTTGATTTGTGAACACAGGCTCAAAAAAACAAGTTCTCTTCACATTAAATTGACTTCCTCTTTCCAGATATGAACACAATGTTGGTAATACCAAATATGGATCCAATTTAAATCGATTTTCAAAATATTCCTCTCTAAAATTTGGTTGACTCCACAATTCCACTAATAATTCCGCCAAACTCATTCTCTCCATTTGATGTTCATGAAAATAATGAGGCAAATGTTTGCACAAATGATCACAAATAAATAATAATTCTTCACGTAACAATTTTTCATCCGATTGTTTGTATTTGTTGTAGGTTTCGTTGGTAGTAGTGCAAAATTCTGATAGATCTCCTCGATGAAGAGACATTATTTGATCAGCCAAGCCTTGAAAAATCACAACAGAAGGTCCTCCTGCAATTAGAAAATATTGGTGGTGGTATTCATTTGTGTTGGAGTGATGTCCTGAATTGATATGCTTGGTTGGAAGAGAATTGTTTGCACCCATTTTTTTGTAATAGATCAGCAATTACAACAGCACTACACATCATACCACCAAACAGCAATGCAAAGGTACTCACTGACAGTGAAATAGCGGTCAAAATAATTAACAACACAAATTACAAAGGTCAATTTAAGCAAATCAAAGATGAAATTACCAACCTCATCAGCACTAAAAAACTTCAAGCATCCATCGAATGGACAAAAGCTCATACAGGAATAACAGATGGAAATAACTACGCTGATAAGAAAGCCAAACAAGCCTCACGAATAGGACATCGAATTGCACCCCAACATCTACTAACTCAAGGGCAATTAATTATCACCAATTCGAAAAAAGTTTGGAAAAGTAGAATCAAAGGAGTACTTAGGGAAAAGCTCTACGATCAAGGAACATCCGAACTCATCAACAGAACAAATCTCAATTACCTCAAAGAACATACCACCCCAACTCACAAATACTCAATCTGGAGGCTCATGATAAATGGACACTTAAGAAGCCTCATAGTAGACAACCCACAATGCCCAACATGTAACAAAAACCTTGACACAGAACACCTCTTCATAGAATGCCCAGAAATGAATTCAGCAAGAAACTGGATGATTGAAGAAATCAAAAAAAATCAATCTCGAACCAGTACTAAGCACAGAGAGGACAGAAATATTAACACCAAACTCATTCCAACTGAATATCTTTGGTATTCTGACAAAACCTATTCAAGGTATTATCAAAGAACAATGGCCCAAGATACAAGGAGGCCTCTCACTTTTTGGAGGAAGAGTACAAAAACAATACAACAAAATCTTAAAAATTCAATAAGACGTTCCAAATGGACGAACCCGTCGGGTTCATTCGATTAATAAACGTTTAAATTTTTTTGTAATAGAAACTGGAATTTTATGTACTAATAAAATTAAAAAATAAATAGTTAAATATTAAACAAACGCGTCACCACCAAATCATTTGGTGAGATGATAAAAAACAATCTTGCTTTGAGTTAAAAATCAGATACCGACAATGGGGCTCGAACCCACGACCCCAGGATTAGAAGTCCTGTGCTCTATCCAACTGAGCTATGACGGCTTACATTCTCAATGAAATTTATCTTCAAATGTGGCTCTATTCGGTCTGGGAAAGGTTACTTTGGTTGCAACACTGCTTTAAATTTTCTATTGAAGTGAAACCTTTCTTAAATAAAACAACGCTCCCAACTTTATAATAAACACAACGAAAGTGGACACTAACGTAACATAATCTTTGCTTTCTTTCTCATGTGCTTAAATGCTAACAAATTTCATCTATTCCACTGAAATTAATTGGTGATGTAGAAAGCAAACTAGATAAATTTTTATTCCTTTGTGGCTATAACAATAGTAACTTCATTACCCATTGGATTATTACTTTGATAAATTTCATCAGCGTAGGTTTCCATCTTGGTTTTGAATTGTTGAACTTGTTCTTCAGAGACAGTTTGGAGAAGATTTCTGATATCTGGAGTTCCTACATTGAGTTCAGTGAATTCCTTTGCATTGAGAGCATGGAATGGTTGGAATTGATACCAAGAAAGACAAGTTTTGAATCCTCTAGATAAGACACGTTCTCTCAATTGATCTCTATTGTGCAGATGGAATGGACTTCTGACAGGTGGCTTGTTATCAACCATTCCCCATTCCTTCTTGCATTCCATAATAACTTTTGGAACAACAGTAAATTGTGGAGAGTTTGCTGGTCTTCCCCAAACTGAAAAACAGGCACGTCCTGACTTTTTCAAAACTCTTGACACCTCGGAAAGTACCTTATCAGGATTTGGAACAAGATGCAAACAATAATTAGAAAAGACAGCATCAAAAGTTTCATCTTCGAAAGGCAATTCCTCAGCAGAAGCATCCACATAATCAATCTTTCTATTAAATGGTGCTTGAGTAAGAACTTGACATTTTTCTTCTGTTAATTTAATCATTTCCTTTGATAAATCTAAAGAAGTCAAATGACCATCCTTGTGCATTGATGAAGCGATCAAATACGAGCCACCTCCGCCTCCACATCCTAAATCTAAAATTCTTAAAACTTTATCATTTTGCTCTCTGATGCCCAACAAGGACACTAAAGAGTAGGCAGTAATGTTGGTGGATGGTTCTAACAATTCTTGAAATATTTTGGAAAATTCGTCCCACTTTTTCTTTAATTCCTCTGTTCCGAGAATGATTGGTTCTGTTGATTGTTGTTGCATTTTTTTTGTAATTGGTCTTCAGGTTTGTATCAATACAAGAGATAAATAAACTTACACCTTTTGTTTTTTTGTAATGGAAAAGAATTAATCCATGCGTAGCGGTCAATTCATTGAAACATGCCATTTTGATTGAGAATAAGTCATGGTGTTATTGCTTTTGGATATGGATTTTCAGTAGATCTATTTTGTCCGCAGGCTGTTGTTGTGAAAAAAGATAATTCGAAAATGAATGCATAGGCAGTTTTCCAAATTGTCAGAGATTCCATCCCACCAACTTCAGGATAAACAACATCTTCATCAGTACATGATTTTACACTCCTTTTCAAAGTCCAAATAGGAAATAATGTACTTGCACCACCTAGAGTTTCCTTTCAGTTTGTGCAACAAATTGTTCATTAGAAATCTTTCCATTTCTTCCACTTCCATTTTATAATAAGAAGGGTAACTTAAACTTCTCATATCCAAAGCAACAGCTTTGTCTAATAAATCCTCTTTGATATGGTCTGTGAAATCGGGTTTGTTGGCAAGAATTCCACATTCAATTGATTTCAATACTAGATCCCTATCATCTTGTAATTCGGCTGATGCAAAAAACCATGCTAATCTATTGTGTTCTATTGCCAACAACATTTTTTCCTTGTTTGTGTTAATGTGAGGAAATTCCTGGATCAGTTGAGGATAAGTGGTTATTGCAGAAAAAAATAATTCCTCATCCTTAAATTTCCCATCAATAAAATACCATATTCTCCCATTAAGCTTAAGAGCTTCCCTAATAAATTCCTTGTCAACCACAAATTTGGAACTCAATAAAACTTTTGTGTTCACTTTAGCCGTGCTTAAAATAAAATCTCTATCATTCCATAATTCTTCTAAATTCTTCTGAAAGTAATGCAATGGGTTTGTTGCTCATTTGAAGAGCAGCCAGTAAGATATCCTTATCAGTAATGAATTCTCTACGAATGTATTTAACTGCCTTCTTATTGGCCTTAATAGCTAAAAGCATAAATTTCTTCCATTATCAAACTGTCTGGTAAATATTTTAACATGAATTTGGGCATTACCCTCTCACGAGCAGCTTTCATTAGTGATTTTTTGTCTTTCTTCAGTCCTGGATATTTCCAAGTAGTAACAATCAAAATGCTCCTTTACTTCCTTCTTCATCATCAATTCAAGGATTGTTGCATAATAGTATCAATTCGAACATTAATGCATTGAATAATAATGTATCACAAACAACATTAGGTGGGATCAGTTAATTGTTGAATCCAACTACTGTTAATTTCAATCAACAAACAAGTCATCATTTTTAGCCAATTTACTTGGTTGACTCGATGACTCCTCACATTTTCTTTTCAACATTTTTTTGTTATTAAAAATTAATTATTATTGTAATTATTAGTTAAAATATTACAAAATGTTCAACATCAAATCAATTTCCAATAAAGTAAAAGTCTATAATTAGTCTTTGTATTGGCTCAACCAAATATTTGAGATTAATAATCTTTAACCACAATCCAATTCTTTTTTCCCTCTCAATCCGATCTACAACCTCACCATCATCATGTATTGTTGGTTAAGTCGTAGCGAAAACTTAAACAAAAAACCCTTAAAAAAATTAGAAAAAGGGCCACCCGATAAAAACATCATAAAAAATGTGGGTGGTATACTGCGGCTTAACTTTTTAGCTTCAGACATGATCAGGTGGACTTTGTCTTTTATTAGCATTCATATTATGATGATAAATTTGAGACTAGAAAGTTAAATTGAAAGTGGGAAAGGAAACACTTTAAAATAATTTTATTGAATAATAGTATTCGGAATGGGAGTTTCGGATTACAGTTTTGGATCTTTTTCGTTAAAAAAATGATTTCACTTGGAAAGGGAGCATTGCTTTCACTCTCATTGCTTATTCTTGTTGCTGTTCAACTTGCAACTTGTCAATATGTTACTTTTACATACAATACTGGAAATGTGGCAAACAACAATACTGTAATGGAAATTAATTTAAAGGATGGCTCTACTATTAGAAAATCTAAATTGTCAAATGCAGAAATGTACTTTCAAATTACTGGATATGCCACAAATTATAATGAAATGAAAATGTACATGCTCTTTGGTGATAGTAATGAATTGTGGACTTTTGATGCTAAAACCTTGGCAATGGAAAAGAATATTTTGGGAATTGATGCCAGTGCAATTACTGATATTCAATTTGACCAAAAAACATCAACTCTTTATGCCATTGTTCAAAACGAGAGAAATTACATTCAATCCTATAATTTCAAAACTCAACAATTGGAAATTGTCATGACTTTCAACGATACTATGGCCACTATTTTGGGTGCTTCTACCTATGACTCTAAGAATGGAATTTACTATGTTGGTGGTGCTTTTGGAAAGAATAATGCTATTGTTGGATGTGATGTTAGAAATAGAAAGATTGTTTCTCAAATTCTCTTTTTAGATGGTGACGAATTCAATGGATTGAGCTATGATGGCCACACCAACAAGTTGCATGGATTGTATACTAAGGGAAATTGTACCACCGACTGTACCTCAATGATTAGCATTGATGGATTGACTGGAAAGAGAGAATTCTGGCAACCAAAGAATCTTCCAATTGGTATCCTTGGTCTCTATTCAAACTCTGCTTATGAAGGTTTCTACTTTTATCAAGTTATCAATAATGGACTCTACAACTTTGGAATGATCAATTTGGCCACCAAGCAAGTAGTTAGAAATTACAGAATTTATGACAATTTCATTTATGGTGCCTTCTTTAAGGACTTGATTTAAACTCATTCTAAATAATTTTACTGTTATGAATGGACTTTAATGAATTTTAACATGTTTTGGAAATAAGGAAAACGATTCTTATTGATATTAATGTGTTTACCGTTGTATAGTTCAATTTCAATCCTGATGTTACATGTTTTTGGATTACTGTAACCTTTTCGACATTGTTCTCAAAAGATCCCTGCCATCTTCAAGATTCGGATGGCCTTTTCACTCTTTTGCACAGTAATTTAGTCTGTTTGTAATGGATCTTTGTGTGTCAGCAAGCCTAACCGAATCCATAATTATAAAAACAAGTCCATTCAAGAAAGTCATATTTCATCTATCCCTCAACAAATTAATGAAAATTGACAGGAATGGATTGCGTAGAGTAAGATAATAACATATTTAACGCTCTCTAATCCTTCCATTACACAAAACCATCACAAGAAAAAAAACTGTCAACAACACGAATGTCAAAAATCACATCCTGTCTTTTTGCCATTCTCTTGTTGTTTATTGTAGAAGGCATTAGAGCACAATGTCCACATGCTCAGTCAGGACTTTCACTCTTCTCCTCCCTTCCACAATGGAATGTACAAGGAGCAGACCTCGTAATTTCAACACCGGTCAAGGTTGACCAAACAGCAAGCGCCGTGCTTCGTTCTATCACAATCGCTAATGGTGGTTCACTCATATTTGATGATGCTATTTTGAATTTAAATGTTGAATTTATCAAGGTTGAAAAGGGAGGTAAATTCATTGCTGGTAGCGCTGATTGTCCAATTACAAAAAAGATTACAGTTACATGCTATGGTACTAGAACTTTAGAAAATATTATTGGTAGTGATCCATATGATAATACAGCAACTGGTTATAAGGGTATTATTGCTATGAGTGGAGCTACTCTTCAATTACATGGTGCTGTTAATCGTCCAACTTGGACTAATCTTGCCGAAACTGTTGTTAAAGGTTCTAATCGTATCAAGACTATTGATGCTACTCAATGGAAAGTAGGTGATAAGATTGTTTTGGCTTCCACTGACTTTAGTGAAGTTGTCCAATCAAGTGCCAAACTTCCATCATGGATGACTGGTGGTTACAAATTCCCAGACCAAAATGAAGAACGTACTATTGCATCTGTTATTGATTCTCGTACATTTACTGTTGATTTACCATTCAACTACACTCACTGGGGTGCAGGTTATCAAAGAGCTGAAGTTGGTATCTTGAATAGAAATATTGTTTTCAGAGGTGATAATTCAAGCGCTTCTCAAGCAGGTTATGGTGGACATTTTATGATTCGTTTGTTGGATCATTGTGAAATTAGTGGTATTGAAGTTACTGGATTTGGTCAAAAGGGTGTTATGGGAAGGTTTGTAATTCTTGAAAGTTTTTACAATTTTAACAATTTTTTTTTACAATTTTTGTAACATATTTTTGAATAATTGATAGATATTCTGTTCACTTCCACTTGTTGGCTTATCACTCTGAAAAGATTGGTAAGCAATTCTTTATCAAAGATTCCTCAATCCATCACTCATTCCAAAGATGTATTGTTGTCCACGATACTAATGGTTTACTTGTCAAGAATAATGTTTGTTTTGATTCATTTGGACATCAATACTTCCTGGAAGATGGGCCTGAAAATGGTAATCAATTTATTGGAAATCTCGGAATTAGAGCTCGTCCTGTTGTCAGTGGAGATCCACAACAATTAATTCCTTCAGATCATGATGTTTCTATCTTTTGGATTACTAATCCAAATAACACATATATTGGAAATGCTGCAGTCCAAGCAAAGTTTGGCTTTTGGTACACAATGCCTGTAAATGTAAGTATTCTAAATTTGTGAAATTTTAATTATTTTAAATTTTATAAAAATTAAATAGCCAACTGGTTTGAGTGCTTCCACTTATGGAACTACTGTCACTCCAAGAAGACTTCCATTGGGTGCTTTTATCAATAATACAGCTCACTCTTTATTTACTGGTCTCATGGTTGATGACATGGAAAAACCTGACGGTACTACTGAATTGGCTTCTTATTCCCCACCAGTTGAAACTTGGTTCGAAGGTTTGATTGCTTACAAGAATCGTGATCGTGGTTGTTGGGCAAGAGGAGGTCCACTTGGTTTCAATAATTTCATCTTGATGGATAACAGACTTGGCTTCCTTACACCTCCAGGTCCTAATATCTTGACAAACTCATTATTTGTTGGTGAAAGTGACAATGTTGGTGAGGTTGCTAGACCTACTATTGATCTTGGTGGTCGTTCTAGACCTGGTCTTTATTCTGCTGGTGACATTATTAAGGGTCATGACACTTATGATAATGGTGGTCCTCAATACATTAAGAATGTAACCTTCCTTAATTATGTAACTAATCAATATAGAAAGGCTGGTTCCCTGGGTCAACTTATGAATGCACCATTTAAGCATCAAAGTATGAATAGATATGTAGATTTAAAGTTTGATGATGCTACTAACAGAGTTTACATTCATGACCAATTTAATGATGCCAATAGAGGTACCACCATTTTGGATATTGATGGTTCCGTAACTGGTAGATCTCCAGGTGGTTGGATTGTTGCTAATGACACTTTATTGACTAGAAAGGGTTGCACACCAGTTCCTCTCTGGCAAGGACATAATTGTCCAGTTGCTTTGGAAGGTTATTCTCAATTCGCTGTTGTCAACCTTAATGGAGAATTTTCTACTGAAAGTGACACTGGTTCCTATCCTGATTTGAATGTAAAGGGAAAGACAGTTGCAAGAATGTACACTCATGATTTGACTAGAGGACTTTCTAGCTCAGTAGTTGGTGCCTTCTCATCTGATGGTTTCTTTTATTTCCACTCCAATGTACTTGTCCGTAATTTCTATGCTGTTCGTTGGGCATTTAACATTCCTACTCCACCAGCTCTCAAATTCTCATTGGGTTCAAGTGCTAACAATGAATGGATTGTTTTCAATATTCAATATCCAAGAACAGCCGTTTTGGATATCACTTGGTCTTCTTACAGTCAATCAGTCAGACAACCAATGAAGAAAGCCAATAATTTACAACAAATTTTGGACGATCCAACTTATTACTATTACGATTCTGCATCTGAAAATCTTTTCATCCATTTGAAGAATAGAGCTGGTAGAACAGCATTCTCTGAAAGATTCAATTTAGTTGCTTATAGTTTTGATGGTTTCAATGTTGTTGTCAATGCCACATGTGCCAATAACAAGTGTGATGTTGATGATTACAGTTTACCAAAGGATGCTGAAAAGTTTATTAAAAAGTACAATAGAGAAGATAGATTTGCTGGTGTCATGCAACCTTGTCAAATTGCATCATCTATGACAGCTGTTAAGGGAAGTGGTATTGTTTTTGCTGTTTTACTTCCAAATAGAAGAACTCTTGATGTTACTGTTCACCATGATCTTTCATTGATTGCTTCAAAGATGTCTATTGGTGTTGGTGAACCTGGAAGTGAAGAAAAGTTCATTTCTCAAGTTGGTGTCAAATATTCTCCATATTCCATGTCTAGATTCTCAGTTGACTTGTCCTATGATGAAATTGCTGCATTGTTGAAGGGTAAAATCTTTATCAAACTTCACACTTTTGATTATCCAGATGGTCATTTGAGAGGTCAATTACATTGTAACCATGGTGTTAGACCAAATGGTCATGCTGCTTGTCAAGTTCCACTCAGTATTTCAGCTGCCAAGCCATGTGATCCAGTTTCTAATTCTTTCGTTTTCTACACTGATGTTGAACAATCTATCAAATCAAGTTATTCCATTTATGGTTGGTCTGATACTGTTATTGATAGAAACTTTACTGCTGCTCCAATTTGTGGTACTTCATCAATTAAAACTTCCTTATGGAAGGGTGGATTCCAAGTTTCAAAGAGTTTCAAGGCTGGAGGTCCATACAATGTGGTTGATTTGAGTGTTTACAAATATTTCGAATTCTTTGTTAGAGGACTTTCCCAAGGACAAACAACTTTGAATATTTACTTTACTGAAATTGTTAATGATGCTGCCAAAGATATTTCAAGCATGTACATTGATCCAAAGTATATTCAACATTTCAAGATTGATGATTCCAGAACTACCAGAGTTAGAATTCCAGTTGCTGATTATCCATTCACAAACAAGACTTCACTCAATGCTGTTCAAAGAGTTGGTTTCGTTTTGAATAATCAAGCTCAAGGTACAAGAGAATTGATCTTTGATAATTTGAGATTTGTTACTGGTGAAAATGACCAGTTGGAGGATTCTGCATTCGACACTGCTCAAATTATTTCATTTGATAAGAAGTGGGGTATTTGTAATGCTGCCAATGTTGAAAATCCAGATCTTGATCCATTGAACGTTAGATTGACTGGTTTGGAAGTTGCCGAAGCTTCTGCCATTATTCCATCCAATTCATCTGCCCCAAGAACAAGTAACGCCACTCGTGGAGGTGTTAGTTCAATGATGGTCAATCTTCTTATTGTTTTGATGATGCTCATTACTTTCAATCTTTAAATTGTTCCAAAACATGAAATGATTTGAATAAAAATTGTTGAAATCTGTTAAGCTCTGTCTTTGCACTTTTTGGATGTTTTTATAAGATGATAATAAGGACTTGATGTTATTTGAGGGTTAAGATTTCCTAAAGAATTTTCATTTCATCCTGGTACATTTAATATCGATGTGCACAAAACTATTAAATAAATCAATTTTGTTATTGTAAGCATTTTTTCCTTTAAATCTCTTCTTTGTCTGAAACTTTAAAGCTCCCTAAAGGTCAACAATGAAAAGAGAAGGAAAGAAATAAGATTCCTTTCTGATTTAATCTTATTCATAGTTTTAGTAGAAAATGAAATTGATCAATTATTGGTTGGATCTGGTTTAAATTCCACAAACAATGAGCATATCCACATATGGATAAATAAAGCTTTTGAACAAATGGTACCCATTATTAATTTCTTGATATGATACAGTTACTAGATCCAATTCATTCTTGAAGAAACACAAATACTTTTTCTTTTCATATTTGAAAAATTCCATTCTAAAGGTATACTGATTAAAGAGAAGACACCTCTCCTCGCAACAAATTAAATTTCCCTCCTCCTCAATACTTGAATCACTGAAAACATTACTCAGAGAAACGAGTAAATAATTAGATGTTGTAAAACCTCCACTAATAGCAAGACTCAAATTTAACCAGTCCAATAGGAGATAAATTCTTCCTTCATCGTCCTGAGTCATGGCTAACACTCGATTAACTACACAATTATAATAACCATTCCTTAATGCATTTTCCAAATTAAAGTTCTTCTTCTTTCCTCTTCCTGAAACTACTGAAATACCTTTCGGATAAGCAATGATTAATTCTTCTGCATTCTTTCTACTCCTTTGAACAATCATTCCATCTGAAGTCTGAAACATCAAATCATCTGTTCCAATCTTTCCATCACTCACATGCACAACACCGAGACTGCAAGTCCTATTAGACGAGCATTCATTACTCGAATAATAAATCAAATCCTTCTCCCTAAATAACGAAAGCTTTCCTGGAAGATCCCCAAAACTACGAATCCACATCACTTCACACGTTTTCTTTTTAAAATTCAACAAAAGTTTACACATCCCAGAAGCACAAAAAACAACCACTTGATCTCCATCATCATTACATAATTCCATCGCCGTTGGACGAACCAAATTCGAGACAGTTATCCGACACTTCTCCCTCAGTGTTGATAATCCATAAATTACTATGGCATTATTCTTGATGGTGAGTATTTCTTGTTTTTTGTGGTGAATGGCAATGATCGGAAGTGCTGATAGAAGAGGTGCTGATCGTGATTGGCCCTTCGAAAGAATGGCACCTTGACGTGTTTGGAAGGGTAAGGGTCTGTGATAGAGTTGATTCATTTTTTTTAATTAATTATTGGAATTTTATTTGTGGATTATTTCATATCTGTTGTAATTGTTTGGTCAATTCATGGACAGACAGATCAGCATTTGAAATAGGCTAATAAATCTAAATTTTAATTACAAATTAAAAAATATAAATTATTAAAATTAGGTGAGTTACTGTTTTTGTATCATTACCGGAATGAAAATAACAAATTAGCAACATAGATGAATAGTAAGGTCGTTGGCAATGTTTGATTTGGTCAACTACTGTAAATTGGGTAAATCAATTATTATGAATGCAACACTTATTTCGATACAATGGTTGCATGGTTGACTGTAACACTTTCAATCCGCTTATAAACTCCTTCGGATTAGGAAGTACAAAAATCTTGTACGATTGTCTTATACGACTTTTTAACCAATTCATCTATTCTACATTTTTGATTGAATTCAACTAATGAGACCATTTAAATTATTATCAACTACTGTAGTTGCTGCACTTTACAGTTCGAATCGAATAGAAACAATTTCCTTGAAATTGATCGAAAATGAATGTAATAGTCATTGTATTTGATTTTCAATGATTTGTGATCAAGCCAACTCCACTAAACACATAATTCCTTTCAATATTCCAATTCAAATCACCAAATAGAAGCCACCAATTTCAGATGAATTAATCAAATGTTTATGGCAATGAAGGAACTTGGTAATCATCTCTCACTCGTTGGTTTTTTGAAAAACTTTTCATCGGCTAAGAGATGACAATTTTTCAACGATACCATTTCAACTACTACCTATTCCTTACTCAATTATAAAATCTTATTCAATACATCTTCATTAATTCCGATAGCTAATACAAAGTTTTGATTGCAATGGACTTTTTCCTCTTCATCACGTTCGAACAGCGAGCTTGACTGGTGAGGAATGAAAAGGCGGATGCGACTGAAGCGCGGAGAAGTAAAAAACTTGAGGCGTTCTTTTTGTTTTTTACGAAGAGCGACTTGCTAGAAACCATTTAAAGAATCATCAAAAAGCAAACCTTTAAAAAAAAGAAACACAACAATTATCATAGCAAGCAACGACTCTTAACGTGCTGCTCCTGTAATACTATCACCTACTAACCTAACGAATACTTGAAACAAACCGTGACGAGGCAACACGAATTTTTTTACATCAGAATTCTCTAGTGTTTGCATCCCTATCATCATATTAATAGTAATTCATCATATTTTCAATAAGAAAATGGGACAAAATTCATCTTCTCACGATCGACACGAAAGTAAGAGGAAGAAACAAGCTAAAGTTGTCATGATTGGATTGGACTTTGCTGGAAAGTCATCAATAATGTACAAGATGAAGCAAAAGAAGAATCTTCCATCGACAGTGCCTACTCTTGGGTTTAATGTTGAAGTGTTAAAGTATAAGAGAGTTGTGTTCACATTGTTTGATATTGGTGGATTATTCCTCAAGACCAAACAGTTGGCACAACATTATTTCGAGAAGAATCAAGCTGTGATTTTTGTGATTGACTCAACTGATAAGGCCAGAATGAATGATGCCAAACAAACTTTGCATTTGATCATGGATGATCAATTGGTTTCTAATTGTAAATTATTGGTATTGGCTAACAAGCAAGATCTACCAGATGCTATGAGTGTAGATGATGTTTCGAGAGAATTAAACTTGATGGATATCAAGCAAACTTGGTCGATTCAAGGTTCGAGTGCCAAGACAGGTATTGGATTATTGGAAGGACTTGACTGGTTATCAAAGAATGTGTAATTCTCTTAACAACACTCAGGTTTGATTCCTACCTGACATGCTAATTGATATTTTGAAGAAACACTTGGATGATTGTAGAGCAATATGGCTCGAAATATATTGAAATTACTACATGTTTCTCAAGGAGCTTGGAGTTCTCTTGTGAATCACAAGTGTAGTGTATGAGTGATTAATAAAATCTAACAAAACCCAAACACTTTATTTTGCTCTTTACATTAGTAACTTCCAAAAGAGTAAGTAACTCAATTTTTGTAACAATTTAAAAGTCTTAATTTTGTAAAGACTTTACTGGTTTTATGTAAATTGGTATGAATAAATTTATTATTGAAAATCAAAGATTGCACCACAATCGATTGCATCTGGATTTTCCACCTCTTGTTGGGTTTGTTGTATTGAGTTCGAATTTGGAACCCCAAGAGGCACGAAAACACTCTGCATCAACTGGACATATTGCACATAAGAAAGGGAATTCTGTAATTGTTTTGCAATGTGTTGGAAGATCTTTGCTTGCTCTTCTTTGCTAATTCTATCTATTATTTCCATAATAATCTCTTGTTCTGAGTTGAATTCAATTGTAATTTCTTCTGACACTGACACTTTCAAATCTAATTCATTTTGTAAGGGATCTTCTCTGTCAAAAAGAGTTGGTCTTCCTGTATCTTGTATTTCATTTATATCGAAGAAGGATACACCTTTGCTCTTGGCATAATTAGAATCCGAATAATCCTTGTAACTTCCCTTTTTGAGTCTCACTGTGTTGCTGGCTTTCTCAGTCATTACATGAATGTCAAAAGTGCCATCATCATAGGAAATCTTCCAAGCAAAGGTGGATGGTGAATTTTGTGCATTCTCCAAATCCAACATTGATGAGTAGTATTCCTTGCGAGATACTGGTTTACAATCTTTCTTGATTACTGATTTGCCAAGAGGTGAGTAAATTAGTTGGTAAAGTGACACCTCATTCACATTTCCAAAAGTAGCAATCGCAGGTTTGTATCTGATGTTAAATATTAAAGATGGTTCGTCATTACTTTCATCTACAAAAAGACCTAACGAACAATATTGAATAAAGTCTTGTCCATGAGTCTCTGTAATATCTATCAATTGTTTGACATCTTGTTTGGATTGACTGCACTCGAATTGAAGTGACTTCATTACAACTGGCCAAAAGATCTTCCTCTTATTCTTTTGAGTAGGGGTAGTGGAAGAACCTTCACCTTTATCTGTTGATGATCCTGTTTTGACCTTCTTGATCTCTTCCGGTTCTTCAAAGCCTATTTTCTTCTCAATAATAGAGTCACAATCCTCTTCCTCCTTTTTAACCTTTTTGTTGCTGCGACTGGTGGTTGTTTGCTTTCTCTTTGGCATGTTATTGGGTATTTTTTTTGATGTTATTTGCGTGATGACGGCTAATCATTATGAACCCAACACAAACAAATTTGCTCACAATATTTTTTGTTGGTTCAAATTTGTGGCAAGGTTACTATGGAAGCGCAGCAACAATTTCTGTGTTTTGGTGGGCTATTTCTGATTTTGTGTTGTTGGTTGTTTTACAAAAAGGAGATTGTTATGCATGACATAATTTGGTGGAAGTGGACTATTTCTTCTAAAAAAGATAGGTGTTATGCCACCTATCCTCCACCAGAACCTTATGGAACGAACTGAGGTATTCAAAGAATTACAAATTAAGGTGGATTCTTCACATACTGTCACTTTTATAAAAATTCTTATTATTTTTCAAATTTTTTGCATGCCCTCAAAAATGGTTCCAAACCTGAAGTTATTTTCTCTATCAATATAATAGATAAGGAAATGATTTTTGAAGGAATGATAGTCTTATATGTCTGGATTATGTGGTTAAAATCATACAGTCAAATACCTGATATTAAGGGTAAAATTGAATATTGAGTTGCGTCGACCGGGAATTGAACCCGGGTCACGGCGATGGCAACGCCGTATTCTACCACTAAACCATCGACGCCTCTTGTTAAGGTATTAAGGATGCTATTATTGAACATATTTTTCAAGCGTGATAAGCCTGGAAATTATGTTTTTGTTGTCATAATTTTGATCGATTTTCGAAGCAAACCAATTCTTCCTTCACTTTAAAAAAAATGAGAATACACGAAATTACATTCACAGAGCAAGGTTTGATGCACGCAGGCCTTGCCGACTGCAAACCATTCGAAAATTCAGCCACTCTTTTCAACAATGGAATGGAAACAGCCATTCTAATATTTTCTGTTTTGGACGAAACTGCCTCTGATCAACCAAAATATATTAATCACATTTCCACCGAATTTACACAAATTGGATTACTTCCTCCTTCAATGCTTGCTAACAAATTCATTCATGACATTCCGAATATTTCATCACGTCAACCAAGAGTTGAATATTTACGAAGTGATGGAAAATTCAACGATGCGAAACATTTGTTTATTGCCTTCTTTTCCAAATCGTATTTTGATCAAACTAAACCGAATGATGATTTTGTAAAGAGGTTGTTTTCAAGAATTTACTGTGATATTGAACAATATCAAATTAAACATTTGATTATGGAACAATTGGTTTTACCAGATACCGAGGCACATTTTGAATGGAATAAGGTATTGAGAAATTGTGAAATGTGGAAGAGTTCACTCATGAATTACTTTTCAGAGCTTGATAATTGTTTGATTATGTGTCCAAAAGAATGTGTGTGGAATCATTATTTGAATGAGTGTAAAACTGTTTCAACTGTTATGAGTTATAATGTATTGGCCCAAAGTTATACATCCACACATTATAATTATTGTAAACCTTATATTGGATTTGGTGTGAGAACTCCAAAAATTGTTTCATTGGTGGATTCAATTCAAGCTGATATTCAAATGTATCAGGAAATGGAAAAGGACATGCTTCAACAGTTGACTAAACCTCACCATCACGTCTTATTCAAACCAAAGGAAGGAAGAAAGGAAGGACTTGCCATCATTATTGACAAACGAGTGTGGGACATCACAAAGGAAGGCAGTAACAAGTTGGCTCTAAACCATCCTCAAGATATGATTTTCGTAGCATGTCGACACAAGTTCACTAAGAAAACACTTCTGGTTGTGTGTACTCACTTACTTGGTGATCCAAAGCAATTAGATATCCAAACAGAACAAGCCAAAGTCCTAGCCAATCGTTCAGATATGACCAAACTAGAATGTGCATGTGAAAATGTCATTATCGGTGGTGATTTCAATGCCTCACAAGAATCTCAAGCTTATCAAGTTGTTGAGCAAGCTGGTTTCAAGAGTGCAATCAAGGAAATTCATGGAAAGGAACCTACCATCACATTCAATACTGATGCCATTCACCGATCCATTGATTACTTGTGGTACAATTGCTCTACTATCATGCCTTCAACCTGCACAATTTTCAATCAGAAACAAATTGAAATCAAGAAGGAAGAAGCTCTTCCAAATCATCAATATGGCTCGGACCACATTCCAATATTTGCCAAATTTGTGTTGAATTAAATCCTTTGTTTATTATTAAATATATAATTAATTGTATAATAATTAAAGTATTTAATAGTAATTAAGATAAAATTGAAAACATTTACGCCATCACCAGCCGTTATATATTTTTTTAAAAAAATAAAAACAAAAAAACATCAACTTCATCAAATAGTAATAATTCAAATATTTTTATTCTTCCTATTGATAGGTAATCAAATATTCAGGATAGGCTTGCTTATTATCATAGACAATAATTTCCTGTCCTCCCCATCCAGTAACACTATCAAATCCCTGCGGAGCAATCTTAATCGTCTGCATCATATTCATATTAGCATCATATGAATGACCAACAAGTACTCTCACAATGAACATTCTTCCATTATTACTATTACCAGCATATCCGAGAGAGTAGGAAGCATTGGGACTAAAGTAAATTCCATTTCCAAATTTCCCACTATTACTCACTCTTGCATCGAAACCTTCCTTGGCAATTAAATCAGCAAATTGTTGTTGAGTTCCGTGGAAGAGTTGTTTCTCATTGTGGTTGGCTTTCATGTTCTGCTTTTGAAGACTGTACCAATTCCATCGAATGTAATTTTCAATTCGTTCAATTTTGAGAATGGTTTTACCTGTGGAGGTTGAGGAAAAGAGCTGAGAACAATGTTGAAACTCTTTGGAGGAGGTGGAAAGTGTTACTATTCGAAAGTGTGGTTTCATGAGAGGGTTTTTGGAGAGTTTGGGAGGATTTTCCCATTCCTTTGGCCATGAAGAGATGCAATTCACTTGTGTGTTGCTGGTTGAATTGGTTGCCTTGCTTTCATGTATAAATGAATAGCAATGTGAAATATCTCCAGATAGATACTTTTGACAGGAAGTAGCATCTTGGCATGTATGGAAATAGTGAAGGCAATGCTCTTTCTGTTGGAGTTTAGTACACTTTGAATCGTATTTGCATGGATGGACGAATCTGGATCTGTGAACAGAATCAGTAATCATGGAACAGTTTGCTCCCTTCTTACATGGATGATAATACTTTTCACCATGATCAACATGATCCCTATAGTTTGTTTTGGTACATTTATCCCAATGTTTACAAGGCACCTTGTCTTTTAATTCATTAACTTTGGTTGAAGTTGATGATTTCGTTGTTTTGCTGCAGCTTGGTGATGAGGAATGGCTGGTTGTTGGTGTTGTACTTGTGGATTGGATTGTGGATTGTTGTGGTTTGACGTAATTGACAGGAAGAAATTGTGGATTAGCTCCTGTTGTCATGTATCCAACAATTTGTGGCACCGTTCCTTGAGGGATATTTTGTGGAGGTTGGGATGAAACACTTGGTGTGGGCAATGTTGGATTGTTTTGCTTCATTTTTTTGATAGTGTGAATTGAGAATTTTCCATGTCAGCCTTTTCTGACAAGCGCAAAGATTAAAAAAAATATTAACAACTGACACGATGCATCAGCCAAACAATCCGAATGGCACAAATAATAATAATTGGCAACAGTTTCCGCAACAGCAAATCTATTTGCATCAGCAACCACAAGGTCAAGTATTTCCGCACCAACAATTACCAATGTATTGTCAACCGTACCAAATTATTCAAATTCCTAATGAAATGATTCAACCATCAACACAACAAGTTTCATCTCAACAAACAATGCTACCAAACGTGATGCTCAGTTCCACTTCAACTTGTCCACAAGATTTTCACAATCAAGTACCAGAAAGAGAGGATTTTTGCACTGATTGGAGATTATGTTCTGAAACAAAAGATCAGAAACACAGATGCACCAAAAGACATTTATGTACCATCAAGAATTGCTCCAAAACTAGTGATAAGGTTCATGTTGGCAGATTCTTGCATTATTGTAAATATGGTGAAAAGTGTCGTCACATAGATGATGATAATCATAATCATAACTTTATTCATCCATGCAAGTATAAGGGAGATTGTAAAAAGCTTGGAGACATTATGCACAGAATTTTCTTTACCCATCCAACAATAGCTGACAATGGCTTGTATCCAAGATCTTGGGGAAAGGTGTTGGACGATCATTGTAAATGTGTTAAGCTTTCACATAGCTCTTCAGAATTCAAAGAGGTAGAGAAAACATTTATTCAAAGAATTAATCACAGCCATCCAACTGCTCAAGTAATCGACATTGAAAGAGTGGAAAATGCCAAGTTATGGAGAGCTTTCTCAATTAAGAAATCAGAAACCATTCACAAGAATCAAAATATCAAAGCTGAAAATCAAGTGAAAACACTCTACCATGGAGCTGAAGAAACAGCAGTCGATGCCATCACCAAAACAGGATTTGATTATAGACGATGCCAAGTTGGACATTATGGACATGGAAATTATTTTGCAGTCAATGCTAGTTATAGTCATGGTTATGCCAAGCCATCAACTTCTGATGGTAGTAGAAGGATAATTGTTTGTAAGGTAGTTGTTGGAGAATCTCTCAGAGTAGCACAGAAGGATAATACTCTGAGAAGACCTCAGGATAAGACAACAGGTAAAATGTATGATTCAGTACAGGGAGGACCAACAGGAACTGAATATGTAGTATTCGATAACGAATCTCCATATCCTGGATATATTGTAATTTACAAATAATATATACTGTCGTTGATTTTCACACAAACGCAAAACATCAATTTCTTGTCCTCCACTTGCTTAAGTACTTTCAATTAATCGAACAATTTCAGTGGAACGATTTCAACGAGTCTCTCTCATCATGCTTTTTTAATTTAATTCTCAAGTAGGAATTTTCAAAAACTCAATTTTACTGATTGAGATTGTATTTGTGCAATGAATTTTCAATTAATTAAAAGAGTTAGGCGGCTCCTAATCTGACGGTTTGTGCAATGTCTGATCGAAACCAAATCAAAGTGAGCAATTAAGCTCAAACCCTGATCCCTACAAAAAATTGAGTTAATAGTAGATGCAACACGTGGGCTGCTTTCAGCTATTAAACTGAAAAGAACAGATACTACACTCGATCAAAGCCAATTGGCCGAGAAAGATGGTTTTGAGAATTGCATAAGGCACACAGTATTTATTCTGTTTGTTGGGGAGTAAAGAATGACAAAATGTTTGTGGTATTTTAATAAATTTTAATGCCTTGTTCAACTATTGATATTGAACATGTAGCGAATCTTAATTAATCATTTTTATGATGAGCAGTTCAGTCAATAATTGACTCCAAAGAAGCTGTTTGGAATATTGGAAAGAATGTGAGAAGCACCAGGTTAGATTGCCAATTAAAGTGGCCAAAATTGATAAGTAAACTTGAACTAGTGCAAAAAACAAAAAGACTACAGGGATGAGGTGCATTCATCGTGATATGGCCGTAGCCATTCATTAATGTAAACTAAGGTTTTTCAAAATGTTCAAAAATTGCAAGTTAATTCACTTTAAGAGGATTGTTAGCGATCAACTACTTTGAAATAATTAAGATAAATCATTTATTCCAATACCATTTCCAACACAATGCACCATCTGCAATTATTGCCCTCATGGAATCCCTATTTTCAGTTTCGAATCATCAAAATCTCTTTCTCCAGCTCGACGTTATAGAATTTAAGGGAATGGGTGTAAGCTATTACTCAATCCGTTGATTCGTATTCTTAATATTTAAAATTGTACAAATATCATTCTCTCACATGATTTTGAAGTTTCCAAGAGGATGAAATGGCACTCATTTCTTGCGCAAATTCCACAGATCAATAATTAGTGCTCACGACAGCGCTTTGGTTTCGGGTACAGAATCCACCATAAATGGCATTCACACTAACCATTATGCATTTTCAATCACAAAAAAACAACTTTACTGTATTATTACAAATAACAAATAACAAAATGGTCTACAAAATTTATGGTGCTGCTCAATCTACTTGCGTTCAACGTGTTTTGACAACAATCAAGGAGAAAGGTTTAGAATATGAACTTGTTCCTGTTGATTTAATGAAGGGAGAACACAAGTCACCATCCTACTTGGAAAAGCATCCATTTGGTGTCATTCCAGTCTTGGAAGATGATGGTTTCTTGATTTATGAATCTCGTGCTATCTGTCGTTATTTGGAAGCCAAGCATAAGAGCCAAGGAACTGAACTCATTCCAACAGAGCTCAAAGCTTTGGGTTTATTTGAACAAGGTGCTTCCATTGAAACTGCTTACTTTGATTCAAATGCTTCTGGTTTAGTTTTCGAAAAGTTATTTAAGGGAATGATGGGATATGGAGCTGCAGATGAAGCTCGTGTCAAACAATTGAGTGAAAAGTTAGCACTCAATTTGGATGCCTATGAAAAAGTGTTGGCTAAACAAGAATTCATTGGTGGAAATCAATTTACCTTAGCCGATTTGTATCACTTACCATATGGAAACTTGTTGTTCGCTATTGGATTGGGCAATTTATTGTTGGATCGTCCACTTGTTAAAGCTTGGTGGGAAAAGATTTCAGCAAGACCTTCATGGAAAGCTGTCACAGGACAACAATAAATAATACTGTAATTCCTTCATAGAATAAATTCCACAAATGTCTCCAATCTTGAATATCAATTTTTTTATCGTTGCTCAGCAAAGTGAAAAGCTGTATTTAATTTGCCTCAATTCACTTTCATCACTTGGCCAATAGCAATTAGAATACAAACTTTAAGAAAAGAAATGCAAAGCAAATTGGCGCAGCGGAAGCGCGATGGGCTCATAACCCATAGGTCCTAGGATCGAAACCTAGATTTGCTATTCATTTTACAATTTTGGAATTGAAATGTTCTAAAAATATTACTAAGGTTTGTAAAACATGCACCCTTAATGTTTACATCTAAAACTAAAGATAAGGGGACCAGTGGGAATCGAACCCACGGCCTCTCGCACCCAAAGCGAGAATCATACCACTAGACCATGGTCCCTTTCATTTAAATTTGAATTTTTGTTGCTATCCGTAGTTTGTGGTGTAACAGATTAATTCTTCTTACTATAGTATAATAGAAAGGAATGTTTCTTCCTCTAGCCATGATCTCTGACATTAACTGTCTTTCAGATCATAAGAGATGTTTTGTTGACTTGATTTTCTTGTTTTCATTATGAGTTTTTAAAGAAAAATTACATTTTCAAATTGAATGGACAATTATTACAATAACACAACTGTAGATACTTCATTACTTAAACAGATCTGCCTGTTACCGAGGACATTAAAGTGCAACATTTTCCTGCAAATACTGTGCGTTGTAAACTTTTCAAATTAATACGCACGGATCTTGTCCAACACTTATAAAAGGCAGTCTCAAATTCAATCTGTTTCATCCAACAATTAAACTCAAAAAATGTCTCAACAAAACAATACTGAATCATCTGCTGCTACCACTGCTGCTACTCAACCAAGCGTTCCTGCCTATAATTTGTTAGGAAGTTCTGGATTGAGAGTATTCCCATTATGTTTGGGAACCATGGGTTTCGGCCAAAATCCAATTACCAAGACTTTTGTAAGTTTGAAGAGTTTCGAATATTTTATTAACTTGAGCTTTGTAGGGTATTGGTGGAAGTGATGAAGAAAGTGAAAAGATTCTTCTCAAGTATTTGGAAATTGGAGGAAACTTTATTGATACGTAAGTTGAACATTTTCTATTCGAAACTCATTGAAACATAGTGCCAACTTCTATGCTATCGGAAAGAGTGAAGAATTGATTGGTAATCTCATTAAGAAACACAATCTCAATCGTGATGAATTGATCATTGCCACCAAATTCTCACTTCCAATGACTCAACATGCCAACGGTGGTGGAAATCACAAGAAGAATTTAATTCAATCACTCGATGCCTCCCTCAAGAGATTGCAATTGGATTATGTTGATTTATTCTATGTCCACTTTTGGGATTTCACCGTTGATGCCAAGCAATTAATCATTTGGTTAGACGAAATTGTTAAAAGTGGTAAAGTTTTGCATGTTGCTGTTAGTGATATGCCTGCTTATCAAGTTGCCATTGCTAATACATATGCTGAAGATCATGGATTGACTAAATTTGTTGCCTATCAAGGAAGATATTCATTGGTTGATAGAGCTTTGGAACAGGAGATTATTCCAATGACTAAATCTTTGGATCTTGGAACTGTTCCTTGGGGAGTACTTGGTGCTGGTAAATTGACTGGAAAGAAATTGAGAAATCAAGAAGAAAAATCCGAAACTGAAAGAAAGTTTGTTGAAATGAGTCAAACAGATTATGATATTCAAGATGTTGTCATTGAAATTGCAAAGGAATTGAATAGAACTCCATCACAAGTTGCCATTAATTGGATGATTTCTCAAGGAGTGTCAAGTGTCTTGATTGGACCAAGAACTTTGGAACAATTTGAAGATAACATTAAGAGTTTGGAATTTAGATTAAATCAAGAACAATTGAAGAGATTGAATCAAGTTAGTGCAAACTCTCCTTCATTGATTTTCCCTTACAATTTCATTGGACAAGATACTCAATCGGCTAGTATGTTATACTTTAATGGAAACAAGTTCTCTATCAATAAAAAATAAGGTGGATTCAATAATTTTATAACAAAGAGGCCATAAAATACAAATTTGTCACTTTCCTCTTCTAGATATGAAGATTTTTGTGTTTCGATTTTTTTGCATTTTCAAAAATGTGGATAACACAGATGCAGAGAAAGTTGTTTAACATTATGTTGAACAATGTTGATTTGTAATGATTTGTTATCTGAATCTTATTATTTGGAGAATGGTTTTCTTTATTGGAATGTTATCTGATGAACAATTTGGGACGAAACATTATCTCTTCACAACTTGAAGAGTTTCCAACAACAAGTTTAAGAGAAAACCATTCCCATTAGATTCGACACTATCTACTCTTGGGTAATGAGTGTGTTTTTCATTGTTATTTTCATTATCTCTTGCGGTGTTTTACGTTTCGAATAAATAGTGGAATGAAAAGTGTGAATGTTTGAATCAATAACAAAAAAACAAAATGAATAACAATTCAAACAAATCATTTTCTACTAGAAGAAACTCTTCTACTTCTGTTCTCAGTTGTATTGTCTGTTTGGTATTATTCACCTTCATGATGACAATGGTTACTCCAGTTGAACTTTCCAAAGGAAACAATAAGAAACCAATGCCACCAAAGCACAATAACACTCATCCTGTTCATCCAACTCATCCAATTGCTAATCACACTCATGCCAACACTCCTGTCAATGACAAATCTTTGATTGATAGAATTAATTCCAATCATACTCATGGATGGAAGGCAACTGAATACTCTAGATTTGATAACATGACCATTTCACAACTTAGAGATAATCTATTTGGTCTTTCATTGATGAGCTCTGATGAAGACACTCCAAGAATGGCAAATATTGAAACAAGAGTTGATATACCAATGAATTTCGATGCAAGAACTCAATGGAAAGGATGCGTTCCAGCAATTAGAGACCAACAAACATGTGGTGCTTGTTGGGCTTTGTAAGTTTTACAATTTGATTTATTTCAACTTACATTTTCATTTTTGTAATATTTATGATTTTAGCTCTGCAAATTATGTATTGGCTCATAGATTGTGCATTGCCACCAATGGTCAAACAAATGTTGTCCTCTCACCAGAATATCAAGTTCAATGCGATACAATGAATAAGGCCTGTCAAGGAGGTTATTTGAAATATTCTTGGACATTTTTGGAAAATACTGGAACACCACTCGATACTTGTATTCCGTATGCTAGTGGTGGAGGAACCTTCTCCTCTGGTACTTGCCCAACTCAATGCAAGATTGCATCCATGTCCATGAGCAAGTATAAGGCCAAAAACACTGTTTATATTTCAGGTATCAATAATATCAAGACTGCAATCATGACATATGGCAGCGTGCAAGCTGGTTTCACAGTCTACAGAGATCTCACAGGGTAAGTTGAATTTGTTTCATATATACTAATTTGTTTTTCTAGTTACAAGTCAGGTGTCTATAAACACCTTGTAAGCACAGTTCTTGGTGGACATGCTGTTGCCTTAATTGGATTTGGAGTTGAGGGAGGTTCTAATTATTGGTTAGCTGCCAATTCATGGGGTCCAAATTGGGGAATGTCTGGATATTTCAAAATTGCTCAAGGAGAAGGTGGAATTGAGAATCAAGTTTATGCTGGAGAACCTGTCTATTAATTTGAACAGTTCAAAACTCCAAACATTTGACAGATCTATCGATCTTTCAGAAACAGTTTATTCTAACAAAATTATGTTGGAATTGTAAATAACAAAATAAACATTTCCATTTTGTATTCCAAAGGAGCAAAATGTCTAGCAAATCTAGGTTTCGATCCTAGGACCTATGAGCCCATCGCGCTTCCGCTGCGCCAATTTGCTTTGCATTTCTTAGACGCTTCTCTTCCTTAAGAAGTATATGTAGAAATTTACAATGCCAAAAAATTGTTATGAAAGACTATTACATGTTGTTAAAATTAATGCATTAAAATACTGTTTTGAAACCAATGAAATTCACTACAAATTTGCACGGGTGGCCGACGCATATCCCTTTTGGCCTGAAATCAGCACTGGGAAAACGTGGGCCAAGTTGACTTCCAGAGAAATACATAGGTACATGATACCATATTTTCACAGTATGAGTTATCATGCTAAAAAATAATTTTGGAAAACTTTTATTAATTTTTGTATTGTTTTTGACGAGTTATAAATAAATTCCCATTTTTAGAATTTTTTAAAATTTATTAATATGGTATTATCATAATGAATACAGAAATTCATCAAATAATATGAATCAATAATATAAATTGTGTATTAATGTACTTAAATTTCAATTTTCATTAATTCATTCCAACAAATAAAAGACTAGTTATAAAATAATAATAGGTGTCAATTGACAATCGCATTAATAGATCATACTTTATTTTAAATTGATGATATTTTAACATCACCTTATAGACATGGTATGTATAATATTTTATCATTTTAGTTGGTTGATATCAGATTATCAACAAGATAGAGCTCAACAAAACATTTTCTCCAAAATATGTTAGTGTTTTCATAAGTAAATTAAAAAAACTGACGACAAAGGTTGCTAAATAGTGTTTAGAGAATTTTCACGTATACGAACATGTATAACGTATTGTAATAAAAAACTAGATAGGGAAAAACATTTAATTCTAAGCTAAAATTTGAAAATACTTTTATTGACCAATATTTTTCATTTTCTAAAAATAATCAGCTTGTTTGCACAGTAATTTGGGTGGCCTGAAGGAGACTTCTAAAAAAAATCGCTGGAGTCGGCCACCCGTGCAAATTTGAATCATTAAGAAACATAAAATTGCATAGAACAGTATTTCTTTCAACAATCCAAAAAGATGTAGGAAGACAGGGAATCGAACCCTGATCTTAGGAACCACAATCCCATGTTCTACCACTGAACTATCTCCCTTCTTGTTGATTTATATAAATTAATAATATTTCAAAATAGATTGTCGGTGAAGATGGTTAATTAAAAAAATAAAAATTAATAAAAAAAATATGTAACGGCTAGTTCTTTTGTCCAATCGAACTCTACCAAGCGCTCGAATATTTTTTCACCAGCAAAATAACGCTCAACAAAAATGAAGAGAATCCCCTGCAGCTTATTTTTAAATTCTTTCGCAGCTGCCAAAAATCCAGTAAGTTCAAGAAGAAAAAAACAAGAAAATTGAAACTCTAAAGATTGGCTCAATTACATTACCAAGAAATTGTTTGCGTGCGAATAAGAGTTGGAAAAGGGTTGTAGAATTGAATCCGAGAGTGAATTATTCAATTTTACATCATCACGAATTTTCATCTATTAATTGTCAAGAAATTAATAAGAAGAATAACATCATCGTTGGCATTAACAATCAACAAAGAGATTTTCATAGCACATCCACATCGTCATCATCATCAACTAATAACAACAAGATGGAACAATCATCACATAATAGTTTACAAGCTGCCAATAGATTGGTTTGCTTTGTTGAGGGAAATATTGGAAGTGGTAAGAGTACAACTGTCAAGGAGTTACAACTCTTCAATGATAATAGTGTTTCTGAGCAACAGAAAACAGAAGAGTGGACTCTCCTCAGCAAGTACTATGAAGGTGGTATGAAGAATGACCTCACTTTAAATTATGAACTTCAAAAACAAATTGCAAACACTTACTTTAAACATTATTTCAAGTATAGCTTCCTTCCTCATGGTGGTGTTGGTATTGGTGACTTGTTTGATGACAAGACATTACAATCCATGATGAAAAAACATGAAAAATACTTGAGAATTCACCCAAATACCAAGTTACCTGAAACCATCTCACTTCCTTCAACTAGCTCACAACCTACTCAACCATCTTCTAGTAATGTATATAATATCTTCTTTGAAGGCATCCTTTCCTCTAGTGGCGTATTTACTGTCATGGAATATAACAAGGGAATGATTAGAGAAGAAGATTATGTGGACTTGTGTAAAAATTATGATGCCCTTCAAAAAGGAGTAACTGGTCATATGGCCTTTTATTTGAAACCAACCAATAATGTTGATGTTTGTTTGGAGAGAATCAAGGTCAGAAGAAGAGAATTCGAGAGTGTAATTGAAAAACCATATTTGAAAACAATTGAAGAACATTATGACTGCTTTATGGACAAAGTGGCCACTAAGATTCCAGTATTTGTCATTGACAATTCAACGATGGATGCTAAGGAAACTGCTGCACTAATTTTGGATGTACTCAGTGCTGTCAGAAAAGATATTAAATACATGTAAATATTCTAACAATAATAAACTTATTTATTAAAATTCACTTAGTTGACTGGTTTAAACAAGAAGAAAATAATATCAATTCTTAATAAATAAAAAAGTTTAGTTAGGTTGATACTACGAAGATAATCTGGCTATCAGCTCTGGTTTTATCTTGTTAACTTTGTTCTTGAATTCTTTGGTTTCACCATCCCTCAAAACGAAAATAATGTCCAATCCTCCATCAACGGTTTCTTCTGCTGTAATCAGGAATTTCACATCCTTCTTAGCATGCATACATCTCAAAACAAGGAATGGTTGGAGAAGAAGTGGTGAAGCATCAGTACTCAAAGCTTGAGTTGTTGACTTTTTGACACCTGTATCGATGGAAAGTTGAGGTTTCTTGGATGGTCTTGCTAAGCTGATATCTAAATTTGAGCAACTAGCAGAAGGTTTCAAAGGTTGGGTAGCTCTTGTTGGTTTGACATCTACTTTGCTTTCATCATCACTCTTGGCAGAAAGATCAGAATCAGATGACATTTCTCTTGACATTTCTTTTGACATTTCTCTAGACATTTCACTAACTGTAGCATTACCTGGATTAAATAATTGACTACTACTTGTAGGAAGTTTAATATCCTTCTTCTTGGATTCTACCTTGAAATGACAATCATACTGCTTGAGAATGTCAACAAGGATTCTTCCAATGATTTTGTGTAAGTTAGTAATGTGTCTATTCTTCTCGAAAAATTTATCCATTGTTAATCTATCCACCATTAATTGAGGTTGATATTGTGGACCCTTAGTCCATCTGTGTTCTCTAATTTGTTTCAAATTTGCTCTAGTCTTTGGATTTGGTTGAAGCATACCAAATATCAGTTCTTGGCATTCCATGGAAACTTCAACATCGTCTGGGTAGGTGTATCTCGAATTTTTAACGTCATCAAACATGCTATTCACATCTGATGAACAGAATGGTAATTTGGAAGTAACGAAACAATAGAGAATAATACCAGCACTCCAAATATCAATCTTTTCACCTGAATAGACTTTTCCTTCAATTTGTTCAGGAGAAAGATGATATAAACTACCAACTAGCTGAGTTGAAAAGAGATCCCAACCCTTTTTGAAAATTCTTGCTTGTCCAAAATCTGTAATCTTTAAATGGCCTTCATTGTCAAGTAACAAGTTTTCTAAACGTAAATCTCTGTGACAAACTCCCATTTGGTGACAATAACTTAAACCATCAATCAATTGATCAAAGTAATATCTTGCAAGATTTTCATCAAATGGTTTGTCCTTAAGGTGTTCATAAAGAGATCCACCTCCACAAAGTTCAATAACAAGATAAACATAATCATCGTCTTCTAAAACTTCGTAGAGTTGGACAACATTCTTGTGTTTGAGCATTTGCATTGATTGGATTTCTACATCCAATCTTGACATGTCACTGACATTACCCTTCTTGATGATCTTAATAGCTCTCTTGTTGTTGTAATCGTCAACGTGGTGAGCATATCTTACTACACCATAACCTCCACGTCCAAGAACGTGTGTCATTTTCCAATCACCAATAATTTTGGCATCAGTGTTTTCAAGTCTCAAAGCTTCGTATTTTGTGATAATGATTTCTCCTAGTTTGGTGAATTCGTGTTGATTTAAATAACCATGTCCTTCAATATCATACTCTTCCATTATTCTATCCACCAATTTCTTTAATTTTTGTGCTTCATCATGTGACTCAGTGGTTGGAGAGAGTACATCAGCAGGATGTTCTTCATCACTATCAGTATCAAATAAAAGACATTCAAGGTCAATGCCATCCTTTTGAACAGCTCTAAGAATAACCTCTAATTCTTTTCTAGATATTCTTCCACTTAGAGTGCTGTCAGACTATTGGGAGCAATAAAACAATATAATAACAAAGTAAAGCAATAATATAGATTGGAAGAGTATTAACAAGATAAATAACAAGCTATAAAACATACCAACTTGAAAAGCCAATCCAAAAATCTCTTTCTTCCTTCTTTACAGAACATTTCCTTGTGGAGAGCTGGTAATAATTCAAAGGTAACACGATCCTTTACAAGGTCTGACATGGTATCGTGAACTCTCTTACATGAAGCTGAAGTTGGAGATTTGGCTGGAGAAGAGAAAAACTTTACAGAAAACTTCTCAGCAGATGTTGGAGAGACACTACCAGAAGCGAGTGATGAAAGGGAATGTTGGGAATCAATGGAACGATGATGAGACTCGTGAGTGTCAAGTCCTTCAGAATGACTGTTTGATCTACCAAAGAGCTTGCTAATGATGGAAGCAACATCACTTGTTGCAGAGTGGTGAGCATCTTGATGATGTTTTTCCTTGTCTTCAGTTTCCTTTTCTACTTGTTGTTTGATACGTTGCACAAACTTGTCCATTTCTGCAAATTCCTTGTAATTCAATTTTCCTTCCTTTCCCAAGTCAAACTATTATTAATATTATTATAAATACAAATATTATTATTATGATAACATACATGATAAAGAGTAGTAAGAGAGGAGAATGGAGAAGTGATCTCATCATTGGTGAGAAGCAACTCGGTCAAGCTTACTTTCCCAGATTTATCTAAATATTCCGAATATAATGATGATGATGATGAACTTATGAAATATGAAACATACCCTTATCTAATTGTTCAAAAATCTTTTTTGCGTTACTATTGCCCATTCTCAATCTATTTAACTACTATAAATTGGTGGTTTTAATAATGTTTTTGATGATGTTGTTAATTGCTAAAATTCTATTTTCTTCTTGCTCGTAATGATGACCATGCAATTATTAATATATAATTTAAATGGTACGGGCAAAAGTAATGATTATTGCTTGTACTACTACTATTGTTGTTGATGTTCTTGCAAGAACCTAAAAAACTAAATATGATGCAGAGCAGCAGTATTTGCAAGTGTTGTAGTTGAGTGATTCTTCTGTTGAATTAAAATACAGACAGACAACAGAGAGAATATAAATTCTGAAGATGATGATATAACAGCAAGCTGCTAATACCGCAATTGTGCCTTCTCTTCGTTCAAAAAGAAACGAGGTGAGAGTATGGTTAATTTTTTGCAGTCGAAAAATTGTCGCTGCTGAGAACCTTCTTTCATACAAGCTGTTGCCTTGAAGAGAGAATCTGCCAAATATCGTGAAAAGATGCTTCTTGGCTTGCGACTGTGCACTAGAGTTGGCAAATGTTATTATTAATAATATTGCAGTATCAACCCCTCAATAATGTATTTGTTGCTTTTGTACACCCTCTTCCGCACCTTCTGATCTAAATGGAAATGGTGTTGTTGCTGATGGATGTATTATTTCAAGTGTTATTAATAAGAGGTCTTGTATTGTTTGGTAGTGTTGTGTTTGAACTCTGGATGTAATAGATGATAATAATAACAATGGAAGAGTGAATTATTCGATATCGAAATCAATTATTAGGTGACGACTGAGTAGGTGATGGGTTACTCAAAGGCTCGAATAGTTGAAATAACCAAGATTAATTATTACAATGAGAGAATGTGAACTGATTTTAAACTGATCAATTGTATATTTCGTAAATGTGATGCATTGAAATATATTATCAAATATCTTAATAATATCCTCAACAGTTGCTAGTAGAGAAGATATTTGAAGAGGAATATCTTGGATGTTTTTATTCCAATTAACTTATCAAAATCTCTCAAATTTTCGGTGATCAAAATCCAATTTTTATTACTGATTCTTATCGCCCGCTAAATTGTTTCTGTTAACGTCAGCTTGAGTCTTAACGTGGAGCCATTAATAATAAATAATGAAAATTTAATGCATTAATTGACTTCGAATGATTAACGAGGCATCATTAAAAATCATTAACAAGAAATTAATGCCAGTCTCATGACTTGTAATTTTTTTGCATTTTTGATGGCGTACTAACATTTTCACATGATGAGAAGGTTTCCCATCAAGATCAGTATTCAAAATACCAAAACGGTAGAATATGAGCCGATTCAATGAACACAAGCAGATGACACTAAAATTGAAATATAAATGAAAGAAACTAATTGGGATTTAAGAAAATTAGCACAGCCTAAGGGAGAAAAATCAAAAGCAATAAATCTCAATCTAAATGAACAAACTCTTGTTAATATTTATTTTAGAGATATTGAAAAGTGTTCTTGTGTACAGTTGTATAGATTTCCTTCTTTGGAAGTGATAGTTGTACACAAGGAAGGTATTTATCAATGTCCTTCCTTTCTACCACTAATAAAGTATCTGATTTTACACTTTTTAAAGTGATTGTGTTGTAATCTTCAGAGAAAGAGTCAATCTGAAACACTCTGCCCGATTTTATGTTGGTAATAAAATCTCTTTTTTTGGAAATAACATAATTTCCAAATATGCACTGTCCTTTGCTAAGATCTTCTCCTAAATCCAAAATATCACAAAGTTGGCACATATCAAAGTACATGATTGAATACCTTGCAGAGTTTGAGCATACGTAGGTTTTGGAAAGAGTGAAATTAAGCCCTTCACCAATGAATGCTGAATTGTGAGCTAGTGGGCCATACATTTTACAACTCTGGATTAAATCGGAAACGATGTGAAAGTTTGGTGTTGCCTTTTTCTCTCCAACAATATTTTGGTACTTGTACAACAAATCTAATAATTGAATTTCTAAAAAATCAAGAGTTTCCAATTGAAATGAATCTGTAAGGTGATCAACTATTCTTGTTAATTCTGTAATCATCTCAACATATACAAGAATGGAAGAAATTTCGCCAATATGATTAAATATTTCCAAAAAGTAATGACAAATCATATAAACCTCAATAGCTCTTAACTTATTCATTGTTTTTCCGTTTGTGATTTTTCTTGGGTGTTTATGAAGGAATGAAGGATATTTTTGTTTGAGGAATATTTTGTCAAATTTTTCCCAATAACTTTCTGGAATTAAGGACATGAAATCTTGAAATAATCCTTCATAAAGAACATGCATAGAATCGTAACAACATATAATTGATGGATTAGGATTCCAATCTTGTTTCAAAATTGGTGAAATTCCTTTCATTCCTTCATAATCTTTCTTACTCATGTTTTCTTCCCAATATTCTAAACTTCTCAACTCATTTAAATTATATTTTTTTAGAAATTTGTCATAATTTAAAGGGTATCTTGTTTGTTTTGTTGTTTCACTAACCTTACTTGTTACCCCTTTTTGTCTACATATATGACAAAAGTACGTTCCACTTTGTTTAAATAATAATACTTCAGATCTGGCGGGAAGATCACAGACAATTCTTTCTAATCTTATTTTTACAGAATTATGTGAATTGTAATAATTTAAATCATCCATCAAAATCAGGTTTTTTTGGAGCAAGAATCCAAAGAAAATTATTCGAACGCTTTCTCCTTAAATGTGGTTTCATTTCATTGAAATTGAAAGATCCTTGATAAAAAGCATTGGTGCTATTGTTAAATGGGCAAACTGAATCAAAAAATGCAGATATTGTTTTAAGCTTTCCTTCATTAAACAGTTTTTTGTGATGTTGTTGATAAACCGATCCATGAACTCTATCTGAAACAATTCCATCCTTAATATCTTCCACTTTTTCAAAAAATTGATTATTAAAATCTTTTTCAAAGAAAATTCTTTCATCCAATTGAAATTTTAGTGGTCTCAAGAAACAATATGAGTGATTCTTCCATTCTATTTCACAATTACATTTTTTTACATTTTTGTTTCTTTCATATTCTCCACATTTTGTACAATAATGCACCATAATTGTTTTTCTACTGATATAAAAATAATCATAAAATCCTTTCAACGTGAAATAATATGAATCTTTTTCAGAAATAGAATTAAAATCTTGAAGTGTTTCTTTAAATAATTCCAAAACAGATTCCAAACTTGATTCAGACAGTTTTGCTTTAACAGCAAACCTTAATAGTTTCCTCATTATTTTTTCCAACTTGATATCCGTTACAATTCTTTCCACGCTTTGGAATGAATGATTGCTCAATAAATCATTCTCTCCATATTTTGATGATTCATGACTATAAAAATTTTTAAGAAACTCATATTCTTCTTGATTCTCTTGATTTTCAAATTCTCTTGATTCATCAGATTCTTCCATATCAACTTCATTGAAACAGGAACAGCTCTGTGCTTCATAACCTCCAATTTCTTGACAAAATACCTCCACTCTATCATCATTTCTGACAGGATTATCTTTTAAAACAAAATCAGTTTCAGAATTTTTCTGAGTACTGTTTGATTGACAGAGTTTCTTACTTGCTCCTCTTAACGCATCAAACTGATACGATCTTTTCATTGTTTTTTGAATGGAGTTGGAGAAAATCATGTTTTCAACCTTGATTGAGTTTGATAGGAGGTTTACAATTTTTTGTAAACTTTTTGTAAACTTTTGTATGACATACTAGGCCAATAAAGATTGTATCCATACAAAAATTTTAAAAAACCAAAATGAAAAGAAAAAGTTCTTCAAAAGTCTCATCTTCTTCAAAATCTCCTCCTTCCAAGAAATCGAAAGATAGCGAGGAAACTAAGGAATCAACAGATCAATCCTTATATAAAAAGAAAAGGTTATCCAAAAAACAAGTGAATACTATTTTAACCTATAATGAGAAAACATTAGAACAAGATAAAGATTCACTTGTTTCCATATTTACCTTCCTCTCAAATCAATTAGAACCCAATATTTCAATTAAATTAGGGGTTAGCTCAATATATTTGGTCATTGAAGAATTATATAATTTATCTGGAGAAGGAATTATTGGCATACAAGGAGAGAAAAGCATTGAGAAACTAGTAAAGTCAATTTCTCAATTTGAAAATTGTGAACAAGCAGTTGTGGTTGCAAGAGACAGAATTGAAAAACAGTTATTCATTGTCAACAACCATTTTCAAGAAAGTATTGGAGAGTTAGAAGAAATAGAGGAAGGTGATTGTCTCCACATATTTAAGCGAATCAAAAATGGATATGGCTTAATTGGCAAGGGAGTTTTAATAGAAAAAAATGATACCACAGCCATTCTTAATGAAGTTGAATCTTTGTTAGAATTTGCAAAAATTGATTCCAAGGACAAAGAATTTTCTCTGAGACTTGTTAGAAAGAATAAGTCTAAGAGAGAAAAGGAAGTTCACCGACCTTCATTTCTATCCAAAAAGAGTACATTAATTACAGAATCTGATAGTGAATCCGAGCTTGAGTTTGAAAGTGAATCTGAACATGAACCTCATCTTGAATCAGAATCTGAGCTTGTTGAATTAGAAAAAGCCAAATCAAAGGAAAAATCTCAACATGAATTGGAAAGAGGTTCAGAATTAACCCAACTCCTCCAGATTCCAAATTTCATTGAACATTACCAACAAGTAATTCAAGAAAACTTACAACTGAAGAAAAAGGTTGGCGAATACGAAAAAGCAAATAAGAGTTTCAATCATGCTATTAAGCTGATCGTGGAATGCGTTGATAATCATCCAAGAGTGTTTAATTTGAATGAAACCACAATTACAATTGGTCAAGAGGCGTTCACTATTAGCCATAGGGAACGTTCTGTATTGAATAAGCTAAATGAATCAAAAAAGATTCAGTATATTGCAGATAACATTTTGAAGAAACCGTTGAAAGATGTTAATGATGACGAAAAGGAATTAATTATTGGGATAGTTATGGATATCAGAGGATTGAATGTCAATACTGATAAAGAGGAAGTGAAAAAGCTTAGAAATATATTCAGAAATATCAAGTGTAATTCTAAAAAACAATAACACAGCAAAACAAGCAACAACACTTTCATTGTAAATAACAAATCTATAAATAAAGCAAAAAACTTGTCAAAAAAAATATCTCTACATCACCAACCGAATTATTGTTATACATAACGTCATTATTCAGTTAGTTTTTAGTATGATTTTACTCTTGATGATAGCACCATTATTGTTTATAATTGGAAAGTATCTGAATTATAATATATTATTTATTGAATCAATAGAATTATTGAATATTGGATTTGTAATACATTATTCAAACTATATAATTTAATCGCTATCTTTGTTATTTTGGACCAAACCAGAAAAATAGAATTTGATTAATTCAGTCCATCCCAAATCTTTGAAATTGTGTCCTTGTGCTTCGAGTTCTTTAAGATTTGATTTTAAATTAACAAGAAAGGTTCTTTTTGTAAGCATTTATTAATTTTAAATATATTCCCATCTAAATCGTAGAATGTACTGTTTACATTCTAATAAGTAGAGGAAACAACTTAGCTTGTTCTTGAAATTGTTCTTCTCAAGTTGTTTTATGTAAGAATTTATTTATTCAAACCATTTTAACTTTCATACTCTTCATAATTTAATTTACAATGTAACAATTTCCTATTCTAAGAATTATTAATTGAAATATTAGAACTGCAACAAATAACTTTCATATTTGTTAAATTACAAACTGAGATTGAAAATTGGAACTTTCTGAAACAGTTGAATACAAGATTGAGTTGTTGGTTCTTTTCACATTGTTTGGTTGGAAATTATATCAACTCAGTGGTTCCATGTATACATTATTCCAACATGAATCTGCTTCTGATTTGGATGCTTTGTTATAGTTCTTAAATTGGGTGTTGGTGTTTATCTTGCCAGCATTTTCTACCACTAGATATTGATTCCCAACCAGCAATATTCACCATTGAGTTGAAATTATATGTAAGTTTTCGTCTAATGGAATTGGTTGATCCAATTTAATGATTGCTAATTGTTTTAATATAGAACTCGAGATGTATCATCTACCAATGAATTTCCAGCCATCAGTTGTCCAGACCAATTGTTGAAATAATTCCACTACTATTTGAAATGAATCTACTTCAATGATTATTATCATTCAAGTCAATAGTGATACCATTGGGAGCATTTAATTTGGAAGTATTAGCCTAAACACTCACACCTGCTCCAATAACTAGTTGAAATGATACCACTAGTTGAAACCTTTGTGATAGAATAATTTTGGATGAAGACATCACTTCAACTATTTAAAGCAACAATTAGGAGGAAATCACCATCATCTAATTATTTAACTGATTGTGAGTTCACTATCCAATTATTCAACTGTATTGGAGTTTATTGAATTTATTTGGAGTTTAAGGTACGTTTAAAGAATTGTAATTTTTCATATTTATAACTGGTTATCAATATATCAATACTCATAGCTTATCAATTTTAAGGATTTGTGGATTGGATTAATTGAAAGTGGTGAAATCACTGAATTTTATGAGGATGATGATTATGATAAATTGATTGGACTTGTGGATATGATTGCTTGGATAAAGTGATGTGAATAATTAATATTAATTATTAACGAGTAATGATAATAATTTAATATTAATTATTAATATTAATTATTGGCGAATTAGCATTAATAATTAATATTAATTAATGACGTTAAAATAACGCATTAAAAGTCGATTTTCTCACGAACAAGGTTTAACGTTTTTATTAACGACTTTTCATTAATTATTAATAAAATTGACTTGATTGAATGTTAATATTTGTCATTAAAAATTAATAAAAATCATTAGCAATTAATGTAAAAACAATTTAGCGGGATCGCTAACACCCAAATTGAGAATAGGTATTGAAAGAACAGTTGCTAGGAATGACAATGTCGTAAGTCAAAATTGTTAAGGAAGATTTCTATATTGATAAGTTATCAAAATTGTAACATGTTAATTGGATTTGGATTCAATCAATATTACAATACAAATATATTGAAACGATAAATTTGAATCTTTTATCTCCATAATTGGGATTCAAATTACTCAATCTTTGCAAAATAAATAGAGTGCAATAAGGAATTTAGGATCGTCCTGTGGAAAACTTGTAAATTCTTCTGTAGTTTCTTCTAACAGTTCTGGTTTCAATTGAATTAATTTGTCAACATGATCGGAGAGCTTGACATTCTCATCAAGCATTATTGACTCGTACAATACTTTCTTAACAAGAGGGTTTTCTCCACGTTGCGCAAATTGGGCAAGTACATTGGAAACAGTTGTCTAGTTGAAAATATTCTGGATGAAACGTTTCTTGCAAAATTCAATAAACTCAACTGGATCAGGCACTGAGTAAATATGGAGAAGAATAGTAGTAGTCTCCTCTGTGAATATGTTCGGATGATTCTGACCAAGTCTCTCCAAATCAATTGGTTCATCTCCAAATAATGTTTCAAATTCTCCCTTAATCTCATCAAAAAAGTAGTGAGAAAAACTTTTCACAAGATCTTTAAAGAATAAATTTCTATCATCCAATTCATAAATGTTGTGTTCAAAGTTATCGAGCATGTATCTAATAATTCCAGAGGATTGTTTCGAATAGTACCATATATCACATTTCGGTAGTTGCTCAATGTGAGCTTGAGGGAATTTGTATCCCTTTCGTCTTGTATAAATGAGGAAGGTAACAATATTTGTAAAAGCATGATATGAGAGAAAGTTAACAATGGAAAATTTCTCATATGGAATAGGATAGGAATCAAGAAACTTGGATAAATACTCTTCACCTTCAGTGGTCAATTTAGAAATAAATCCCAAATAATTGGATTTTTCAATCATGGTTGAAATAATTTGTTCCTTAGTTTGAAAATTTTCCAAAAATTTCAAATACTCAATTGAAATCTTGATGCGTGTTTCGTTATCATAATTATGCTTTTCCAAATAGAATACATCCAAAAAGAAAGTATCTGAAATGGTATCTTTTGAATCAATTTGATACTTGATGCATAATTCTAAAATCAAATCAAAACTACTCTCGTAATAATCAAAATTGCAGAAGATGGTTGAAATCCAGCAAAGTTTGACATTCATATTAAACGAATCAAAGAGTTTTTTCAATGTAGTCTCTAGATATTCCTTTCTTATAAGATATGGAAAGGTTTCTAACGAGATTTCTATCATTACTTCCCAATATTTTGAATAGATAGTGTTTGATTTTAAAAGATTTGTGAAGATAGTATTCTGAATCTCCTCCTGTTCACTTGGTAATTGTTTCAAATTATAAATAATCATTTGATTTTGGAGATTATTTCCCATCAATACAGAAACAAAGCTCATTACAGTTTCTTCCTTATAATTCTTCAAGAAATAACTCATCGATGAGAAATAGGATGTCATTGTAATGGATCCTATTGAAATAATTTGTTTTTCCATCAAGTGTTTGAATCGATTTCCAATCAGTGATGAATTATTTGAATTTCCTAAATCACTTTCACTTCTATTCAATGAAATTCTCAATGCTGTTTTATCCTTCAACACATGAAGATCGTATGAGGTAATAGTAGAATGTAAAATAGCTTTAGCCAACACGAAGGGTGGCTCATTCTTTTGTCCTGTTGTGGATTTCAATGAACGGAGAGCTTGCAAAATAGGTTGAATCTTCTTCATGTCCCTCTCGGAGGAAAGAAGTGCTTCCTTGACTTGTATTTCTGTTAAAGTTGTCTTGACATTAAATTTAACCATTTTGTTAAACTTTTCAATGATGGTGAAAACGAGATAGTGTTGAAATAGTGTCTTCCAGAAAAATTCGTACTTGTCCAGAGAATGCCAATCTTTGCAAACACAAAGAACAGCTCCCACATCACGAATTGGTAAGTATTCCGTCACACAAAAGACATTATCTAACGACAGTTGACTCATTTTTTTGTAACACTCTATTGTATCCAGTACTCCTCCTTGTTGACAGTACTTTCGAGTATGCACACTATAAGCTTTTAATGAGTTAAGCTGGTCTATCACTTTAATTCAATCCCTGGCTTGAACCCCGACACTACTCGCCAATACCAATGATATTAACATAGTTAAAGTGAATAAATAAAGGTGCGTAAATTTTTTTGTTACACTCTATTAATTGTAAAGAAAGCAACAAATCTCTGTAACAAGCTTAATTTCCTAACTCATATTTGGGTCATTTCTTAACAGAATATTGATAAAACATTAATTCCTATTGGATTTATTAATACAACACATAATATTAATTTTACAATAAAAAAAAATGTGTCGTTGTGCTCGTACCCACGAAGATTCAACTTCCGCTCCAGTTGTTGCAGTCGATCGAGTTGTTTTGCCAAAGACTGTCAAGCCATTGACTTATCGTTTGACTTTAAATCCCGATCTTGAGAAGTTTACCTTCACAGTGGAGGAACAAGTTGAATTAAAGTTGTTGGTGCAACCTTCGGAAATTACTAAAATTGTTGCCAATTGCAAGGAAGTTGTTGTTCATAAAGCTTCATTGAGTGTTGGAAATACTCTATTGCCAATTACAAAGATCAGCTATGAGGAGGAGAATGATTTTGTTAATTTTGAATTTGATCATAAAGATCAAGAATTTGCAAACTTGGAAATTGGAGATGTGATCACATTGAATATTCAATCAACAGGTGAATTGAATGATAAATTGGTTGGATTTTATCGTAGCAAGTATTACAAGGATGGTGTTGAAAAGTATGGAGCTGTGACACAATTCGAAGCTGTCGATGCTAGAAGATGTTTTGTTTGTTGGGATGAACCTGCTTTAAAGGCAGTTTTTGAAGTTACTTTAATTGCTCCAAAAACTCATGTTGCCTTGTCCAATATGAATTGCATTGAAGAGAAGGAATATGACAATGATAAGAAGATTTGTAAATATGCTCCAACGCCAATCATGTCAACGTATTTGGTTGCCTTTGTAGTTTATGAATATGATTATGTAGAAGCTATTGCTACTGAAACTAAAAACAAGGTTCCAGTTAGAGTTTACACTCCATTGGGAAAGAAGGAACAGGGTGAATTTGCATTGGAAGTTGCTTGTAAATGCTTGGCTCTTTATGAAAAGTATTTTGATATTCCATATCCATTTGCAAAGATGGACATGGCTGGATGTCAACTCTCTGCTGGAGCTATGGAAAACAGTGGTTTGGTTTTGTACAGAGAAACAGCTCTCTATGTCGATCCAAAGAATACCAGTTCAAGTGCCAAGCAATATGTTGCTATTGTAGTAGCTCACGAATTGTCTCACCAATGGTTTGGAAATTTAGTTACTATGGAATGGTAGGTTTTATGCTAGTTGAAAGGTTTCTAATAGTTTTATGATGTTTCTAATAATTTTGATGTGTTAATTTCGAAATATTAGGTGGCACAGCCTTTTTTTAAACGAGAGCTATGCTACGTTCATGGAATATTATGCTGTTGATCAATTGTATCCTGAATGGAATGTTTTTGAACAATTTGTTCATGATGATTTTTTCAAAGCTATGGCATTGGATGCTTTGGCTTCAAGCCATCCAGTCCATGTTCCAGTTAGAGTTGCAGCTGAAATTGATGAAATTTTCGATGCTATCAGTTATTCTAAAGGATGTTGTTGTGTAAGAATGTTAATTAATTGGTTGTCAAATGAAAGATTCAGAGAAGGTATGATTCATTACTTGAAGAAGTTCAGTTACCAAAATGCTGATACAGAGGATTTATGGGAAGCTCTCTATGAAAGAACGTCACAAAATGTAACTGAAATGATGTACTCTTGGATTTACAAGATTGGTTTCCCAGTTGTTAGTATAACAGAGGAAATTCAACAAGATCATAAGGTACTCACTCTCAGACAAAACAGATTCTTGGAAAAGTGTGGTATCTTTGAATCAGATGACACTGTTTGGGTTATTCCTGTATCCTATTTGGTTTGTGGTGCAGATGACTCTATTACAGAATTCAGTTTGGAATTAAAGGAGAGAGAAACCAAGGTTTCCATTCCAACCTCCTCCAAGTGGATCAAATTCAACAAGAATCAAACAGCGTTCTTTAGATTGAATTATCAAAGTGATTCCTACTATTCCAGCTTAGTTGAACCTATCAAGAGTAAGATTTTATCTCCAATCGACAGAATGTCCATCATTGAAGATGCTTGCACTCTTTCCAAGGCTGGTCTAGTTCCAACTGAAAGAGTATTCGTTCTCTTCTCTGCCTATGCAAATGAAGATAATTTTACAGTAATTTCCAGTCTTGCTACCTGCTTTGGTACCTTGTATAATATTTACAAGCACGAGGAGCAAATTATTGAAAAATTCAAAAAGCTTGCTGTTTCAATCTTCTCTGGTATTGCTGCCAAGTTGGGTTGGATACCAAAACCAAACGAAAGTCACTTGGATAGCATGGCTAGACCAATTGTTTTGGGTGCACTTGTAAAGTATGGCGATAAGGCCGCCATTGAAAAGGCAACTCAATTATTTGATGATTTCAGAAAGGACAATAATCTTGTCATTCCTGATTTGAGACCTGTTATATATAGTGCTGTTATTAGATATGGAAATGAGGAAAGATTCAATCAATGTTTGGAAATTTTCCAAAAGACTGAACTCTTCGAGGAAAAGAATAGAATTTTGAGAGCTCTTGGTCTCGCTCAAGATGAAAAATTAATTTCCAAGAGTCTTACCATGGCAATTGATGACTCTGTCAGATCACAAGATGTCATGTACGTGCTCGCTGGTGTTTCCTCCAATCCAAAGGCAACAACAATGGCATGGAAATTTTTATTCGAAAACTTTGCAATTATCAAGCAAAAGTTTGAAGGTTGTTTCCTTCCTGGAAGAATTGTCAAATTGTTGACTGAAAGTGTTACCAATGCAGATGATGTTCAAACCATTAGAGAAACTTTGGACAAGGTTAAATTCAAATCCATTGAGAGATCAGTTGACCAATGCGTGGAATCTATTGAAATCAATAGCAAGTGGCTCCAACGTTCTAAGAATTCTGTCTTGGAATGGTTGTCAAACAATGTAGAATAAACAATTTAATACAATAGATATTTCGCAATTGAAAAATTACAAATCTCCTCCATAGCTCTATTGATGTTACCTCAGTGAATGTCCTTATTATGAACCCCTGTTAAGATGTAATAATTCAACCCAGCCATGCCTTAGTACTCTCATTTAATTGATTCAATCTTCCTCCTGAACTGCTCAAGCATTTTCATTACCGCGGAGAATCAACGGAGTTCAAAAACCTTCTTTCCATCTCCATGAAAAATTTATTTTTGAATTTAAAAAAAAATGCAACAAACAAAAATCTTGAGCATTGCAGCCTTTTTGCTCGTCGTTCTTGCTGCTCTCTCTGTCGATGCCGGCATTTTGACTAGAACCAAATACAAGGGTTCTTTGAATCATAAATTATTACAACGTGATGCTAACCTTTTCAAGCGAACATTTGATGTCGATCAATGGATGACACAAAGATTGGACCATTTTGACCCACAAAATACCGAGACTTTCCAACAACGATTCTGGGTTAATGATACCATGTGGCAAGGAAAGAATGTTTTTATTATTATTGGTGGTGAGGGACCAGCCAGTTCAAAGTATTTGACTGGACATTTTGTTATTAATGAATATGGAAAGAAGCACGGAGCTTTGCTTGCTGCTTTGGAACATCGTTTCTATGGTGAATCTGTTCCACGTAAATCACTTGCTACTGACAATTTGAGATATCTCACTTCCGAACAAGCATTGCAAGATTTGGTTGAATTCCGTAGTTTGTTGGTCAAGAAATATAGAATGGATGAAGCTAATGTCAAATTTGTCTGCTTTGGAGGTAGTTATTCTGGTAATTTGTCTGCCTGGTTGAAGGCCAAGTATCCACATTTGGTAAGTTTAGATTAATGTGTTGCATTTATTCATATTTTTAAATATTTATGTGAAATCTAATTAATGAAAACGAACAGTTCGTTGGTGCTATTGCTTCAAGTGGTCCAGTCGAAGCTAAACTTGAATTCAATGAATATATGATGACTGTCGCTAATAGTATTGGTCCAAAATGTACTGATAGAGTTAGAAAGGCCAATGATTTGATTGAACAATTGATTGCTACTCCTGCTGGTAGACAACGTGTTGCTTCCATGTTCAATGTCTGTAATCCAGAAAGCATGACCAACAATGATGATATTGCATTGCTCTTCTCTAGTCTCTCTGATGGTGTCTGTGAAGTCGTTCAATACAATTTGGATAATAATGGAGCTCAAGGATTCAATGTTACATCAATGTGTGCCATTATTGAATCAAGTGATGATGCTTTGGAAGGTTTTGCCAATTGGGTCAAGACTTGGAATTCCTACAGTCAATCATCATGTACTCAAAACTTGTACAGTGATTTCATCAAGCAAATGCAAGATGTTAGACCATGGCCTGCAAATGAAAATGCTGCTGGTCGTTCTTGGACATATCAAACTTGTGTTGAATTTGGTTATTATCAAAATGCTGTTGGTCCAAAGCAACCATTCTCCCCAAGAATTACTTTGGAATGGTTCGTTCAACAATGTTCTCAAATCTTTGGTATTAATGGAATGAAGCCAGATATTGACTTTACTAACAATATGTATGGTTCTAAGAATATTCAAACTACCAACACTGTTTTCAGTACTGGTTCTGTTGATCCATGGTCTGTTCTTGCTGTTGCTCAACCAACTAGAAATATTGCTCAAAATTATGTTTATCACATGCAAGGTACTGCTCACTGTGCTGATTTGTATTCTAGCTCACCAAAGGATTTACCAACTCTTACTAATACCAGAGTTCAAACTCAAAAGTTGTTGGATCAATGGTTGGCATAAATAAATTATTATTGATATCCAATTTCAATATATTTCGTGCAAAACATTCAAATCAAAAAACGAGATGAAAATCAAAGCTTTTTAAACATTTCAAACCCCTCACATTGGTGATTGTTAAGTTCTGACTGGAAGTTGAACTGAAGCCTAGTAACAAACCTTTAGAATAAATCGTGAATGCCTACTAATTGTATAGTTGGACTTAATATGTCGGAATGAGTGTGAAATGATGTAAAATTCTCACTAAGCCTGTTATCGAGTGCTACAGAAATTTATTAAGACCAAAAATTGCATATTATTTTTTGATGTTACCATGCTCCTTCGTGAAAATAATACTCACTTCACATTGAGACAACAAGTAGTTTTACAAATACCCCTTATCTCTACCCTAATAGTTGAAATATCACTCTTAACTTCTTTAATTTCATAATTCATAATGTTACTCTCACTTTTAATATTATGGATATCAGTTTGCATGTTATCAATATCAGTTTTCATATTGCTAATATCATTCTTCATACTTTTGATATCAGTCTTCACCTTAGTAATATCAGTCTTCATACTATCCACGTTATTATTAATTTTTTTGATATCATTCTTCATATTGTTGATATCTGTCTTCATATTGTTGATATCTGTCTTCATATTGTTGATGTCAGTCCTCACAGTGTTGATATCATTCTTCATATTGTGGACATCATTCTTAATATTATTAATATCGGACTTCATGCTATCAATATTAGTATTAAATTCAGACTTGGTCATGATTTCGTTTCGTATTTTCCTTAGTTCCTCCATAACATCTGCTAGGGACAAATTACCACTTTTCACTTGTTCTCCCATTTTTTTCTTGTTAGAAACCTCAGCAACACCATCAGTTAATTTCTCTCCCTCAAGAATGATTTCCATCTCTGATTCAGCTAGAATGATTTCATCGGAAGCATTGTTATTGTCTTCATTCATTGAATGAGCAATAGAAGTATTCAGCTCTGTTTCTTCCATTACCATAACTTCATTGATGTTTTCTTGATTAATAATATCGGGAGTTTCTTCCATTACATTAATTTGATTATTATCATCAGATGTGATAGGAGGATTTCTAATCTCTGGTTCTTCGTTCAGGTCAAACATAATTACATTTTGGGTATTAAGAGTAAAGCTATTAATATTAGCATTATTCTCCATCTCTGATTCAGTTAGAATAATTTCATCGGAAGCTTTGATATCCTCTTCTTTCTTGGAATGGGTGTTGGAATTAAGAGTGCTGCTATTCATACTTGATTCAGTTCTAGACTTTGATTTCTTAGAACGAGGCTTCTTTGTTGATTTGGCTTTCCTTGGAGCAACCATTTCAACAAAATCCTTCATCATTTGCAATAGTTCTTTCTCTCCAGAAAGGTGGGTGATTTCATGGAGAAAGTTGTACTTTAACTTGCTCTCATCATTCAATGGCTTGAGGAAATTACGAAATTCAGTCTTATCAATGTGATGGAAACTAAAATCATCCAACATGCTACAAATAACATTCAAGAATGCCTCCTTGCTTCTCAATAAAACCCAAACTCCATTAGATTTCAATAAGAAGATAGGATGGTTCTTGTTCGCTAAATTATTCATGAATTTTTCGAGTGGAAACTCGTTGAAATCATAACCCTTAACCAACACTCTGATTAGAGCAGGTGGAATGAAATCTCCAGTATCTCTATCTTTACTAACAAGAGTTTTGATAATGAGTTTCTTATCTTTATCAGAAGGCTGTGAATGCATTTTTTTTTGAGAGAAGTTTAAGCGCCTTCTTTTCAGTGTTCTTTTCCGTTCTTACTTGACTTGAATACAGGTGGTTGTTCAGTAGATTGAAATCCTTCAAGTTGATGAAGAGTGATGAATACATCAAGAATGGTATTAAGAAAGAGTAACCTTAACACCTTGTGGATTAATAACAATGTTAACCAACTTCTTTTCTTCAATATGCTTAGTAGAAAATAATACTGAATATTGGAAGAAGTTAACCATTTCGAAGCTTAATGAAACAATTCAATTGAGAAGGAAATCTGTGACTCAAATGAAATAATTGAAAAATAAAATGCAACTCCCAAAAATTGAGGTTTTCGAGATATCGGATATAGATCGATTCTGTGTTTCATCCTTCATTTTGTATCTCGATCAAGCATATATTGGTAAAAAATCCATCAAAAAATTTATGTCATGGTTTCTCTAAAACAACAATAATTGTTTCATTTCACTTATGTATTTGGATCCTTTATCACTAATTTCATTGTCAGAAATATTAAGTGATGTTAATTGTTTCATTTCACTTATGAATTTGGCTCCTTCATCACCAATTTCATTGTTATATATATCAAGTGATATCAATTGTTTCATTTCACTTATGAATTTGGCACCTTCATCACTAATTCGATTTACACTAATATTAAGTGATGTTAATTGTTTCATTTCACTTATGTATTTAGCTCCCTCATCACTAATTTGATTGTAATAAATATCAAGTGATGTTAATTGTTTCATTTCACGTATTAATTTGAGTTGGTCTAAAGAGTCAAACAAATTTCCAGAAACTTTAAGATTAACAATACTATTCATGATTATCAACTTGAGTAAATACAGCGAATTTGACACCTGACACATTTTCCAATGACTTGTGACTCTTACAGCTGCAGATTTAACACTTTCAGCAACTGCAAATGATAAATCTCCAGCACTATATCTTGCCTCAGTCAATGAAAAGAATGATTTACGAAACAAGCTTGTCATTCCTTCCTTTTCTCACAATCGAATAAAACTTATTTCTCAAAGCATCTGATTTCTTTCTAAGCATCGATTGACCACGTTTAGCACTATTCAAACGATTCTCCATTAATTGTAAGGTCATTCTATTCGGAACAACAGCCAATCTATTATTAATAGTAGCAGACATTTTTTTCTGTTTTGAATTTCATCTCTTTGAATTTTTGTGAATTTAAAGTTTGGCATGTATAATTCAAAATTCTCTAAAATTTAGCAACAACTCTTTCGATCAACTTGCTGAGGTGCGCCACCAATGCACAAAACTTCCAAATTAACTGGACTTGAGCAAGAATGGCAATTCAGAAAAAGATGCCTCAATTGAAAGAACCAACTCTTTTGAAATTAGCTATTAAAGTTATCCATCCTTTAGATGATTGGAGTTATCACTGCAAATCTGAGAGAATTCATCAATAAAGTACTCGAACAAGGTCCTTGTATTTTATCCTAATTATTCCTTTTTATGTTCATCACTATAATAAATTATTGGATATTCTATATGCAACACAAGAAGGGGAAGTTTTATTTACAGAGAGGCATATTGTCTTGTGAGTTAATTACATTGTTTAGAGTGGGAGAGATCACTAATTGAAGTGACATATAAAGTTTGTTCAATACTCATTGACCAACCAATAATAATCATATTTAGAATGGACTGCCAGTCAAATAAAACTTGACACCAGCAACAGCACCTGCAATAGTAACACCAACTGCAACCCCAACTGGTCCACCAATGGCACCAGTTGCAGCTGCAGCTTGCATTGTAGAAACGGCACTTCCTGCAGCTACACCACCACCTGAAGCAATTGCAGTTGTGCTCATCCAAGCAGCTGCCCAAGAACCAGCAGCAATGCCAGCTTTAGTAAAACCAAACCAAGAAACGGCTTGAGTAAATCCAAGGTATGTTAATGTTCCTGCAGCAATGGAGGTCATATTATCAATTTTTTTTTAAATTAATATTTGAGAGATGTGTGTACTGTGTAGTTTAAAGGATTTTCAGATGTGGATATTTTTGGAAAGGGTTGGGAATTCTCAACCTTGGGTTGGGAAGTGTGATATTGATTGACACAATGCATAGAGATTTTAAAATCAACGATAATGAAAGAAGCGCCAATCAGTTTACAAGAGTGCACTGTATCATTTTCTGTGATGGAGGAGCAAGTGTTTCTGTTCTAGCTCACCAAAGAATTTACCTTGACTCTTGCCATAGTTCAAATTGTTTCAAATCAATCTTTACAAGAAGTCGTAGTACAACATGTTTGTTGTAATCCGTGCGGAAGCACTAACCAAGTAGATGTCTCTATTTTGCAAGGATTCTTGTTTGCAGAATAGATCATTCAAAAAAACACAAACAAATTCACCATGCCTGTGTCCTCATCAGAAGAAGAAAAGCAAAATATCATTGCCAAGTGGGAAGAAGTTTTCAAAGTTGGATCTTCCATGACAAGCAAGGAAGCAATTCAAGAAAACAATCTCGGAAAGGAAGGCAATTTCGAATATTGTCACACCAAGCAGAATGTTGATGTTTATGCATTAAAGACAGAGCATTCAACTATTGTAAGAGGTGATATTGTTGTTGAAGGAGCTAAAGCTGAAGAATTTTTGGCACATTTCGGATCAGTTGACTTGGCAGAGAAAGTTAAATTTGATAGCACAACAAAGAGAATTGAAATTGTTGAGCAGTGGACTGATGAAAGTGATGGTTCTGCATGGAGAGTTCAATACTTTGTAATTTCAGTTGGAGGTATGTATTTTCATTGCTAATTTTCCAAAAAAATGATTAGCTCTTGTTTCTGATAGAGATTTCCTCTATGTTTTGAGAATTTTCAAGAAGGATAACATCACCTACTTTTTAACTACCAGTATTGATGGCTTGTACACACCACCTTCAACATTCCAACCTCAAAATAAGGCAGTGAGAGGAACTAATCTATTTGTATGCCAAAGATACGAAACTCTTGAGAATGGAGATTTGCACATTAGTTATGCCAATCAAGTTTCACCAAATGGGTGGATTCCAATAAGCATTGTCAATGCAAATATCTATCCTGTTCCTCTTTCATTGGCTAAGATTGCAGATTCATTAAAGAAGAAAACTAAAGTTCCATCCAACTCTCCATCCCTCAAAAAGTAAATTTCTTTTTCTTTATATTTACATGGATACATAAAGCACAATTAGCAGAACGATAATGAGCACTAGAATCGAAGTCATGTCCCATACTGATTTACCAGAATTAGATTCCACACTTGTTTCAGAGGCCTTGACATGAACGATTTTTTCCTCTTGTTCCTTAATGGTTTTCTTGGCCAAGTCAACCATGTCAGGGAATAATTTAACAAAGTTGTGATTTTTCAAATTAACTTCGCAACTCATAAGGGCCAATTTCTTCTTTTCCTCTGGTGTTGTTGACATACTTCCATAAGTTGAGTCATTTTCCAAAAAGAAACTCAAAAATCCTTTCAATATCGAATCAAGATTCCACAATGGATTCCAACTTTCCTTATGAAAATTAGTATTACTCATACAAATTGGTGTATTGGTTTTAAATCTTCCATTTGGTGTTATCATTTCAACCCCAGGAGGCTAATTATTTTCAATTCATAATGATCAATTATTACTATGTAAAACTCATACCTTGTAAGGATAATCAGGAGGAAAGACTTTTTCCCGATAATATTATTAAATAAATAATAATTAATTGATTAATATATAATTAAATACCTACCAATTTTTCCATGATAAATTCCTCCTTTATAAGGATCATACGGAAGTGAATGAATAACAAAATGCCATTCAAATATATTATTCTCCAGAGGACAACATTCAATGTGTTCCATCGGATTCTTCTTGATCAGTTGCAATTCCTTCTTTAATCGGGTCTAAAGATAATCAAAAGATAATATTACATTCCGATATGAAAAAATCATCATCAAAACATGTGTTTGAAAAAAACGTACGGTTGCTACGTTCATTGTAGGGTTGTTCTATTTTTTTCTAATTTTAAACAAATCTAATTTTTAATGTTTATCTTCTAATTGGTTTACAAACAAGTATTACAACATGTTATTAGTTACTTTGAAACAATTTTCATACGGCCTGATACAATTTCTTTATTATCCTTGTGATTGAACTTGGCAGAATAAGAAATGATTACAAAAATCATCGAGTTCGCTACTCAGATCAAAAAAATGACAAAACTCAAATCAAGCACCCACTCGCTCGATCGTCTACTATCCACCGTGCCATCAGAGATGCTCTACGAAATATTTGCCAATTTACCCTTCGTAGAATTGCTAAACATTTTTACATTGAATAGGGAGATTTATAATTTATTGATGGAGAGCGAATACTTTTTCGAGAAATTATGTAGAATTTATTGTAAATTAAATGATATTACGGAAAGTGAGTACGGAAAGGCTGTTGAGAGTGTAAAGGAAAGAAAAGATTTTAAGAATTTATATTTTTCTGTCATGCGCGAGTTGATTTCATGTTTTGGATATAAGTGGGATACTGAATATCAGTATTACAAAGTTGCCAACAAGTTTGAATTGACATCCAACACTTTTAAAACAATCGAAAAACCTTCTCATGGTGATTTTTATACTGTGAAATCGGTCAGATTGTTGAAACCTGGCAGATATTACAAGTGGAAGATTAAATTGGATAACTATCATCCTGGAATTGTTTCAAATTCATTCAAAATCATGATTGGAATTGAATCTCTCAATTTCTTCCCTTTCAATGATCAACATAGTGGAGATGTCATTGGCTGGCAATCAGAATCAAAGGGAATAGCTTTAATTACTGGAACCAAAGAAATTATCCATGCAGGCTGTGGCGACAAACACAAAACTTTCAAGGTAGAACAAAACTTTGAAACTGGCGATATCATTCAAATAGAATTTGATTTAACAAATGTTCCAAATGTTATCCCTCTCCAACATACTACAGAAAGATATTCTGATATAGAGGATGATGTAAAATATATGGGATCAGTGAGGTTTAGTCTAATTAGAGACAAAACAACTCAAGAATTGAGACCTTGGTATCCATTCGGTGATGTGAGATTTGCTCCCTTCGTTCCAGCAGTTAGTGTAAACAGTGGACAAACTATTTCATTTGTTTAACATAAATTTTGATGCACTCAATATCTCAAAGCTTTTATCCAACAAACGATCTAAAAAAGACCATCTATCCATTCAAGAAAATAACCAAATCCATACTAATTGAAAAGATCAACAAACTTTACAAAATCTTAAAACTAAAAATAAAAAAATGCAACAACAAACTGATAAAGAATCACAATGGATGATTTCAGTTACGACTCAAAGTGGTGGACAAGGAGAGGTTGAAGACATTCCAAGGATGAATCACCATGATGATGAACTAATGAACGATTCGGAAATAATGCTTGATACTCATATATTGTCTGATTATTCCAAACTGAATGTAAATATTGAATATATCGACGAGTTGATGAATGGTTTGATAAAGAGTCACGGATTGAATGGCTTTGATGAATTGAATCGATATCCAATGGATCAAATTCTCTTACGGGTAAGTAATTCTTTCCGATTATTGATTGTCATCTTGATAAGAAAGTTGAAACTCTAATAATGGACGGTTATTGTTCGGAAGCCTTGAAAGTAAGCAAAGAATTGATACCCTCCATCGATGATAATAAGGAATTAATTGCCAAGTTTAATATTGTGCAAGTAAGTTGTTTCATATGAAAATAAAACTAACAAAGCCTTCGAATATTTCAATTTAACTAATTTTATTATAACTCGATTTAATTGGTTGTTGATTATCAAGTTGAGAGAGATGATATTAGGATGTACCATTGATGATTATTGTCAACAATTAAAGTGTATTGAATTTTGTAATTCAACCATTCCAGCCGATAAGACTCTGGAAACCTCACCCGACCATGCCTTACTAATTGACACGTTGATGCTCTTGTTAAGGCAGAAAGATTGTGAATTTCAAAAGATGGAACAATTGGAAAGGGCTAGAATTGAATTGTGGAAGGATTTTAAACGATATTGGAGTGTTGCAAAGATATTTAAGGATTCTGATTTGGAAATTGGAATGAAATACCTAATTATCAATCATAATATTTATCATATCATGAATGGAGTGGAATCAAAGTTTCCAGAGATTGAGCAATTGTTACTTCCTGAGAAGGATGATGCTGTGTACAATCCCAAGCAGAACAACCAGCAACGATTTGTTCTTGACTTGTGTCAAAAGTTGTGTCTCACAAGAGAGGAATCTATGAGTGCTCTGTATCATGCCCAGTCTGATATCAAGTTGGCAATTAGGAACGAATCCTCTCGGTTTCAATTGAATAAGAATTTATTCCTCAAACTCTTGGAAGAATATGTTGTTGTGAGAGGATTTGCGAACCAGAAGGAAGAAACAAAGATAATGAATTCTACTGTAAGGCAAATGATACAAGAATCGAGATTTGATGAATTAATAGAATATATCAATTCTGTGGATTCTACGATACTCCAAGAATATTCTCTGATTGATTATAGAATTTGTGAATGCTTATTTTATGATGCATTCATGAAGGGTAATGATTCGAATGCTCTTTCAATTGTTACACAAAAGATGATGCCATACAGAATGCAAAACTCCAAAATTGAGGAAGATTTCAATTGTGTTGTTTCATTGTTGGCCTTTGATAAGGACTCATCTGTATTCAATACGAATGATCATGTACAGACTGTTATCAGAAAACTCGATTCTAACAAATCCGTTTTGGAAAAGTCGATACTGGAGATTCTATGTGTCTCTAGAGCAAGTAATACGAAACTTGTTCAAATATTGAAATATCTAATGAAGAATCATGAGATTAAGTATCAATTCGATACAGCAGAATCTGAACTATTGGACTATCTTAAACTGAAAAAGCTGTATCATCAATCCTATACCGAGTTTAGAGGGGAAACACCAGTTAAGGAAGAACCCTCATCCAATATCTCAAAACAGGATCAAGACATTCAATTATTATACGATATTTTACAATTAACCAAAGATAGAGCGATTGAATTATTGAAACAATTCAAAACAGTTGATGCAGTGATTCAATCCTTTTTCAATGAAGAAGAATAACCCATAATTCAATAACAAGTGTGAGCGTCCATTACCATCTATTAGTTTGTTTGGTTATGTGAAATGTTCGGCAACTCTCAATCACAAATCAATAAAAAATGTCGTCAACAAGGATAACTAAAAAGCAGCTAATTGACAGAGAATATGAGAAGGAGTCCTTTGCAGTTAAATCCCTACAGATGAAACAACATTTAGTTTTTGATACATCAACGGATCCTGCCCACGTATTTTGTCAATGTTTCGGAGCAGAGAAACCTAAAGAGTTTAGGTAGGATTAATTTTCAATAATAATTTAAATAATCCTGATAAATTAATAACATTCGGAATAGATTTTGGAAAGATTTCATCAATGATAAGGTAGATGAAAAACCAAGATTTTATACAGATACTTCCGATCGGTTATGTGTAATGGTTTCAATTGACCATGATAAGATGCCAACTGCAATTGACCTAGTCTATTTCTTTATCAATAATGGAACCAATAAGAATTACAAATTTGAAAAATACATTGTAGATGATCCAAAAGTTGGTCGAGCTCTAGGATTCAAAATCAGAGATCAAGTTTTCATTCTCAGAGTTACAAAACCTGCTGATGTTTCGTCTTCAGGTTCAACAATTGCTACATCAGTGAATGGGAAATGATGAAAATGTATCACATTCTATTGAAATTATACTGAAAAAAACTGAAATTTATGTACATATTAATTCTTTTTGAAAATTGTGAGATTTTTGTAAACTGTACAAAGAGAAAATACAATTAAAATTCATCATTTTTGGAAAATCAACATCAAACACTCAATAATAACTACTCCTATCATCCAAATAATCCATTCTATGGCGCACAATGTCCTCCCTTATAGAGAAACTTGAATTGTGAGTAGAGTTTCTTTCTACATTTTTCCTTCAATAGTTTAAACTCACTCTTCTGCTTGTATTTTCCCAAATAACTATCCTCAGGTGGCCTCGGCCGTTTATTCATGCCCATAATATGTGTTTGCAACATTTTTTCTTATTAAAAGTAAACAGGTAAAGATAATTCATTGACCATTCTCATTCGTGTATGAATTGAGGAATTTTCCAAATGAATTTTGAGCGACAAAAAAAATGAATAAAATAATAATGGGCAAACCACATTTGACGCGATTTTAGTTGAGTTTTCAAAGGAGTGTTGATGATTCTTTTGTAGATAGAACAATTACTGATGAAACAATTTATTTTCATTCTTTAGAATGTTCCCTTGGCTGTCTTAGGATAATGTGCAGATTGTTCGCTTCTGATTACAAGTTAGATCTACTAGATTAGTATTCTTTTGTGTGGATATTTTGCATGATGCAGATTCTGCTCAATTTTACTAATTGATATGGAAGATAGCAAACCTATTTACCTCTCTTTCTACTTTAAGAATATTACTTTACTTATAATTTGCTATCATTCCTCATTAACTCAATCAGGGAATGTTTCAATTTCGTTTCGCTTCTCACACAAATTAAAATGTCAGAAGAACACAATAAGAAGGGTTTCTTTGCCTCCATCACTGATCGTTTCAAAACCACAATGGGATCAGCTCCAAGTACTGAAGAATATGCCAACGATAATCAAGATCAAATCTCAAAGGAAAATCCACCAACAATGAAAGATAGAGAGAAATTGGGAGGTGATTTAGTCGAAAGAGTCTATCCAAATACGTTGGGTAATATGAGTGGAGATCATGCTGGAAGTGATATTCCTAGAAAGGGAACTGCCTTGTAAGACATGATTTAATAAAACTTTTTAAGGATTGATCATTGAATAATTAAATATTATTAATATTTAAGCTTGCTTTAACAATCGGAATTCTTTCATTGAATCATATCTTAATTGTTACAAATCAAAAGTAATTATTTGTTTTTTAAACCTTCATCATTGAGTTAATTTCGAGAATGAATATTCAACCAAGCCTAACCAATTAATTGTAACCAAGCAATTAAAATAATTTTTTTTTAATTTAAAAAAAATACATCACAGCACCTTTCTGTGTTTTTCATCACAACAAGAAGAAGAAAATCAACATGTCTGTTTTCGTTGGAAATTTGTCCTTCCAAACTAAATGGTGGTCATTGAAGGATCACTTTAAACAAATTGGAGAAGTTGTTCACGTTGATATTTTCACTGTAGCTGGTAAGCCACACTTGTCTAGTGGATGTGGACTTGTTCAATTCAAAAATCCAGAAGATGTTACAGCTGCCTTGAAGTTGGACAATACTGAATTGGATGGAAGAGTCATCAGAGTTAAACTTGATGAAAAATCAGCAAAAGGACGTCAAGTTTTTGTTGGTAATTTGAACTTCCGTACCACATCCCAAACTTTGAAGGAAGCCTTTGAACCATTCGGTGAAGTTGAAAAGGCTATTATTGCTCGTGATCAAAAGCAACCAAATCGTTCTTTGGGTCATGGTATTGTTCGTTTCGCTTCTGCTGAAGCAGCTCAAAAGGCTGTTGCTGAATTGAATAACAAGGAAGTTGATGGAAGAGTTGTTCTCGTCAAGTTGGATGAAATGTGTTAAAATTATTATTGGACAACTTAGCGATTAGAAAATATTGGTGACAATTTCTTGATTTCGAGAGCTTGTATTCTGAACATTATGAAATTTCAGATTTTACCACCAACAATATCAACTATGTGAATGTATTGACAGATCATTGTTTCATTATTTCGGATTTGATACGCTACAACCAATCTTTAAAAGAATAAACATTATTTTATATTATAATTTTACAATTCGATAAATATTTTAATACAGATTTCTACAATTATTGTTCTTCTGGTTGTGGTGGCTTCTTATTCCAGTCGAACTTTTCTCCAGAAATTCTTTCGTGGATAGAGACAATATCTTCAGCACATGATTCATAGTGAGTAGTAGCATCATAAGACTTTGAAATAAAGACACCATCATTCTTACCATCATCCAATGGAGCAAAAGTATCAAGAATGTAAACAAACTTTTCTTCGATTGGATTCAAAATGTCAAGAACAACCTTAACTTCAGCCTCTGGATTTTCAGTTTCAACAGTAGTAGAAACGATAGCAATATACTTTCCGTTTGGAGCAACGTGGTGAGTGAATGATGTCACACAACAATAAATATCATGCTTACGACCAGTTGATTTTTGTGGGAAGATAATTTGGACAGACTTGGCATCACCAGTACTCTTAACTGGATGGGAAAGGATACAAATTACACGAATAACTTTACCAGTCTTACGGACCTTATCTTGGAAGTAGCTTGGATCACCAACAACCATCTTGGCCTTGGCAACTTGACCTTCAGATTCAACACCAATGACACGTCCACTTTCATCATAGAGAACCTTATCAACTGGCTTGTCTAACATATAAGTACCACCATAAACAGCACACAAACGAGCAAAAACTTGTGGTAATTCACCCAAACCATACATTGGATAAACGTATGGTGATTTTCCGTACATGTTAAGTGATTCTTCATAGAGCTTCATTCTTTCAATGACTTGAATAGCTGGAACAGTAGTCATATATGAATCGTCAGTGTACAATGCAACAGCATGTCCCAAAAAGTCAGTAGTATCATCAGAAACACCAAAATACTTAAAGACCTTATCAATAGAATCCTTTGAACAGTCAAATCCTTGATGAGTCTTTGGATTGGTTTGTTCATAGTCATACAAGTAAGATAAAAGCTTCTTGGCCTTCAACTTTTCAAAGAATCCCAACAAATTACTCTTGGCAACTTCAGTTGGAGTGACTGGAACCTTTTCAATAGCACCCTTGTGATAGACAAAACTTCCTTCAACCAAAGCAAATTCCATATTATAACGAGTAACGCCAGTCATTCTGAGGATCTTGACGAGCTTACCGTTAGCCATCAAGAATTTTGGAATCAAGTCAATGTTATAATCTCTACTTCTACCAAGACTTGTTGGTGGTTTGACGTCCTTTCCTCTAAACTTTTCATACATTTGTTCCAAGTTGAGAGAGGCAGATTCACCACCATAATAATTGTTACGATCCATGTGGAGAACCTTCTTGCCTGACACAGACAACAAGCCAGAAATAACGCACTCGGTTAAACCTGTACCAAGAACAATAACGTCGTATTCTTCATTCATTTTTTTAGATTTTTTAAATTTTGAAAATATAAATTTATTAATAAAAATATAAACGTTGTGATGATGATGAAAATTCATTCTCCGATCAATGTGCTTTGATCATGATAGAGGAGGTTTGCTTATGGATTGACATTGAGAATTGATGATTGGTCTTTTCACAACATAGTGATGGATGGTGGTATTGTTATGGGTTTTTACTTGGGAAGTTGGGTTAAAGCTGGTTGATATATGCCACGTGATGAAGGCGAGAAGATCTTTTGTAAAGTAATGTTGGATTCAACAACAATCTCTTAGTTCAATGGTTGGGAGAACATGAATGGAATGATTGAGGAGATGAAATTTCAAAAGATTTCCAAGTTTATTATTCACATATTTACGGAATGGTCAAATAGTCCAAAGAGTATTACTATTACATTGAGTTAATGATACAGGTTTTTTACAATTCAGAGAAAGCTTGATCCATGACAGCTAAAGCAAATTCAACATCAGCCTTGGTAATATTCATAGGTGGCTTAATTCTGAAAACATTTCCGTACAATCCACCCTTACCCAACAACAAACCTAATTCCTTACTTCTTTCGAAAACTTTGGCAGTTTCTTCCTTAGCTGGTTCCAAAGTGGTTCTATCCTTGACGAGTTCCATACCTAACATTAAACCCTTTCCTCTAACATCACCAATGATTGGATACTTTTGTTGGAGTTTCTTCATTCCTTCCAATAAGAGATTACCCATTTCCAATGAATTTTTTTGTAAACCTTCCTTGTCAATGACACGAAGGACAGCACGACCAATGGCAGATGAAACTGGATTACCACCATAAGTATTGAAGTGAATCTGTGAGTGTGGTGAAATTAACAATTACAAATATGTGAAAATGCACATAAGATATAGAGTGTGAAATAATGTTAAAAAAGAAAACAATCAAATCAAACATACCTTTGAAGCAACAGTCTTGGCAATTTCTGGAGTAGTAACAACAGCAGCCAATGGAGCACCATTACCAATACCTTTAGCCATTGAAACAATATCAGGCATAACTCCTTCAGCTTCAAATCCCCAGTAATGAGTACCAGTTCTACCAAAACCAGTTTGAACTTCATCAGCAATGCAAACACCACCATGCTTTCTGACAGTTTCGTATACCTTCTTCAAATATCCCTTTGGCATTTCAACACTGCCACCAACACCTTGAATAGGTTCACTGATCCAACCAGCAACAACACCTGGAGTACATTGTTCGATAACATTTTGGACATCCCAATGGTACTTATCGGCAGCCTTTGGATCATCACTACGGAATGGACCACGGTAGAGATTTGGAGCCAAAACGTGCTTGATACCATCACCTTGTGAAACTGGGAATTTCCAAGTTGACAATGAGGTAACACCCATAGTACCATAAGACATACCATGGTAACAGTTACGCAAAGCCAAGATGTCTGTATTCTTGGTGTAGAGTCTAGCCATCAACAAGGCCAAATCGTTTGCTTCACTACCAGAGTTTACAAAGTAAGTGACCTTCAAATTGCCAGGCATCTTGTCAGCCAATTCCTTACCAAACTCAGCAATTTGTGGATTGTAATAAATATTAGTAATGTGCATTAACTTTTTCATTTGTTCAGTACCAGCCTTGACAATTTCATCATGACAATGTCCAACAGAAATTGTAACTGGATTAATTTGATGTCATCACGAAATTAAGAATTTAATCAAATTTTTGCATTTTTTGCAATCATCAAAAATTAATGATGAATTTTCCAATATTTGATCAAATTGATCAAAATATTAAAAGGAATGATTAGGAATTGTAATTATTATTAAACAATTGAATGATGATTACTTACCAATACCACCGAAAAAGTCCAAATATCTCTTTCCCTTATCATCAAAGACATATTGCTTCTTTCCTTCAACAATCATGATTGGTTTTTGATAATAAGTCAAGAGACCAGGTGTGAGGTAGGTCTTTCTCAATCTTTCAACTTCTTCAAAGGAAGGACCAGTATATGGTTGTGGCTTGTGATCACATGGTGGAAGAGTTGGTGCCAAATTGACATTGCTTTGAGTGCTAAATGATCTACTGCTACTAGTGGTAGTGGCAGAGTTGATCAATCTCAAGCTAGCTTTAGATTTTTTACAAACGTTTCTGGATAACATTTTCTTTTGGATTGATGTGTAGTTGTTTTTTTAAAGTGAAATAATAATAGGCACAAATACTGCAAGCTGTTTGCTGCTGTTGGAGAACTTGCATTTCACACACAACTGTTTCTGCATGACGAGTGTTGCGTCAACCTGAGAGATTGATGATGGGTCGGTTTTTGTAAACTGTAGTGCAAAAAGCAAGCAAGGCTTTAAAAGGCCATCTTGTAAAGGAGAGATTTGTGATTGCGATCTTCATGAACCATTCTAGATTCGTAGATCATTAGGTTTTTTTACTGTAGTGTGGAAATGTGGTGGTATGATCTCCAGATTAACTGTGATCGGAACTGTATGATGATCGCAATGTTCCAACAATTTGATCTCCATATTCATTAATTAGATACTAAATGTTGATCTACAAGTTCGTATTCAATATCGTCATCATATTCATCTTCGTCATTAGTTCCATCAAAATCATTTTCCTCATCAGAGCCACTGCTATCCAAGTCATCTTCAATCGTGTGAATGAAATGAAATGCATTGGGGAGAGATGCTATCAAAAGGTTCAAAACTGTGCTAGTAGAAAACATTTTGTAAATGTTCTTTCCAACCTTTGATTCAGTAATTCCAATAATTTCCTTAAATTTCTTAACTGCTACAGGTTTTGGATAGTTTTGTTCATTCACTAGTTCGATAGCTTCTCCATTGTGAAAAGCCATAAGATTGTGGGAATGATAGCTAATCTCACAACACTTTATCAATACATTGTCAATATAAAATTGACAATCCTTAGTTTCATTTGTGAGAGAAACAGAAACTCCACTAGCAAACAATGTTGGCGAATGATAACTCACTCTATTTAGCAAGTATTTCCAAATAGCTTTCCTGTAAGGCTCTCGATATTGATTGACAATTTTCCTCCAATCCTCTAGTTTCGAATCTCTAATTTGCTTTACTTCAATCAATTTTGAAACATTCGACAGTTTGGTGCTAAAAACATTAATTCTATTCCTATTTTCACGAAATACAATACTCGATTCTTCTCTCTTGATTAATAAATCCAACTCTCGGTTCAATCTGTATTCAATAAATAATTCATGATGATTCAAAACCTCTCGGAATGCAGAGCATGTTGATATGAAAGAGAATCCATCTTTAATATGCAAAAGATAGTCAATTATTAATGATACTATTTCTTTTGGAAGATCATTGAGTAATATTGTAGGATTATAGATTGTAGAATTATCTTCGTCATCATTGGTTATCGGAACTGATTTGTCGAGTGCAAAATCAAACTCTTCTGGTCGAAATCTCTTCATTTTTTTCAAATGGTCAATTACAAGATAATTATCGGAATTGATGACGACCTCATCATAATTAATTTTCAATAATATTGAATATTGTCAATATTCCTTAATCTAATTCTCTATTTTTTTAACTATTTTAAAAATTACAATTGAATCACTTCTTTACCAACATATATTATATATATGGGTGCCATTAAAGTGCTATTAAACCACAACAACAGTATACCGTCTCATAAGGAGCTTAATATCATGAAAGTGGTGGTCAGAAAATATACTGCAGTGCACACTATTTTTTATTGTGCACTCTCGCAACAAAAATCCTTGCTTAAAAAAAAACATCCTCCCACCATGTAAATCTCTTAATGATTTTTTTCATTGTTCAAAATTTCTCCTCATCAAATTGCAAAACTCTGTGCGGGCATCACAATAAATGGTTGATTTCTTGGAAGATGTGATGATTAATGAACGGAAATAAAATAGCAGAAAATGATTGGAGAAAAGACCATGAAGGCAATGATTATTGAGGATTATTGCGATAGTCCTGATTTTAAATGTGTTGATATGGAAATTCCTCACAAATTGGAAAAGAATGAAGTGTTGGTGAGAATGGAAGCTGCCTCAGTTAATCCAATTGATTATAAGGTTTGTTATTTGCCTATAATTAATGATTTTAATGCTGAAACGCTTTCCATCCTTAATAACCTATCAAGATGAGAAATGGTAAAATGAAAATGATGAAACGTTTGACCTTTCCAGCAGTACTAGGACGTGATGGGTCAGGAGTAGTAGAAAAGATTGGTAGTTCTGTAAAGAACTTCAAGGTTGGAGATTCTGTTGCAGGTTTCTTTGCTAAAAATCATGGTACCTATGCTGAGTATGCAGTTTTTGAGGAGGATGAAATTGTGACCTATCCAAAAGATGTCATGACTCCTGAAGAAGCAAGCGCCTTCCCATTAGTTGGATGTACAGTTCTGGAAATGATGAGAAAACATCCACTTGTTGGTGAAGTTTTGGATAGAGAAGCAGAGAGTTCATTCAAAACTAACGTAATTTCTGAACCAAGAAAAGATGTGAAGAACTTAAAGGTGTTGGTTGTGGGCGCTAGTGGTGGAACTGGACAAGTTGCCTGTATTATAGCCAAGCAATTCCTTTCTAGATATTTTAATGTTAAGGTTTATGCAGTTTGTTCGGAGAAGAATGCAGAGCTAGTTAGAAAAGTTGGTGCAGATGTTGTAATTGACTATAACAAGACTTCAGCCAAAGCAGGTGCTCACACAACCCATTCCAAAGGAGGTTTGGCAGATAGTATGAAGAGTATTTGTCAAGTTATTAGAGATGAGCATCATGACGATTATGTTGATTTGGTTCTCGATTGTGTCGGTGGATATTACTACTACAATGATGTGCATCAACATTTTGATTGTAGAAGGGCAGAGAATGGAGTTGTTTACTCTACTATTTCAGCACCAAATCCAAATGATTATGAACTAACATTTGGATCTCTTTTAAATATGGGAAGTTATATTGCTACGAACAAATTGAGATCATTATCATCATCCTCACCATCATTCTATCAAATCTTTGTAAAGAAGAATACTAGAGATTTGCATTTATTGATGAATAACATTGTAACGAGAGAAAATGCTCACAAGAATTTACCACTTTTACAATATCCATTGAGTAATTTAAAAGAAGCTCATTTGCAAATGGAATCACAGAGAACTGTTGGCAAGATTATTCTGAATATTGCCAAGAGAATGAAATAATTGAACTTTAGTGCAAATTCGAATTGTAAATTAGAAATAAAAAATGTCTCAACAATGGAACCTTTCACATTTGCCTCTTGAAACTTTACACCTGATCGGAAAGTTTTCACAAGATTCTGAAGAATATTGGTATAATTTATCCCTCGTCAATAAACAATTCACAGCATTACATATACAATATTCAGTTTCAAGAAGTTTGAAAAAATTGAATTTACAAATGAGGAGTCTTTTGGCAAATGCTGAGGTTTCTGATTATGATAAAGAAATTACAATTTCACAAATTGGTAATCTTGAAAAGGAATGCGCTGAAATTCACTCAATGAATTTACTGAATATGGAACAGAGTGATTACATTAACTTTTTGAAAATATGTTATCCTGAGTGTGAAATTTTGAAAGAAACTGGAAGAAAGATTGTAGTGGATGAGCGTTCAAAGGAACATGTCGAATCACTATTGAACAACTCTATTCGAATGATCATCAAACCGAGTGAATACTATGAGTATATGAACTATTCATTCTATTTTAGAAGTGAAAAGTTTACAGCAAGTGGAAACTCATTTACTTGTGGAAAGATCTTTGCCAAATGTTATGGACGTTCATTTATGGATCTAGCTCAAATTAATAGAGATCTTTCGTTTACACAGACCGAAACAAGTGCTGATAGAATAATGTATTGTAATACTAATGGAGTAGGATTAACTATAGAACTCAATTTAATTCTTGCTATTGAAAAAGAAGGAATCCAATAAAGAACAAGTTTCGAATTTATTATTAACAAGTACAACTATCTACATTATTAGTATTGGATGGTGCAGGAGTTGGAGGTGTTACCACACTTCCGCCGCCGCCATTCATCTCAATATCAGTCGTATATCCCTTAATCCATGAAGTATAACTTGTAACATTCATAGAAACACCAACATTTGCACCATTTCCACATGTTGAGCTGCCATGACTTATAATACCAACCAAGACTGGAGTGGTTGCTCCTGAAGGAGTATAAAACACTGGACTACCACCATCTCCAGAACACAAATCAATATTTTGAGAATTGGGTCCACTGACACACATTTGAGTTGGTGCTGAAATTGAAAGTTGTTTCTGAGTGCAAGTTGAAGCACTTTGGAGAGTCAATTGAGCTTTTTGAAGCGTATTAGTATTGGATGTTGTTGAAGAAGTAGCTCCCCATCCAGCAACTGTCAATGGTGATTGATTGGCGACAGTATTTCCTTCCAATGCAAATCTCTTAACTTTGGTTGCTTGTGTGGTGATTGGAAAATCTTGAGAAACTTGAACCAAAGCAATATCATTTTCAATGGTGTAAACACTGAAATTTGGATGAGCAACAACTTGTGAAACAGTTCTCACAATGCATCTTCCAGTTGTGTCTTTGTAACAATTATTATTTGATGTGCCAGCAAAAATTATTAATTTGGAAAGGTCAATTCCTTTAACACAATGAGCAGCTGTCAAGAACCATCTTGAATTGATAATTGAACCTCCACAGAAGTGTGAAGGAACTGAATTTGAATCTGTTTGATATTGAATGGAGACAACACCTGGAATTTCATTCTCACTTGCAGTTGAGCCACCAGACAGTTGGATAGCACAATGAATATAAGTAGTGGTCAAAAGAATGACCAATAAAAGTGTGGAGCAAATGATTCTTTTCATGTTTCTTGTGTTTTTTTTCTTGATTGTTTTCAAAATTGCCTAGCTAATGATTCATCTATTTAAGGAAATTAGATTATCTTCCTTAATTGGAAGAGATAGTTAAGAAAAAGTGAATAGATATTATTACCCATGAATCCATGAATCAGTACATTGTATCTATCAACAGTAGATTACATGCTAAATGTTCGAAATTTGCAAAATTTTCACAATTTCATCGTTTTCATTTGCTAATTGAGTAATTTTCCATCTCAGAGTTGAGTTCAATGGTAAAGATATCTATTTTGCATAATTTTCAAGATTCACTGTAGTTGCTCTTAATTTAATTCTTTTCAAATGTAACTTGAAGTATCTCTGTTGACTTTCGAATAACAATTTAACATTACAATTTGAAACTGTAAATTCTTCCAATCTACAAAGTTGAAAATGCTGAACTCTGGGGCAGTACCTAACTACAGCGCTATTCGTACGAATGTTTGAATTTTATTGGCAAGCATCGCACAATATTAGTACAGCCCCTCTTCCTGAAAGAGAAAACTAAAGTTTCGAATATTACCACGCAAAAAAATGATAGCAAACAAGTACTATTCTCTTATTCATCATGGGCTATTCCTCTTGTTTACATTATTATTGTTGCGTTTCAATATAAATCAAGTCGACTGCCAAACATCAAATAATTATTTAATGACATTACCGATACATGCAAACGAACCACAATGTTTAATTAAACCAGATGGTGATCCGGTTTTATTTGAATGGAATTTAAATTGTTCAAATGTCACTTGTAATAATTTATCTATACATTTATCGAAAATGACAGCTACCTATTGTTTGGTGATTCAATTATTTTCAGATGAGGATTGGATGTTTGTAAATGTCAGCCAAACTGAGAATTTCAAAATATTTACCAATCATCGACTGCCTGACAATGTCAGATTTCGACTTTTTTGTTATTTTCAAGATATGGGAGAGTTGGATTTTGACATTGAGCCGACAAGGATCTTCTTGACCAGAAATGGATCTGAAGTGATGAAGAATTGCTCAGATGGTCAAGTAAATGAAAAATTGGATGAAATGATTAGTGACAGTTATTGGAATTTCACACGACGAAAACAATTTCAACAATATTTCATGAAAATTACTGAACTGAATGTGGAGATACCTCTAAGAATTGATAATTTGACGAATTTACAAATGCATGTCATGCCTATTGACATTTATGGTTATCCTGAAAATGTTGGAATGATTTTCACAGGATCCTATTATGTTATTCCACTTTTTACAAATTATTCAACGCAGACATCACCCTACTGGGAATCTCAATGCAATGATTTAACTTACAATACTCGATCTCAATACTATATATGGAAATTAATTGCCATTTCAATAGGTGCTTTGGAATTTTCAATTATTCTCATTCTACTCTTCTATAGAAGGAAGCACATTATTCTAGAGAGTCGATTTATCATTCCACACTTCTCCACCTGCATGTATATCTTGCAGTGTGTTGTAAATATCATATTGAATGTAATTTATTATGATCCTAAATGGGATACCATGATTGAAGAGCTAGTTCTCATCATTGTCATGTCATTGCATCTGTTACAGGGGTGTAGATACTATGCTTCTCGATTATTCTATTCGAGATTCTATTCGAAAAGAGATGGCTTAATGATGAAGATTCTCCTTTCGAAAATTCCATTTCTAATAGCCATTGTAACAGTTGTCTTGTTGGAGGGAGGAATTGTGACAGCTCTCATTATTAAGGTACCCATTACTGAGATTTCAACATTCTACGATAGTATTTCCATTGTTTGTGGAGTGAGTTATATGATTCTACTTGGAATTGGTTTACTAGCTCACTTTATTTCACATTTCAAATTTGTTAGAAAGTTGAGGAAACCGAAACAAATTATGAAATGGTTCTTTTTATATGATGATGCATTTGGATATAATGGGGAGTTTTTAGTGTTTGTGATTATTTGGATTTTAGCGGGAATTCATTTTGTAATTTCTGAAATTTGTGGAGATTATTTGACAATTTCCTTATATGACGAAACTAGACCTTTATCTAAAAAGTATTTGAATAATGGATTTGGATATGCACTGTATGGGATTACTAAAATAATGTCGACAATGGGATTTGGATTGCAATATTTATTTTTAATTACAATGACATTTGTCAAGAAACGAAAGTTTGATAAATCTGACTTTCGACACCAAAAGGATGAGATGGACATGTTCATTTCCAAGATATTTAACGATGGAAGTATTTGTGTTGAAATTCTGAAACGATTTCTCATGGCAGAATTCAAATTAGAATTATTAGAAATCTACCTATTCCTCACAGAGAATCCAAAATCAACACTGATGAATCTCGTTAAACAACATCCTCAGAATTACTTTGCCATTATTCGATACTTTAAGAAATCCAATCTGGAGAGTGAGTATCAAATCTGCTATCGAGAATCTACCGAATTATTACTAGAAGTTTTTACCAGATTGAAACAGACAGTTGTCTATGAAGAGGAATATGTGAAAAAGATGGCAGAAGAAATGCAATTCGTATTGGATACCATTAAATAATAACTTGTTCCATTATATTTCAATTAAGCTTTTGTTGAATTCAATCACTAATCCTGAGATTCGCCAATGGTGCTTTGATTGAGTTTAGTTTAAAATGGTTAAAAAAAGACTACAGCACCACAGGTTCCCAAGTTGTCTCCAACCTCAGTACTGATGTGGCTCGACGATACTTAACTTCTCAAATCGGACGGGATGAGGTGCATTCATCGTTAATTATTTCAATGTAGTTCGAGCCATTTCCTATCTATAAATCTTAATCTTGAATAAGAAAATGATCTGGACTTACAACAGCTCAACACTGGTTTTTGGCTCATTGCTATAAAACGTACTTAAATATAGTTTAATAATTTTTATGAAGAATGCGTTGTTACAATTTTTATGATATTTAAAAAAAAATGAGCAAACGAAAAAGACAAGATTTTGAAAATCATCATCGCTTAATTAATTCGGAGGAAATATTCACTAACAATTTTAATAATAATATGGAAGAGAAAGCAAAAAAGAGTGTGAAATTCCAACAAGAAGAAATATTTTCAGATGATGTTTGTTTTGAAATAATCTCCATGATTGATGATTCATGGTTTATTTTAAATAATTGTTGTTTAATTTCAAAACAATTCTTTAATGTGATCAAGGAACGTTCAAAACTTGTTATTCAATTTAACAAAAAATTTACAGAGAAACGAGTTGAATTATGCATGAAAAGTCAATTCATGAATAGTATTGTTAATCTTAAAGTTTCTCGTTGGTTGCTTGACTCTGTAGACCAACTCAAATTCATAAGTGAAATGAAACAATTAACATCACTCGATATATATAGCAATCGAATTGGTGTAGAAGGAGTTAAATATATAAGTGAAATGAAACAATTAACATCACTTAATATTTCTGAAATTGAAATTAGTGATGAAGGAGCCAAATATATAAGTGAAATGAAACAATTAACATCACTTTATATACATAATAACGAAATTGGTGATGAAGGATCCAAACACATAAGTGAAATGAAACAATTAACATCACTTAATATTGGTTGTAATGAAATTAGTGATGAAGGAGCTAAACATATAAGTGAAATGAACCAATTGATATCGCTTAGTATTGGTTACAATCGAATTGGTGATGAAGGATTCAAATATATAAGTGAAATGAAACAATTAACATCACTCGATATTACTGACGATGAAATTGGTGATGAAGGAGCTAAATATATCAGTGAAATGAAACAATTAACATCACTAAATATTGGTTTTAATGAAATTGGTGATGAAGGAGCCAAATACATCAGCGAATTGAAACAATTAACATCACTTGATATTTCTGAAACTGAAATTAGTGATGAAGGAGCCAAATATATAAGTGAAATGAAACAATTGATATGGCTTACTATTGGTTATAATGAAATTAGTGACAAAGGAGCTAAATACATCAGCGAACTGAAACAATTAACATCACTCGATATTACTGACAATAAAATTGGTAATGAAGGAGCCAAATATATAAGTGAAATGAACCAATTGATATCGCTTAATATTGGTTACAATCGAATTGGTGATGAAGGAGCCAAATATATAAGTGAAATGAAACAATTGACATCACTAAGACAAATCAGTTTAGGATTTTACTGTAATAATTGATAACCCAAATGTTAAAAGTTTGCATATGGTTGGGTGGGCTTAATAACAAGAAATAGTATTGGCTTAATGGAATGAGGTGCATTCATCATGATAAAGCCGTAGCCATTTCATACCTTAAAATAATAATCAGTAATTAAATTAAACTTTATAGAGAACTTCCTTAATGTCAACATGTTGATGTTGTTTACAATTATCGTATAGTGTTTTGAAAATCTTGTGTTTCTCAATTGCAATATCGAAATTCTTCTTTTGAGCTCGACTGATTGCTTCCTTCAGTCCAGTATCAATCATGGTTGCAAATTTCTTCCTGGCCATATCCCATCCAATACTTGTGGCCATAATTCCACTCAGATTAATCATTCTAAAATCAATATATCTCGTACTATTATTATCAATCTTTTGTAATAACCTAGCTCCAATCATTGGCAATCTTGTTCTAGAATCTCCACTATCGTATGATTTCATCAATAGGAGACATTCTGTTATTTCACCACCAACGAATGATGCCTGACTTGAGAGTACCATGTCGAGGGCTCGTTTAGGGAATAAAGAAATCTCAAAATCTGATGAAAGAGTGGCAATTGAATATTTCTGTTGTGAGCTAGTCATGTTAATGGGCTCACTCTGGTTGAAGGTCACATTCTTCAACACTGACGATAAGTGATCATCAGTGTGTAGTGCCTTGACACATTCCTCCAGAGAATTCTCCAATTTACCAACCATTTTAAAAGTCTTTGATTCCAAATGTCCAACTGTATAATCTGCCTTTGTGGACCATTGCATTAATTTTCCTCGATTCTTAATAGTTGGATACCAATCTGGAGAAAATTCCTTAGTGAGATAATTAATGGCCTTCCAATCTGAATCAATTACAAATTTTACACTCAAATCCTCGGCTGAGAATCGATGGTCCTTCTCTGCATGCTTGAATAAATCTCTCTTCTTTAACAGAATGTGAAGGGCAGAGGAGGGCAATTTCTTTGGTTCCAGATTCGTCTTGATCCACTTGTTAATGAATTTTTCTTCATCCACCTGGAAAATATTAAACCAATCCTCCAAATCATGCAAAAACATTTGAATAATGATTTGAATCTCATCCAACATTCCAATACCAATCAATTTATCATTTGGATCAGTATGGAGTGGAATTTCAATGTTTTTCGAATAGCATTCGTGTTGTTTCTTTAAAAAACTTTCCAATCTTTCATGTGAAAACAATTTTGCAGTTCTATTCTTTAAATGCATGATTAAACTTGTCAGGAAATGGAAAGGATTGCCTTCTCCTCCAGTATTTATACTAATTTCTATATTACTTGTAGGAATTTCCAATTCTAACAATAAATCTCTGCAAAATTCATCAATCATTTCCATTACCACTTGTCGTGATGTGACAGTTGACTTGATTTTCAATGAACTTGCATCCATAAACTTGATAAGAAACAACACCTTAGCTCTAGCTTCTAGTTCATACTCAAAACTTTGCAAATATTTGAAAAATTGTTCTCGCATTTCTTCTAACGGAGGTAAATGTTTGAATTCTCCATAAGATTTTGAAGATTTTGAAGATTTTGTTGATTTTGTTGATTTTGCTGTGGAACTTCCATGGGAATGTGCTGAATTAGTTGATAAATTATCATCGGGAAGGTATTGGTCGTGATGGTTGTGATGGTGTCCATCAGAAAGTGCACTGGTTGACAATGGACTCGAGCTGATGGGATGATGGTTGGCAGTTCTGTCAAAATCATCGACTCCTTCAATATTTATCTTGATTTGCTCTTCACTACTAGTAGAAAATGTAAAATCTGCATGTAAACTATAGGATTTAAAGTGTGAGCCTTGTCCATTCGAATAGGAGCCATCAAATAAACTAGACGAAACAGGAGAAGTTGACAAGAATGAAGTAGACGAAACCGGAGAACTTCCACCTGCAAAATGTGATGGAGAAAGACCCCTCGGTGAATGTTGTGAACCATTCAAAGATGACAATCCTTTGTGTGAATCCACAACCGCTAGAAAATTGACAGGTAATTGTACTGACATTTTTTTTTGAATAATTACTGACAGTTATTCAACGGAAACAACCCAAAATGCAAGTAAATAACAAGGGCAATCCTTCAGTTTTGTAATTTCTTCAAATTTCGTTTTCAAACTAGGAAGAATTGGTTTCCAAAATGTTTACAAATTTTTTGAGAATCGTTGCCATAAAAAATTTTAACAAAAATCTGAAAAATTTTGTTGTTTATCAATTAATTTTAGTATTAATTGCACTCGCGTGAGAAGATGATTCACTCAATCGATATTATTATTAAGGTGCAATTCTTACAGAGATCTTTAGTTTGTTTTTATGTTTATGTTTCGTTTCAATGAAGATGGAATGACTGGAACAATCTTTGAATTGTGGAACAAGTTACTTTGATTTCGAATATTAGACAGTTCAGTAAGTGGTGTGCCTTAGATTTTTGTCTGTGATTCATGAACTTGGTTTCAAAGTTATGTCAACGTCAAGTGTCTAATCAAAAAAAATACTTCAGTTGCTCCTTCATAATATTCATAATAAAAAAACATGGGCAATAAACTCATCATATCCCAGTCGGGTTCGTTCTCTCTGGATTCATCTACTTCATCTCTGCAAGCTTTCTATCAACAACCACTTGGCCGAAACTTGAGACGAAACTCGACCGAAATACAAGCATCTCCTTCATCTCCAACAAAAAGAACGTCATCAAAGGGACCACTCAGTGCTGGATCAACATCCCTGAATGATGTAGTATTCGAAAGATCTTCCTCACCAACTACAAACCCTCAGGATTATAACATTTTATTAGACGAAAGTTCAGAACCTGTAAAGAAGAGAATGAACGTCATCATGTTAGGAACAGGAGGAAGTGCCAAAACCACAGTTTTAAAACAATTCAAATGTAAGTATTATTCCTTTTCTTTACAAGGTAATAATTTAAATTATTTTACAAAATATTTAACATGTTTAATATAATTATAATATATTTAAAAAAATATTTACAAACAAAAAATCAATATCATTGAAAATAGTATTGGGAGGTAAAAGAGAAGATCTTACACAATCACTCTGGCAAGAAGGAATTGTCGTTCCATGTTTCGATTTGTTGATTGCCATTTTCAATCGAAAGAATTTCTATTATCCAAATGCAGAATATCATCACGAAGAATCTGATGAAGTTGAACAGCAAGTATTCGATCTGTTCGATCAAAAGAAGATTCTCAACATTATTCATCCGAATAATCAGAAATTGATTGAGGAAATTGCTGAAATGTGGAACAATGAACCAATTTTGAGAAAGGTCTGTACGGAAATGCTTTTGGAAAATCAAGTGGAATCGGTTCCGGTTGAGGATGTGAATTATTATTTTTCCAGAGCTGTTGCAGTTCATCGGGGAGATAAACCATCGGATAAGGATTTGTTAATTTCACAAAGAAAGACAACTGGTGTTACACATGTTGAATTTGCATTTAATAATGGTTCTACTTTGGTTAATATTTGGGATTGTGGTAAGTGAAATCATATTTTTGATTGTAAAATGTGAAATTTTGTGTAAATTTATGAATAATAATATAGGTGGTCAGAAAAATGAAAGAAAGAAGTGGAAATACATGTTTACCGAATCTCAAAAGTTAACAGGAAAGATCTTTGTCATTTATTTCGTAGCTCTTTCAGAATATAATCAATTGTGCTACGAAGACGAAACCACCAACCGAACTCACGAATCTTTGAAAATTTTCGAGAGTGTTGCCAATAATCCAGAGTATGAGAATTATCCTCTCTTCCTCATCTTTACAAAGAAGGACATTTTCAAACAAAAATTGAGATATACCAGTTTATCTGTCTGTTTTGAAGATTGTCCAGAAGATTTGAAAGCTAACGAAGACACTACCAAGATAAAGAGAGATATCATTAACAATTGGACTGGATTTTTAGAGGATAGACAATGTGTCTCTGATGAAATTTATGAAAAATCATTTGATTTTGTCAAGAGAAAATTTATGGAGCGAATTTCCAATGCCGATCGCAGAAAACAAACTGAAAAGAATATCAAGGTTGTGAATGCAATGGATGCTGATGATGTGAGAAGTAATCTTGTTGAAGAATTATTGGAACAAACAATGGTGGAAGAAATATATAAGGATGATTTGGTTCATTATCTTTAAAATTCTCGTCATTCAATAAAAGTTAAATTGTAATATTTATTAACGTCTCTTGTATCGTAAAGACCTGAGAGACGAGGTCTACAACCAGTAAGTTTCGGTTCAGCGTTTAAGTGTTATGGGTTGACGCTAAGTGGTTGGTTAGACTGAGCCTGCCTGTGGTAGGCAGAGAGGTATTTCCTGTTAATAGTGAAGCTTGCATTGGGACGGTTGTACCACACTGAGTTCTTGTAGCAATTTTCCAAATAAATAGCTAGTGCTTTGTAGACTTCTAGGGCCACATTCTTAGGTATTCTTTTGCGCTTAGACCAGTTAAGCCAGTCATTACGGGAGCAACGACCATCAAATTCTATCCTAAGTTGAGAGGATTCTGAGATATCAGGAGGGAAACGAATCTTGTTAAGGCTAAATTTCTGGGAGATAGCGTCCCATGTGGCATACAGTTCATCCTTTTCAGGATTGCATTTGGGACAAGTTTGGAATACGTGGGTCCAATCTTCCTTGACATTACATTTGTCACAAATACTGTCGTTACCTAGTAAAATTGAGTGGTGGAGATTAAAGTAGAGGAGTCTTTGCTGATAATAAGACAAGAGAGAGTTTCTCCAGAAGGAGAGAGTGCTATTATGCCAATTATAGTCATTGTCTAATTGGCCCAACTTATTAATAATTTTCTTGGATCGCTGAGTTTCAATGATAGCATTTCTAAGGTTGGAGACAGGCTTGTGATTGGTACGGTTACACAAGACCCATCCATTATCTGTGGATTTGAAGTAATATTTCAGATCTTTCATTGTAGCGGCAGCATTTTTCCACAGTGAATCTGTAGTTTCACCCTTGAGCGCCTTATTTATCATGGCTCTTGCGATTTTGGGTGATAGGAGAGGTAGAATTGACAAACCTACAGACAGATGCCATCCTTTCCACGTGACTTATATCAACTGGAGATGAAAGTCCAAGTCCACCCTGGGATTTATCACCATATATAACGGCTTTAGAGAGCCTGTTGTCACATCCAATTCTTTTCTTAATAATTCCACTAATTTTGACTTCCAATTTTTCCAATAGTGAAAGTGGAATAGCATCTACGCTTGAGAGGTATCTAGGTACAGAAAGCACCTTAGATAATATTACGTTCCTCATTGGACCGAAACAACTTTTAAGAGAACCTTATCATCGGAGGGAGACCAAGACATGTTACTCGTCATTCAATAAAAGTTAATATTTCTCAGAGCTGCAAGACTTGTTGTGCTGTTTATTTAAAAATCTCAATTTTTCCCTAATGACGGCATTTACCCCTGAACGGCAAAAAACAACCAACCTGAGCAAAAAAAAAATGAATTTAGGTCCTACTTTGACACAAATCATCTACCACATTTCATCAGAATCACACAGCTAAACAACAGGGTTGGTGTTTTTCATAAATTGTACCCTGTATTTAACTATTAAGTTTTATTAAATTCGGGAGTTGATTTTTCGAAAAAAGAATAGAGGGCGGCTACTTTTGAAAAACAACTACCTCATTCCGAAAAACAACAGACCACCAAAATTCAATTCCTAAATGGCTAACACACCATAGCACACAAATTTGGTTTATTCAATTTTTAGAATTGTCACACTCATCACACCAATTTACAAGTCACAAACACTATTCAACTTCAATTCGACTCTTCTCTTTTTCCAAGCTGAACTCAAATAGTCTTTGATCTTGTCCTTGATTTCACTGAAGAGACACCCATTTTGAAAAGTCAAGCAAATATCCTCTACCAACTGAATGTCAAGGTGTTCTCCTTCATTGATTTTATCTGAAATAACAACCTCTTCAAATCTAATCTTGGCTCCAACACCATCTACAGAAAGCACTTTTATTGGGAAAGAAGAATTTCTAAATTAAGAAGTCTATCATTTATGAAACATTAAAAATGAATCAACAAGACGTTAAGAAGAAAAACATTCAATACACAAAAACATACAGAGAACGAAAACGTATCAAGAAGGTTGTAAAAGAGACTATGAAGATATTAGCAAAAATGTAACAAAGGAACAATTATTAACTGGAAATTTGAAATTGGAAATAGATGAATCAAATTTGAAATCTGGACAACAAGAAGTAATTTTTCATGAGCAAGTGAGTTTCAGTTTTGGAGAATTGGGAGGATTTGATTTAAATGACAATAGTAGTAGTATTGTTGACGAATCAACAATGTATAAGGGGTAGGCGGTGAATGTTGTTACAGCAATAACAATTATTCTCTTTATTATTGTATTTTGCGAGATTGCAACATCAAAGATTGGATTGTTATTGAAATTATTAGGAGAATTGCTTTCCAAAGATCATTTATTATGTAAAACTAAAGATGCTCTGTTGAAATATGTGCTCAACTTTGGCAAAATGGCAAAGGTATTTAATTCTACGACTAATCGATAAGAATCATGTAAGTATTTAAATTAATTAATTTATTGATATCTTTAGGATTTCCGTATTAATACATCCCTTTCAGATTTGGTGGTCAAGACTGTTTCAGGGAACATTGCTAGTGTCAAATCAATGGATTTTTCACTTAAATCAATCTCAATATGCTTTTACTAGCAGTGGAAAGTAAGTGGTTTCATGGCTAAATTGCAACTAATATTTTAGAAGTGTAATAATCACAAGTTTTATTGAGAAGAACAATACTGTATTTGCTATTTTGGATAATTATGTGGATGGGAAATTTACTCACACTTTCACGGAGCCAATTACTAACCTCAAAGACCTCACATTTTCATTTGTTGATTCATTTGGTCTTGGTCATTTTTCCAACCATTCCATTCTGCTAAGTTGACTCTTAATAAAAGTTTAGGTTATGATTGTAAAAAATTCAAGTCCTCAATTTATTGCAAATCAACCCCTCACTTTTTCAAAAAGCCAGGTCTGGATTTGATAAAAACCACTGTTCAGATAGTGGTACCTGATTTTACCCCTCGATTTTTTGCAAACTACCACTTATTTCCGTCATTAGGGAATTTTGATATTTTAGAAAAAAATGAGCAAACGAAATAGACAAGATTTTGAAAATTATCATCAATTTATTAATTCGGAGGAAATATTCACTAACAATTTTAATATTATGGAAGAGAAGGCAAAAAAGAGTGTGAAATTCCAACAAGAAATATTTTCAGATGATGTTTGTTTTGAAATAATTTCCATGATTGATGATTCATGGTTTATTTTAAATAATTGTTGTTTAATTTCAAAACAATTCTTTAATGTGATCAAGGAACGTTCAAAACTTGTTATTCAATTTAACAAAAAATTTACAAAGAAACGAGTTCAATTATTCATGAAAAGTCAATTCATGAATAGTATTGTTAATCTTAAAGTTTCTCGCCGGTTACTTGACTCTTTAGAACAACCCAAATTCATAAGTGAAATGAAACAATTAACATCACTTAATATTTCTGACAATCAAATTGGCTTAGAAGGAGCCAAATACATCAGTGAAATGACACAATTAACATCACTTGATATTAGTGTAAATCGAATTGGTGTTGAAGGAGCTAAATTCATAAGTGAAATGAAACAATTAACATCACTTGATATTAGTGTAAATCGAATTGGTGTTGAAGGAGTTAAATTCATAAGCGAAATGAAACAATTAACATCACTTGATATTTCTGACAATCAAATTGGCTTAGAAGGATCCAAATACATCAGTGAAATGACACAATTAACATCACTTGATATTAGTGTAAATCGAATTGGTGTTGAAGGAGCTAAATTCATAAGTGAAATGAAACAATTAACATCACTTAATATTAGTGTAAATCGAATTGGTGTTGAAGGAGTTAAATTCATAAGTGAAATGAAACAATTAACATCACTTGATATTTCTGACAATCAAATTGGCTTAGGAGCCAAATACATAAGTGAAATGACACAATTAACATCACTTGATATTTCTGTAAATCGAATTGGTGATGAAGGAGCTAAATTCATAAGTGAAATGAAACAATTAACATCACTTGATATTTGTGACAATCAAATTGGTGTTGAAGGAGCCAAATTCATAAGCGAAATGACACAATTAACATCACTTGTTATTACTAGCAATCGAATTGGTGTTGAAGGAGCTAAATTCATAAGTGAAATGAAACAATTAACATCACTTGATATTTCTGGCAATCGAATTGGTGATGAAGGAGTTAAATTCATAAGTGAAATGAAACAATTAACATCACTTAATATTAGTGTAAATCGAATTGGTGGATGAAGGAGTTAAATTCATAAGTGAAATGAAACAATTAACATCACTTAATATTTCTGACAATCAAATTGGCGTAGAAGGAGCCAAATACCTCAGTGAAATGACACAATTAACATCACTTGATATTTCTGACAATCAAATTGGCTTAGAAGGAGCCAAATACATAAGTGAAATGAAACAATTAACATCACTTGATATTTCTGCAATCGAATTGGTGATGAAGGAGCTAAATTCATAAGCGAAATGAAACAATTAACATCACTTAATATTAGTGTAAATCGAATTGGTGGAGAAGGAGCCAAATACATCAGTGAAATGAAACAATTAACATCACTTAATATTATGACAATCGAAATTGGTGACAAGGAGCCAAATACATAAGTGAAATGAAACAATTAACATCACTTCATATTACTAGCAATCAAATTGGCGTAGAAGGAGCCAAATACATAAGTGAAATGAAACAATTATTGTAGTTTAATAAAACTATTTTTTGATTGATTGAGATGGAAAATAATAGATTTAATAGAATCGATCCATATCTAGAAACCTCATTGAACTGAGCTTGAAACTTTGGCTTTGATTTCTTTTGTTTCATTAAGCTTAGAAATAGTTTTTTCAAATTGCTTCTTTTACCTTCTTGAATCATCCCTTGGTTGGATGTCATTACAGGGAGTGCCTTAGCAATCACCTTATCGGTATTACCTAGTTGGCATCAGTGGCGATGGCATCGATAGGTTTAATTAAATTTGAAAGTGGTTGAATTTTCCTTACAATTTCGACCTCTAGATTTGTTTATCCAGGGCTATCATCCTCGTTCTAAGAAATCAAAGTTTAGATGAACAGCCAAGCATAATATCAATTTTTACAAAATATGAAACTTGCCAATTTCGAAGGAATGGGTATTCTGATAATCTTCTATCTAGAATGAACCAATGACAAGAAAATACCTATTTATTGTTTCAATTAAACCAACATTAAACCAACTACTGGTTTGCAACTCATTCAGGGAGGAACCAGAGTTGTTTGAGAATGAACACTTGGAAATATAACATGCCACAAATATTTAAAGTCCAAAAAGAGAGTTTTCCAATTTAGAAGCATATTTTGAAATCGAATATTGTTGAGAAAGACATATGAATCCGTTTCACATGCCTCCAAACTGTGTGATATGAAATATTTCAGTAGAGGTGAAATTACGTATCGTGTGAATAGATTTGAAATATTTTGAGGACGAAAGACTGCCTCTGCCAAGTAATCCACAAACCAAACATAGGAATAGGTATAGTGAAAGACAAGTTGAAGATTTCTACTAAACGTAAAGTTGAATGTGTAGGGAAGTGGATGTACGTGCTTTTGTCGATTCTTCTTCTTTTCCAATCGAGAAGCAACCAATGATTCATGCAATGCTAAACAAGATTCACACACCAGTGCAATTCCTCTTCCATAGTAAGGATTAAGTGAGGCAACAGCATCACCCAGAGCGAGGAATCCCTCTACAATTGATTTCTTACCTCTCTTATTGGTAAGAGAAGGCAAAGTATCCCAATGATTGAACAAGACATAATCTCTCCTGTAAATACTCCAATCCATAACTGGTGGTTCTCCCTCTCCCACAAACTTGGTAAAACACTCCTCACATACTTTGAAAGCACTTGGAATTTCTTGCTTGATGAATTGGAGAACTGCATCTTTGGATTTTAGGTTTTTGGCCTTTTCAAATGTTCCCAATTTACTGACAATAAACATGGCAAGATTATTTTCAATTCTATAGACCATTACTCGTTCAGTTTTGGGAAATTCATTACTATAGACCGTTAGCCATTGAGGTTTCTTTTCTCTCATGTAGAAACCCTCAGAGAGACATTCTGGCTTGATCTTGAATATTGCCATTACGTTTGTGATTTGAGACTTCTTTTTGGTTTTCTTCATTGGTTTGGCACGGTGATCAATTTCTGCCACCTCATTCAAAATCCACTCTGGTGTCTTGGTATAAACACCACTGCAATCAATGACCAAGCTGGCATCAAGTGTGCTTGTCTTTCCATCTATTGAAGGATGTCCACCTATGGCATCAAACTTGTTCTCTCCACTAATCTGTACTCCTACAGCTCTGTGAACGATATTTCCCAAATATGTGGGTGAATTAGATTGTTGTTGAGAGCTCGAACTCGATGTATCTGAAATGGTATTATGATCTGGAATTTCACTATACGTTGCAGAGAAAATCTTCTTGGTAATACTGTCATATGAACTAAAGTGTTCCTCATGATATCGTTCCCAGAGAATATCCTTCACCTCTGTCTTTTCCAATACTATAATATTTTTCAAGTTTTTTACATAATCTCTGAGCCAACTTTCCAAAAAGGTCCTCGACATCATAATCATGTTGGGAAAGTTCAATAAATTAAGTGGTACTCTCGGTTTACCATTTGTTCTATAATCAGCCATATCAATACTCAATTCAAAGGCACCTTCTTCGACCATACTCTCAGTGAATGATTTTTCATTCTTGGTCAATAACTTGTCTAACAATTGGATACATTTCATCAATAGGATATGAGTCTGATGTCCGTGAGCCACCATCGTATGCCCAGGAACCATCTCCTTCTGTTCCACAATATAAACCTGATCAAAGTGATGTGAGAGAACACACCCAGACAACAACCCAGATATAGAACCACCAATAATTACACAACTTTTACCAGCTTTGGGTATGTGCTTCTTTTCCAATTGTTCAATTTCCTTCTCCAATGTCAAATCAGAGTGTTGCTTAATCTCCAAGAATGGAACTATAAACTTTTTAAATAACTTTACAATAATCGCCTTTAAAATAAATACTAGAATAAAAATAAATAAATAATACACCAATAAGTCAATACTATTACAAGATATATTTGAGGATTTGCAAAAATCTTCCTTCCAATCCCTCACTCGATCCTTATAAATCACAGTTTGATTCATCACCAAATGTGTCCAATTCTTTAAAGTTTCCCAATCATTCCGATGTTGTTGTTGATGATTCGTATGTTTTATCTGATGTTGATTATGATGACTATTCATCACTGATGATGATGATGCCTGTGATGATGGATTACTCCTCAAACTTCCCGTCATTTTTGTATATTATTTACAACAACAATATTAAATAATTTAAATAATTTAAATAAATTGATGATCATTATCATAATTCTCAAAATCGAGAGCAGTAAATATTAATTTGCTGTTGATGATCAGAAAAAGTCGCGTTAAGGAAAAACTGAGCAAACAAGTGTTGTTATTTTTTTTGATTTGTTTTTGTGGCCCTAAAAAGGAAAATTAGCTGGAATAGATCAACCCAAATATGGTACTTTCATTTTACTGTAAAAATCTGAGAAAAATATTCTTTAATTTCAAAATTGCATTGCTAAAAGTTGAATAGATGAAACTAAACTCTGATTCTGATAAAGTGCTAATATTATTAATTTTGGAAATTAGTAAGTTTTGAGATTTTCTTTTTAGAGCTCTTCCACCTGCAAGAATATATATCTGGCAGTGTGTACCAGGATCCTCTGTGGTTGTAATTTGTTTCTATTGTAATTTGCTCACGTTATAGAGAATCACGTTTCGAAATCCCTTTAAATTTGTCACACTGGTAAATTAAACTTGCTTATTCGAAACAAAAAATGCTTTCTTTCGCCTTTAGAGTTTTTAAACCTTTAATTTATAGTGTAGTTGGACTTTTTCAACCTTCTGATCCTGCTGTATCTTCCTCCTATGTGAGATTGGCCAATACTCTATTCGAATTACATTTTAATTATATTGAGAATAAGAAACCAATTTCCAATTTCTTTATAACTTGTGAGTTTGATGGTAAAACAGTGAGAAAGCAAGTATTACTAAAAGGTGATGGAAAACGTGATGGTGGTATCTATCATCATGCAGTTGAACTTCATCCACAAAAGTTAATGTCCATTAAGGTGGAAACCGAAAGTGGAAGGTTGTTATTCGAAGCTCTAGATATTAATACCAACAGTTTCAAACAAGAAACTCTAACATTAATGGAAATGTCTATTCCAGACAGAAAGCAAGAACTATTCGATTCTATTAAGGACAAATTAATTTCCATTTCCAAAAATGTAATCATTGGATCCATGTCCATCACATTTAGTGGCAAATCATCCCTCCTCAACAATATCTTCAAAACACTTGGTTCCAAACATGTTCCATTCCCAGTAGGAAGCACAGAACAAGCAAGAGAAGCTTACAAACTATTTTATGGAAGTTATCCAAGTAATGATTATTTGTCGTCGTTCACCACTGAAATTCTCAAGAAAAATGTGGATGATGTTGAGGGAATGGAATCTCTTTGGATTTGGGATTTGCCTGGAATTTTCGAATTTACCACTGCCGGTCAAATGCCAACACTTTTGAGTTTGACAGATGACTTATTGAACAAGTTATTTGTTACAAAGAATGGAATGATGAAATTGAATGGTAACCAAGAGGATAAAAAAGTCAATCGAGAAGAAGAAGAATTCTCACTGAAACCTCAAGCTTTAATTGTAACTCTTCCATTGGAGAATAGTTTCGCCTATAATTCCACAAGTGATAATAATATTGCGTTATATTTTGGAAGAATTTCTGGATTTCTATCAAAGGAGCATAATGTGAAATCTGTTTATTGTTATACCAAGATAGACGAAACTTATATTTACCAGAATTACATTTCAAAGAATGTGGGAATTACTAGCATGTTGGACGAAACTGATCCTACACCAGATCAAATGAAACTCAATTTACTCAAACAATTCCATGAATGGGATATTTTAGAAAGAAAGGATAATAATTTTCCAGATATGGTTAACAGTGATCATACAATTCCTTTTTTATCAATCAATTCCCCAACTAAGGAAATTGACAACTTTTTCCAAGTTCAATATTTGGAAGTGTTAAATCTGGCATTGGATAAATGTTTCCAGAAGAAATCATCCCTCTCATGTGAATCCATTTGCATTGTTAAAAAATAAGAAGAAGAAACATGACTAAAAGAATAAACCTTTCATTTACTTAAGAGGAAACAAATCTTAATTATTTTAAACTATTTGAATTTGTAAATATTGTAAAGTTTTTGTAAAGTTTTTTGTAAACTTGAAATTTATTCCTTTACAGATTTAAGCAATTTTGATGCACTCGCCAAAATTTCAAAATGATACCCATTTCTCGAAATATATGGAGAGTGTACAATGCGTTTCATTTGTGCACCAACGAAAATGAAATCTTTTGGAGTCAAACTTTCAAGCGAATCTGGCGATCTTCCTGATATAAAAATGAAACTCTTTACAATAATCTTTCGTGTAAATCTTGGTGATTTTTCAACGTGATTGAAAATCGTTTCGTCAAGTTTGTCCATGTGGGGAATATTTTCATAGAATAAATTGTCAATTCTTGGGGATTTGACAAGAGTTGGAGAATTAGGTGTGAATGAATTGTAATTTTCTTGAAATTTGTTTTCGAGAAGAGAATTGTTTTGATCTGGTTTTTTGGCAAAGTATTTGCATGTTACTAATGTTGGCTGGATCAAAAATAGAATGCTTATCATTATCATTTGAAAGATTGACAACAAGATGATTGAGATATACGAAAGTGAAACTGAAACCAAGACGGCAAGAGATGATTTTTGAGAGAATGTCAATTTCTGGGTAGTACAATAACCCAAGGAAGTTAAAAATCTCAAATTGAACAAGAAAATTGAACCAGCATCTTCGTGATGAAGAATTGTCAATAAGAGTTCCCACCAATTTCTATACGATACTCGACTATTGTCTGTAAAAAACAAAAGGAAGGGTAGAAAGTTTGCCAACAAGTAAATCCATCCATTTCTATCTTCCATAGCAAGCTCTTGGTGCATTCTGATTCTTTCGTAATTCATTTTTTTGTTATTCGAAACGTGATTTTCCTCCTTACCAATCTTAACATTCCTTGAAACGTGATTTTTCAACAATCCTAAACAGACTGTCATCAGAAAACGTGATTAAACTTTAAAAAAAAACGATGGGTAGATTAGTATATCTTGCAGCTGCAGGATTAGTTGGATATTTGCTTGGAACGAGACAAACTAATACTGACAGCCCAAGTTCACTTTCGAATAACTCGCCACAATCATTGATTGAGGTTTCTACAACAGACCCAGTTGTGGAATTTCAGCAATTGGCTGTGGTTTCTAATCCCAGTGATATTGAAGAAACATCATCTACAGCTTTGGAAGTTATTCTAAACGATTCGTCTCCCAAATCCCTCACATGGTATAATACTGCACTCTATACTACAATTCTATTACTTTCATGTAAACTTGGAGTTTCGATTTATACCACACTGTTCACAACCTTCAGTATTCCAATGTCTTTGCAAGAACAGATTCGTATTCCAATTCTAATAACTAAAAACTATTCCTCTGAATGCTACAATCACTCTCTCCTTCTCAATCTACTCAATAGCAAAATGAAAGATTCTCGCTTCACATTTGAATTTTGCTCAGCTCCCGAAAAACCTCATTTGAATTGTTGTTTCTATCTGGAAGATAGTAGAGATGTGAAAAGTCCATTCGACAAGTCAATTCTCTACATTGTGAATAGTAAAATAGCACAAGCAGTGAATAGACCTCACATGTTCGTGTGTGCTCATTCGACCAATATTTTGGAATTGAAGAATATTCAGAATTTGATGGAATATTTGGAGATTAATTTTGTGGTATAGATATGGATTAGAATAAAAATATATAAAATTGGTTTATTGAAAGGATCCAAGTTGAATCTTGTTGTGTTTTTGAACCATTGCATAGAACATGGATGAGTGATCGTTTAATAATTGTGTTGGACTTGCAAATTCTTTCACAATTCCATCATCAATGACCACAACTTTATCATAATCCAAAATAGTTTCCAATCGGTGGGCAACACAAATGACAGTACATTTCTGGGAGAATTCATTTCTCAAGACTTGTTGGATTAGTTTGTCAGTTTCCAAATCGCAGAGAGCTGTGGCTTCGTCCAATACGAGAATTTTACAGTTTCGAATAAGTGCTCTGGCAAGACAGAGTAATTGTCTTGTACCTGCTGAGATGTTTTCTCCATTTTCTGATATTTCCATTCCTAATCCTGTTGCTCGAGGTTGAATCTCATCACTTTCTTCATTCGAAAGTTGGAATAATTTATCTTTCATTCCAACCTTTTCCAATGCATTCCAAAGCTCCCGATCTGTAAATTGTGAATATCCATCAAGATTATCTCTTAATGTTCCTTTAAAGAGTGTTGGCTGTTGAGGAATGATACACAAGGCACTTCTCAAAGTTTCTAAAGGAACATTTCTAATATCAATTCCATCTACCAAAATGGAAGATTCTGATTCAATTTCTTGCATTCTGAATAGAGATTGGATTAAACTTGATTTTCCACAACCTGTCCTTCCACAAACAGCAATTCTTTCCTTTTCCTTAATAGTTAAATTAATTCCTTTAAGAACTAATTTGTTAGTCACTTGATTATTCGACTCTAAACTCTTGTACCTCATTAATACATTGTTGAAATTAATGTTTCCCTCACTCGCAAAGCTTTCAACTTTTTCACCTACTCCCTCAGGTTCATATTTTTCACTTTCCAAATTTGAATATTGGTCAATTCTTTGAATGGAAACTAAACCATTTTCTATCAATACCAATAAATAAGACAAGTAATATAAAACATCAAAGTTTGAAGTAGCTTGTAGAATAATCATTCCAACAAGTGGACCTCCAGATGCTAAAACACTTGACATGATAATAACCGAAACGGCAAGACCACCCAATATTTCATTTCGAATATCAAAGTATTTGTACATGCACTGAATATTATATCTCACGTGTACGTGGTTATCTGCCTTAAATTCGAATAAATCTTTCATTAATTCTTCCTTTCCAAATGCACGAATGGTTTGAAGGCCATTAAGAGTTTCGGATATTTGAGAACTGAGTGGAGATGAATAAATTCCAGACAATGTTGACAATTCTCTCAATGTAACTCTAAAGTAACTTTGATAATACAAGATTATTGGGAATAAAATAACTAAAATAAATATGGAAAATGGAGAAAGTATTAAAATGGTAACTAGGCCAAAAATCCAAAACATGAGAACTGGAACAAACTCTCTCAACAATGAATTCAACTCACTATCAATTTGATTAGTATCTCTGGTAAATCTTGCAATAATTCTACCCACTGGTGTATTATCAAAAAAGGTAATACAAGAATTAACAATACTGTTCATGAGTTTTTCATGAAGTTTCTTTGCAGTATTCAAATAATGGGATAGAGCAAGGAAATTACCCATCACATCTACGCATACATAAAGAATAGCACTTCCTAAATAAGTCATTAAATAGAAAATTAAAGTGAAATTTTCATATTTCTCATCAGTTGACCATTTGGTAAGGACATATTGATGAACAACATCAAGAATTTTGAATATAATTCCAAGAATGCAAATAACTACAAATATTGGCTTGTTATAACCAACAGCAAACTTGAGAAGAGTTTTGTAATTTTCCCAAACTGTTCCCTTCACTCGTTGTTCTTCTTCTATGGATGTGAATTTCTCCAATGATTCGTCATCATTTGGAAGTAGTTGAAGAGTTGGCTTGATTTCTTCTTGTTCAGTTTCGAATAAATCTTCTTCGACTTCTTCCTTCTTTTTACTAAACTCATCAATCAAATTTCTAAATACATTATTGGAATCTTGATAAAGTTCATGATAAGTTCCATTCTGAATGATTTTTCCATCTTCAAATACAAGAATTCTCTCTGCTTTGTCAATAAAGTGAATTTGATTCGTGACCATAATTGTTGTTTTACCAGCTTCCAAAAGTGGAAGTATTCCAAATTTCATAATATGATCTGCAGTGTGAACATCAACTGCTGAGAGAGGATCATCCAATAGATAAACATCTGCGTTCGAATAGAGACATCTTGCTAAGGAAACTCTCAATTGTTGACCTCCTGACAAGTTGACACCATTTTCACCAATCATACTCAAATCTAAAATTTCTTTTGAGATTTGATAAAGATCAGTTTCTAAATTGCATGCGTGTAATACTTTGGAATATCTTTCCGAATTAAATTCTTCACCAAAAGTTATATTTTCACGAATAGTTTGGTTTCTAATCCAAGAATCTTGTGAACAGTAGGCATATTTGAGTTTAGATTGTTTTTGGAAAGTGGAACAGCCATCATCTATTAGTCTAGTTTCTCCCAATAATGAAGATAAGAAAGATGACTTTCCAGAACCGACCTTTCCAATAACACAAATAAACTCACTCTTTCTAATTGACAAATTCATTCCTTTCAAACAAGAAACAGGTTCAGTAGAATCAACAGGATCCCAAGTAAATGAAGCATCTTTCATTTCTGTAATTATTTCATCATTTTCCACTTGGGCAATTTGGTGTGAAACTTCTTCAGCTCTCAGAAACTTGACAATTCTGTTAAATCCAGTTACTGCTCTTGAAACTTGTAATGCAGATGAAGGAAGTTGAATTGTTTCATATCTTACCAATTCCAAAGCATTAAGGAAGGAGAATGCAAGACTAACACTCAAAGATTGATTGCTGAAATAACAAAAATGGACGAAACTGACAAATGAAATGAAAGGAGCAAAAGTATTCCACAAGCATTCCATTCCTGCGTCTGAAATGAACCCCTTCTTAATATTTCTCATCTCAGTTTCTCTAATATTCATAATCTTGTCTTTAAATAGTTTCTCCATTGTATAATATTTGACAAATCTCATAGCAGAAACTAATTGTGAAATAATTTCACTTCTTTCGTCCTGGTTCGACTCTATAATCTTTTCCATTCTCTGCTCCCAAATCATACAAACAATAGAAATTGGAATAATCACAAGTAAAATGGCAGAGAATCCAACAAGTGCTGAAATTCCTAGAAGAAATATTGAGAAGGAAATGGAAACTGAAATGTAAACAAAAGCTCCAATGATAATTTCAACATGATAGTAAAACCATTCGAACTTTTCAGTGTCAGTCGTTGCAATATTCATAACCGTTCCAGTTGAGTATTCTTGCTTGGAGCTAGAGTTTAGTTTAAGTGTCTTGTTGTAAATTGCATTAGAAAGGGAACTCTTTGTAAACTCTCCAATTTCTTGAGCAATGAATAGGCCGTGATCTGCACAGAATGTTTTCACAACCTTACAAATAAATAGGATTATACAAAAACCAACAATATATGAAACTGATTCAATATTCAAGTCATTATTGGAAAGTGTACTTTCACAATATATCAAAATAATGTTCAAAATGAATAATCTTGCAACTTCTGAACCAATCAATATCAATTTCAATACAAATGCCCAAGCAATCTGTAAAAAGTACAACTTGACAAAAAACCAAGCACATTTCCATGTGGAAATTTCAGCTGAATTCTCAAATGTTTCAATAAACTTTTCAAAGGGTTTCGAGCTTGATCTAAATCCCCATGATGGCTGCATCTTGGTCAATTCATTCAATTCTAAAAATCCTTTAGAAAAAACCTTCTTAATCATTGGCTGTACTGAACTAAACGTGAATGCACTCCATAAATGTCCAATCGAACATCCATTAGAATATGCTGTTTCGTCATATATCGTTTCCTTCCTTCTAAATGTTGAAGAGCATTGGGACATTTCAAGTTGTTGTTGTGTTTTTTTGATATTTTCATTCATTGAAAAACGTGTTTTTGTGTTTTTTAAAGGATAACCGAAGGTTACCGTTCAAGAGGTTCAAAGGTGAATTTGAAAGTAGTAAGGAAGCATTTCTTGTTGATTTCAAGGGAATCTCATTGTAAACTAATGAGACTCAGATATTGTGGTTAATTTGAACCTCAATCTTGAAAATGAGAATTTCAAAATTGATTGCCATTGGAATGTTTAAATTTGATTGAATATTTAGAAGTGAATTATAATAATTCATGTTGAATGAATACTCCGTGATCCTCAGGAGGTTAAATTTACTAATTCTCAGCAATTGATGAAGGTGTGATGGGTGCTTCTAATGTTGGACATGATGATGTTTCGAATCGGAATGGTTACATGTTGTTATAATAATAATTCGTAATTCGTTTCTTGAGCAGAAGACTCCTTGTTGGGTTGTTTTATCCAATCATGATGTTGTTGTAGTGTGGATTTTTTTATTAAAATTTAAAAAGCAATCAAATTTGGCGGTTTTCCAAAGTAACGGTTTTTTCAAATAAAAAATAAACAAGACACTTTATTAGAGACATGTTCATCGTCTTGTTGTTTGTCTAAAAGCAATACACTTGGATGTACACCGTGTAGACGTGCGGTTCATACATGATACTAAAAGCTATTGGAGAACATAATATGATTATAATTTAATCAGGCTTTTTGTTAGTCTGGTACCATCATAATATTAAATTCAGCATCATAGCGGTTTAAGGATTCCTACTCTGCAGCCCTTCAATACAACATCTAACAACTATGACTCAAAATATGTTATATTGTTGATTGATGAAGAATGGAACGATAGCTACCAGGAAATGTTATTAGAAGGTAGATGAAATTTATATGGCAGATGATGCTCTTGTTGCTTCATCAGGCTTCGACACTTGGCAAACAGACTAAGAGTTCGCAATTACCTTTTAATCATACTCAATATCCAGTTTATCACAATATAGGAAGAGCCCACTTTGCAATATCACATGTTTTATTATTACAATATCATTTTGATATTGTTGAATATTATATAATTCAATTTAATGGTTTTCCACAAAAGAAGTCATGGTTTCGTTCATTTGAAAGGGTTAGAATGGTTTATTACAATATAATACATGGTGGTGTATGCCATTTTGTGGCAATACTGAATTCGCGCTAAATGTGTTCAGTTAGAGAGAAATGGTTTCGTCAGAAGTATTGAGAGAAGAAGAAACGGTTTGTTTAGAATACCATTCCAATAACAGCCAAGATAGCAATCAATAACATGGCAGCAAATCCTTGTTCAGCAGCACCAGCATATACTTCAGATTCGTGATATTGAGCATTAATTGGTGAGGCAAAGAAGAACATGATACAAGCCAAGAGCATCATGACGAGGAAAGTTTGAGTGTTCATTTTGAATAGTTTTGATTAGTTTTGTTTAGTTGTTTTGTTTTGTTATTGTTTCAGAATCTAACGGCACAGTTGTTAATTTATAGGACTTTTCGAATACATACTGAAATGGTCAAGTGGTTCCGTAAATGCTTCCATTACGAAATTTGTGTTCATCACTACAATTTAAGAAAACGGCTGCCGATATGAATTTTCTTCAAATGTAGTATTCAGATAACAACATCGGCAATAATACAACCATTCTCAAATTCATCCACTTCTCAAAAAGACGAAACTAATCTCTACATGAATTTGAGAGAATCAAATCATGCGATATCAAAACGAATATTACACTCACTTTCCTAACATTCTATTTTATTGGCATATTAGAAAAATTCAATATGGAATTGGAAACACAAGTTTACAATTCTAAACATCTCTTAATATATTGACCTGACTTGAAAAACTTTACAAATCTCTTTACAAAGTCTTTCGGTGTAAGGAGGAATTGTTGTGGCATTTTGATCGATATCCGTAAAATTAAATAATAAAATGGTTTGCTGACGGACGGGATCGAACCGGCGACCAATGGCTTATTAGACCAACGCTCTACCGACTGAGCTACGCCAGCTTACATTCATTACAAATAACCTATAGAATTATGTAATAAAACAAATAACAATTTGTGCGAGATCCAATTTATCCTAGCTGTTAGCAATTCATTATTAAAATTGTTTTAATACAGCAGATCTCGTCAATCATCACAAGTTGATAGTGTGGTTGTATTGTAATGTAAGTTGAGGTGGCCGAGTGGTTAAGGCGCCAGCCTGCTAAGTTGGTGGAGAAATCCGCGTGGGTTCGAATCCCATCCTCAACGATTTTGCTTGTTGGGTAAAATAAATTTTTGAACTGCTTTACTTGTTATTTCCATTTTGATTTTCTTCTGAAGAAGCATGTACAATATATTTCATTATTTATTGAAAGAAGTATTGTCAAATGCAACTTTTGTGTCTTGAAACAAATCTTGAAGAAATGAATAATCGACATCATTGTCGACCACCTTTTCCACAACTGGGACTGGATTTGAAACATTGATAAATATCAATTTCTTCAGTTTCTCATAGAATTCAGAAATAATATCAGCAAGAGGTTGGACAAGAACTTGGAAGACACCTGTCAGAATATTCCAAATAAATTTCCAAGTAAATGAAACTGTGGCTGCACCCACTTTGGTGGATTCAATTAAATATTTGACAAATGATTGCAAATATCCATTAAAATTATAGTTGAATGAATCCTTTTCCTTAAATAGTGAAATAATTTGAGTAATTGTGAAATAGGCCAATCCTGCTACAGCTGTGATAAACAAAGATTTGAGATCTAATTTGATTTTCTTCATGGCCAAAGCAGGAACTAGAACTGAAGTAATGGCCAGCAATTTTTCATAGCTGAAAGTTTTTAAAAGGTAAACTTCTGAAACAAGTTCCCAAATCTTTCCTAAAAATTGAGAAATGGTTTCGTCTTGAAAATCAAATGGACTTGAAATTGGGACTACCTTATCTCCACTACATAGTAATGCCAATTGTTTGAAATTAATCAAATTCTTTGCCTTTTTGAAAAGAGTTTTCATATCTGAACGTTGGTCAACTGTGGCATACGGTTGACAGTTCAGTGTCAAGATAGAAATGTCCTTGTCAGGATACTGTTTCTTCATCTTGTAAGCAACTTCACAGGCAACGCTTCCTCCAGCTTTATAGCCAGTTACAATAATGTTGTAATTGGTTGTTTTAACTGAAGGCGCAAACTTTTCATAAATCATATTCGAAACTTGGCTAATAGTTTCCAAATCCTCCTTCTCTTCATTAAATGACTTGCAAACCAAAACGATCAATTGCTTGCCATCAAATTGAATAAATTGTCCAAGAGAAATTCTATTCTCAAAGTTACACGAAACGGTCGAATCTGCAATGAGAGGTTTTACGTCTTGTTGCGAAACAACTTGTGCAAGCCATTTCTTTGTTGGAAAATTGTCAATGTCAATGACTTGCAATTCTTCGAATGGTTGGCTAGTCACGACAGGAATGAGAGATTCTAATGAATGGACCGATTCTAATGGTGTTAGTGATTCTACTGATTCGACTGAGGATGTGAACCATCCTGTTAACCAACTTGACATTTTTTTGAAGATTTGAAGCTTGACAGTTGCATTAGAGAATGATTAGTTGTGCTTCACGATCACGTTTTGATTAATAACCCAAAAAATCTTAAACGTGATAATCATTTTGTTCAAAGTGTCAAATATCAATCACGTTTTACATTTTAAATAATTAATTCGAAAAAAAATAGAAATGACACTCACCAACATTGATATTGAAAATAAAGAGATTTTAAAGTGGCTATGCAAAAGAACAAACTCAATCTATAGCTCAACTTTGTTGCCAGAATTGTCAGAACTTCCGTTGAAATCTGGCAGCTTGATATTTCATGATAACAATAATTCAGTATTGGCAGTAGCAGATATATATGATTCAATAGGATCAGTAGTGGTTACTTGTAAAGGAAGTCAATCAATCTATGACTGGGTGTCAAATTTCACTGAATTTCCAACAACTTCTAATCAAAATTCTATTCCTGATTTCATTTACGAGAATGCATTGAAAATTTCACAGAAATTTGATAGAGAATCGCCAAATATTTTCAATAATAAGAAGGTGATTTGTTGTGGGCATAGTAGAGGTGCAGGAATTGCTTCTTATTTGGGCTATCATATTGCTTCAAATTCCAAGAACTGTCAAGTGTCTGTTTTGACATTTAGCTCAATTCCATATGCCAATGATCAATTTAAAACTGCTTTCGACAATGTAATTTACAAAGCTAAGAATATCATTTCAATTCTAGATCCACTTCAAACTTTATGGGTTTCTAGAAATATCCCAGGAGAAACTAGAATATTGGAATTCACCTATCCAGGTGCATCAGCAATTGCACTCTTTACCATTCCACTAACAGCATTCGTTAAGGAGATTCATTGTCTGTTTGACAAAATTTTCCATTTGCAAGGAATTTCTGAAATATTGGAATGTGCAACATCTTTTGCCTTATTTAAAGGTACAAGTCAATTCTTGTCCTTTTCTGGACTGGTGACCATGTTTCTTATGGATGTTGGAGTTAATGTATTCCAAGGAAAGTGTCACAAGATGGATTATACACAGCATGTAGTTGGAGGTGGCGTTGAACCTCTTATTAAGGCAGTTTTTGAGTTGCTGTCTGATGTCAACAACAAGACAACCAACCTGGTGAATTTGATAACTAAGTTTGTGATGGGACCATTATTTGGATTGTTGAAGAAACTTTTCGTGAATGTTGTTGATCTGATCGATCAATTATGGAACGCCCTAAAGGAATTTGTGGGACAAGCTGTTAATTTCTTTAAATCTAGTTTATCTTTGATTTCCTATCATCCAATAGTGCAAAATTAAAATTTGTAGTAATATCCTTATTCTTTTTATAATGAAAAATGATAGAATTCTCTCGTAAAACTCAAAGGACGGCTATTATATAATTTACACAAAGATTTCAATTCAAATTTGTAAAAACCTGTATCAATAATTCCTCCATAGCTATCTCTTGAATATGCTCCATGATACCTATGAAATTCAGCAATATTTTGCACAATCAATCCATAACCTCCTCCTTGATAAGGGCATTCCAATATTTTTGGTTTAAACTTGGAATAAATAATATCAAAGGGATGGACTCTTGAACTCTTCATATGAACCCCTCCAGAAGAAGTTGTCATTCCATAGAAGAAACATCCAATTAATACTCGGTAGATTCCAACATCTTTGCAATCTTGAAAAGTGTTCGAATTATTCTTGCTGTAAATACGACTTTTGAGAAATCCAGGAGTGTAGTATTGGTAAATTTGGTCAATTGTGGTCAAGTTTCTTGTATAGCAATTTATGTAAGTCACATCCAGCATGAAACATGTCTCAGTTCCGTCGAGTTTTCCCATTAAAAAATAATGTACCAAGTTGGTTGTAGAACTTGCTGTGTCAAAAGTTTTGAGTTTGATGTAAACTTGTTTCTTTTCTTGATCCACATCAAGAATGTCAACCAATCTTGAAAGTATTTCATTTTCTAACATTAAATTGACATTCTTGCAATCTGAAATATTCAAATATTTGACAATCTCCAAAATGGAATCAAATTTCAAATCAAATTCAATGTGCATAACATTTGTATTCTTCCGTTCAGCACCAATGATTGAATAGAAAGTCTCTTTCTTCATTCGTTCATTCCCCATATTAAAATTGTTCTTGACTTCGTCTAACGAATTGCAATCATTCTTTTCCAAATCAAAACTCTTTGTATGATCAAAACCACATTTGAATCGAATAATTATCTTTGATCTCTTAATATTTACAACATGATCATGACCATTTGGCATGACTTTTCCCTCCTGTATAGATTGCTCCATCAAACCCTCATGATCATTCGATCCATCACTCACCACTGGAGCATAATTTCTACTATTCATAAATTGCTCCAAAAGTTGTTGATCTAAATTTTCTCTCTTCTTCCGATCATGAAAAGTAATCCTTGTCTTGACAATAATTCCGAAACTCTGCAAAATTTCAATCAGGGATGATTTATCAGCATTCTTCTTGTTATTATTATTTGTATTCTTTTCCCTCCTCTTGTGATGATCAGAAGCTGATGAACCTCTCTTTACATCATGTTGAGACATTTTTTATAAATTCCGAGATGAACAAATCTACCATCATCATCATTTAAATTCACTGGGATAATTATTTGGTTTATTCACTTTCATTAATTGGCTTGATCTCATCATCTTCTAATTCTTGATTTCCATTCTTATTCTTCTTCATCTTGTTGATCACTCTACGGACAAGTCCCAATACTTTCAATGCGATGAAACTCATCACAATGAAACCACCATTAAGCATCATGACAATAAAAACCTTCCTTGGAATGTAAGTGACATTTGGTGGAACCATTGTTAAATCATTGAAATTATTAAGGAAACAATAATATTTCGTAAGGGGTTGCATACTTGCCAATACTTCATTGGCCAATGAAAAACTTGTGGTAACAACGCCTGAATAGAGAACTCCATCACTCGGAGTGTTGACCATTGATACTAGCCAAGCTGGTGAATAACAAGATCCTCCAATAGAGCACGTCTCTGCACTCTTTGGAATCGTACGCCTATCAGATTCTTCTCTCGAATAGACCGGTGTAATAATTGTCTCTGAATTTTGATAATACAATGATTTCAGATGAATTGGAGTAACAAAATTGAATTCTCTCTTTGCAATCTCACAATCATAAGCAGTACATCTGTGCTCATTCAATGAGGATAAAATCATCTCACACGAACGAATGGTTTCCGTATTTTCCAATCCATATTGTCGGAAAAACTCTGTCAATATATAAGTAAATACCACAATGGAAACAATTAGAGTCATTAAGAGAATGAACCGAATAGGATCCTTCCTTGCCAATTCCTTAATCTGCTCCAATTTATCTAACATTGATTTTTTTCTTTTTGATTTTAAAATCGCGAATTTCCATTGAGCTTAATACTATTTCCAACCAACTTCCAAGATAAAGCTAGTTCGTGTAACTAGTTAAAGATATTACGGCATGTTACCTGTTGTTGTTTTTTAAAAGATTTGGAAAACGATCAAGCTTCTTATTATCGAGAGTTAAGATAACATGATGTGCCACCATGCCAATTTTAAGATCAATCCACTGATATCAAAGCCAACAAGCCCAAACTCAAGAAGTGTTAATGTTGAATGGTTATGTGAATGCTCATGTGTAACTCAAGTGCCCTAACTTCCTTATACTCAGTCAATTACAACAGATCTACCCAAACTTTTCTTTTCTTGTTCAATATTTTCAATATTCTTGATAGGAAACAATAGACAATATATTGTTTTAATTTCACTCTACAGGAACACCTTTGGGACTTCATTCTTCCACAATCAAGAGCAAGTTTTCCGGTTGTAAATCATTCAATGAAATTGAGAGAGGATTCGTATAGGAGTTTGTTTCTAATGTTTCTAATGATGAGAAGAGAAAAAATCTTGGTCACCACTTGGATATGAGCCCGATGAAAAGGCAAATATCAAGGTTGACTAACCGATTTGTGTTAAAACTAATCAAAAAAAAATAATCAAACATCTGACACTTTCACATGACATCCGTCAATAAGAACAAGGCTCTGTTTGAAAAGCTGGATGCCAGCGCAGCCAAAGACCAGCACATTTTGAATGGTGGAGCTACAACTACTGTACAAAAGAAACCATCATCAATTTCAACATCCAATAATTCGTCTAGTTTCGGCAAAGCAAAATCATCAAATAATAATAATACTAAAACAACCAATAATAATAATACCAAAACGACAAATTCATCATCCACTTCATCATCATCCTTTCTAAACAAGACTAATAGTTCACCATCATTGAAATCGAATAATAATTCGAATAGTGCTTCAGCAACCAAGACCACACCAACTCCACCTCCTTTCAAACAAACCACCACAACTCCCACTGCGCCACCAAAAACCAGCACAGTTTCCACCACTTCTGTCAATTCACTCAACAAACTATCAACCAACAGTCAATCAAGTCCAACCTTGAAAAGTACTTCAACCACCAGCAGCAGTATTAACAGTCCTAGTGGTAGCACACGTAAAGCACCTCCTCCACCATCATCCTCTTCATCATCAGCATCATCAACTTCTCCTAAACTGCCATCAACACCAAGTACGTCAGCCATCAAAAAAACATCAAACACTCCAAGTACTCCAAGCACACCAATTTCTGCACTTGTGGACAATGATTACTTTAGTTCAATTACTAAAGATGTTCCAAAGAGTGAAATTAAAATATCTGGTCCTAAAGGATTGACACACGTTGGTCATGCCTCAACTAATGATCCAACTGCATTGTTTAAGAAAAATGCTCGATCTCAAACGATTACTGGTGGAGAACTTTCGAATAGTTCAACAAAGAAGAGGGATGGAGTGAGTTTTGATGTTCCTGTAAGTGAAAAGAGTGAAAAGAAGGATGGAGAAGCATCTGGTTCGAGTGCTAAACAAGTTTTGAATCAGGCAACTGATAAATTGAAAAGTGGAATGTCCAAGATGACCAATTTGGTCAAGACTACTTGGGCTGCTGTTGGAAATGATAGTCCATCTACTCCAACCAGTAGCTCCAGCTCTAGTGGTAGTAGCTTAACAAGTTCTAAGAAATCAAAGCCAAAGAAATTGCCACCAGTTCCAAAACCTGCAAATTCAGTTCGTGTTGCAAATACCAAAGTTGTGAGTATTTACATTCCAGAGAATGATGCTTCCGAACATGATCGTGAATTGGAAAAGACCAGAACTGAATTGGAAAAGAGAAAGACCATGATGAACGAGAAAATTAAGGAAGAGGAAAAGAAGAAATTAGCAGAAATGAAACAAAATATTCTCCAAGAGGAGCAAGCCAAGAAGAAACAATTGGAAGAAACATTACAAAAGGAAGAACGTGCCAAATTGGAAAAACTTGAAAAGGAACTAGCCAGTTTATCAGACCAAAAGAGAGAAGAACAACTTAAACAATTGAGAAATGAAGAAGCCAGAAGAAAGGAGAAAATGCTCTCTGATTTGGACAGAGATGCCAAGACTAAGATTAAGGAAATCGATAGTCAAGTTCGTGCTGAAAAAGAAGATCGTTTGAGACAACTCGAAGAGGAAATGAGAAAAGAAGAAGCTCTTGCCAGAAAGGACATTGAAAAGAAATTCAAGGAAGAGGAATTGAAAAAGAAACAAGAACTTCAAGCCAAGATTGAAAAGGAAGAAAAGGAAATGTTGCAACGTATTCAAAAGAAACTCCAGGAAGAGGAAGAAAGAAAACTCAAAGAGCTCGCTCGTAAAATGGAAGAAGAAGAACAGCAACGATTGGAAAAGATTAAAGCCAACTTGAAAGAGATTGAAAATGCTAAAAAGCAAACACCTCAACATCAAGAAGTTTCACAATTGAGAAGAAAGTCAGTCACTGCTCGTCTCATGCAGGAAGAAGAAGAAAAGATCAAACAATTAAGTCAACAAATTAAACAAGAAGAAATGAAACGAATTGAAGAATTGGAAAAGAAGATGAAACAAGAAGAACAAGAAAGAAAGCAAAGAATGAAACAAGAACTCGAACGTCTCGAAGACGAACAACGTCAACTCTTAATGCAACAATTGGAAGAAGAGAAACGAAAGCTCCAAGAAAAATTCCAAAAGGAAGCCGAAAAGGAAGCTGAGGAACACCGAAAGAAACTCCTAGCTCAAAATTCTGCAATCATTTCGAATAATGTTTCAGTTCCACCACCTCCTCCATCTTCTTCATCATCAGGTTCTATTCCTCCACCTCCAGGTGGTAGCTCTCTTCCACCTCCACCTCCAACTGCCATTCTTCCTGTCTCTACTCCAAAAATTGAAATTCACATTGATTTACCAGAACTCTCTGGAAGAGGTGACTTGTTAGAAAGTATCAGAAAGGGAGCTAGTTTAAAGAAAGTCACTACAGAACAAATCAGCAAACCTCAATCCTCAGGAAATGCCATCACTAACATGCTCAAAAAAGCCCTCGACCAAAAACGAATTCACATGGCAGACGAAAGTGATGAAGAAGAAAGTGAAGACGAAGATGATGAATGGGATTCAGAAGCTCACAATTTAATTGAATCTAAAAAGAAATCATTAGTCAACTCTGATGAATAAAAAATTCAAGTAACACAAATAATAAATTTATAGTTTACAAAAAATTAGCGCGCCCAAAACTTTCCACCAAAATTTAGAAAATCAAAATCAAAAAAAATGCCAAAAGCCGCCAGCAAAAAATCCACAGAATCAAATTCTTCGTCATCACCAAGCACTTCACAGAAGACAACTGCTCCTGCTGTAAAACCACTCACCAAGCCAAAGATTAAATCCTTTCCGTGCGCACCAGCTTTTGAATGTAAAAGTGGTGAATTATTGTGGGGTCAACTTCAACACATGATCAAAGGCTCTTCGGCTACGAGTCATGATACTTCGAATGGTCCGATCACTTCAGGATTTGGAGGAGGAACCATTTTGCAGAGCACTTTTAGATATAGATTGGCTGCTAGGAAGGGAAATTGGATTGTGGAGAGATTTGAATCGGAGAGTGGTTTTGGATTTGTTGTTCATCATGAAGATTTGAGTGGACAGGAATTGTTGGATCGATGTGCAAAGATTGGTATTTCGAATGGACAGACACACGATGATCACAATATTGTCTATGTGAATCGTTATGATTGGAGTTATCACAGTGGAGATCAAGATGAAGTTTCGAGGGAGGTCAAGCAATTTATTACTCCACCAAAGAAGAGTAAGAAGAAGAGTGATTCAAGTGATGAGGAAGATGACTTCTCATGTGACGATAATGAATTTTTGGATGAAATTGGTCAACTCTTTGCTGGTAGATTGATTTTGTTGGATGCTCCTGAATACCAATCATATATGAAATTGGTTGCTTCTGGTAAACATCCTGAGAATGGAGATTGTGTACAATTTAAATCATCTACTGGAACTTTTTGTGGTGCTCATCTTTCAGATGCAGATACAGAATATGAGTTAGGTTGGATGATTTTCTCTGGTGAAAAGCATAAGGATTTCCCACAAGATGATGAATTTGTAGGATTTGTCTATGATTCTTCATATTGTGGATTGGAAGAGGGTCCTTTCACTATTGTATAATAATATTGTAAAGTTTTAATTTTTACTGTAAATTGCCTTTATTGACATGTTTCTTGGCTAATTGAATTTACATTTAGTCGGGCCATTCAAAATTTAAAACAATTGTGTGGTGAGGTTCTAAAAGTGAAGGATAATTGAAAATTTTGGCATTTATCCAATATGTCCAATAAGTTTTAACCTAAAACAAATCCCTCGCACAAAACTCTGCTGCAGAATAATAGAAAAAAAACACCATGCTTCATTTCATCCTGTTGTTATTGCAACTTGTATTCAGTTCATTCTCGTTTTTTGAGATTTTGGATGATGAGTTGATTTATGGTGATCACCAGCAGGAGAGTATTGATTCTTTGCCAGATTTATAAATTCCCGTTCTGAAATCTTTTGCCTTATTTTGAAGAAATTTGTGTATTGTACAATTTATTTCAAAGATGACACTTAATAATCATCCAGTCCAACATTATGACATTTAATATTAATGTCACACAACTGTTTCTTTTCACTCATTTGACTAAGGTTCTTTTTGAATAACACTTTGCGTCCTTTTACAAGTTGATAAAGAGGATAATCAAAGTTCTTAATATATTCTGCAAGCTCATAGAAACCTCGATCTTTGGCAATTAACTCTGGACTCTTCTCCAGAGAACAAGACTTGTTCTTATCACATCCCTTCTTCAATAAATATTTCACTACTGAAAAGAATCCAAAATTTGCTGCAATCCAAACAGATGTCTTCACACAAGTTAACTTATAGATAACAATTTGATACTTACTTGCTTTGACTGGTTTCGGTGGTATTAAAATTGATATTAATAAGGTATTTCATTATTACTTACTGGCTGTAACCATGAAAAGTAACCATGAAAAATCCACAATTATTAATAGTCATTGTATAAAATAGTGTTGGTTTTAAAATTAGTGATAGGATTAAACTTACTCCATTGACTTCATCTAGTCTAGATCCTTGTTGAACAAGAACTTTCACAAGTGGTAACATTCCCTTTGCACAAGCAGAATATAAAGGAGTTCTATTGAAACACTTATCATAGGTATTGACCAATTCTGAGAGTGGAAGAATCTTCGACTTGCTGCTTGGACCTTCATGTTGATGTTGTTGCTGTTTTGAAAGAAAATTAAAGATAGATTCAATCTTGAGCACATCACCCTTCTCTATCCAATAAACAGTCTTGAAAATTAAATATTCCAAATTAACGTCTTCCATAGGTTGTGTTTGGCCGTTTGCATTTGTTTGAACAATCCCTGCATCTCTTAAGGCATTCATCTGATGAATATTAATAGCTTCTTGGTCATTCTCCAGAGTTTGTTGATTCGGTTGGTTTCTTACTCTCAAGCCAGCTCCACCACTCGTAGTAGATGAAACTCTTCCATTAGTAGTTGCCATTTGTCTCGTAGCCGCTCTAGCCGGTTGTTGTCCTCCTTGATTCATCCTCTATTGTTCCTTCCTTAACAAGCCTTAAATTTTTTTTCAGTTAATTTTTGTATTCGTTGTTGTTCGCCTCAATGATGATGAAAAATAAGCGCTGAGGTTCAAAGCAAGAAGATGGTTGTTGTTTTTTTTCTTAATGTTGTTTGCAAGTCCTTTTTAATAATAGCATTTTGGCGCCTTATTTGCAAATAGAGATCCACCACAGCCGTCGTTCAATTGTTTGGATTGGAATATAAAATTTGTTGAGGATGTTATTGTTTGAATTTCATGGTTGGAAACATGGAATTAGATTGTATGGAGTGTATTTTTAAAGTCTGTTCACTCGTTCAATTATTTGTTTCTTTAACAATAAGAATCTGTTTGTGGTAATTTTTTGCATTGTATTGAAATTGTTGATTGGTGAAAAGTGGTCTGTTTGAATATGTAAATCTTGTAACAATTATGGTGTGGATTCATTACATGCTTTCAGTTTATTTTTCAAAGTCTTATTTTATCTTCGTTTTCTTCAGTTTCTTGTTGTTCTATAGCTTGTTGGTCATCAACTGGTGGATATGTTTCTTCCTTTCTATCCATGAAGAATGCCCTAGTACTGCCCATCAGGTTCAAACTATTACGAAGAGATGCATTGTGCATATTTTCAGCTCTCATTCTGGTAGATCTAAATGATGCGAACTTGGAGTTTGATTCTGGTTGACTTGTGGCTGATTGTACTTGTGTTAGTTGTTGTAAATGTTTGAAAACTTCAACTTCTACTGGATTTTCATGATCTACATTATGAATTACAGACCCTCCAAAACTGACATGAGCATTAGAATCTGCACCTTCCTCTTGATGAGGGAAAATTTCAAGTGGATCAACGTGATGTTTCTTCTTGAGTAAGTAGGTCTGGCAAAGTCCTTTTCCTTTCACATCAATTTTCCGTTCCTCAAATTCCATTCCCAAATCGTGAACTCTTTCATAGGTAGTTCTAGAAATTTGGATACGACCTGGTTCTCCTGTTGATTCCATTCTTGAGGCAGTATTGATGGTATCTCCCCACAAGTCGTAGGCAAACTTTTTGATTCCAATCACACCAGCAACAACTGGTCCTGTATGTAGGCCGACACGAATGTTTACATTGGTATTCTCGCTGCAATTGTATTCCTTGATTACCTGAAGTGTATCAATGGCGAATCTCAATGACCTTTCAGGGTGATCTGATTGAGCATTCAAATCAATACCTCCAACACAAAAGTAAGCATCTCCAATGGTTTTAATCTTTTCCAAATTATACTTTTCAGTGAGCAAATCAAATCCATTCACAATAGCATTCAACATTAATACAAGTTCAGATGGATTCATTCCAGAACTAATTCTTGTAAACCCAACCATGTCAGAGAAGAATACAGTTACATCATTGAATTTTTCAGCAATGAATGTCTCTCCTCCCTTCAATTTGGAAGCAACACTCTCTGGCATGATATTCAACAATAACTGTTCAGATTTCTTCTTCTCTTCAGCTAGTAACATGTTTTGCTTCTTCTCAGGTGTGAAATCCTTGATGAAACAACTAATAACTGGCTTCTTGTTGAAAATACTAACAAACAAATTGACTTTGGAAGGGAATTTGGTTCCATTCTTTCTGTAGCATTCCAATTCAAGAGTTTCACCAAAAGGTTGTGTTGCATTGACCATTTGTTGAATAATGGTTTCCAAACGTTGTCTATTATTATCGGAAGGATCGAATAGCTTGGTGAGCTTTTCTCCTAAAACATCACTATTAGTCATGCCAAACATCTTTTGAGCAACTGGATTGAAAAGTTCAATGTCACCTTGTGAGTTACACAAAATGGCTCCATCAACTGCTGCATTCAAAATGGCTCTCACCTTACCGTCTCCACCACTACCTTCTTCTTCGTTGGTTTGTTTCTTTGATATTCTTAATTTGCTTGGAAGATTATTGAAAAGAGCAAATTGTTTCAACTCTTCATTGGATTCCATAGCCTCAATTGGAAGGTAGTTGAGTAAACTTCTTAATTGGTTGGATTGATCCCAAATATTTTGAATTAAACCATATGTCAAATATCCTAAAATTGCTAAAATAATAAATCCAAAAACAGAAAATAGGATGGTAATGATGAGATTTGGAACTGACATTGATGATGAATAGAAAGTAAACAAGTTCAAGAATTTTTGCAACAAAATATTGCACTTGTCATCTGTAGTAAGCATTGTCTTGTAAAGGTCAATCAACTTGTAATTACTAAAGTAAACATCCTCTGAAAATGTATTACTAGCCGTAGAGAAATCAACAATTAAATCATTAATACTACTACAAGAGTAATAGGTGGTATTAGTACAGTTGGTACTTTCAAGAATAGCCGTAACTTCAGTGCTTGATGACGTAAATGAAGATTCATATTGTAAATTATTCCAATAACTTGCAAGTGATCCCGTCAGTGCCTTATTCTCATCATGGAAAGAGTCAATTTCTGAAGATGTTATCAGCCTGGGGTCATTGATACTGGAAATGTCTGCATATCTCTTGGCAATAAAAATCTCCGAAAGTCTAAATGTTATAGAGACAGAGGTGGTCATAATTTTAACACCACTTTCAATATTCTCGAGTGCAAGTATTGCTTTTTGGGAGTCTAATTGAAAATCCAAGAAAAGCATAGACATGCAGCATACTGTCAAGAAAATAGTCGCAACAATCAAGAAGGAAACTGAAAATTGAGGTCTTTCAAATAATGTAGGATCTTTCACATCAATATCTTCACCACTCTTTGATTCCAAGTGGTGATAGATTTTTCCAATATAGTCCTTTGTGATTGATCTTGACATGAACTTGATTGTTGACTTAATTTGTCTCAATTTAAACGTAGAGAATGCCACAAAAACAATTGCAATAATACCATAAACAGATATCGAAATAGCATAAAAGTAAATAAACTGCTCTTGCAACATTGTGTACTGTTCCTTATTTCTTTGTAAAAATAATTCACACATGTTTGAAAAACTAGCGGTTTGAACTTTTCTATTCTTCCAGAAAAACATAAAGTTAGAAGCAGTTGTTGTGTTTGAATATGATGTCATGTCCATTGCCAAATATTCATTGGTGTTTTTGATTATAATATCATTGATTTCTGAAAGGGAGGCATTTCTCTTTTGATTGAAAGAGTCTGCACTTGTAAAGTTGTTATCATAGTAAACAACTGGTAAATAAAGATCATGAGTAGAACTGGTAAAATCAGATAGCATTCCTTTTGTGAATTTTGATGCTGATTTCTTGAGAGATTGAAGAACTGTTACATATGTTCTAACTCTTGCCTTGTGTGCTGCAAAATAGCTTGTTGTACTGTTGGATCCATTGACCATAGTTGCAGCAATATCGTTACTGTACAATGGAAACATCTTGTTAAAGTTTTGAATCATTCTAATCTCTTTTAACATGTATCTTGGGAAGAATTGTGGAATGCAAACATAATGTGCAACTGCCACATTATTATCAATTTGAATAGAGAAACTCACACCGAGACCAATTGCAACAGTCAAAATACTCAATGAAAAGCAAAAGATAAAGCCAAAGAAGTACATCAAAATGTTTGATCCCTTTGTTCTATTGAGGGCGGATCTTATTTGCAACTCCTTCTTGATAATTGATGAACGATTTTCTACTCCATCAAACTCAGACGACTCTGAAACAGACTTTTCATCAAAGTTGAACTTGTTATTTTTCGATTCAACATTTGGCATGTATGGCAGGACCTTATTTCCTTTGACAACTGGTTTCTTGTGGGAAACTTTACGAGTTTCCTCATCCTCAATAGTTGCTGCCTCGTCATACATTTCATTGGCTCTTTCTTTGTCAAATTTAATTTCTTCCAAAAACTTGGCATATGTTCTTAAAACATTCTTATTGTTACCATAATTTGACATTAAATTGGTTAGCACAAGGGTACATTGTTTTGTGAGTGATGTGATTTGACTGTTCAATGAGTCAATCTTGTCTACGGATACTGATTCACTCATCATTTCCTTCCAAAATGATTTGTGTAAAGAGCTGATAATAGCATGCTTCTTTTCAATTTTCTGAATGATATGTTTGACTTCTAATAGCTTTTTACCATCTTCTAGAGATATCTCCAACTCTTTTGTTCTGAGACTGATGGAAAATCTTTGAATCAGATTTGGTAAGTTTTTAGTGGCCTTCTCCAAAAGTTTCAATCCAGCACTTTGTTGACCTTCAATAAAGTTTCCTGTAATCACAGCAGCAATTACTAAAAGGTCAATATTCTGATAAGTTTTCTGACTAGCAACTCCTTTGATAAAGCATTTGGCCATTTCAATTTCTGTCAAATTACCAATTGATAAACCTTCCTTTGCAGTCTTGACACAAAATTTCAAGAAGAGAAACAATCTTCTAGTCTTTTTTGTTTCCTCAATTTCATGTAAAATGTTGAGCGCTTGTCTCTCAAGAATATACTTGGGATTAATAAAATCCAAATTGTCACTCTTAATTAGAGAATCAAGACCCTTCTCCAAGTGATCGAGAAATACTGCCTTGATATCTTTCATAATCATTCGAGTGTACATCTCTAATGAAATACTTCCAACTGCAAAGAAGACAATCATTACAAAGAAGGTTATTCCCATCAATCCTAAACCAAGTCCAAACTCATTCTCTTTGTTTACATAGACAGATACCACTCCACACAAGGAAGAACCAACTGCAGCACACATAAAACCAAAGTAAACTGAATTCTCCCATCTTGTATAGAATGGAATAAAGTACAGAAAAGATGCAGCAAGAATAAATCTTGTTAGAAAGTAATAAACTGCTTGAATGACAATGTAATCGTCTGAAACCAAGCATGTAAAAATGTAAAAACTTGTTGAAGCAAGAAAGTTGAAGAATAAAAAGTGCAAATCGTACGAAGCAAATGGTGTCTTACTTTTAGCATGTACATCCATCAATGTGTGGGTTCCAACAAATAATGAAAGTGGCACTGCAAACACTGACATAATTCCAAGAACCATCATGGCAATATTACCACTTCCGTAACAATATACATCTGGGTATCTCTGTAAAACTTGATGTGGTGTCAAAGCTGGTGCAACAATCACCGATGATGCATAGTTACAATCGAGGAAACCCAACAAGAGCCAACTAATTGGCATAGATAGTAGACACGTTGTTGCAATAATTATCTGCGTGGCAATCTTTATCTTTGGCCAATATTTGCTCATTGTATAGACTGACCTATAGGCCAATGCCAAAGTAATAACCGAAACAATAAGAAACGCAAAGAAAACCGAAGCAATAATTAAGGCTGGTATATATGGAACATTTTCCAATCCAAATGTCATTGGATAATTGAGTGCTCTAGCTATCCATTTACCATATTCTCCATAGTTATAGTCTGGTTGTATTCCAATGAATAGTCCTATCCAAATAATGTACAAGTGCACGCACAACATGACGATTTTGTCTTTCCTTGAGATACATTCTGTCGAGTCGTGCAAACTCATCAACAAAGTTATCAGAGATTCTTCAACTTTTGCCATGAAGGTCATATTATTAAATTCAGTGTCCAAATCAGTTACTGAAACAACAGATTCAGAGCCAGAACCTGCAAACTTTGGTGGGCCTGCATTACTCCCCACCGAAAATCTTCTTGCACGTGTATCATATTGAGAGGGATTGCCCATACTGATGGCATCGTCTGTAATGTTGAGATTATTCATAATGTTGTTTGATTTAGTTTTTTTTGATTAGTGACTGCAGTGTAAGAGCTCAATATTCATTATCGCCATCATTAAACTTCATTGTTGTACAACATTAGAATGGATGCAGTTTCGTATTTGTAAATATCTCTTTCTATCTAGCCAAGACCTATAGTTGAATATTAGTGGTTCAATTATTCCATACGTACTTGGTGGTATGGCACATCTTGGAACCATCACTAGGAATCAGAGGTTGTAGAATAACAATCACTTCCGCTCATCAAACAACAATAAACTTCAGACGAAATATTAGAGTGTGTTGTATCTTAAATTTGAGCGTTAATGAGGCATGATAGCACCAATTTAAAGTCATTTCTATGTCTCGTGATTTTAATTTTCGCTTATTAAAACACACATCATTGAAAAGGTAACAGAAAAATCTAAATATGATGTTTGCTGGGGAGAACAAGTTGCTTGGCAAATAAAATTCTTTGATACGTTGTATAAGCTGTTCCTTTGTTTAATCTCACCGTGAGATGATGTTGGATGAGAGCGAATAAGTAGATATTACATTCCTACTTTGATAGTGTAAATTCTCTCATGTGATTCTATCTCTTCTCTTAAAGGATGCGTGATTAGATTGTGGCCTCTTGGAATACCACTATGATGAAACATGAAGATAAAAATCTCTTGAATTTTTTTGTTAATTGAATTTTACATTCGTGGTGATGTGGATTCTTATCATACGGAGCAAGATGAATAATTTATTATTGTTATTATTCTGTTAATTTTACTCCAAAGCATGATGGGGATCATGTGGATTTCAAAGCTTGTGTTTTTCTTGTTCAAAACAAGTTGAAGAAGGTATTAAAGACCAAACAAATGTCGTTAGACAATACAAGCATCGAACAATCATCAATACCTTGAGGTGGTAGATTTGAATCTCCTAATAGTGGTTTGAGAAGATCATCGCCTTCCTACATTAATTTATATTGCAAACCTTCAACAGCATCCGAAAAGAAGAAGAATTTTACTAACAACAACATGGTGGTCGGACAATCGCTTCCTTTAAATTTCCTACCAGAGAAGTACCCAACATCATTAAAATACACAACCATCCTCTGCCAATAACATCTTCCTTTCCAATAATTATTTCACTCTCCAAAATCTTCGAGGCCTCTGCTGTTTTATGTTGCATAGGAAAACACAGAAAATTTCCCATTTTCTTGCTCAAGCCATTTTTTTAAATTTTTTTAAATTTTTTTTTAGTAATTTTGCCCTTCAATCACTTTCACAATTTTTGTAACGGAGTGTCAACTTTCTGAGAGTACCTTTCTAATAGTGGAAACAATAGCAAGAAATGGAAGAGGCGTGAAGTGTGATCTTGGAAATAGTCTGCTTAACGAATCACACAAAAAAACGTCTCTCAACAATTCGTTTCGTCTTGTTATTTAGCATTGCAGGATTTTATTCGAAATTTGTTCTTGTTGGAAAGGAGAACAATTTAATAGATGGGTCAGCAACAATCAGGAGCTCGTGTCGATGACATGGTCATCCCTTCCACATCAAATTATTCAACTACAATACCCACAACTAACCTTTCGAATAATAATATTCGACAATTTTCAATACCACCAACTAACCTTGTACAATATTCCACTTCTCCTCCATCAAATTCTAATCCAACAACAACATCATCTTCTCCTCCATCCATTGAAACTCTCTCACCACCATCAAAGAAAAAATTTATTACTCAACTCGTCAAGAGAATTAAAGCAACTTCACCAGTTCGTAAAAATCAACTTGTCGATGATCATTACATACCCAATTCGAATAGAAAAGCAGTAGCATCGAGTCCTACCTCTACTCCTGCTTGGTCAATTAATAAGAGATCAAATTCTATAGTGATGAATAATTCGAATGATGATTCACCACCTAATGAATTGATTATGGCATCTGCTAGGAGTATTTCCTCCTCACAATATGATCAATATTTGACAGAAAGTGGTGGAGTACCTCTTTCACCAGATGGTCAATATACATTTAGTTTTAGTTTAGAATCAATTTTGGAACAGAATGAGAATGAATTGAGTGTAATTAGATCATTTTTTGAACAGTATGGATTTGTGATTATTAGAAATGTTATTTCACAGGAGCAAATTGATAAAACAATTGAAGAAATTTGGTCAATTATTGAAGGAAAAGATGAGTCAACTGTGGAAGTGATGGAATCTTTGAAATCTTTCCATCAATCTGCGTTTATTCCTGCTAATAGAAATGATCCAACAACTTGGAAAGAAGAATGTGGTTGGCCATCGTTTTCACAAGTTGGAATTCTTGGTAATCAACCAGCTCTTGGAAGATGTGCCATGGAAAATCGTCAGAATGAAAACATTTACAAGATTTTCAATTTTTTAATGGGCTGTAAGAATCCAATTTCCACACATTCGAGTACGAGTAGTGGTCTATTGCAACCTCATCAGAGAATTAGTTCACTTTCGTTTTCTCCTCAATCTCCTTCTTCCATTTCACCAAATTCTCCTTCCTCTTTGAATTGTGCATCTGGTAGTTCCTGGAATGGAGGTCTCTCTCCTAGTAATCCACAACAACAAATGTATTCCCAATCGAAAAAGGAGCATTCGAGAAGGAATTTCAATCACAAATTGTGGTGCAGTTTTGAAACGTATGGAGTGATGCGTCCAACGAAACAAGTTCTCATGAAAGATGGCAAGACAAGAAAGGATTTCCCTCAATACAAGACCAATGATAATTGGCTTCATTGGAGATTAAATCCATGGAAGCTCTATAAGGAATATCAAGCATTGAAGAATAATGTTAAGAAATTTTCACAATCTCCACAGGGAAGTTGTGGCAATTGCTTTGCGTCTGATCATTCATATTATGATCAGGACTATTCCATTTATTCTGAGGGTTATTTCAATTCATCGAGTCCACTGAGTAGTAGTGTTACCATGCCAAGCGAAGGACAACAATTCTTGAATGGCAGCAGTGTCAATTCTCCTGGAGACTCGAAAACAAATCCAGAATCGAATGGACAAGCAAAGAAGAAACAATCATCCACTCCCTATGAGAAATCTCTTCTCCAATTGAAAACCTGGACAGGAAGAAAGTTTTTACTGAACGAAGATTATGGATTATTCAAAGCTCTCTCTCAACAATCAAATGTAAATTATAATTATGTCAATCCAAGAGTTGACTACATGGGATCTGAAGTTAAATTGCAAGGAATGATCAACTTGATTGATAGCAAGGAACAAGATGGAGGATTAATGCTCGTTCCTTGTTTTCACACTCAATTCCTTTCCTATGCAAAGGCCACTTTTAAAAAGTTTGCTGGAAAATCTGATCATTTGGACAATTTTGTAAAAGTTCCACCAGGTTTCCACAATTTAGATTTGTACAAGATGGCCAAACCAATCTCCTTACCAGCTGGAGCAATTATTATTTGGGATTCCAGAATTCCAACTTGTACCTATCAGAATGATTCAGACAAATTCCACATGGCTCAATATGTGAGAATGTTCAAATGTGAAAAGTATCTCGTACCATCATCAGAATCCAGTCCTAGAAATCCATCACTTTTGGAAATGAGAAGACAATTAATTGAAAGATCAATGCCAAAAGATTTTGAAGTGACACCACTAGGAAAGAAACTCTTTGGATTGGATCGTCAATGGTAGAGAGAAATGAAATTTGAGCAATAAATTACTTTTATTGAAATCAATTTATTAGAATGTAGATTGAGAGCTTGCATTGAGTGGAAAGTCCAATATATAGTTATTCTATTTCTTCTTTCTTACAAGTGCTCCAGGATGCGAAAGTGATGCCAATTTAACATTCAACACAATAAACACAATCAATCCAGCAAAAGCAATCCAATTAAACGTAGCACTCGCTCTAATATTCTCAAATATGTAATGAGCCGAAACCACAACATTTAGCAAAGCAACCACAAATGGAAAATATTCAGCTGCTCTTTCTAATGAGAAACCATCCTCTCCTCCAAATATATTTGGAGTCAAATTGACTATTCCCATCACTAGGAAGAGAACGGCAGCTGTTCTTTGTAAATGTGAGCTACCACCTCCATATCCGTATAAATTATCCATATTTAGTTTACCTTCTCCTCCAAAATATAACAAGAATGAATTGATGAGAAATAAGAAACCTGTGGACATGGTTGCAATTCTGTAATACTTTTTAGGTTCGTTTTCTTCCTTAGTAACGAATTTTCTGGTGTCCTTTGCAGCAGGAATGGTTTCGTCTGGACTTTCGATTAATTCGTCAACTTCTTCGTCAATGATTTCGTCTACAACTTCCTTCTTTCTTCTTCTTGGAGAAACTCTTTCAGAATGAAAACTATTTTCCAGAACCTTTTCCACATTCGAATCCTTTCTCTGTGGAGGCGAGACGATTCGTTTGCTACTATTCGAATGAGGATTCGTTTGCCTAATTCTCTGAGTTGCATCTTCAACCAAATCTCTTTCATTCAAATATTGAAAAGAAGAAGAAGATTCGTATTCATCTTCAGTATTTTGTTCGAAAGTCGAAGTCGTTGGCTGTTGATATGAATGTTGTAAAGTTTCGGATGTTAAATCCATGACCTTTCGTATTTTCTCTTTCATTTCTTCTAGATTCGAATCAATTTCTTCAAGTGGTGCTTCAAGCTTGTCCAAAGTGTGATCAATTTTATCAATTGAGTTTTCTACATTTTCTTGATTGATCAAACTGCTTGTTTCCGTATCACCTTTAGTTTTGAGGTAAAACTTGTCATTATTCGAATCTAATGAGAAACTTGGTCCAAACTTATCCTTTTCAATACTAAACAAGTCAATCGTAGTATTGGGAACGTTACTATTAATTGGTGTAATCATTTTCTTTGCAATTTTTCTGTCTGAATAAAAAAGCAAATTTACAAAAATCTTGAAATGTAATATTTCCATTTATGTCACATTAAAGATATGAACTTTTTTCTTGGAATAATCAGCAACGTAAAGCTCATTATTCACTTCATTCATACACATTCCATAAGGTCCTTGTAAATGTTCACTTTTGAAACTATGTAAATATCCGCCACTTTCGTCAAATAATTCGATTCTCTTATTGGACGAATCACAAATCAATAATTGTCTAGAAACCTTATCATACAACAGTCCTCTCACAAAATTGAATTCCCCAATTGAGCTACCACTCTTTCCAAATGAATATTTCAACTCGGCTTGATAATTATTCTTGAAATTGACTCCAGTTGCAAGTGGAGATTCTGGTGTGATGGAAAGTTTAAAGATTTGAATCTTATTCGAACCTGTTTCACTCACTATTAAATCACCATTCAGTGTCATGTCTATTCCCCATGGAGAGCTAAAGTTTATACCACAAGTTGATTGATCGAGTCTGTGAATTGGTTGACCAGTTTGTGAATTCAACAAGTGAATGCAATTATTATTGTAATCACATACAAATAGCAGTTTGGAATTTTTACAAAATGTCATTCCACTTGGATAGGAAATTATTCCACTTGATTGTTTCCATTCGTAAAATTGAGATTGTTTGTCAATGATTGAAATTTTCAATAATTGTTCCAAATTGAACTTGTAAACTGAACGATCGTTGGATCCAATGAAGATGCTCGTTCTAGATGATGCAGAGGAAGGACTCTTTGGAGAGGAAACTGCATCACCTCTTATATCTTCCTCAATAATATACAAACAATGAGGTCTGAAGAAGGTCTTGATGGATCCTTTAAATTTCTTTGTTTTCAAATCGTAAACCATTATTCTACTATTGAAATAGTCGCTCACTAAGAGAACATTTAAGAGGTGAGAGATTTTGACATCGTATGGATTGGAGAGATTGTTCTTTTCATTTTCTTGTTGTTCCAGAGAGTGAGAATAAGCGATTGTTCGAGGAATGACTCTTCTCTTCATGATATTCGAAACAGAAGAGAAATGCTCCAACTCTGTTCGAATTTCCTCGACAATTTCACTCAAATCCATGAGTTGATTCTCATATAAATCTGAAATGTCAGTAAACTGAAACAACAACTTGATTTTCTCAAATTCTTGAAGCGTTTTGTAATATTTTCGGTGTTTCCTTTCCAATAATTCATATCCTGACATGTCTGATAAACTAGCAAACTCCAAATACAACAATTTCACATCCTTCTTCAATGTTGCAATTTCTCTGACTATCATTTCGTATTCCAAACATTTCTTCTCAATGCTTTCGTTCAATTTCTCTTGTTTCTCCCTCACTACTCTTTGTACATTCTCATAAAATTCATTCGATTGCTGTTTCATCCTCAATTTCATTTTAGAAATCTTGTTTAAATAGAATTGACATTGATCATTCGTCTTGTTTGGTTCCAAACCATGCATACTCTCCCATTCATTCACACTATTTTCCAATTCACTCAATTCTTGTGTCATTTTCAATTTTTCTTCAGCTTCTATATTCTCAATTAGGAAAATATCATGTCCCTTATGCGAATCAACAGAACAAGCAGCACAAATTAATGATTGGCAAGTTTTGCAGACAGTATTGATAGCTACTGAGTGGAGAATACATTTGGGAGGTTTCTTTCGGGCAGAAAGTGGTGAGGGTTGATGCTGAGAGGGCGAAATTGTATTTAAACTCAAGGGAGAAACTAAACTATTCTGAACCGAATCATGAGGAAAGATGTGATGATGTGAGCACTTCTTTAAATGTGTTTTTGTATGGAATTTACATAGATACAAATCACATTCCTTGCAAAAACAAGTTGATTCTTGATATTCTTCTGCTTTCTTCCAACATTTCGAACAAGGTTGAATTTTATAATAAACTCCATTCGAAACTAAAGATGACGGTGATGATTTAGGAGTTTTAGGTGAGGATTCGGTACTGCCAACAAGAGAAGATGAGGTCGTGTTGCTACTAGCACCACTTGAGGAACGAGAATGAATCATGAACTTTTTTTTTATGAAGTTTTTATTAGAGTTGATTGTTGACATGTGTGTTGCATTTGGAAACAAGAAGAGAATGAGGAAACTTTCTTTCTTGAAACCATGTATGATTCGATTTTTCAATCAACTTGTGGTTGTCCATGTGCAATACTGTTTATTGATGGATTTAAATAGTGTTTTATTATAAAGAAAGAGTTTATACAAGCAACTTGACACCAATAGTAGAGGATGGCCATGGATGATGGTGTGAAATCATCCATTCACACTTCTTCAAATAAATATTCGAATCTCTTAATATTTTTCATGTAATTCTTGGAAGTGTGTTTCGGTTTTCTTCCTATTCAAGAAAACTAGTAAAATACACACCACAATACACAATGCAATCAAAGATAGAATAAATAATACACCAACAGCAATAATTGGCTTCAATGTAAATAAATAATCAACTGGAGCAGTACTGAATTGAAAGTTTCCACCTTTTGAGAATACTACATAGTATTGAGTTGCTTCTCCTGAAAAGAGATAGAGATTAGTTGAATTTACATGATAGTCATAATTGAAAAATTGATTTCTTTCAATATTCCAAGTGATTGGTTTCTTTCCAATATAAACATCTTGAATTGTTGCTGTATTTTCAATTCTGATTTCAAAATATGTTTGAGGTTGAGTGGTGAAAGTTGCTGTGAATGGTGCGGAATTATCACTTTGAATTGAGTATGTTTGTCCAATTTCAAGTTTAGTATAATTAAAACTAATCTTTTTAGCATAAAACAAATTATATACAGCACTGGGTGGAGAAATTGTGAATGAATAATCTGGATTTCTATTGGAGATGACTTGTTGTGTAAGATTTGATTGAACAATGGCTACCATTTCTTGATTTGAATTTGAGAATTGCCACACTGATTGAACTGGATCATTAGATTTCAACTCTTGAGCTATCAATGAAATGCAACCATAATTTTGATAGAAATGATCTTCTTTCACACTTTCAATTGAATTCCATTCATTTACCAAACAATTCCCAATATAAAATAAAACATTTCGTTGCTGAATAGGATTCAGTTTCAACACCAAATTAGGTTGTCCATAAACG